TATAAAACTAGTATACCTAGATATAGCTCTACTATACCTTAACTCTCTTTTTATTAATATTATTACTAATTTTATTAACGCTTTTATTATTTAATTTTTTATCTTCTTATTATATCTCTTTATATTACGTAGTATTTTCTTCTTTAAAGTCGATATCTTCTTAAGTAAGATTTTTATTATCTTTAATAGTAAATTGTCTACTAATCTTACTATAGCCTAGCTCTTAAGCTAAGGTCTTCTAGTCCTTTCTTGTTTATAATCTAATATTAATTAGTATAAAGATTAGTATAAAATACCTTAGTATATAAAAGTTAAACATACCTTTATAGTAGAACTTAGTCTCTTATATCGTTAAGTATCTATTGTTTTTATACATTAGATATACTAATAAATTTAGATATCTCTTTTACTTTTTTTCTAACGTATATTACGGCCTTTTAGTTAGTAGCTTTTACTTTATTAATCTTTTTAACGACTTTATTATCTATATCTTAGCGCTTTTATACCTTAATTGTATTTAGGTTTATTAAGAGCTCTTTTATAGCCTTACGCTTTAAGTTTCTACTATTACTATTATCTATTATTACTATTATAGTTGTTAAAATTTAACTATGTTATTAATTAGTATAATAATTAGTATAGATTAATACGTAAACTTATACCTACTATATGCCTTTTTATATCTATATTAAAAGAAATCTTTAAAAGAAGGAAAGCTATAGATTAATTAAAAGAAATCTTTAAAAGGAGAAAAGCTATAGATTAATTAAAGGAATTCTTAGAAAAGAAGAAAGCTATAGATTAATTAAAAGAATTCTTTAAAAGGTAAGCTATAGATTAATTAAAAGAATTCTTTAAAAGAAGGAAGCTATAGATTAATTAAAAGAATTCTTTAAAAAGAGAGAGCTATAGATTAATTAAAAGAATTCTTTAAAAGGTAAGCCGTAGATTAGGTCGTTATTATTATTAATTAACTATATTAATAATTAGTATAATAATTAGTATAGATTAATACGTAAACTATACCTGTTATTATTGTTATTATTATTGTTATTATAGAGGTAAAGTAGTAGTAAAAGAGGTAGGGTAGTAAAAGTAAAAAATGTTTAGTAAAATTAATTTACTTTTAAACTCTTTATTTAATATTTAGGCTATAACTTTACTTTTAGACTCTTTGTTTAATATTTAGGCTAATTTAATAGACTCTTAGTTCTTTAGACTCTTTGTTCTATATTTAGACTATTAAATAGTATAGGTATAAAATAAAGATAAAAAAAGAAAGGAGAGAAGAAGGGTTTAAAAGTAAATTAGTAATAAGTTTAAATAATACTTTAAAATTTTTTATATAATGTTTTATAATACTCTTTTACGTAATTAGTAGAAATATTAGTATAATAATTAAAATAAACAATAGATAGACGTGTTTAACGCGTCTTACTATCCTTATTCTTATTATATTATATAGTACTATTGTTATAGTACTATAAGTAAAGTAGTTAGTTATAAAGTAAATTAATTTTACTAAAAATTTACTAAGCCTTTATTTTTATAATATATAAATAAACAACTCTTTACTACTTACCTACCTTTCTTTTATTAAGCTAACCTTAATTTAGTATATAGGCCCCTCTCTTACCTCCTTACCCTTTATACCTCTTACTATACTAACTTTATTAGTCTTCTTATCTACTATTCGTTAATTACGATTATAAAATAGCGTAAAGCCTAAAGCTAAAAGCTACTACTTATATAACTAAGTTATCTAACTATACTACTAAAAAGAGCTATAGTACGCTGTCCTTAATCTAGTAAAAGGCTCTTTAGATAGCCTAACTAACCTAACTAGCCTAACTAGCTAAATAGTTTAAACCCTTAGGCTAGAAGACAAAGATTTAAACTAAGTAGTAAGTTAATTAGTATAAAGATTAGTATAAAAACTTTACTAACAAATTTAATAGCTATAGCGCTAAGAGAAATAAGAAAGTACTAAAAGACTACTAAACTATTAATACTATAAGTACCTTTTATAAGGCTAGTAAAAGAGATTATACTTTAGCTACGCCTTAAATTCCGAGTCTAGAAAAGCGTAATAAAAGCCTTATAAGAATCTATAGAGGCTATATTAACTACTAAGTTTTCTTATAAGTATTTAATCTATTATACTAATCTTTATACTAATTAAATAATATATAGTAATAAATCTTACTATTATCTATACTAAACAAGTTATAATTTAGTAAAAGGATATAAAGCTCGTATAGTCTATACGTAATAGAATTCTTAGGTATACTATACTAAGAGGTAAAAGGCTATAAGGCTAAATTAAAAATAGAGTAGTAATAAGATTATAAGTTATAAGGTACGATTCTATTATATATTTTTTATAAATTCTTAAATGTAATCTATTAAATAACGCCTTATAAAGTAATTAGTATAAAGATTAGTATAAACTATAATTATTATACTATTACGTAATATTATTAAGGCTTAAATTACGTGTTAGGGTCTTAGTAACCTATAGGTTAGGTTATAGGTTAGGGCCTACCTACTAGTCTAAACCTACCCTATAGGTTAGATCCTTATAGGTTAGGTCTTACCTATAGAAACCTAACCTATAGGGACCTATTGCGTAGCCTATGCCTACCACCTGCCGTGACGGCATGGTGGGATCAGCCACAACAAACGCCGGCTCGGACAGTCACGAGTCTCGGGCCTTTGGCCTGTCCCGAATTATATACGACCGCAACTAGCACAATTATCAATTCCTTGAGTACCTTAATTGCTTGCTGCCCTTCGTAAGTCTCCACCTAGCGATTTGGTATTAAGAGTTCCACTAATAGCCTCGACAGCAACTATGCTTTCGAACACATAACGTCACCACTTGGACAGTGTTATTCACCTTTATCTTCTGGGCAACCTTTTACATACGCCAGCTACAATGCATCGCTCGCCACCTGGATGCCTGCTACAACGACAATCTCCGTATCGAGGACAAATGTTTAGGGTATTCCTGTCAACGGTTACATCTTTTCAACTGCGTCCGATAATGTTACTTCAAGCCCAACATCACTAATTACCTCAGGAATAGCAACGGCTACATCTTCTTCAACGACAACTCCAGCAGCTGCAGGTGTACAGAGTAGTGGTGGATTGACAGTTGGTGCAAAGCCCGGCATAGGGATTGGAGTTGTACTTGCTGTGGTCGGGGTGTGCTGTCTCATAGGTTCTATCTGCCTTCTTCGCCGTCGACACGCAAAGTCCAGAAGCATTGCAATGCAAATTCCAGATTCTAATTTCGGCAATACAATTTGTACTCCGCCCAAGGAGGTGCTAGAACCAGCATATTTTCATGAGCTTGGACCTGGAAAATAGCATAGTTACGAAATGAGTTCAGCGCCGGAGTAAAGGTATTTGTTTATTAATGCCGCAAATGTGCACTTCTGTCAGTCATGAGATGGGCTTGTCTCTGTATGCATAGCAGCATATGTCATATAGTATTGAGCGGAAAATAGTGATAAAGGAGGGGGGCGGGGGGTAAAGATTTCAAATGTATTAAACTTAAGTCTCGGGACTCGTCTCCTCCCAGTATCTGAAGGATCTCACTCTCATCTTTATCAAGTAACCACAATATTATAGCACTCTCTAAAAGTCTACCGCGAGTTTCCTTACTCTCCTAACATAGGCTTTTATTAAGGATTAGTAGTTCACAAACCTCGTCTCTACTTACGATCTACAAGCAGTAACTACTAAATATATCACTTGTAACTAATATACGTATAGGATCTAAAGATAAGTTGCTGGAGGGCGGCCAAGTCGTTAACACTCTCAAATACCCTTATCTCTAGGAGAGTGGTCTAAAGACCCACGGTTATATATTAACATCTTTACAATATTCTTTTCTCTACTGGTATTATAGAACTTTTTTAACCTCAGGAACATCTTTGTAGTAATAATATTTAGATATACATTGAATTAGCTATAGTCTGGAAGAAGCTAGTCAGAGGCATTGTGCATAGAGGCAAGGCTTAGGGTTTGGTTTAATTCTCTGGGGACAGTTTCAATTATTACTTATCTGTAGAATAGAGTTCTAAAACTTGACTTGATAATAATATCCCTCTCTAATTCCACTCTTCTAGGCCTAGTACTCAACCCCAGACTAAACATAGATACACAACCCAAATTTCCACCACATCCACCCCAGAAAACAGCACCTCGATCTCACCAATCTCCAAACCTCATCCTTCAGGCATCCACAGGCAGCCCCCCACATTAGCGAATCTACTAGCGCGAATTCCCCAAAGCCTCACCTAACCCCTATACTCTAGTATAAATAAAAACATTATATTCAAAGAGTCCTATCTGAGAGCATCAAAATGCACTCTTTAAAATTTTGGTAAGAGGCCGTGGGGTGGAGATATAGGTGGGTGGAAAGTTTTGTTGCACGTCGCACTTTTGGGAACTTTGATTTGGGGAGGGGGGAATTTTGGCGGTTGAGAAGGCTACAGCCTTGGGGCGAGGCTGGGGCCTTGGGGTGAGGAGGTCGTGAACCATAAGTCTTAATGTGGGATTTGAATAGGTGGGAATAGGATCCAGATTATGTTATGTCAGTTGTGTTTTATAATAACGGGAAGTTCTATCCTATGATAACAGTTTCAAAACCATATATATGTTTTTCCTTTCTAGCATATACCATATCGTTTACATCAATACCACTCTTTCAAAGTAAGTAGCTTGATGAACTTTCCCAACTTGATTATACGTAAGACCTTAATCTTAATGCAAATAAAGCTCTGCACGAAGCGAACTTCTGCATACAACGCAGCTCTATATCGAAGAGAGGCTTGCTTACACCACGTCTAACTTTTTGCTCACAAAACAGTCACAATCCCAGGAACTTATAGACATTGACAGCTATCTTCTCTACAGGAATGCCCTCGACCACTGCTTTTGATTGAACAATATATTGAAACGCGGAAGTTCTACAATTGCACCAGCCTCAGGTTGCCGTCAGGATTAACAACTTCTCTGCATCTAGCTCACTGAGATCCGAACAACATTTTCAACATTCGCGCCAACTTCACGGATTCATCATGGAAGCTGTGCCCATTCAGGATCAGCAAGGATTTCAATCTTATCCTTCGCTCCCGCTACGAGCTCTCTACGGAACCTGCGAAGAATGGGAATATAGAGGCTGGAGCTGCGACTCATAGGAGGTCGGACCAATTCAAGCTCATGTCATTCGTTTCCAAGGGGTAAAGGAGTCGAGGCGTTAGGTCCACTTGACAGTTGAGCAAAAACTCTTAAAAGAGAACCTCTGCAAGTCGTCGTTTCGCCTCCTCTGGATCCCAATCAACCAGAGTGTCCGCCTTGCCCTCCTCCATCTTCCACTCCACAAACGGTTCCATAGCATTCCTCTCTGCATCAGTAAGGAGACCTACCCTCGTCCTCCAAAGCCTACAGTCGTCCTCGTCTACCCCCCTATCACCAAAGAACCTCTTGTCAAGAAACCTCCAGTAAATAGCATCGAAGGCCCAGCTTCGCCTCGCTGCATAATTAAGCCAGAACCGCCCCGTTTCCCAGCTCTCACGCATATGTGTAGACAGTTTGATCGGCTTGTTTTTACTTCCACATGCACCTTGGTTCCCTTGACACTGTTCTTCCCTACCTAAATCCATATCCCCAGTGTTTTTGCTTATCTCTCCGACATCGACCGGTCGATCAGCCTTCTGCTCGCCGTCCTCCATTACCCGCAGCCAAGTCTGCAGGCGCTGATCGTAGACCTTCCTTCAGTCTTCCAGCCCCTTAGGCCAGTACTCAGGCGGAGACAGCAGCAGCCACCAGGGCGGATCGAGGGCGAACTGCGGCGGACCGACATATGCGAACTCCCAGTCGATAATTGCTGCTACTCGTAACTCCCTGTCGAGCAGGATATTGCCGCCGCGTAGATCATCACACCACAAGCGGAAGGGCCCCGCAGCATCTGGGGCTGGGGAAAGGGTTGGACGGGTGATTCGTGGCGTCGATATACCAGAGACAGGTGAGGAGCGCCAAGTAGCAGATTGGGCAGACCAGCTATCATCAGCGAAGCCAAAACTCGTGAGTCTTCCCTCTTTGGCCAGCCGTCTAAAGAGCTGGCGTGCAACATATTTATTACGGCAGTCGTCAGGTGAACGGGTGAGGTCATTACGTTGGAAGACGAGGTGTGCCATATGCATGTCCGCGAGAGCAAGATACCACTCATCGGCTGTCTGGTAGGTTTTATCCTTCGGAGGAAGGACAGCAGGTGGGATATTAGCGAGGAGTATTAGAGCATTCATATTCATTGTCAGAGGGCGTCCACCTACTACATAGGTATCTCGCCCATTGGACACTAGAGATCCAATCCGGGGAAACTCCAGCTTGGCAAGTTGTAAGACGTACTTAGCCATTTGGCCATATAGGCATTCCAGTTTTTCTTCAGTAACATCCGGGTCTAAGACGGGCTGTTCCGCCTTCTCTCGGAGTTCTGGATCTTTGAGAGTGCTGGAGAAGACTTCTTCATTCTCGACATAGTCCATAATGATGAATGGGCCGAGACCAGTAGGATTCTCGTCGGCCATACCGCAGTAATACACATGCGGGATTGGAATAGTGGTCTTCTGGGCAACGTAACGCATGACGGCTACTTCGTTCCGGACCTTCTCGTCTGGAAACTGAACAATGCCAGGGCGGGGAATCCTCAAGATAGCATGTTTGCCGCCTTCTTGGAAGCGCATCCGATACACAATATTAAAGGAACCTTTGGACAGATGGCCCCATTTTATAACGTGACCACCTCGGTATCTCTCAATCAGGAGTTTGAAGGCATGATACGTGTTCAGATCGTGAAAAGGTTCCTCCGCTGCTTTTTCGGACGTCTCGATCCTTTCGAGAGCAACATCGTCGTACAGCTGGCGATCCCACTGCATATAGAATGAGCGTTAGATCAGGACCGCTGGAATTATAGACAGGAGAGGAAATGGAAGAACCCTTAAGAAGAGGATTAAGAAGTCTTCTGCAATGAGGCGCGGTTGATTGCTTTGCAAGGACTTGAGCTTTATCGATAGGCAGGGGTCGAGCCCAGCCTGTATGTCACGGACAGGTCCACCCCCGCATTTCCACTATGCTGAGGTACATGCCATGATTAGCCAATTGCACAGCGGGCTAAGTACTTCGACATACCCACTCACCTAAGCAGCTTGCCGCAAACGACGAATGGCGGAACGACCTCACATCCTCTGCTTCGAATTTTCGTAGTAATTTTATTCGGGACGGAACAGTGGCCTTGATTAAATAGTTAAATGTAATAGGAGTGTAATCAATGCAAATCATATTATCTGGTTCTCTAACCGATCATACGCCTCCACTCAGGTATCTTCAGTCCCAGGGGTATTTAAACGAACGTGGGTATATCAAAAGCACAGACCATTACACATTATATAGATCATATCTCATCAGCATCACAAAGGCTCACCCCCAACACACCTCCACCGTGCTGCGTGCATATCATTCCAACCTAGACGGTCGCAGGTTCAACCACAGCAGCTGCTGGTGCTGCTGCTGGTTCTGCTGGCGCGACCTTCTCACGCTCTGGGAATGTCCCACCTTGAGAGACACGGCCGTACTGGGTGAAGTAGAGGTTCAGAGCGCCATAGTCCCACCGGGAGGCCAGGATCAAGATGACGAACGAGAGGACAGGAACAGTCAGAAGATCCAAGATACCGAAGAAGATGAAGCCCGCGGTGACCTTGATCTTGTTTCCTCCGTCATCCACACCGTACGCGATGGGGTAGAGCAGCCAGATGAAGACGAGCCAGCCGGCAATGAAGAAGTAGTGGTTGTTGATCCCGGTGCGCGAGGCGGTGATGCTTCCAGTATGTAGCAGGCTGGCCGACAGGAGGAAGTATGCCAACAGGCCAAAGGCGAAGAAACCCCACTTGTAATGTGTCGCCACCAGAGCGCCAGACAGCCATGTAGCCACCCATGCCCAGGAGAGGGCAACGTTGTAGACAATCGTAGACCAGCTCACACCGGAGATCAATCCAATGGCAGTTAAAAGGGGAGTCCATCCCACGAACCTATACTTGTAAGCCTTGGTTCTTAGACATCGATTGTGGGAACCTACCAGTTGATGTATCTAGCATAAAAGATCTCCCGAGTCCCACGGCGATTGCTAGATGTCTCAACTGGAGTCGATCCGAGGTCAGAGGCCATGGTGAAGTAGGATACAGCGCCTACGAAGAGAGAGATGGTGAAGAGGTAGTGGAAGATCTTCTCTCCGCTCTTGGCAAAGTAGGCAAGACCAATGACGATGAGGAGGGAGAGGGTGTAGATAGCCGTCACGGCCCACAGCCAGTCAGAGCCATGGACTGAGAGGGCAAAGTCATCACCGGTGGGTGGGTTGATCTTGAGCGCATCATTGGTTCGGGGGAGGAGAGTAGCCATTGTGAGTTTTATGTTTTGAAGAGCGAGACAAGAGGCGCGAGACACGAGATATTGGAGATGGGGTGGCAGTACATTGGAGGGGGGGACGGGGACTTGCGCTTTATATCCTCAAACTACGAGACGTGGGTGGCATGGGAACCGGCATCTTACAGATAGACAAGAGGCAGACCATTCTCAAAAGGATGACTCGCATGGAAGATCTTGCAACGCTTTGTGATTGATGACTGGAGCGTTGCCAGGGAGGACACTGGTTCGGCGGACATGAGCATGAGAGACAGCGAGGGAGCGGGATAGAGAGAGGACCAAGGGCGGATCTCCAAGGGGGAAAAAGTGTGACGGGCATGTGACGAGAGACTGTTACTCAGGAGAGGATAATGCCTGTTGTACGGCATCAATCGCAGAAAATCGCAGGAGACCATAGGCCGGCACCAGCGGCGACGTGGTGGTGTTGTGACCAGATGCCACCACTTTGCTGGCGATCGCAAGAAGTGAAAGTGACGGACGGAAAGACCGGAGAGCCACAGAGGAGAGACGCCCGACTCAAGAGCATGGCGCCATTGGATACCGCCCACGATGGCCAGCGGGGAAGCATGGACACTTCCAAGCATCACCCCTCGCGCAGTGCCGAGCTTACCGTGCGCGCCCCTTCTGCAACTCTGCATCTGGACGTCGCGCGGGGGATCGCGAGATCGATCGAGTGATTATTGAGGCCGTTGAACGTTGATGATTATTGAGGATGGACGTTCCTCATGCCACCGGCACCGCAGATTATTCAGCCGATGAAATCATAGCCGAGGCTGCTACTCAGCAGCAAACATGGGCTCCAGCCACTCATGTGCGCCACTGCGCGCCACGACTCTTATGCGCGCCGATCAATTGCCTGTTGGGCACACACCCCCAGGCGATCGCCAATATCACCTCGAGTATCAATTAGCTACTGGAATCTTCTCCGTCATTCACAACGCCCGGGGGGGCAGCAATAACAGCTGATTCTGGATGTGATTTGACTCATTCAAGGCTCTTCCTAGCAACGGAGCAATTTACTCTACAGGATGTGCAATGTGAAATGTGAAATGCCGTGACCACGCCCGACGATCCCCAAGACTGAGTGAGATCGAGACCAGCGATGAGAAATCCAGGCGGTGTGTGTCAATAATAGAAGAAAGGGACTGGCCATGGAGGAACATCGCCGATGACCACAATTCCGCTCCCCTTCCTCCTGCGAAGAACGAGAAGAACAACAAAGAAACCTTGCTTATGCAAGACGCAAGAAAAACAGACTCGCCATCCCATGCTATCTCATGACCCGCACCCAGTCCGCATGAGATATCAGTCACCAGCTACCAGATCAAAGTCAGTACTTGAGGCTCTAAAATATACGACGAAAGTTCACGTACCTCCTAGGTCAGGACAACCAAAGCGAGGAAACCAGCAAAGAATGCAAAGTTGACGTTCGTAGTGCCAGCACCGGATCCGTGTGGTGTGGTGGAGGCGGGGAACGGCGCGTGGGTGGTGCTGATATTGACACCTGAGGTATTGATACTTGCCGCGATAGCTGTGGCTGAAGTAACGGGTGTCTCCACAGTAGAGGTGGAAGCGAGGACAGTGCCGACCCGGCCAGTAGTTTCAAGCGCAGCCGAGCAAGAGCCTCCTTCTGTGACACCGACATCGATCTCATATCCAACTGGAACTGTGACGCCGATAAAGCCATACGAATGTCTCTGCAAACATGAAGTAGCGATGGAGACACTCGAAATAGCAGAGACACTCGAAGTAGAAGAGACGCTCGAAGCAGAGGAGACGCTCGAAGCAGAGGAGACATTCGAAGTAGAGGAGACATTCGAAGTAGAGTTGACATTCGAAGAAGAGGAGACACTCGAAGCAGAGGAGACACTGACGAGACTGCTCTCGATGGTTGTTGACTGGTAAACCGTGGCGGTCACGGTCACGGTCACGGTCACGGTACTCGCCCCGCTTACGCAGCCAGCGGCATAGTTATTGGGAGCCACTGATACCTTTGTATAGTCGGGATTCAGCGAAATCTGCTGCGTGGTGGTGCTCGTGGTGGATTTTGTGAAAGTGCTGCCGGGCAAAGTAATCGTCTCTGTAGGAAGGCCCTGAGTAGGGATGCTGACAGTGCTTGATGCGTCGGCAGGGATGGTTCCATCTGAAGCATCATGGAGTTGGGAGTGAATCGCTAGGGAGGATGCCTCGGGCTGAGATCCAGTAGTTCCTACATCAATCAACTTGAGAGTAGCCGGGGGGCTTGGGATAGTAATCTTTGAGGTCGATGCGCCCGAGATAGAGAGATTTCCCTTTACTGTAGTTCTGAGAGTTGTAGTATAAGAGAAGGTCGTATGGAACGTGCTTATAATCGCGACCGAACTCTGCGTACTGGCACTCAAGCTCGAACTGGACGGCTGAGACAGTGCAGAAGCACTACAGTGACTGTCAGCATTCTGCACGTTTATGCAGTCGTATACTTACCTAGATGTAGGCGTGGTCGACTGGAAGCTAGAAATAGCAGCCGAGGTATTAAGACCAAAGGAGAGGGCGGTAGAAGGGGGAATGTCAGAAGCAGCAGGACGAACACTACTAACCAATCAAGTTACTCAATGAACTAATCCACAAGCTAAAGGGGCAGGTCTAGACTTACGAGGTAGACAAAGAAGGCGCCGAGTCCATGATAGTGGTTGCGAAAGTCGATGTGACAGGAGTCAAGCTTACAGTTGACACGAAGACCATCGTGGAGCTGGATACCTCGTCCGTAGTGACTAAAGTGTTGACATCAATCGAGGTGCTTGGAACAGCGCTCATGGCCTCAAGAGAGACGATAGTGCTGTTGACATTGATGCTGCGGTAGGAAAGAGTGATGCCAGTTGTGACAGGTGAGGGGCCATCAAGTGCGACAGCGTCCCCAAGGACCGTAAACAGGACGAACAGGACGGAGAAGAACGAGAGAACCTGCGAGAGCTTCATCTCGGACTGTCTAGGATGCTGATGTCAAACTACTAACTAAAACGATCAGAGAGATCAAGATGATTAGAAAGACTCAGACAAACAGGAAGACTGAGACGATCAGAAGGCGTTAATGTCGGATAGTGATCTCAGATGAGGAGATGGGAGGATTCGAATGAATCAACGAACGAGATGTGAATAGGATGATGGATATCAAAAGAAAGTCGAAGGAGAAGTGGTGTCGAAAAGAAGGGTTGTTAGATGTTGTTGTACCGCGATATCGAAGTTCGCGTGTTTTGTTTACTACCAGGACGAGTCGAAACCACCAGTGAATTTTCGCTACAGCCCGCCCAGAAAATTAGACAGAGAGGTGTTTGATTCACTTGTAGCACTCATCTAAACTACTAGCCCATTGAATCATTTGATACTTAGTGATCAGAGATCCGTGATCAGACCGGCTGGACATATCATTATGGAGACAGACAAAAGGATGCCTTACCCAATCCTTTCATCTGATTCACATCCAAAATGCCACATCCACGTTGCTAACTTACCTTTATAAGCTGCACCGCATCACATTTCTGGAGCAGGGTGAGGATATATCAATCACGTGATCACATTTCTGGTTCATCTCTCCGATTTCTTCTTATTGCTTCTAAACATGAGCTTAAGTTGCAGAAATCCAAATAGCTGGAAATCTGCAGCATACAGAAAGCTGTAGAAGCTGTACATACGGCAGCCTATGCTTACGCCATGGCGTATTGGACCTACGCTGGAGCCACATAGACTGAGGTGATAACGCTCAAGAAAGACTGCCAAGAGAAGGAAGAGATAAACCCTTTTCGTAATTGTATATGACGGCCAGCTTGACCAGTCAAAGAGCATTGCTAAGGTAGTGGAGAGCTGGCATTATCATAAGACGCGCTTCACTACAATCAAGAACGATGACCAAAGGATAAGTCCTGCAGCAGAAAACACAATTGATGGATCCAAATCATACTTGTGACTTGCATCCGGGTTCACTTATACATATCAACTTCCACTATACAGAGGTTGAATTCTGATGGTGGCGATGAACCTCTTGAATGTGATGGAGTGAAGTTCAAGGTGCTCTCTCGTGTAGCGCGAAACGCGTCTTTCCCTGTACGACACGCGATTGGCGCTTACTCCTCTCCCAACTCCCTCGGCCTATTCCCAAGTATCCACGACGAACCCTCCACGGATCCTGATTAGGAAAATCTCGACTCGAAGACAAGTTCCTCTCGATATCTACACGTCTGCGACTGCGGCGGTCAGCTAAAGATGGCCCCGCGCCGTAGTGCGGAAGTCGTTCAGGAGCCCCAGCTGGGAGGACTGGCTTTCAACGAGCCATTGTCATGGCGTGCAGGAAAGCCCATTCCCACCGGGGAACTCCTGAGGAGGCTCGGCGCCCTTAGCAGCGAGCTGAGTGATATGGAACAGGAGGACACGGATAAGGATTCGCTGACGGATGTCGCAAAGCAACTCGCGGGGCAGAATCTGCTAGGACATAAGGACAAAGGGGTACGCGCATTTACAGCTTGCTGCTTGGTAGATGTGTTGAGGATTTGCGCTCCAGATGCCCCATTTACGGCGACAATGCTCAAGGTATGCGACAGACAGTGTATATCGGGAGGTTTGGAGCTGATTTGGTCATAGGATATCTTCACACTGTTTATTACATCGATCCTCCCAGCCCTATCCGACCCCTCCCATGCCTACAATACACAACACAAATACGTTCTAGTTTCTCTTGCAGAGGTCAAGAGTATCGTCCTTCTTACAGATATCCCCAACTCCGAAGCTCTTATGCATCATCTCTTCGTTTCTTTCTTCGACATAATATCTGGTTCCTCAAAGGCTTCGACTGGCGAACAGATAGCAAAGGATGTCGAGTATCATATGACCCAGATGATGGTGACGCTGGTAGATGAGTCGGCGAGCCTCCCTCCTGCGATTGTAGACGTTATCATTGCCCAATTCCTGCGCGCAGCTGCTCCAGGGGCAGGCAAGACACAGCTTGACGACAAGCAATCGACCCTCTTGATGAAAGAGCTTCCAGCAGCATACAATATGGCAAGAACGATATGTAACTCTTGCCCGGAGAAGATGGCCCGGTACGTCAGTATGTACTTCAACGAGGTGATCATGGAGGTTTCGGCCTCCAGTGGACCCTCCAAGCCGAACGGCCATCGGAGGACGAGTGACGCTGTCGAATCCGATGAAGAGGGGCCTACTGGACCAACAGAAGCAGATTTGAAAGAGCTTAACAAAGCACACCGGCTACTTCGAGAGTTGTGGCGGGCATCACCTCCGGTATTACAAAATGTCATTCCTCAGCTGGAGGCAGAGCTGTCTGCGGAGAATGTACAGCTGCGGTTGCTAGCTACGGAGACTCTGGGGGATATTATATCTGGGATTGGAGCAGCTGGGCCACCTCCACCTCCCGTCATGGACCCGGCTGCGTACCCACCTGCAAAACTAGACGACTATCAAGCCCCCGTCTCGGATAACATCCTCCTCACACCCGTCTCACCACAGTCCTTTTCGCAGACCTACCCATCTGTGTACCACAGTTTCTTAGGGAGGAAAAACGACAAGTCACTCACCATCCGTTCAGGATGGACAACAGCAATTGGTCGAATCCTCGTGACTTCAGCTGGGGGGATTGGGCTCAGCCGAGAAGATCAGAATTCGTTAGTTAAAGGACTTGCAGAAAAGTTGAACGACGCAGACGAGAGAGTAAGGTTGGCTGCGGTCAAAGCTGTAGCGGGCTTCACGTTTCAAGATGTCATGGCCAAGCTTGCTCTAAATGGAGGTGTTAATAAAGATGGTTCTGTTTTGTGTAGTCTGGCGGACCGGGCACGAGATCGCAAACACTCTGTTCGAGTAGAAGCCATGACCACCCTCTGTAGGATATGGGGCGTAGCTTCTGGCGAGATTGCGGAAGGGAATGAGGCTGTCATTTCGGCACTGGGAACTATTCCGTCCAAGGTCTTTAACGCGTACTACACCAATGATCTGGAGCTTAACGTTCTTCTAGACCACGTCATGTTTGAGCAGCTCATCCCACTCAACTACCCCCCGACTAAAACCAAGGGTTCGAAAGCTGCCAATGGTGATTCTCAAGCAAGCCAGACAAATGGAGCCGTGCCGTTTGACGCCGACAAGATCCGCACAGAGCGGATCCTGCTCGTCGTAAAGTCTCTTGATTCCAAGTCGAAGAAGGCTTTCTTTGCGTTGCAAGCTCGCCAATCGACGTATTCCAATGTCTTGTCAGCTTTCATCAAATGCTGCGAGGAATACAATGGAGGTGTCATGGATGAAGGTGCGAAGGAGATCAAGGCAAAGCTTGACGCTATAATCAAATGGCTCGCTGACCTTTTACCTGACCCTCTGAGGACGACTCATGAGCTGCACAAGTACGCAAAGCTTCACGATCGGAGGAGTTATCAACTTCTCAGATTTGCAATCGCTTCTGAGAGTGACTTCAAGACAGTCCATAATGGAATCAAAGAATTCACGAAGCGCATTAAGGATTCAAAGGAAGCGCCAGCTGGTCTTCTACAAACTCTCATGCCAATCATATACCGCTCTGCATCATTGGTCTACAATCGCAGCCATCTCCCCGCTATCCTACAGTATTCGAGAAGTGATGAGAACGGATTAGGCACGACGGCACACGAGGTCAACCGGGAGATCTCAGAGAAGATGCCACAAGTCTTCCGATCCAACGTCAAAGAACTATGCAAGTCTCTGGAGCAAGATGCTCCTTCCTCGACTAGATCGAATGACCTAGGGAGTGTGGAAACACTAAGGGCGTGTGCAGAGTTTGCAAAGAGTCGACCGGGAGACCTTCCTCGCGAACGCAAATTTATCCAAGCTCTGATCAGTTATGCGCTGTACGGAACCCCGGCAAAGGCTGCCAAATATGCCGTGAGAATCTTGATGGCTGCCACAGACCGGAAAGAGATGCACACGAAAGATCTGCTGGAGAAGACTGTGAACAACTGGGTCTATGGGGAAAAGCATTTCTTGACCAAGCTGGCGACCATCAGCCAATTGTCCCTGGAGGATCCGAAGATCACGGATGAATTCAATGACGAGATCCTCGATATCACTATCCAGAAAACTCTTCTCCAGGTTCAGACAGCCGCACAAGACACGGATCGAAGCTGGCAGCCTGATTCGGAGCTCGACGATGAGTGCCAAGCCAAATGTTGGGCCCTTAAGATTCTCGTGAACCGTTTGAAGACGGTCGAAGATCCAGAAACCGCCAAGACCCTCGCTGGCCCAGTATACAAGCTGCTGAACGCGCTGATTGCCAAGGAGGGAGAGCTGTCAAAGGAGGGCAATACGCCAAAACACCATAAGACTCGATTGCGCCTCCGTGCATCACAGTTGATGCTGAAGCTATGCAGGAGCAAGCTTTTCGACGATCTCTTGAAACCGACCGATTTTAACCGGCTCGCCCTCGTCGCACAGGATAAACACCCGAACGTTCGCCGCGGCTTTATCGAAAAACTCCAGAAGTATTTAGTAAAGGGCCAACTTCCCAACCGGTTCTACACGATTATATTCCTCACGGCTTTTGAGCCAGAGATTGATTTCAAGAATTCCATCATTACATGGGTCCGTTCCCGCGTGAAGGGGTTCCACGGGAAGAAGCTGTATGTCATGGAATCTACCTTGCCACGTCTTTTATCGCTTCTTGCCCATCATCCCGATTACAGTACAGTCCCTGAGGAGCTACTCGACCATGCACGTTATATCCTTTATTACCTGACCACGGTCGCTTCAGAAGAGTACCTGGCACTGATCTACAAATACGCCGAGCGGGTCAAGCAGGCTCGCGATGGCATCGAAGATAAGAATTCCGAGAATCTATACGTTCTCAGTGACCTTGCGCAGACCGTCATCAGGAAATGGGAGCAGAAGAAGGGGTGGAATATGCAGACTTGGCCTGCCAAGGTGGGATTGCCAGTCGGTATCTTCGCTGCACTGCCTAGCCACGAGGTGGCTCAGGAGATCGCCGAGAAGCAGTACTTACCAGATGACATGGATGACAGTCTTGATAAGTTAGTCAGACAAGTTGACAAGAAGAAGGTTTGTTCTACTACTTCATTCCGTTGCCTATGCTGACAGATCATCTTCACCAGAAACGGAGGACCGAAGACGAAGGCGACGATTCTCACCCTACCGCCAAGAAGCAGAAATCGGAATCCAAACCAAAAGCCGCAAGACCTTCGACAGCCAAGAAAGAGAGGCCCGCAGGGAAAACGCCTGCCAAGACTAGGAAGCGAAAAGAGAGTGATATCTTGAGCACACCTGCCCCGAGTTCTACGGATAGGAGGCGGAGTGGAAGAGCGGCGAGTGCGAGGAAGAATTATGCAGATCGTGATGATAGCGAAGATGATGAGGAGATGTGGGATGGGGTTGCAGAATGGGAGTACATCCAAGACGACGGAGGAGACGGAGATGCGGGGGAGGAGGAGGATGGGAACGAAGGATCTGACATTGCATCCGAAGACGAGAAAGCGGAACCTGAACCCACCGTCGAAGAAGTTGCATCCAAGCCAACTTCTCCTGAGCCAGAACCCGCTGTGGAAGAAGCTTCATCCAGGTTAACTACTCCCGGATCGACGTCAGAAGAGCAAGAAGAGCAAGAAGTTGAGCCGACACCATCACGATCAACCCGGAAGAAGGCGCCAAAACCAAAACCCAAACCAGGTAAAAAGGCTACGAGTGCAGCCAAACCCGAAGCAACAGCCAAAGTCACGAAGCAGAAAGCCAAGTCTCCAGTCGTATCAAAGGGCAAAGCAAAGGCCCCGGCGAAGCCAGCCACCAGAAGTAGTAGAAGGGCGGCGAGTCAGGCAAAGGATGTTTTCGACATGGATGATGGGTCGGAGTGAATAACTGATTTGAATGATGCATGCATGATTGATATTCCATTGTTGCTCCGGTCCCGTTCTTCAGCATAGCGTCGTCTCATTGTTGCTTGCTTTCACGTCTTGAGTAAAAGTGCATTATAATACCCGATTATTTTAAAGACGGTTCGTTCCAGGATAGGATGTATGGATATTTGAGGATACCGATTAGCATTCCGATGAGTGGCCATGTGGAAGTGTGTAAGAGTTTCCAGCGACAATGAGTATGAGATGGGTGTACTTAGCTGAATGATAACCACGAGCTTTACTGGCGCATTGAAATTTGTGCTTGCATGCGAAGGGATTGATTCATCGGCAGTAGTCATCAGTAGATACCGGACCTCCTCCCCCTACCACTGAGTTTAAAGTACACATTCACATCAAGCAGCAGCACCAAGGATCTCCCATCATCTGGGTTCATCTTATATCCCTATATCCCTAATTTACTACCTATGCAATCTCCCCTTCTATCCCCAATCTTCCTCGATCTCCTGAACCTCTCGATGAATCGGCAGAATACTATAGTATCCTAGTCACGTATGCGCCCTTTGTTTCAACGCCATAATATGCAGTTTTGTACGGCGCCCTGAATGCATGCTGGAGAGAAATAAAAAAAAATCAAAGCGCATGCTTATGCGGGTATTGCAAACAAGCACCTGTAGTCGGCAGGCTTAGTTTCAAGTCTGATTGGGATGACGGTATCATCTGGCCTCCATCTGGTGCATTTGCGAAGGGCAGTCATGTGCTCCAATGGAGTCACGTGTGTGAGCTGGCCGATTCCAGCGAATTGCAATTCGCGATTTGGTCGAAGGGAACATGCTCATCCGCATCTTTTCAACCGGACATCTCCACATCCTCACCGCCCGCATCCTGAGCCTTCACGCTCCCGTCCACCTCTGTCGTGCGCTCTTCAACGGCTGCCTCTGTTTTGGCAGGCTCTGTTGGCGCCTCATCGGAAATGGCAGCAAGCTTGATATCGATAAACGCTCTCAGCGCAAGCAGCGAATTTCGATCCTTCATCGACGAGACCTTGTCCTGTGCGATGTTGGTAGCATCACCCTGGGCAATCAGGGCGAGGACCGCCGGGGGCGCTTCGGCCTGCCAATCATAGTGTTAGCATCGTTCGTTTATCTCCGGAACGCCAGACTGCATCATAACACATGAACTCACCAATAGAGCATCAATCAAAATCTTCGGGTCACCGAGCTCCGGATTTGGAATGGTGAGTGATGCAAGGTTAAGCGCTGCTTGCTGCTCCAACAGCGTACGCTGGTCCCAGCCCACAGTAGCCGGTGCTGGTTTGACGTGCGAGATGCCAGCCGGAGCAAATCCTCCTCGGCCACCAGTCTTGCGGCGAACCCTATTTGCGCTGTTAGTAAATCTCGGGGGTCTTGAGATAGTATGGAGTCCGTACTGTGTAATAAAATCCAGCTTGATGCCCATCTCCGGAAGCTTGTAGACGTGGCCATACTCTCTCTGTTCGTAGAAACCAAGCTCTTCCTCATCATCCGTTGCATCGTTCTCGATCTCGATGTGACCGTTATTCTTGATGCCACGCCTGACTGCTGGCTTGATGGGGGAGGCGCCTTTGATCTTGCGAAAGCGGTGCGCTGGGGCCAGAGCAGCGGGGATCGTGGCCAGGAGGTCATCAATATGGGCTGGACATCTGAAAGGCCTTCCGGGTCCTGGTTCTTTGGCCAGGGGAGTGTCGAGACAGTCAAGATGCCAATAGAGCCCGCAGTAGGTACAGGGAATGATCGCACGATCAGGCGCTGATGCGGCAGCATGGCACTGATGGCAGATGATGGGTTTGCCTTTGCTATCCTTCAAGCGAAAGTAGTCTGGGGCCTCGTCGTATCCTCCACGGTTCCTAGAAGACAGTGAGCACATCCGTCTATATGTAGTATCAGTAGGGGATCTTACTTGGGTTTTGGGGGAACGCCCTCTTCATACTCCCCATCAGGACCGGTTTTGACGTCGACAAAGTATTCACGGATATCTTTTGGCAAATGGAAAGCACTAGGATTCTTCCTCTGGAGGAGGGCGAGAAGGCTGCCGAAGGGCCCCGTCTCTTCGTCCAGTCGTCGCGGGAGACGCGAGGTAAGACAGACGTTGCAAAACCATTCATCAGGGAGAGCATTTTCGTCCATAGGCGGATCCACGCACTTGAAGTGGAAGGAGCGAGTACAGCCGTCACAGCAGACTAAGTCTCCATTCCCGCCACACGACGAACAGTAGTCATCGTTATCCTCCTAGAGATGCCGAGTCAGCATGCAGATTCGAGCGGCAAAGGGAGAGAAATAGCGGGTGCCACGGTGCGTCGGTGGTCATGGCCAAGATTTCTCGGCAAAGAGTGAATGCAGAGCTTTTGACCGGGCGTTTGCACGCGAGGGAGGATAAGCTCAAACCCCTCAATAAGCCAAACCCAAAGCCCGCGGAGGAGGAACCGGGACGGCATTTACCACGATTGTATCATGGGAAGAGTGTGTCATGGGAAGACGAGGGTGAGTGAGAGGATAGTAAATGAGAAAATAGCATACCTGATTATGAGAGAACGCCCCGTTGCTGGTCGGGCTATTTCGTTCACCACTTGCTCTTGGGATTCCAGCAAGAGTACCGCCTTTCTTCTTCATTGGTCTGTAGAGGGGAATCATGTTAGTATGTCGCGAGAGCCAGGCAGTTCAAGAAGCGTCTCGATCAAGATCGCCGAAGGGATGGTTTCGGTCGCACTGTGCGACAAAACCCCACCGTGGGATCCTCCTAGGCAGCAAAACACAGGGTTCTGACGAAGCAAAATGCAAAGTCGTGTTCCCTCGACTAGAGGCACCCTCATGTAGATGAAATAATGAGTCTATACAAAGAAAATAGATAGATAACTTACGATGTCTTGACTCGTAGACCAGTGCCCGTCTTTGCCTTCCTGCTCGGTCGGCTGAGAGCACTCGGAGTTCCAGCACGAGAGACGGAGACTGAACCTGGTGCGAGATCTGGTTGGAATGAGAGTAGGGTTGGGGAGCTGAGGGTGTCGGAATCATAGTTGGCAGCCTGAGACTGCCGGGTTTTCTTATTGAGGAGTCGAATGTTTGTACGTCTCGGTGGAAGAGCAACGACATCGCCCCCATCTGATACAGACTCGACTTCGGGAGGAAGCACTTGATTCCGCTCGAAACTCTCGGGAACAGAGGCAATCTTATTGGTGTTCTCTCTGGCCTTCCTCTTCATGCGAAGAGTCCGCTCTGTCTGTTCACTGTCTTCACTCGGACGACTCGTGACCTTGTTAGACTCCTTCTTTCCCTTGGGCAGTTGCTGACCAGATGCTGATGAAGGAAGAAGGACAGCCGGAGCCATCGCATCGCCCTTGGATGCGGATGGCTGGCGGCGATGCGAGCTGGATTGGCGGGTGTTGATGATGTTATTAGTAGGAGAGGGAAGCGCGGCGGAAGCTGACGAAGGGGAGGTGGACACAGTTGAAAAGGTGTAGGTTTTGGGGCCAGGCTTGTGTGGTACGCTGATTGGTTGTGGCGGGTTTCGCACGCCAGGATGCGTCTCGGCGTTGGCGGAGCGAGACTGGGTATGCGCAGAGGCAGCACCAGAACCAGGCTCGCCGGCCGCCGCCTGAGACACTGCACTCGTGCCATAATCAGTGCTCAACATCTGCTCATCGATAGACGATAAGGCTGATGAGCTTGTGCTCGAGCCAGACCGTGCTCGGCCCACCGAATCTGAAATTCCGTTTTCTTGGGGCGCGGGGGGCTGCTCCGCCTTTACCTTTCCATCCGCACTTGCGTTCCCATTCACCTCCAAAGTCTGAGCCGGCTGGAAATTATTAGACTTGTGCCTCTTACTGAGATGCTCAGCATCTTTCTGAGGCGATGTTGACGCTGACACCGATGAGAGGTTCACTGATGGTCGCCTCCCTTGAGCTTCACTTAGAGATCTCGCGCCCGTAGCAGATCTCGCGGGGGGAGTACTGAATGGCGTTTGATAATTGACAGGTTGGAACTGGGTCGGCCTCGGTGGGGGATCGCTTCCGTCACCGTTGAAATAGTACTCCCCCGTCCTGTCTTTCTTGCCCTCCTTCTTCTTATGCCTCATCACCCCCTGAAACTCTTTCCGCTGCTGCTCATCCGCGCGACCATTATATATTGTATCGATAAGTCGGACCATGCGGGGATTCATCCGGTGGTCATCGTAGAGCGTCCGTAGAGCATACGCCGTAGGCCACCTCCGATTATCCAAAGCTTCCTGAACCGCACTCTCGACCACCCTGTCTGTAATGTCCAAGTCGATCTTGTATTCGCCATTAGGGCCGAACTGCGTCGGTGGCGGAAGGAATGAAGGTATGAACGGCCGCGGCGCGTTGGTAGGTAGAGGTGATTGCTGCAGAGCGAAGACTCCCTGACCCTGGTGTTGCGCAGCTGTACTTGGTCGTGGGACACTCTTGCGCGCACTCGCCGGCGGCAGCTGCGGTGTCTGTTGCTGTGGCGTCTGAGGAGTCGACTCCGCGTTTTCAGCTTTTGCCGATAAAGACCGTCGCCGTACTATGTTCACAGCGGGTTCTGGCGTTGTAATTGCCTCGCTAGGGGTAGAGGCAGAAGAAGCTGCGGATCTCCTCGTGGTGGCGCCACGCGCCGAGTCCATGAACTCACTCTTCGTCGAAGCCTTCAACACCCTCGCGCTCGGTCGCGTACCCAACGGTGCCATGTTCGCGACGACTCCGTGCCTCTCAATACCAGCCTCTGCGAACGAGGGTCGGGGGGGAGCAAGCTGCGGCTCGATCCTTTGCAAGGTCAGCATCTCGCCCGCCCAAAGGTTGCGGGAGACACCTACCACTTATCCAGCATCGTCTTTGGTCTCGCAGCAGAATCTGCCGCTACCTTGGAGGAGTTGGGGGTCCCATTGTGTGGCGCTGCAAAGGGGCTCGAGTACCGGGAACGTGAGGCTCGCTGGGTAGGTTCGCTCATCGTGTCGCCGAGCCGGTGACCGACCTCCTTTTTCTCGATCTGCGACCACGATCCAGCAAATCTGACGACGCGTTAGCTCAGGGGTCCAGTGTGCGGGAGGAGGATCGAGTACTTCTCTGCGGATCAGTCGCATACAATCGATCTACGCTCGTGGTTCTTTGTTCGGAAACGCGTCGGGGACTGGAGGAATGCGAAGGAGAGAGGAAGGTTCAAGGAGAAAGTCTCGCTTGGAGGTCGCTAGTCTCCCCCTTGCGAAGAGCCCACGAGGCTTCCGGTTACCAAGGTATTCGGGCTTGCGGCAACAAGGCAAAAGAAATCTCTGCTGTGGCCCGCACCGGGGCGGTGCTCTATCATGAGAGGAACAATAATAGTAATTAATATCCTGCGATGGTCGTGACGGCGATGGCTCTCCGCAGTCTTGCTCTGATGCCTCCGGGGGGTCAGGGAGGATATCAGGTGCGAGGCGAAGAAAGGGGGCGACGGATTACACGTTACGGGGGCTAGGGGTGTGCGAGTAATGCTTCCGTCACAGATTATTTAAGCTGGGAGACGTTCAACTCGCCCATATGAACATATCAATCGTTCATCAGAATAATGTCACTGGCACTTGGCTTCTCTTTTCATCTCTCTTACCTGGCGATGGCTTTCTTCTGGCGGGGGTCACGAGGTCACAAGAGAATGCTTCTCCTTTTGCATTGCGCGAGCCCCTTGAGGTACTCCATTCACAGGCACACGCCGCAACGGGACGCGACAAGTAGGAACATCACGGTTTTGCTGCAGATCTCTATATTTTGAGATGTTCTAATGCTCGATAATTCCATGCCATGTGCCCCTTCGACGTGTGGTGTCAGTGGAGAAAAGGCCCACGGCCGTTCTGCATTTTTCCCGCTTAACGAGAAGCATCAAATACAGCTCAAGCATCGAACGCACCCGCCCACAGCGGTGTTGCAGCACGAAATCAGTAATCAAATGAGAAGACAAGCATCACCTGCATCAGGCAATACCTTCTCGTCCATCCCAGAGGCCTTCTCGGCCCGCACATCACGTGCTTTACTCGTCGTCACTGCTGTCATCGTCGTCATCAGTCTTCGCCGCAGCCTTCTTGGCCGGCTTCTTCTTCTTCTTGTTCTTAGCCTTCGTCTCCTTAGCCAATGGCCGAGCCAAGATCTCGAGAACTTCCTCGTCCGTAATCTTCTTGTCCGTCTTGAATTTGGACAGATCTGGGCTGGGAGGCGCGGCCAGTCTCTGGAGACCGTTCTTCGTGATGGCTGTAATCACCGTTAGTCCCGAGTGCAAGAGATATAGCCAAGGACCTTACCAATTGTGGTCAGTAATCTCGCAACAGGCTCATGGTCCTTGTCCCCGACCACTTCATACTGCCTGAAAACATTGCCTCGGACGCACTCAACAACCCCAACCTTTGCATCTCTCTCGTCCTCCAGCTGCCGTAAACTAAAGGGGAAAGTACCAAACTTCTTGACCACCTCGTTCAGGATCTTCTTTGAGCTTGGTCTCTTGAGAGCATACGTAAGGGCGGTCCGGCGGTGTAGAGTTGCCCTGTTCTCGTAGTTCTTGATCTTTCCGGAACCAAGACTAACTCCCATCTCCACGCCCCAGACATCGCCAACCTCAGGGACACCCTCACCCTTGGTGCCATCACCCGGAGCAAGGATGATCTTCTTCTTGCCCTCGATCTCGTTGCGCTCAAACAGCCAGCTCGTGGTGTGCTCAACCAAGTTACAATCGTAGCTCTTGACGACCTTCTCTAGCAGACTGGTGATCTTGCTCTGCGACGGCGGCTTCACCTGGGCGGCCTTGGCTTTCTCTTCGTCTGTGCCGGTTGCGAGTAACCCGGGGGGAACCATCAACCGCAGTAAGAGTTCGTTTGCGTAATGAGTTGCCAGGAGAAGGTCAGCATCTCGGCCAGTGATCTCTCCGTTTGCGTTTTTGGCGGATGGGATAATGATCGTATCGCAGACTATCGTTCCAAGACCGTCAATCTGGGCACCCAACTGAATCTTGATTGCCTCTCCTTCCTTCAGCGTGACAGAGGCTTCAGCCTCGTCCGAGGTAAGCGGGGTGTATGGGGTGACGAAGGAGGATGGGGAGACGGTCGTGGGGTGGGCGATTCCTGGGCAGGTTGTCAGTGAAGCACAAGCGCCAACCATACACATGCAGACGCACCCTTTAAGATATTCTTTCCACGGTAGATCTTCGAAAGCTCCTCATCCAAAAGCTTGTCGCCCTTCTCGCAGATGGTCACGATTTTCTCGCCAGCAACGCACAAGTCGGTTACGGCCGCCAAGACCTTTTGGGAAATGGCAGCGGCATTCTTGTACTTGGTGAGGGTATCGGGGTTGTTCAAGGTGTAGTCTAACAGAAGACCTCGTCAGCGCGCGCTCTGGAGCATTGTCGAGCATGTTGTGGTGCTGGATTTGCTCCCTTCGCACAGAATAGCGGGGTCAAAACATCCCACCACGAGTTGAGGGGGGGCTCTCTTACCGATCTCCTCATTTTCCTTCTTGTCTGCCATGTCTGCGGTAGGGGCAAAGGAGTGTAGGAGAAGGTGACGAGTTCGTGAGAAGAAGAGGGGAAGTTTCTGGGGAATTTGTCCGTCGTTGACGTGTATTGTATTCGAGCAGCGTTCTCCAAGTCGATGATGTGTGCGGGCTTCTTCCCTCTTCGCTTGCACGATCCCTGCACGCGGCCCTCGGTGGTCGCTGTCGCTCGCCGTATTCGTCAACTCCACTCTGAGTGCCTGGTATGTCAGGCTTTCAGTTTTACTCTCTCCATGCCTGGTATGTCAGGCTGCCTCTTTTACTTGACCTACCTTAGTAGGTAGCCACTGGGGCCCTCAGTCAGGATCGCGTTGCGCAGATTCGCGACTCCACGACTCCCAACTCCACAGTCCAGAGGCATAGGATCAGATCAGTCCTTCACCCACGACCCCATCACCCTCGATCGACCAGCACCGTGCCTCTCGCCGCATTCTCCTCTTCCACAGCCGTCGCGAATGTGTCCGCGATGGCTCCCGACCAGCCGGCCTCTTCTGAAGCCGACGCCTCAGCCGCGACACCCTCTGTATTGACGCATCGCGAACGAACCAAATCCGACTTCAACAAGATCCTCCTCGAGCACTATGTCACTCGAGATCTGCTACACACATCTGCTATCCTGGATGACCAGGCCCGGAGGGAAGCAACGTATAACCGGATGAGAAGTGAGGCCGAGGATTACAGGAGGGTCCGGACTGAGTATCGCCAGTTCTTCCCTCCCAGTCGTTTATACGGGCAAGGTTACAGTGGCTATGGTAATGGGCACACGGACGGGCCGACGAAACTTGTATATCCTGGCGCGAAACCACGACTCGGGCACAGGAAGACGGCTCGCCTCCGCATCAAGCGCAAAGAGATGCTGCAACAGGCTGAGCAGATCGAAGAATTGGTCCCAGTACGGTTAGATGTCGACTGGGATAAGATCAAGCTTCGAGATACCTTCACCTGGAACCTTCATGACCGCACCGTCCCCCCGGATCTCTTTGCTGCGCAACTCGTGGAGGATCTAGGTTTGCCGCTCCCCATGGCAAATCCTGTACTCGAGCAGGTGCAGCAACAACTCCACGAACAGCTTAACGATTTTTACCCTCCAGTGTATATCGAGGAGACCGCATTAGACCCCGAGCTGCCCTACTCGGCGTACAAAAATGACGAGATGCGCATCATGATCAAACTTAATATCACAATCGGGCCACACACTTTAGAGGATAAGTTCGAATGGGAGATTAACAACCCCCTAAATTCACCAGAGGAGTTTGCCCAGAGCATGACGCGGGAGTTGTCATTATCAGGAGAGTTCACAACGGCTATTGCACATTGCATACGAGAGCAGAGTCAGCTCTTCATCAGGAGTTTGTATGTGGTTGGGCATCCATTCGATGGGAGACCTCTGGAGGATGCGGACTTGGTTTCTGCTTTCTTGCCGTCACCTTTACCATCCGTTTTCCGGCCGCAGCAGCAAGCCAGGGAATTTGCCCCATATTTGTACGAGATGAGCGAAGCCGACTTGGAGAGGAGCGAGGTCATATACTCGCGAGAGCAGCGCAGACAGAAACGCTCTGTAAATAGGAGAGGAGGGCCAACATTACCTGATCTTAAGGACCGGCAGCGAACGGTGCGAACCCTCATCGTGTCCTCTGTTCTCCCAGGAGCTGCGGAGACCATCGAAGAGAGTCGAATATACAAGCGTGTTGGGGGTGCATCTGGGAGAGGGAAGCGTGCCGGCCTTCGCGATGGAGACCTCTCCGAGTCTTCAGAGAGCGAAGACTCTTCCCCAGAATCTCCCGCCATGTCCAATATGGTATCTGGCACGGCAAGGACGAGGGGCATGCGTGGAGCAGCAACTGCGGCACAACAACGGATGGCCAACCTCGGAAGGTCAGAGACGCCGGAATCAACCATTATGCATCACCACGAGACGAGAACATCTGCGAGAAGGCTCGGCCGGGATGCCCGGGAAGAGAGCTTGGATAACCCAACCATGATCGTCAAGTTGAAGATTGGAAAGGAGAAGTTAAGGAAATTCCTTCGGGATCTCAAGTCCGGAAATCACCTACCTAGTTCACAGCAGACTCCATCATATAACCGCTCCCAGTCCGGTTTAGGAACGCCTGCGCCAGGATCTATGGGACCGCCTTCGACACCTAGCCTGCAGAATCAACCAGCTCCCTCGACGACGCCTGCTCCGCAAGGACAGATTGGTGGAATTGAGGCCCCAGCTCCCATTACTCCTGGGCAGCAAACGAATCCACCTGTAAGCTTCCCCAGCAACATTTTTTAACACGATGAATTCAGAAGTTCTTGGAAAGACCGGGATATCTCGCTGTAGTCTTCTAGAGCAGTGATATTGTCCGAGTTACCGAGAATTTTCAGGGCCGCTCCCACTCTGAGCGACGTCTGTGTCATTATATATGATCAAGTGAGACACAGTCAACTTTCCACTATGATCTTGTATTTTCATGCTTACTTCTAGACGTGACAAATTCCTCCTAAGCTAATTATGCCTCCAGCCACCACCACCGGCCTGGCTAACGGCCGGGCTTAACAAACTTCTAAACCATTACCCCAACGATCGCTTCGAAGGCATGATGAAATACTCTGCCGTGAATGCTGCAACAAACGCACCTTGTCAAGCCCCTCCCCCGGGCCAACCCACCCCAGAAGGCGTGAAGTGGATGTATCTGCCCCGGATACGGTGCCATGATTGTCCAGGGAAATTATATACGCCGGGACCTGAGACCACAGTTGGGAATTTTGAGGTGCATTTGAAGAATCGGCAGCATAGGGAGAGGGTTGATAATAGAGTAGCTGCAGCAAATCAGGCAGCGGCAAAGACGTATTGATAATTCTAAGGAGAAGAGGAGGAATCGGCGAAAAGGGGTGTGTATCCTAGATCATGGGCTGAACCAATCGCGATGATGGAGTTCGGATGCGGGAGTATAGGGTAGGGTGCCTGGCTGAATATATTATTTCAATCTGCCGCATGCCGTTGACATTTATCTTGGATTGCTTGATAGGCAGGTGGTGGAGTTGTCTCCTAATAAGTCGATAACGAGAGATCCTCGTAGAGTCATCAGGCTCCGCTACGAGGTAAAAACACTACGAGAACTCGCGACAGTTGCCTACCTGAGAATCCTTCCAAATAGGCATGAATAGCTCCATTCAGAGGCCGCCTTTTTCACATGTGCTAATGGATACGAGCTTGGAGCCAAGATCTTGTCTGAGGCTTTTAATCTCGCCTATGCCGATTTTATGTCAAGTCACATGATGCTGCCTAGGATTTTGCGGGGACTTGCAGAAAGCAGATCTTGGGATTCAAGGTATAAGTAGAGATGCTGAAGACCTCTGAGATCTACTCATTTCTCATCTAATCGAAGTTTTTATATCCTAAAGAAACCTAATCGACATCATACCTGGTTCATTCCCAAGGTATATGTGTCAAGTTCCCTCATTTATTTCACTCATTTATTTCACAATGCCTTTACTCAGACTCGCTCCCCTATTCTCTCTCGTCGTCTCTGCTCTCGCGGTCCCAAACGTGACCGTCGTCCCCCTTACAGGCGGCTGCTCCGACTACCCCAGCTACGACGCCTCGACCGGCCTCTCCACACAGTTCCTCCTTACCCTCAACAGCTGTGACAACAGCACTATTGAAGGCTATGGCGATACTTGTCAAGTCATCCGCCGCTCAGGGGACACTGGGATCCATGAAGGACGAGTATTTGCTCCCCCACCTCCCCACCCCCGCCTTCACACAACCCTATCCATGTAGCATCTCCTAACACAAGTCAGATCTCAATCGCCACCAACAACCAGATTGCAAAGACAGCATTCCGGTGCAACAGCGCCCTGGGCCCTGGGGTTCTTGAAGCATTGACCCCCACCGGAGTCTCAGGCTACGCGTACAACCAGGTGAACCTGACCTACTACCCGTATGATGCCGAGCTTGGGTGGGGGTTCGGGCAGTACAGCAATCCCGTCTCCGCGTTTGCTCACTTTGATGAGGATGGGAACCGGATCGACGGGGTGTTCTTAGGGCGGGATAATTATACGACCTGGGGCGTCAAGTGGTATCCGGCGGATAGTGGGAGTGTGGATGGAAACCCGTACTGGGGACTGCGGTTGTTGGGCGCGGATAGTGCAGTCCCGGGGACGAATGGGAGTGCATTGTATGAGGGAGAGTACCGGACGTTCTTGAAGGTTTCGGTTTAGATGGGTGCGGCGGGATGAGTGTCGAGGCAATGGATGGATGCGGGAGAGTGGCTGGTGTCTGACAGCTTGTTCATTCTATGATCAAAAGATGAAGTTTAAGTCCCTGCAAGCAATGGGTATATTTCGGGGTCCTTTGTGTCTCTAGAGAGGAATACATTCGACTCCAGACACCTGAACAACCAGAAGCTCGCCAGAGACCGGCAATTATGATAGTCGCACCAGAGATGAGGCGAGGATTTGTGAACCGGAGTAATGCAATAACAACAAGGACAAGCAAAAGTGGTTATACCGCCAACCCCATACTCCTAAGACGTGCGCTCAATATCGAACTGCTTATGGAGCAGTTCACGGAAGGAAACATCTATAGTGTAGAACTCGTCTGCTGGATCGCCTAGGTTCTCCAAGAAGGCCCAGTCATCGGCTGAAATCAGACTTTTCCCAGAGGCCTCGGCTTGATATGCCGCTTCTGTCTGAGACTGCCAGGAGGCTCCCGGCTCGCCATAGTTATAAGAGCGCGAATTTCGACTGTCGGCTTGGTGGTTTCCATTTCCTAGTGGCTGTCTGAGATCTGTGGAGGGGTCAGCAGAGGCATTTTTTAGGTCAGGCACGTGCTTACCCTTTGAGAGAGTCTCTTGGAAGATACCGGCATTTTTCCAGCTCTTCCCTAGTATCGCGAGCCATCGCACACAAAGCTGGATAAGTCTCCGTGCCTCGGGGTCTTCCCCGCCAGCATGCTCGACCGAGTACGACAGAGTACTTGCAGAAGTGAAGATCGGGAATATCATATCACACGACAACATGGGAAGGTTGTTCGAGTACCTTTCCAGGATTGAGCAAATGTTTTTAGCTGCCATAACACAGAGCTGGAGAGGACAGCTAGAAGCACCACTTTTCACCCAGTGCGGAATAAAGGGCCTGTGAAGCAAAATAGTAATGCACCACATCCACTGTGATGGTTAGCAAGATGTCATGCGGTCGATTTGACGTGGGGTACATACCACCATATTTGTAATAGTTACTGGTGGGGCTGGCGCGGTACTATTCATGTCCAGTTTCAACGGAGACGAATCCAGCATCAGATGATAATCTTTCAATTCCTGCCACAACCTCATCCTGGCTTCTTCTCCAGCTTTCAAGTTCTCACGAACTATAGCTCGACCAGCCACAGAGTATATCTCCCGTAAGACCTTCTCCATGATCTTCGTCAGTTGGACAGTGGTGTGGAATCCAGAGATTGTATGCGTCTTGACCGACACCGGTCCGCTTTGGCTAGATGTTGTCAGAGATAATAACTGATACTCATCAGATTCGGAAGCAGAAGGATACGACGTGTCCGTTTCCTCCGCCCTGAGGAGTACCGGACGGGCTAATTCACATGCCATCATCTTCTCTAGGACAAAGATATTCCACCACAGGCGGGAACGGACTTGGTTATCAATGGAAGCCGAGTCGGATTTTACTTCTCTGTGCAGACGCAATTCAATTGCCATCCCAGCTGCCAGGCTGCACAGGAGAGCTGCTGATTCGGACTCGGCTACCCCATGCTGCTGAAGCGCGAGTATGGTTAGCGCCTGACAGGCCTCGATCGATGGTTTGAGGAATTTCAGAGGGTGGAACCCATTCCCGGTATGATCATTGCCAAGGGCTAACAGTGCCGCCTGGAACAACAGCGACGGTGGGGGCAGGAGTCGATCAGGAACTCGTTTGTTGCTGAGATCATCCACGGGCTGGACGCAGGCAGCTATCGAATATATCGCATACAGCAGCTGTTGGGGTATCGTATCCAGTAGGCGTTGATGATCTAGCATATCATACACAGGTTTGTAAAGTAGAGGCCAGATGGGATGGATGGTATCGAAGTAGGCTTTGAAAAGCCGAGCCGAGATATCACGAGGGATCTCGGGAAGGGCAGTTGGTGCCGTTCTATTTGGTACAGTCCGGATTCCAATTGGAGCTGGGCTATAGTTGCCAAGATTATTACTATAAGTCTCGTGATTTTGTGATCTCGAGCTCATGGCTGCATTGTGGTTTTCCAAATCATGGTTGGGAGGTGTTGATCTTATACTCGGAGAACCCCGTTGTACAGGCCCAGATACGGTGTCCTGCAAGCTTGAAGTCGTTCTCCTTTCTCTGTCTGCGGATCAGCTCAATGAACTGGCCGATGGCTCTGACCCGGGAAGTCAGAACACTCACCTCTTGTTCCGCTTGGAAACTGAATATGTGCAGTCCTGGACGCCTCTCTGGCGGCACTGTCCACATGCCGGGAGACCTCCGTCACACTAAGAAACAATCAGTATACAGCGAGACGCAGGGATACGGAATAGTACCTTGGTCTTCCTCCGACTGCATGGCACGCAGGCCTGGGATACACGTTTACGCGGGCGAATGCTGGACATGTCGGAATCGTCCATCGCAGATCAGTGGGGGGTACGGTCAGGACTGGATATGAGATGGATATATCCGACCGGCTGATTCTCACGATTCGAAGAGGGTACGTCCAGCTTTCGGGGACGAGGGCGGGAGAGGTATATTTGCAGGTCAGCGGGCGTGGGCGGTTAAGTGTCACGCACATGCTGATAGCCGGGATAGCCGACAAATAGACGCTCGCCGCTTTACCGACCCGGCCCGAGGAAACAATATCGATTCCGGGAATCTGATTGGATACCCCGCTGCTCTCGTGTGTCGCCCAACGCCGGCAGCCTTTGTAACCCCGGTCTTTACTTAAGATAGATCCAATAGCCGGAAGCGACTCCGATCTCTACGGAGGGAGACGGTAGACCACTGCTTGCATTCCCGTATCAGACTATTTCGACTGCAAAACAATCACACTCTACCTACAAAGCTCCTATTATTTGGCCGATGTCTATAGTTGATGAAGTGAAAGATAGGATAGTTGTCCGCATAACCCAGAAGCAAACACCTAGAACCCGCGTTCTTCCAACCAGTCATGGACAGCCGAAAATCCCGTCCAAACATTCAAATGAAGCTGCCAGCAATGGCCTGCCTCTGGCACCGCCCACCATTTATAGTTTCCCGGGCAGGAAGTATTCGCTCTTTTGTCGCCCGGGGGGGGGGGGGGGGGCTGGAATTGCTTGGGCTAGAGCCTGGGGGATTGTGGGAGTGAGCAGGAGGGGCTCCTGGCACTGACAGGAGCACTTTATCCTGTCGTCGTCACCACTATTCCTAGTCTCTTGTACTCACTTGCTACTGAAGCCAGACTGAGAGTTATGAGGCCCGTTACTCCTTTCCGAATACTAGTGGTCCCACGGCGAGAATAATCATATGCTATGAACGCCGGCTCAGGATTCCCGAGGTATCAAAGGGCCTAAAGGCATAGCTAGTCCCAGACGGCGAGGACTCTTTCAGATACCCAAGTGGTAATCCTCCGAACTTATTTGGCTTTTTCAAATCAGCCCGTGGGGCGCCGAGGGAAGCCTTCGAACGTATGAGTCGGAGGAGCTCGTGGATTATAGCGACGTGCGCTGGGATCTGAACGAGGAGGATCCGGATGTGAAAAGGCACCAGATCCGAGATGGTCAATTGAGAAGGTCGGGTCACCAAGGGAAGAAGCATAAAAATCCAGCTATATCTGGAGCGTTGTAGTCTGTACCTGGTGACCGATCACCGAACCCTATCCCTATCAGCTAGGGGAACAGAGTAGGGAGTGAATTGAATCTGGGCGACATTATGAAGAAAGGAAAGGGTAGTTTTAGGCCCATACAATAAGTGCGGCCATAGGTGGCTCCGTGAGACAGAAACTGTAGAGTCTTCTTATGAGACGGGAATCGGGATAGAAACTTCGAGTTCACAGTATGTGCCCGCGATATTGTAAGTTCCACTGATAGGATGCGAAATCCAAGAGGGGTCCCTAGGATTGACTCGACGTTGAGCGATAATTCAGCCTTCAGGAGGGAGTAAAGCATTGTTGCCGGTTATTGTAACAAGGATGACTATATCAGTGCAATTTGGTCCACGAGGTCTAGACAAGCTGGTTGCAGGAAGATAGGTGGAAAGGACTAAGAAACCCAGGCTAATAATGCCGAACCTGTTGTCTCAGAAGATGTCTCGGGGTGCGGAAGAGGGTTCTCTTGGTGTTAGATACCTATCTGACTCTGTGCTAGTTCGTGATAGTTGTAAACCCAAGCTACAGTAGGCGCTATAAAGGAGCCTTCGAGTAACAAAAGACCACATGTCAAAGTTAGTGAGACCCCTGATTCTCATACAATGTAAACTGACAAGCTTCAAACCTCGAATCCAAAGGGTGTCAAAATGCTCCTTTAGTTCAAGGCCCTAAGGTCGGTGATGCATAAAGATCAGGGCTTTTGCATAGTCTCAATTCTGTACGTACCTGATTCGTAGCAGGACCTTGTTGCGCTTGTACTCAGATACCACAACCGGTGTCTAGAGTCTCCTTGCTTGTTCTTTGGACATATCGATAGTGGAAATTTTAGAGCCGTATTTATAAATGCGTATACTACCTAGGAAACGAGGGTTTAGTGCTCTAAGGCATCTGCTGTTGTGAGATAATTAAAGGTCAGGTATCGCGGGGCCATGCATGCCGCACTTGAAGGCGGTCGAGGTAAGGTCGCACCTGGGCGCTGTGCTTCGTACCACAAATATTCTCCCTTGCTTTTCTCATTTACAATTCGAAATTGCAAAATGCAAATGTGCGGTATACGATTCAAAAACGGATGAAGAGGGGTGGATCCTAGCGTCTTTCCCTTGATTTGGAGACGAACTGAAGTCAAAGAGAATATAGTAATTCAACAGAAAAGATTCGATGGGAGCACGTGTCACGGCTTTGGTCAAATAATAGATCGATAAAGGCGTTTGAAGATACGTAAAGATTTGATCGAAATTGAAAAGATAGCAGAATATGGTCTCTTTCACATCATTATTCGCAAGGATAAAGCCCTTTTGCGGGTTTCGTCTCAAAGAACGTGTCTGGTAACTCCCACTCGGGATTCTCTCGTAGCATTGCTTGTTTAGAATCCGTCACAACATCATATCCAAAATTATACTTGAAAAACTCCTCGGGAGTTTCTATCCCCGCACTATCAGTGACGTACATTTAGAATATATGGGCGGGGTAACTTACTCGGAATACTGTCTGCGGGTATGAACTTTCTTACTTCTGCGTACATCTTTTCTGGCTCGTCTTGCCCAGCATTGCTAAATATGGTTATGACGCTTGCTCTGTTCATTCTTATTTTTTCATAGAGCTGAATCCTTTGGTCGAAAACCTCAGGGGTGCAGTCCATCAAACTAATGCCCAAGGCCAGTGCGTCTTCGATTGCCTGGCAACCACCTTGGCCTTGGTCTTTTGGGATTAATATTCTGACAGTTGGGTTTGAAGAGGAAACCTTACGTGGAAGCATAGGGTGTGCAGCATCTCCAACTAGAACTAGCTTGCCTTTGCGCCATGAAGGAAGGGGTGCGCGGTAGAGGAGGGGCCATTGTTTGACATCTGTTGCTTTCCTGTTGTGGAAGTATCAGAATTTTTATCTTGTTTGTGAAACAGAGATCAAATTTACTTGAGTACTGCCAGAACGGAAGTATGAAAATCCGAGTAGCGCTCAAGGAGGGCGGATGGATCTACAGCAGTTTGCCAATCTACCGATAGAGTCAGCCATGTGCTTGCTCAAATTCGAAAAGGACTTGCCTTCATGATCCACCTGCTCGTCACTGTGGAAGATCCCCACAAAGTTATATATTTCATTGCTGACTTGGCTCAGCTCTTGTCTTTTCAATGCCTTGCATACTTACTTCCGACATGGATACCACACCAATCGTTTTCCGTCTCCCACAGCCATGGTTATTCGGCCGTCACCATCTTGAATAAATTGAGCAGTCTCCGGGTCATCCGCAATGTCTTTTGAGGGAATCAAGAAGCGATATGCGAAGTTATAATTCGTGGTTGGTAGAGCGGGGTTCGGAGCTCCAAGTATGGCTTCCACCGCACGGGAATGGACGCCATCTGCTGCAATAACCAAGTCTCCTGTAATAGACTTGCCATCTTTGAAGTAGATAGTACCGGTTTCGGGGTCCTTTCAGATGCATAAGTTCCTATATCAAGACCAAGCCTTGAACTGAAGCTGCTAAATTGCACATACATATTTCGTCACTTCAGACTTGAGATGAACCTCTGCAGGTCTTCCTTCTCCCCCCTTCTGAGTTGCTAGGCGCTTTAACTCTTCGTGCAAATCAACACGATGTGCCAGGTACCAAGGTGCTCCAAACTTGGAGGTTATGTACGACTCATCGGTCTCATGAAACTTTTCCAGAGTTGAGCCGTGGGCCCGGAATGTGCTGTTACATGTCACAAAGCGTGCCTTTACAGGATCCAGACCCCACGCCAGAAGTCCACGGGAAGCGTTGGGACATACGTGGATGGCGGCGCCGAGCTCGTTATTCAGCGATGATCGCTCGTAGATCTGGACAATGTGGCCAGCACGACGGCAGGAAATGGCAGCACTGAAACCAGCGATACCTGCTCCTACAATCAATACATTAAGAGGCGAGGGGCTGGCGGAAGGCATGCTTGAAGATTGGAGGAGAGAGGATCAAAGTCAGAAACTTCCGACTGCTTGCTCAGTGTAGCCGAACTTGGTGCTACTTGGTACTGCATCTGAGCGAGGTACACCGTCCCATGGTCTTTATATCAGCGTCTAGACCGCAGTGAGATTGATACACCGTTTCCCAGCCCCAGAGGCTTATGCGGGATCTAGTCCGTAGAGAGTGTCGGGACTCGGAAGACCCAGGGTCACTCCGCGAGTCGCGAGAAAGCAGATTCCCGATCACCGCGGTCTAGATCTCGGGCGGCTCGTTCAAGCGCGGGTATTAATAAGCGACCCCTATCCATCCACGAAATGTGTCTCGCGCTTCACTCGTGTCTCTTCTTGTGTCAGTATGTCAAGTATGAGAAGACCCTTTTTCTTCGCATGACTTACAACGATGCCCTTGACACCGTATAACCTCATCCTCGAAGACTGGCCTGCCAAGCACCGTTTCTGCCGGACGTCGGACGCCCCCACGTCTGTGTCCGCTGCAATGACCGGTAATCTTTCCTATATCGAGGACCCTTCATTGACATTGATTCAGTATGTCTGGGTCAATAAGCCATCCTCTCGAGCATGTGCATCGTCACGATTCTTGCAAAACTCAACCAATAATAACCCAACTATGTTTACGTCTCGAGCGCAGTGTTCGATGGAAGTTGGAACATGACTTCGTAGCACGTTGCTTCCGGGTCTTCCTCTGAGAAACCCCCTATTGTCCTACTCTTTCTTATATTCCTCTTTTATTCCCATGTTGTGCACCTATCTTTCACGCCGAGCTCGAGATAAACCCTGCTCGTCTCTTCTCCCTCGCACAGCTCTTTAGTCCACATCATGCAGAAAAGTCAAGCGACGGAGGTGATTGAGGAACAGAAGCCCGAAGTGGTAAGATCGGAGAAGGAGTTAGGGTCCCCGAACGCAGATAAAGTGTCCATCCGGGAAGACGAGGCGGAACCCGTCCCTCATCTACACGCGAAGACCTTCCTGACCCTCTTCGCTATCTGCCTAATCTGCTTTGCTGAAGTTATCAATGTCGTCGGTGCAGGTTCTGTGAGTAACACCTGGGTGTATGGATCGAGATACCTTCTAACTTGAACGATATAGCGCGCCCGAGACATCGCAATCGTTGTGGGCGGCTCATCTAACACTGTGTGGCTCACGTCTTCAGTCACTATCCTTACCGTTGTGCTCAGCCCACCTGTGTCACAAGCTTCGGATTATTGGGGCCGAAGATGGTTTCTGATTGTCTTGACTCTCTGTGGCTCTGTCGGCTCGGTAATCGTTGCTCGCGCAAAATCTATGAGAATGGCTATTGCGGGCGAGGTAGTGACAGGGTTGTCATACGGCGCGCAGCCACTGCTACACGCTATAAGCTCAGAAGTCCTACCACGAAAGTATAGACCATATGGACAAGCTCTTGATAACCTGGCTGGGGCGCTGAGTGGGTTGACAGCAATCTTGGTCGGAGGAGCCATGACACGGCATGGGAATCACGCAGGCTTTCGCAATTATTGGTACATGTCGACCGCTTTCTACACCATCGCAGCAGTCATCTGTTTCTTGCTCTACAACCCTCCTGTTAGGGAGTCGCAGATGGGGCTCACCAATTGGGAAAAGATACGCAAGCTCGATTGGATTGGTTATGCACTCCTTGCCACAGGCCTCGTCCTGTTCTGTATGGGACTAGTTTGGTCACAGAATCCGTACCCATGGACCAATGCCCATGTTTTGGCGCCCTTCCTGATCGGAGTTGTCCTGATTGCCTGCCTTGTACTATATGAGACGAGGTTCAAGAAGGATGGTATGTTCCACCACGGCCTATTCTCTCGGGGGTGGAACTTTGTCATCGCGCTCATATGTCTGTTTGCTGAAGGTTTAGCCTTCTTCGCCGCGAACAACTACTTCTCTTACGAACTGATTGTCCTTTACAACACGGATCCGCTGACGACCGGCGTCCGATATGGCATCAGTTCCATGGTGTACGCAGTAGTGACCTGTCTAGCAGGCGCCTTCTGCTCCATTACGAAGAGAATTCGTTACCCCACAGCCCTTGCCTTCAGCTTTACGACCACCTTCTTCATATGCATGGCTACAGCAACCCCCGGATCATCGACGGCAGTGTGGGCGTATCCAGTCTTCCTCGGTATGGGGCTTGGCATCTGTCTCTGCGCTCTTGTGACCGTCGCTCAGCTCAGCACCACCCCGGAACTCATTGCCATCGCAAGCGGTTTGACGATTTCCGTCCGATCATTTGGTGGCTCTGTGGGCCTAGCAGTCTGTAAGTGACGTCCCGTCTCTCTAGGAAGACAAGCTAATTCCTTTTCACAGTTAACGCAATCTACACATCCAAGTACGGCGGCAGCATAAGCCCCAAGATCGCCGCAGCTGCTCTGCCTCTTGGGCTGCCTTCCACTTCCCTACCGGCGTTGATAGAGGGCCTCACCTCTGCCAACTCCACTGCTATTGCAGCGGTTCCTGGAATCACACCTGAGATTATAAGCGCGGCTACCGGAGGTCTACTAGAAGCTCACGCTATAGGATTCAGATATGTTTGGGTCACGGCCGGATGTTTCTCAGCCACTGCAGCAATTTGTAGGGTCCCCCCCAATTAAACCTCTTTTTCCTAGCGTCGAAAGAAGGATCACAGGTGCTGTTTACATTTTCTCAAAAGCTTCAACTGACAAGTTTACCTCCCAGGCGCCCTCTTCTTAGTTGACCCAACCAAAGAGTTCAACATGCACATCGACGCTCCAGCAGAGAACGAGAAGGAATTATTCTCCTGAGCTGTGGATTCCATCCGCTTCCCTCCCGCCAGGGACATATATATATACACACCTGTCCTAGATCGTATCAGCATGCAGGACCATCAGCCATCTCTACACACCTGCTTTGAGCAACCACTTCTTCTGAATCCGGCAACAGCTCACGAATCAATCATGCACATTTAGAAGCAGTCTGTGAAGTCCAACGATGCATTCCAATATATACAAAGCAACGATCAACAGTGTCCCCTCCATCTTCTATTTACACTCCTGAGTAGCCCTCATCTAACATGCAACGCCGCCCGCCAAAGGACCAACCCCGATGAAACAAGTATGGGACTTGAAAATTTGAAGGATAGAAAAGTCCGGCGAGATTCAAGACTATTTGGCTTTTGCTTCTTTATGTGGGGAAAGTTGGGAGGGGCGGGATAGCTATGGGTTTGCTTTGCTTGATGTTAAGAAAAAAGGGGGAGATGCAGATGGAGATCGAGGTCGACATGGAAATGGAAATGTCGGGGAGGCGCAGAGTTCCACGGGCTGCTTACATCACGTACCTACCTAGCTTTCTAGCAGTACCAGCCAGGCAAATGTGAATTATGAAGTCGTTGAACCTAGGACGCGAGAACTGCATTGGTTCTGCGAATCGTGGTTTAAACGCTCGTCTCATGAAGGCACAACCGGTTTAAACTATTCGAATTTCGAAGATTCCGGGGTACCTACACTACAGCCTCACATCATAACCCCCTCCCCCTCCCCCCCTTCTTATACCCCAGATATCACATCACATCAACCAAACTATATCAAAAAGGCGCAATAGGGATCTGGAAATATAAATATGGTAAAAAAATAAAACAGGATCTGCCGTCTTTCGACGCGGTGTATCTGTCTATCTGAATCTATCCATCTATTCATACATCTCTTTCTTTTTTTCTTTCTCTTTCTTCTTTCTTTCTCTGTCCAAAAAAATCAATCAAATAAACAAACAAGCAAGCAAGCAACTCGCCTCTACCAATACGACGAGATCCCTCAACGCCTCCCCTGATGAATCCTCGCACGTGCACGTGCAGTACATCCGCATACGGTCTCCCACTCAAAAACGGGATTCCTTGACCGCGATACAACGCAAGTAAGGAAGCGGCTACGCCTCTGCCAGCAGAGGCAGGTTCGCGCGCAGCTGCGCAGATTGCGACAACCGCCTTGCGCCTGAGGACATGGCCGTAGCCCTGACACTCGGCGCCTTCTCCTCCGACTTCTCCTCCGCCTTCTCAGGAATCTTATCCACGAGGTTTCTCGGCTTCGCTTCGCCCTTGCGAGCGTACAGGTTGCGGAACATGAAGACGCCGCTGCCCTCGGCGCCCTCGGTCTCCTCGACGAACATGCAGGTGCGCTGGTTGCGCCAGAAGGCGGTCCAGAAGGGGGTCTTCGTGTCGGCCCTGTAGTGCGAGCCCATGACCTTCTTGATGTGAACGGAGGCTTCGGCAGCGTGGTAGAAGGGGATGGTGGAGACGAGGTGGTGGCAGACGTGCGTGCCGATGATGTCGTGGAAGAAGTGGGTGTCGAGGAAACCTAGGTCTCGGTCAATGGTTGCGGTTGCGCCGCGGGCGAACGTCCAGGTCTTGTTGTTGTAGTGCGGCATAGTAGCATCGGTGTGCTGGAGGAAGGTTATTGCAACTTTGCCATATCTGTCAGTACGTCTCCAAGCTGGCCGAGGTTAGGAACTCACCAATCCAGTTGTTAACCCACAACCACGGAATACCCCAGAGCACAATCACATTCAGACTTCCAAAGACCTGTCCTGCCCACACGAGTGCGGCGATCATAACCGCAACGCCGAGATCGCTCAGAGCGATTAACGGAAGCTCTCTCTTTTTATAGAACACACTGTCCTCGCCGAAGTAGAAATGAGTGATTCTCAACCCCTTCGCACCGTCATAATCCTGGCCCGTCAAGTTGAAGAGCAGGTATCCCGGCCAGCCAAAGAACTGATGTATGAAACAGAACCACAGCGTCGCAATCGGGGAATCCTCCGCCAGCTCAGCGAACTCGATCATGTTCTCACGGGCCTTCTCCCCGAAGTTGCGCTGAAGCCAGCTGTGTCTCGTATGGGGGACGAAAGCGGTATCCTTCTCAAGATTGCCTGTCCCTTTATGGTGCTGGGAGTGCGAGAGGCGCCACGAGTGGAAGGGGACGAGAAGGAAGGAGTGCATGATCAGGCCCATGGTCCAGTTCAGCTTCTTGGACTTGGAGAAGGCACCGTGGCCACACTCGTGCGCCAGGATCCAGATGCCGGTGAAAACAAAGCCTTGCACCGTTGTGTAGGCCACCCACGCAGCCGCGCGAAGGTATATGTTTGGTAGGAGAGGGATGTATGTGACTGCGAGGTAGATCAGGGTCGAGGCATAGAAGAAATCGCGGAAGACGTATGCCATGGACCTGAGGGTGGAGGGCTGGTAGCAGTGCTTCGGAATGGCAGCGTGGATGTCCTTCATGGTGTAGGTGGGCAATTCGAAGACATTTCCGTTCAAGTCGATGTGTTTGTACTGGGACTCGTGCTTCTCGCCATCAGCAGAGGCTGCCATCTTTGCAGTGGACTCTTCGATCGGGCTTCTGTTGGTACCGGATCTCATGTTGCTGATGGTAGTCCCAAGAGAGGGAAAAATAAACTGATCAAAAAAGAGCAAAGAGAAAAGAGGAAAGAGAAAAGAGAAAAGATGGAGAGAGAGAGAAAAAGAGGGAGAAAGGGGCCCCGGGGAGCTATAATCTATCTAGTTTTCTTCGCGTCCCGACCCATGCTCCATATTTTAAAATCCTCAACCAATCTGCCTGAGAAGGGCCGTGCGATCTGCCGCTTTCTGCGCGGCTTTGATCTCCTCCGCATTTTGTTTGTCTTTTGACATGTGCGGTGTCTTCTGTTGGAACTGCGAGGAGAGAGTGGAACGTTGTGCTGGGCGATGTCTGATTTGATGTCTGCGCGAGGGCGTGGTGATTAGTGCGCGTATGGCAAGTCGCGAATGGATCAATCAGCCTCTTCACGGTCGTCCTCAGTTCCGCATGGCAAAGGCGTGCTCTTGTCTGTGCCTGTTTCTTTTCTTTCTGTCAGCTTATTCCTGTGTTCATTGTGCTTATTATTGTCCAGGAGAGCAGGGTGCTGACAGCTGCACATGCAAAATCCTTCCACACGGCCGAGCAGTAATAAATTGGTAGGTCGATCGCAGCGTTCGCAGCTCACATAGCCTCATAGTCCAGACCAACTATGCATGAAGGGTCTTGGACCACCTTTTACCTGGATTGCTGAGCGATGGGATTGGTTCAGGGAGTTGTCGTTCGTTCGTTCGTTGGAACTTGAACTCCAACGACCACACCGCCGGACCCTGGACCAACGTTAGCGACGTACAGGGCTCCCCGGCCTAGAAGTTCTGGAACTGTGGCACAGTGGTAACAAGTCGTGTCGCGACTCAGGACGCGCGATTCAGGAGACGGGTGAAGGTTTAAGGGTGTGAAGGGTGAAGGGAAGAGGGAAAAGGGAAGAGAACAAGACTGGAAGAAGAGAAGAAAATAATGGGAAAGGAGGTTAATATTGGTAAATATTGTACACAATATGATTCAAGTCTATTTAAAATATTCTCAGGTAGCCATCCATAAGCCATCATCTATCGTCAAACACTGATTCAACAGTTCCTGTCCAAACTCGTTGAATCGCTCCAGATCGATTATGGGCTGGCCTCTCTCTGTAAACCCACTTTTTAACTTAAAACATGAGGAGGACCTCCCCAGATCTCGCAGCTGACTTCCCGGGTCTTCAGCTCTCAGCCAAAACCCGAGACCATACACATCCAAGAGCACCATAATAGACACCCCATCCATGCCCCGGAAACATATACATGAACGTTTGGATTCCCGCAGAGATCTGGAGATGGTGCCAGCCGTAAGAAACCCACCCCACAGATCATTCCATCGTGTCCCACGCCAAGATCGGCCCATAAATTTGTCCCGGCCTCAGAACTCCTTTTATTTGTGAATTTTTATTTAGTTTATCTCTGATTCAACGGCCAACAACCCACATTCATACACCTAACCGACCAAGGTAAATGCCGTCTGCAAAGTATGCGTCGACATGAACTTGGTTAGATCCAGCGGCCTCGGGGATTATCATCTCTGCAGATCGTTAGTGTCATATGATGCTACCGATCTTGATCAACGTACTCGTCCCCGGCGGCCATTTACCTGCTGCTCTTGTTGCATATAGCCATTGCCGAGGCTGATGCCCGGTATTTGCCCGGCACCCATTCCATTAATGCCGTACCCATAGCCAATGCCCATTCCGAGGTTTCCAAATCCCGGTGGGGCACCGAAGCCTTGTCCAAGAAGGGTTGCAGAACTCATCTGTTGCGGTGGCTGGATCGGACTCGAGTTCATGCCTTGGTTTCGGAAATGGTCCGCAGAAGGCGTAGCAAACCCGGATTGCATACTTGGGTAAAAGTTGTTCATAGGAGGCGCAGCGCGCGAGAGGAGCGACTGCTGATACTGCAACTGTTGGAGATTAATGGGTTGGATGGTACCCGGAGTAAACATAGGGTTTGCCAGCCCGTAAGCAGCATTCTGGGTGTAAGTTCCGAGATTAGAGTCGATACTATCGGTGCGTTGCATACCCAAACCCATATCAAAGCCCGGTTGCATCTGGCCATAGAACTGGTTCCCATATTGAGCAGGGATCTGAGCGTTGACCTGGCTGTGATTCGAGCCAGGCCGTGGACGCTCTTTGGAGTGTGAGTTCTCACGGTTTGGTCCAGTGCTGCCTTGGCGGGTCGAGAGTCCAACCTCATCCATGAGGCGCTTGTATCCTTGCGAGGGTTGCGCCTTGATTTGTTGAAGAACGAGGCGGACGTTTTCGACAACTGAGGGCCTGATACTCTCATCGAAGAAGGGGGTGGTAAGAACCTTAAAGATCAGCGTTGCACCACAAGCATGGTCGGACAGGATGGCTTCAAGGGTAGCGTGGTTAGGGGAGAAGAAGAGAGCTTGGAGGATGGTGTCGCGGGCCTCGGGCTCAAGCCTCTGGTTGATGACCTTAAGAACGGTAAGGTATGCCACCTTGTGCGTGCATAGGTGGACGAGGTGCGGAACAAGCTGAGGAGCAAGTACTGTACGACGTTGAGGGAAGGTGCAGGTATCAAGGAACCAGGTGAGGAGTAGAGCTCCATTTGCGTTGGTAGCCAGCTGGACACTGTGCAGAGCGATGGCTGCAGCAAGCATGCGTTGCTGGTCCTTTGTGGCGTGGTGGCTCTCGAGACAGGCTCGCATCGCTCTGGCTCCGTAGCGGCCTTGGGCAATCTCCCACATCTGGCTTAACATGGCCTCGAAGATAAAGTCGTTGAATGGTGAGCCAAACTTCAAGCAGCACTGCAAAACGTAGTTGCCGTACTGGTCAAGGAATAACGGGACCGTGTACGGCTGGAGATTCGCAACGATCATGCCCATCTGCTTCGGGGTCTTGCAGACGTCGATGATCTTCTGAGCGGCCCAGGTACCATTCTTGTGGACACCAATCTCCGCCATATGAGGGGCAATCTCGGTCAGCATGTTATCCCTCATATCGTCTGAGCAGTGTTCGAACAACTTCTGCACGACAGTGTTTCCGAGATAATCGGAAGAGAGTTCGGCAACCTCGCTCAACATATCAGCGGCGATGCCCTCAATCTCGGCAGCTGACCAGCTCTGGTTGTCGATTCGCTTCCTGATATCCCGGAGCTTGGGGGCGTCATGAATTCTGTTGTGGGCCGGCTCTGGAATTGGTGGGATCTCCGACTCGAATTGGTCGTAGGTGATGGCCTGTTGTAGACTGTGCGAGATCTTGATTTTGTCGTCCTTAGTAGCACCGAATTCTCCAACGATGTCGAGAATATCCGATTTCATGTCTGCAAGCGACGGGATCTTCAGCGCCGCAGTACCTGGTCGTGAGATAACTCCCGGGGAATTTCCATTTAGCCCCAGTCCATTCATCCCACTCTCCTGGCCCTTGGCGAATGGATCCGGACTTGGGGAAGGGAACGCCCCGTTGTCAGGACCCGGGGTGCCTGACGGGGAAGGAGGCTTGGCAAAGTTAATCCGGACGGGTCCGGCACCAGGGAAGATCTCCTTCCCGTTCATCATGGCTTTGGCAGAAATGGCGCTCTCCAACCGCTCAAAGTTCACAAAGCCGCAGTTCTTGTGGGTGAGAACACGAGCAGAGATGATAGGCCCATGGGACTTGAACATCTCTGTCAAAGTCGAGACAGTGGTAGACGATGGGATGCTGCCGAGCCACAGTGCTCGGGTGGGGCCCTCCAGATTATCATCTGGATTCAGCATACCATCGTTCCTGCTGTTGGATCGACCCAGGTTCATAGCGGCAACGGATTCTGGCAGGCCCTCGTACTCTGGTGACTCGCACAGATTCAAATCTGCAGCGGTGAGGCTATTGTCCAGTCGGGATGCAGTAGGGTAGTAATTACGAAGCAATCTAGTGCCAGGCGATTCCAGAACCCCAGCAGTTCTAGCTCTCGGTCTATTCGCCGACGCCTGGCTTGCGTACGCCTGAACTGCGAGATTATGCTGCTGGATTGCTGCATTTGTAGCTGCAAGCTGGATCTGGAGTTGTGCCTGCTGCGTCTCGTACGGCGTCATGTGGCCAGTTCCGTAATCATCCTCTTCCTCTTCCGCGTATTTCTCCTTTGCATTAACTGAGTATGATCGGAATCGGTTGGCTTGCCTCGTGAGGTCTGCGAGGTTAAGATTTGCCAAAAACGGGTTTGACACGGATGCTCGGGGAGTCGTGGGAGTATCGGCCAGACCAAGATAATCCAGTGTCCGCATCTGCATGTCGTTCTCTCCATTCTCCCTGGAGAAAGACGACTGGGCCGGGGAATCCGGGCCATTTGATCCTTGGCTTTGAATGCTCGCAAGGGTGGATGTGCGATCCCGTCCTGTAGCCCAGCTTGTTGCAAACACAGATTGTCCGAACGGCCCGCTAGTATTGGCATACTGGCTGCGTTGCGGCATCGAGCCAGCACGTAGCCGGGATAAGAGAGCAGCATTGCTCACTACGGTATGATCTCCAATCTCGCTCAGGTTTGGAGATGGGCTCTTGAAAGGACTCGGCGAGGGGGTGGGACGGGAAGACTTAGTGACGAGTGACGGGAGGGGTGCGAGTCCATCATTCAACCCTCCAGGAGAGAAACGAGAAGGGACGGTGCCTGCTCGTGCCCGTCGTGTCTGTGGCAGATTATCTGGAGCTGCCAGATGTGCAAAGTCCGGGAAGCCATCTGTTGGTGATTCAGGTATATTTTCGCGGAGGGGTGTGGAACCGCCGCTGGTTGGGGGACCCCAAACGTTGGGTAGTAGTCCCTCCTGTGCCTGGATCTCTCGAGCTCTGTCGTGTATATTTGTTAGCCAATGCTTTTGATTCGGATGCCGGATGGAGTGTACCTCTTGGAGAATAATCTGCTGGCACCGCCGAGCTCATGTGACGGAGAACCAGCCCCCGATCGTGTGTTTCCGGCCATCTTACCAGAATTCAGAGCTCCAAGAAAAGGGGATCTTAAGGCACTTCCGTTTGAACCTTCTGTGGGGGATGTATTAGCGGTCGAAGACCCTGAGCGTGGCATCCCCGCCGATGGCTGGGGTAGGTAGCCCAAAGTTGGGTGATCAGATCTCGAAGACGACATTATAGATTATCGTGCACCAAAATATCTCGGATGCTGGATGAGAGATGGCAGAGGCCGTTTTTAGACGGTCGTTACGTCAGCTTCTAGCCCGACGCCAACTGTCGAATGACAAAGATGTGTGCGGTGGGCCGGCTCACGGAGACGAATTCGTATCAATCGAGACCCGACAATGGAAATATCGAGGGTTACGATGCCGATATCGAGGTCCCTCCGAGGGCTTATGTGTAGAAGGATTGTGGTGGCCGGGGGTTTTCGAGAGAACTCGTTGCCGGTGACGAAATTCTAGTGGATTAAAAAAAAAGGCCGGAACTCTTCAACGGTCGAATGGATGACGACGCGCGAGCGCTCAATAAGCTGGTCCAAGTGTAGAAAGAGGGACGATAGACCGATTGGGATCGGGAGTCCGTGAAGCACGCTCGCGGCAGAGGTGATGCTCGAGGGGGGAGTGCGTTGAATTAGGGTCTTCGAGTCGCAGGAGGATAGTCGAAGAGAGAAGGCTGGATGTGCGGTTCCAATCCCCGAGCCGTCATTAATACAGTGCGAGGGGCAATGTGCGAGGGGATGAAGGAGAGGAGAGAGGAGAGGGTGATAGATGAAGAATAAATGGGAAGGGGGGGGAAGATAGAGGATGGAGGATGGGGAGGTGGGAGGAGGTTGAGGAGGGATGGGGAGTGTGGATGAGGACAGGAGTCGTGAGAAGTACTTTGGGTGTACGGGACAGCTTTAGACGTGTGGTGGCCTGGTTCTGGGTGTGCACTGGAGTCTGGCGGTGCCTCGTTAGCGCAGTGTTTCAAATGCGAGGCGATATCCCTGCCGGGCACAGCTCTCGTGGAATCATGGAATCATCATCATCCGCACCCCACCGCAGCAGATCTCCCCGAGCAGATTGGATTGGATTGGATTGGATTGGATTGGATTACTCGATTGCCCCAAAAGAGACGTCGCTGGTCTGTGGTCGCCCAGTTCGTCCTGCTTCATGTTGAGGCTCAACCACGAGATCCCATGCGTCGCTCCAATCGATCAATTGAGGATCCAAGCAATGCAATGCGACCAAGAACCCTCTCGATCCGGGGATGATCTGTCATCTGTGCGCCAAAACAAAAGGAGACGCGTTGAAGATCTCAAAGAAACTATTAATACCGTATCCTCTTCTACTCTGTATCGAGCAGACCCCCCCAATGCTGTCATGCTGTGATAATCCAAGTCTCTTGCTCAGGCGCCCGTTCTGGGCATTCTATTCTTGACTTCCCATGCCACTCCGCTCGGCACAGCGGGGTTCGACTCCTTCGACAAAGCCCCCAGGGCACAGTCAAGCCTTCAGGGGTTGTAGGAGGTGATAGGCGTGGTGAGAACATGGTGGACTATCTTACTTGGGACGACGCGGGGCAGACGTTGTGGATTGGCGTTCCAGCTAACGGTGCGGGAGACTCACGTACAGTATCAGACACAACATAGCCACTGCCGTTGATATCACCCAGGCGGTGCTGGCCTTCTTACCACACACATAGCATGCCAAAGGATTCGGGTTTATGGAGAGCGAGGGCTAGAACTACGGCGCAAGAGGGTTCACTGCCTCAGCATCATCGCGGCCTCTACATCACGCATTACCTTACAGAATCATCACGCATGGTTATTATACACGGTGTATACTACACACAGCGTCCTTGATACAGTGCTTTCCTCTTATTCTTCTCGCAATCTCTCGATGTGGTTCCAGGGAGTGCGACCTGCGCGGCATGACTCGTGTCTCTCTTGCGCATCTGCAACCCAAACAAGAGCGCTGGAGCAGAGGGGAGGCAAGACAAGACGCCCGATGCAGATGTCAATGTTGCTGTGAGAGCGGTAGAGGGTGAGATGCGGAAGAAGACGCCGTTTATTGGTGCGCCCGGCGAAAGCACAGGGCGATAGCACCAACAAACCCTCGCATCCTGAAACATTGGCCCATGTCTGCGCGTGCGGAACTTGGCAAGGCTTGCTTGTCTCGATGTGGCATCTTCCTTGACGGGACGGTACAGTAGAAAGCCAGAAGCCTCAAGCCTCACACTTTCAAGGAGAAATCTCCGTGTATCTTCAACCTTGTATATTCATTGCCCCGTATCATTCATAGAGACACACTGTACACAAGTATATGCTATTGTTGTTGATCATTGAGCACTTTTCTGCAGAGTAGGAAAGGTACGGGGCAACAGAACCACGGTTACGAGAATCTGGGTGAACCAAAGAACTCCGGGGCTGATATAATCCTTTTAGTCACGTGATGGGATCTGCTACGGAGCCCCGTACAGTCGCCTTTCCCGTTCGCCTATCGCGCCGCATCCCCAGTCGCCATCCACAACCTCGAATCTGCCGACTACAGTGTAGAATCCCCAGTTGTCGCCGCACAAGTGCTCTGCCCACCTCGAGGCTTAACTTCCACGCACTGCGCGTTCAAGGCGATTGTCTCAAACTGCCAGGATCAATATGGCCGACGACAAGGATGAGGACACCCCCATGCGGACAGAGGAGGGGTCCTCCGATTCAGATTCAGGGAGTGGCAGTGAGAGCGAGGAAGAGCAGATAGAATGGCTAGTCACCACCCGAGAGAAGCGTTCCACCGCCGGGAACCGACTCGCATCGATCCTCCAGCAAGAAGAACCAGATGATGAGCTGGAGCTGCTGTTCGCAGAAGCCGACGATGATGCCGGGTTCGAAGATGTCGACGAGGACTCCGATGTCCAGATGGACTCATCCGACGACGATGAAGACCAGGGACCGACTGCGGGCGCGGATGATCTCGAGGGCGAGAAGGAGCTGCGCAGAGCGGAGCGGCAGGCGAAGAAGCGGAAAGTGAATGATGGCATACCCAAAATATTCAAGAAGAAAGTCAAGATAGACCCGACTGCCTCGCAAGGACCTGCGCCCCGACCGAAGAAGAAATCTGAGCGCGCATCATGGATCCCCACGGCGGAGGATGCGCCAACGCGTGCATCGGCGCGGGGGACAACAAGGCAGAGCAAGGAACAACTACACGCACAGATGATAGACCGAGAGGTGAAGAGGCTGAAGCAGCTGGCAAATATGGAGAAGGCTGCCGCGGCAAAGGCCGCTGCTAAGAAACCGGCTATGACACAGGCAGACAGATTGGCAGAGGCAGCGCGGGTGGAGAAGAGTAATTCCAAGAGCTTGAGCAGGTGGGAGGAGGCGGAACAACAAAGAGAGGAGGAGCAGAGGGCCAAGTTGGCGGCTTTGAGTAATCGCCAACTAGAGGGACCGGTCATTACATGGTGGAGTGGTATGGGTGAGTGGGTCGGAGGGGTACTGAAACGAGTTGGCAAGACCCTTGAGTTGGAAGAACCAAAGGAGAAGCCGACAAAGAAAAGGAAAGCTGCCGAGATGGAGACCGAATCTGCGCCAACTCCTCTCGCCGCAGACCAGACCTTGAAAGACCCCTCAGCAGCTGCTACTGGTGACCCCCAGATCGTCAAAGATCCTCCAGCTGCTGCTCCTGGTGATCCACAGGTTGTCAAAGATCCTCCAGCAGCTGTGCCTGGAGATCCTGCCAACGCCCCGAACGAAAGCACGACCACGAGCTCTCCAGCGGTGGCACCTCCTGCTCAAACTACCAACATTCCAGAAACCAACCAACCTCCAAATAGCGCTTCACCACAACCACCACCTGAACCAACGGCCGTCGCCCCTCCACCAAACCCTCCCTCTCATCCGCCATTTATTCTGGCACCGCCATTAGGCCTCCAGTCACCACCCCTGCCGCCGCCAGTCTTGGACGGCTCAGCGCCTCTTCCCGGATTCGGCTATACCCCAAATAGCTTCCCACACTTCATGCCCCCACAAGGAGTTCCCTTATCATTCACACCACCAAACCAACAATCACCACCGCCTCCTCCTCCTCCAGCAGCTCCACCCGGACCACCTCCCATCGAGCACGCCGCACTGGACTATATCATCCTTTCAAACTTCGACGAAAACGCCATCAAGCACAAGGATGTCCAGACACAGGTCCTGTTCGGGAGGAAGTTCCCCAAAGCTACGAGTACGTCCTTTTCCTCTCCTCTGTGTTTCCTCTTCCCAAACAGCCACTGACTAATCTTCTCAAACAGAGCCCAAGAAAGAACCCACCCTCTGCGCCATAACCTCCTACCCCGCCAAATTCCGCGACCCCTCGACCGGCCTCCCTTACTGCAATTCCTACGCCTACCGGGAGATCCAGCGGCTGAAGCGGGGGGAATTCAAATGGAGCAAGCTCGTCGGCGCGTACGTCGGCCAGGGCACGTACGCAGCGCGCGGGGTGCCGAGCCGGTTTGTGAATCCGGGAGCGGGAGTGGAGGCAGGAAAGGGATGAGAGGTTTCTGATCGTCGTGTATGAGTAGGAGCTGTACGAGTAGGGATCCTGGCGTACGGAGAGATTGATACCTGGGAGCGCTTTGCTCTCCTGCCTATTGCTGTGTATAGATGATGGGATGAAGGAATGAAATCAATGAAATATAGTTAATCACATGAAACCTTCAGACACCAAGATGGACGAGGTAGGACGAGATGCCTTTGAAAGTATTATGTGTGTGCAGAGTAACACGAGCTGCGGGCCGGAGATTACCCGCCCGATCGATACCGATAAGCTCCGATAAGGTAGATGTCTCGATAAGCATAAATAGATGAGACTTCAAGACTTCAATTTAAGGCTTTGAATAAGGACATGTTTTGACTTTCAAGAAGTAGAACTTTGAGGATTGCTTTAATCCAAAAATACCTATCTACGGTTCGTCCCGCCACGCCAGCGCTACACCATCGGCGTCATACACAACCCGACGAGCCCTTCCATCGACGAAGGACAGACAGACAGATCTCTAGAGATGCGGGATCACATAGGAATCCCCAGTCCTCTCCGCTCTCCCCTCTAATCTCCCCTTCGACCACACATCATCATGAGCACCTCACACGATAGCAGTTCACCTTCACCAAAACCGCCCACGGGCATCCGCTGGCGCTCCAGCACGCTCTTCATCCTGTCCACCGTGGGGATGGGTCTCTTCACCGACCTTTTCCTCTACGGGCTCATCGTGCCCATCATGCCCTTCATCCTACGAGACCGCATCGGGGTGCCACACTCTCAGATCCAAAGCCATACATCGATCCTGCTTGCTTGTTACGCGGGGGCATCGATGCTCAGCTGTGTGCCGGCCGGTATCATCGCAGACCGGCTGGCTACGCGGCAGCTACCGTTCTTGGGCGGTCTTGTCGCGCTGCTTGCGTCGACTGTCCTGCTCTTCGCGGGTCGGTCTATCGGTCTCCTGATCCTGGCGCGGGTCTTTCAAGGGATTAGCGGGGCTGTCGTGTGGACGGTTGGGCTGGCTCTGGTTATGGATACGGTGGGTAGTGAGAGGTTGGGCGTCGCTATGGGGTCGATATTTAGCATTATCAGCGTTGGTCAGGTTGTCTCGCCTGTGCTGGGTGGCGTCGTGTATAAGAAGGCTGGATCGGGCGCTGTGTTCGCTATGGCATTCGGACTCCTCGTCGTGGATTTCCTCATGCGTCTCGCCGTCGTGGAGAAGAGCGCCTCGGCGGAATATGGGATCGTCGTCGACCCCTCCGCCCCCGCCGACGAGGCTGAGAACCAGAACAATGGCGAGGCGAACGAGGAATCACCACTGCTCAGAAAAAGCTCCGACGATGATAATGATATCGAACAGTGGAAGATCCCCCCCAACCAACCAACCTGGGTCCGCAGATTTCCCGTCATCTCCTGCCTTAAGCATCCACGACTCCTGACCGCCCAGGGGGTAGCCATAATGCAAGCCTTATTGCTCTCCATCTTCGACGCGAGTCTCCCCACCGAAGCACACGATCTTTTCGGTTTCGACTCCCTTCAAGCCGGAATCCTATTCGCGCCTCTCTTGCTCCCACTCTTGCTCCTCGGGCCACTCGCCGGAAAAGCAGTCGATATATACGGCGTCAAGCCCGCCTCTTTACTCGGATTCACCACCCTCTCTATCCCTCTCCTTCTCCTCCGCACACCTCATGCCTCCTCCGACAGCTTTTCCGAGATCCTAAAGCTCAGCGCACTCCTCTTGCTCTGCGGCTGCTCTCTCTCCCTCCTTTCCAGCCCCAGCATCGTCGAGTCCGGTCACGTCGTCGAATTATACTACCGCTATAACCGCGCGCATTTCGGATCCCGCAGCCCCTATGCCCAGCTCTATGCGGTCAATTCGGTAGCTTCGTATTTGGGACTTACGATTGGTCCGCTGATGGCTGCGGCGTTGAGGGAGAGCGTGGGGTATGGGAATATGAATGCGGTTGTTGCGGGCTTGTGTTTGGGGATGGGGGCCTTGTCGTGGGTGTATTTGGGGGGTAAGCCGAGGATGTTGTTGTGGAAGAGGGGCCGTGTGTAGAAAGCAAAAGTAAATATTCTAGATATTAACATATATATCACTCTAGCTATAGACTAGGTAGAATATCCTAAACCACAGTATATAGATAAATAAATGTGAGATCCTCTACCTTACCTTACCTATCTTACCTACCTCTTACATACCTAGAAAATAGAAAATAAAAAAAGATATTTAAGAGTTGGACACTTTCTTTTTATGTTGTTTTTCGTTTTGTACTAGGTAGGGTAAGATAAAGACAGGTTGGTGGAGCTCAAGAGGGGTGATGAATAAAATAGGAAAAGGGAGAAAAGGGGGATGATACCTTACTAAGCGAGAGATAAATACCTATCAAAAAAACCCAGCAGCATCAAGGCGAGATCATATCAGCCCAGAAAGTATGTATTTATATTTTTATTTATATTTTTAATTTTTCGAATCTAGAATCTTTTCCTTTTCCTCTTCTATATTTTATATTTCGGGAAAAGCGAATAATTACAACAAAAAGAACGAGAAAACAACAAAAAAACAACAATAAAAGCAGGGGATAGGTATCTTTCCCAAAAAAAAAAAGGATATGCTGGCCGAGGAGCTTTGGTTTATGGTCTATGTCTAAACGATGTATATGTATTATAATGTCTACCCTCTCCCCATCCGTTCTATTTGTTCGTTCTAAAGATTTCCAACAACGCCGATGCCAAGGTGAGTGAGAGAAAACGAGAGTTGTATAACCGTACATGGCGGACAATATGGAATGCGGGTTGGCGTTACGCGTCATGGGAGAGAAGGGGTGCGCTCCCACTTGAGAGAACACCTTGCGCTTCTTCCGCTAATTTTTGCATTCTAATTTTTCTTCTTTTCCTCTTCTCATCATCGTGATGATTCTTTGGACCACCTTACTCGGCAGCCTTACTCTTCTTCGTCCGCAGCTTCATCAGGATGTACACGAGAGAGTAACCACTGAAGACGAAGATCACGACGATCGCCGCGTCTCGCCAGCCGTAGTAGTAGTTCTTCAGGTTCAGCGTGTACAGGTAGTCGCTACCAACGCGGTACTCGCAGACCCGGCAGCCGCTGGTGGCCGAGGGGTTGATGAGGTTTGTACGCGCGCCCATACCCTGTTGGTAGTCACGGAGGTACTCGCCGCACGTGCTGTTGGCGGGCGGGTCGAAGATGGCAAACTCCTCCTCGGCGCAGCGGATCTCAGCGTCGAAGCTGGTGAAGGTCAAGAGCGCACCCATCAGGTAGTTGTACGGGTTGAGGTAGTAGATCCAGTACCGCCAGAAGACATTGATCTGTGCGTAGGGCACGAGGACACCACAGAAGGAGACGAGCGTTCCGATGACGACGGGGTTGGCGAGCGTAGCGAACACGGCATTGGGCGCATAGGCGGCGATGAACTGACCCATGCTCGTGTACACGAACTCGTACATGAGCATGACGAAGAAGGTAGCGCCCGACTTGTTGGAGTTGTGGGGGAAACCGACGGTGTAGTACCAGCAGGCGAAGTAGAGCACGGCGCAGACGCAGAGGTAGGGAATCTCCGAGATGATCAGACCAGTGACGAACGCAATCCAGGAGTACATCTTCGACTTCTTCTCCCGCGCTTCGTAGATATCACGACGCTCGATGAAGAGGGGTTGCAGTTGGGCAATGACACCGGGGGCGACGAAGATGAAGTTGAAGACCGTGAAGAGACGCAGTTGGAGATCGCGGATGGTGTGACCAATCTTCCAGAACGAGAACCCGTTGAACAGAGCCGAGCTGATGTGCAGGGCGAGCTTGTTGTTGACGTAGTCGGTGTTGCGGTAGATGGATACGTTCATGCGGTGCGTAACCAGCTTGATCTGATCCCAGAGGGGCATGGCGAACTCGAAGCCGTCGTCTGAAGTTCCCGGGGGCTTGGCGGCGGCGTCGGCGATGATGCGGTCCAGCTCTTCGACGGTGTGCTTGTGCTCCGGGGATTCGAGCCAGACCTGGTGCCAATCTTTACCTTGCGACAGAACGCCGGACACGACATCGATCATGTGCTCAGCGGGGTTGGATTCAGGTGGGCAGGGTGCATCGTAGCGGGCGAAGTATTCCTTGATGGTGCGGGCATCCTCTCCGATGTCACCAAAGTAGACCGTCTTCCCTCCACGGGCCAACAACAGGAGAGTATCGAACTGGGCAAACAACTGGGCAGAGGGCTGATGGATGGTGACCAGGACGGCCTGACCAACATCTGCTAGCTTTCTCAAGAACCGAACGATATTGTAAGCAGCCTGGCCATCGAGACCGGAAGTCGGCTCGTCCAAGAAGATCAGGATACTGGGTTTCGAAACAAGCTCAACTCCGATGGTCAACCGCTTCCTCTGCTCAACCGACAAACCCGCACCGGTGGTACCAATCAGGGTGTTCTCGATGTCGTGCATCTCCAGCAGATCAATGATGGTATCGACATACTTGAGCTTCTGTTCCCGCGGGATGGTTCGCGATTGACGGAGGAGCGCCGAGAATTCCAGCGCTTCCCGGACGGTGGAGAGCGGTTCGTGGATATCCAGTTGTTCACAGTAACCGGCAGATCGTTGGAAACTGACGGACAGGGGCCGGCCGTCGACGAGGATGGATCCATTGATAGTACCATCCGTCTTGCGCTGAGCGAGAACATCAAGCAGGGTCGTCTTACCAGCTCCTGAAGACCCCATGAGGGCGCCGAGCATGCCGGGTTTGACCCAGCCCTGGACATTGTCGAGCAGAACGCGGTCGCCCGATGGGGTCTTGACAGTGTACGTGAGGTTCTTCCAGGTAAAGACCGAGGTGTTGCGGACGAGTTGATCATCAACCTTGGTCTCGTTAGATGAGGATGCGCTGGATTCAAGACCCTTCTTCTCCGAGACCGCGACGGCGGGGTGCGATTGCGATTCTTCATCCTTGGTAGCGCGAGCAACCTTCTTCTGATTCTCGCGGGGGACGAGCAAGAAGCCACTCTTACCACCGTTTGATTTCCAGTTGCTCGTTGCGACGATGGTGACAAAAACAAAGAGGGCCCACCAGGCCCAGACGATACCAAAATTTCTCCAGATGTTTCCGGCCGAGTATGATAGTGATGCAAGGTACTCCTCACCCGTGACGCTCGTCGCGCCGGGCCGAGCTCCGCCAACGCCGGTACACGCTTGATGGGCCAAGTCGGTATAGCCAGGTCCATTGGGAATCAGATTCGCCCCAACACACGGGATGACGGCGCCCTTGAACTCGTTCGCCAGGATAGCGGAGAAACCATACGCCAGGGGATCAATCCAGTAGATCCTGTTGTCATTGTTAGCATCGTGTGTAGCTTGATGGATGACAATACATACCAGACAAACCAGGGGTGCATTTTGGGCTTCTGGATCATATAACCGGTGTACATGATCAGGCAAGAAATCATGAAACCAGACACCTTACTAGCCCCATCGAAAGTAGAGAAACTAGCACCGATGGCTCGGAAGAAGGCCGTCATGCACATGGTCGTGGCGAAAATCAAAACCCAGTAGGTGAAGAAGGCACCGGCATCCACCCTGAGCCCGACCATGAAGTACATGACGATGGAGAAGTGGGAGATCTGGACCAGGATGACGGGTATATCGGCGGCGATCTGTGCTATACAGAAGGCGGCCGGGTGATACAGGGCGAACGATTTGTGTTTGGCAAGGACGGGCCGACCCGAGAAGGAGTCGGTGACTTCGGACATGGCCAACAGACTGTTAAACAGCAAGGAGAAGAAGAGTGCACCAGACTTGATGAAGAGACCGGCGGACGTGCTGGGAGCGTTGTAGAAGAGGGAACCAGTGATCAAGGCCTGGGCCAGGGTGGAGAACTGCTTGATGATGAAAGTGGCCTTGTCACCCCAGATGATCTGGTACTGACGGGTCACGGCCGCCTTGACCTGGGTGTAGAAGCTGACGGTCAAGGGAGATTTCTTGGGGAGGGACTTGTCCTTCTCGTATTGGACACTCTCGCGGAAATCTTCTGTGCGCTCCTTGGCCAAGGCACTATTCGGATAGTCATACTCGGCGCTCATGGCGGCTTTGATCGGTGACTTGTCGTACGCCGCGCGGATGTCAGCCACTGTTCGGGGGTACCGGTCCTCAAAGCCCTCCCGAATCTTGCGCTCCGTCGGGACGGTGACACCGGTCAGGTAATCAGCGACGTTGGCTCCGTCGGGGCAGAAGAAACCCAGGCTCTCCATGAAGGGTCGAGCCTGCTTCATGGGACCGTAGTAGAGCTCCTGTCCCTCATCGAGGACCAAGACCTTGTCAAAGAGGTTGTAAATACCATTTCCGGCCTGGTACAGGGTGACGATGGACGCGAGGCCGAAGATGTCGGTCATGGCGCGGATGGCCTTGGTATACTCGAGCGCGGTACTGGCGTCCAGACCACGGGTACTGTTGTCCCAGCAGAACACGCTTCCCCGCGTGGCTAGGGTCTCGATGATACTGACACGCTTCCGCTCTCCACCGGACACACCTCGCACGAACTCGTTACCGACCTTGGTCTCGTGGGTGTGCGAGATGCCCATAGACTTCAACAGGAAGTCTCTCGTCTCTCGCTGGAACTCCTTGGGGTTGGTTTTATCGGATGGGAGGTGGTAGGGGATCTTCATGCGGGTCGCGAAGTCCATGGTCTGGCCGACGGTCAGGGTGGGGAAGAAGAGCTCCTCCTCGGTGTTCATGACAATTTGGCCCCGGTACTGCTTGGCCTCCTTGTGGTCGAGGGACCCGAACTTGACGTCGCCCTCGATGGATGCATACCCGTCTCGCATGTTGGCGAGGACCTTGAGGAGGGAAGTACAACCGGATCCGGGCCGGCCCAGCACCAGCAGCATCTCACCGGGCTTGACACAGCCGTGGGTGTTGTCGAGGATGGTCTTCAAGGGGGCGCCGCGTCGCATCTCGTTGATGATCTTGGGAAGGTTGGCCTGACTGATGACATTCTCGTTGATGGCAGCGTCGGCGCCAATGCCCTTGACGGTGAGGTTCTGCCAGGTGACACCGAGACGGCGGCCCTTGACAGCGTCCTTGTCGCCCTGGGCCTTGATGGCCTTGACCTCGGGCATCATCTTCCAGTCCTCAGCCAGACTAATGGGGCCGTCGCCCTTCTCATTGTCGGAGTCGTAGTTGCGGGAGCGGACGCGTTCAGCGAAGGCGGACGACTGCGACAGGGTGTGCACCAGAGCGCTCCCCATGCCCTGGTGGGCAGCGGGGGCGATGCCATCGGGTTCGGTGGTGGCCATTGGTTATGGGTAGTGTTCTGCCCGGAGGCAGAGCGGGAGGGAGATGTGGGGATTGAGCAAGTCCCAGGATACTGAAGCAAACCTCTGATGAAACCCAAGAGAAGAGGAGAGAGGAAGAAAGGGGGGAGAGGGGGAGGGGGGAGGGGGAAAGAGGAACGAAAGGAGGGCTGAAGGGAAAAGGAAGAAGAATGACGAAGATGAAGACGAAAGACGAAGATGAAGTTCAAAAGGAAGATCGCCCACCAGAGATTTGGGACGACGGAGGTAGATAAAGGAGCTGTCTCCCTCAGCGCGCCCCCGAAGCAGCCTTAGCCCGTATCCGCCGCCCTTGATCGTTGTCCGCAGACCGCAGACCCGTTCGACAGCGACCTGGGTATGGGACTATGGACTATGGGTAAACCTAACAGAGTCCTAGACCATCGCGTGTGTGAGGTTATCGCAAATGCTTGGCCTGTGCAGCCCTTACCTTACGCTGCTACAGTAGTAGTAGGTCGTTGACGGACGGCTTAACCTTAACACCGCTTAGCTCCCTTCGGAGCCTCTCTGATGCCGAGCAGCGACGAGCAGCCAGGGCCGTGGTAACAGAGCGCCACCCATGCAATTGATGCGATCCATGATGATGATGGCATGAACCCAGGGGCCCAGGGGGGGAGGGGGGAAGGGGGGAACAGCGAATCCTTGGAAAATCAGATAATAGAGAGATAGAACTCAGTTCGCCCCTCCGGCTCGATTCGCGCTCAAGAGTAATCCGTTCGCCGTCCCACTGGGGGCAATAGTGGTCGGTCCCAGCTTGGTCCACGCGCGCCGGTCTTTAGTACTCGACCCGTACCCCGAAGTGTCTGGCCCCGATGAGACGAGTCGACGACCCTCTGTTTCGCTGCCAGAAGGAGGAATATTCTCTGTAGAGTTGTAAACTTGTCCATTCTTATTTGCCGAGGATTAATTCTGCCCGTTCTACCACACGCGATCGGACATTCTTGGGACCCCGGAGTCCGACCCTCCCGCCCTCCTCATTGGCCCCGCTCCCCCCCACCGCCTTCGCTTGCCCCCAGCTGACGTAAGCCCGCTTCCGCCGCACCGACACCCCGGGCCGGCAGAAGTACGGCAGAAGTGCGGCAGAAGCTCGTCTCGCCCATATTGGTCATCTTGGTCAGCAGCGTAATAATCGCGATGTCTTCAAAAGGCACGTCCTCTGGCCCCGAATCGCCCCTCTCGCCCCCTCTCGGCCTCTCACAGTTGTTCGCGCGTCAAATTCTGTTGAGCCTTCTTCGTATCGTATATTCTCACTACGGTGTATCCTCATCTGAGGCCACGCCATCTGTATACACTGTTTCCATCCGCCCCCCCGGAATATGGAAATACCCACTCACACACTCAGGCACTACTCTCAAACTCAGTCAGACACGCAGAATTTGACAGAAAACTCAGAACTCCTGACAACTCTCTTAACCCCGGCCCGCTGTGTCCTGACAACAGTGTACTCAAGCCTCAACTTCTCCCAACTCCAGTGCCATCCCGTCATGTCACATTGTGTATGCACCGCCACACATTTTAGCTGTCGCAACGCCATATGCCGATTGCTCGCCCGTGACGGGCCCAAAAGTACTCCGTGCTCCCAATTCATTCAGACCCCCTTCCCTCTCTTCCGACGTGAATTCCCCGAAGGCACCATCCCCCTTCTAAGAAAGGCATCCTTCGAAAAGCCGATCCAGACTACTACCGGCAAAGAAAACCTATCTAGGTACGTCTCAGCCGTGGTGGCGGGTGGCTTGACGCCCATGTGATTTCTCTCCCTTCTTCCCTTTCGCCTCGCCCCGCGTCGGCCGCTCCTCCTCCACAGCCGGGGTCGCGGCCGCCGCCTTCTTCGCCGGCTTCCTCGTGCGCGGCTGCTCAGAATGTAAGTGGCCTAACTCTTCCACGGCCATGCTGTTGTGCCAGGCCAGGCATCGATGTGCCGTGTGATCGGCGTGCTGCTCCTTCCGGCGCGTCGACATCCGCTTTCCAGAATCGACCGACTTCTCCTCCGTCGGGTTCAGGTATTCCTTGCGCTTCTCCATATGCCGGGCGATCTTGTCGCGGAAGAGCTGCAGTTCCTTCTTCAGCTTCACCTCGTTGACTCCGCGAGTATCGAGCCATGCAATCAAGGCATCCAGCGATTCCGGGTCCTCGATGTAGCCCCACTGATGGGCGTTGAAGAGGCTCGTGGAACCTTCCTCGAGCTTCTTCCGCTCCGGGACCGTCATATTGAATTTCGCACGGTACTCATCCTGCCATTCGGGCTTCATGTCGATATACCCCTCGCGCTCCATATCGTCGGGGCCCTGCACCCAGATGCAACCATTGGCATAACCAGCCTCGGCAGTTGAGCTGTCGGGGAGACCTCCGTAAGGCATACCGTTCCGTTCAAACCAGTAGTAGCGATTCCAGAATCGGTCCTTTCCGAGAACACGCGTGCGAGGGCAATCCGCTTCGCGGAGATCGTTGTCCAGGACGGCGATCTCATCCTCGCATTCCTTGATCTGGTCTTGCTTCTTCTGAATTTCCTTCATGAGCTTCGTGAGTTGCTTCGATTGTTTAGGGGGTTTCGCTTCAGCCTTCTCTTTCTTCTCTTGTTCCGCATCGCGTTTCCGCTTCCTCTCGACGGCGCGATCGAGACCACGACGGAGGGACCGGCCTTGATGTGCGTCATCGTCGGTATCAATGGTTTCGTCAATAGAATCCTGAATCTCTTCTTCAACTACATCGGGCATTGGCACATCGCCGTTAGGTGCTTTATTGTCTGCAGCCGCGGATGCTGGTTCGGTGGGGGGAAGCAAGGCCTTCCGCTCTTCATTCAGTAGACGCAGTTCCTCGAGACTATTGTTATTAGCATCCCTAGTTTCGTAGAGGAAATCTGAACAACTCACTAATTTTTACGATCACGCTGGTACTGGATCTTCTCCTTCCTGAAATCCGTCATCTGATTACTGCATTCCTCCATGTAACCACGGATCGCCTTCGTCTCTGCCGTAAGCATGCAAACGATCTGCAGGGCCTGAATGCGAAGGTTGACATCCAGTCTGGCGTATTGTCGGCGTGCCGTCTCCTGCGTTGGTTCCATGTTCATCGGCGCTAGTTCTCTCAGCACAGCTTCGCACGATTCGAACTGTCGCGGGTTCTTGGAGAGTTGATTTAACAATCCGACCATGATGACCTGCCACCCTCCATTCTTAAAGTCGCGTTTCCTCAATTTCTCGATCCAGTCCATGCCCGCCTGCATCTCAGCTGCCCGGTGAGTGACCTTTGGTTCTGGCGTTGGCTCACGAACTGGTTCCGATTCGGCTTTCAGTGCCTCAGCCTCCGCCTTGGCTATACTGCTTCGCGTTGCTCGTCCTTGTGGCTTCGGCTCGGGTTCTGGAGTTGGTGTGGGAGCCGCACTCGCCTCTTCATCCGACTCCTCATCACTATCCTCCTCCATTTCCGGTAATCGAACCTGAATTTCACCACCATCTGCTTCTGATTGGACTAGGAGCTTCAGAGCTGCGCAATGAATTTCCACAAATAACTCGCACTCAACATCTTCTGAGGAAAATTGCATTGCCTCAACGAAGTCGTCAAAGGTAAAAGAATCGAGCTTGAATACCTCGCAGTAGACGTTGAGGGTGTCCCACGCCTCGAGTAGCGGGCCAACCGACTTCATGAGAATGCCATTTCCTTGTGTGGAGCCCTCACCATCTTGAGGTGTATCCTGCGAAAAGTACTTGAGCGCCGGTCGCTTCGGCCCATCCTGTCGGGGAGCCACTTGCAAATCCTCAATCGGGTATTTTATAGGAGGCGGTGGTGGAGGTGCTGGAGGCAGGGAAGCAAGTGGTGCGAAGGCGAATGTAGAATTATGGAAGTTTGCGTAGTGAGGGCCCACTTGTGGGGGCGGGCCATTGGTTTGAAAGGTGTGGGAGACAAAGGGTGCTGGAGGGTAGAATGTGGATTGACCTGGGTTCGTAGGAGCAGGATTCAAGAACGGCTGCTGTTTAGTCTTGCCCTGTTGGCCCTGCTGCTGCTTGCTCTTGTGGCTCTTGGGTGCGGGCTTCAATTCCGGAAGTCGCGCTGGGTTATTTCCTTGGAAGCTTCCTACCATCCCCTCATAATCTGGACCGGCCTTCTTCTGCTGCTGATTCTGTTTCCGCTCCGCTGCTTTGTTCTCGTACTGCAGATGTGGGGGCACGCGCGTGTCGATGTGGTAGATACGTGCCACATCGTGGTTCACCAACCAAGGTGCGCCTGTCCAAGCCTCGCGCGTTACAGTCTTCTTGATGAATGATCGTAGAACCTGTTTTGTAAAGATCTTGCGGTCCCGGGTAATGTGCGAGTCGTCCACCACTGCTTCTTCGTTGGGTCGGTTGTCTAGGCTGACGAAGTATCGCGAGAAAGGCGGGCTGAGGGTGCCGTCTGGTAAGAGCTTGCTTCCGAAGCGTGTCTTGTCGCGGACGACGCCCGTAAGTCGCTCACCCGTAACTACATTCACTGTCACAGCCTCTCCGGGGTAATAGTCTGATCGGTATTCGTCGTAGATAAGATCGACGAGTGTGTCGATTCGCGAAATGGTTTGAAATTGGACGCGTCTCAGGATTGGACCTTTAAGTGCTTCTGGGAAAGCTTGCTCAACTTCTTCTGCGCCTGCTAGCTTGAGGGGGGTCAGCGTCTGCTTGGAGAAGGCCTGTCCCATCCTTGGTTCGACTACGCGCATACCTCGCTCTTTAATGCATCAAAGAATGTTAATCCAGAATGACCAGTGATCTGACAGATAAATCGCCGCTATCAAGCATTAGTAAACTGCTATATAAGTCGCAGTGAAGTGTGCACTGACTTGCTTATAGAAATCCATTCTTGCGCTTGGTGTTAGCATTGACCCGGAAAGCAAGTGAAGGGTGCCCTACCGATTAAGATATTGTTCATAGTCTACAAAGACTTCGCCAGTTTGCGGGATGACCCAAACCTAGGTAGGCCACAAATCAGCCATCGGCCGTAGGTAAATGTAGCATCGCGTTGCTCCTACCTCAGTCTCGTCATTTTCAATCTCGGGCTGGGAGACGTATTGGACGGGTTTCCGCTTGAAGAGGACCTGGAAGGGTCAGCTCAGACCGGGTTCCACAGCTGGACTGCTAGAAGGACTGACCATCTTGCCGTTCGCGTTGTTGGAGAAAACCGTGGGCGGTGCCGGCGAACCTGGGGTAGAGAGTTGTTAGGCTCGGTGTGCCCCTCAATAGAAGAGAGCTCTCATGCGATGCAGATGTGTCGCATGGAATTTGAAGAGCGTTGGAGGTGAATTCCGGGATGTTGTGCGGCGGGCGGAGGACCAGCGAGGGTATCCGCGCGGGATTGGGTGGTCCCACCGGAGGAGGGAGGAGGAATTGGAGACTCACGGATAGGGTTCGCGAACGCGTCTAAATCATCCGAGAGGGGGGGAAGGCTGGCATGGAGGGGATGATCAAGATGGAACGGGGATGATGAGAAGGGATGTGGGTGGAGGGTTGAAGGGATGGTGGCGAGAAGGGGGGGGTGTGGGATAAAGATGGAGGAGGAAGAGTTTGAGGGAGGGAGAAGAAATGTGAAGGGAAGGGCTTCAAGTGCTGCGATGGTGGACTAGCGGGAGGTGCAAGGATGTGGCTAGTGTCGTCCCTCTTCACGCTTCGCCAGGGAACGAACGGAGGCTGCTTTCGCTGCGTCTCTCTCGTCTGCTCGTCTCTGCTCGCTCGCCCTCCCCCGACCCACCACCACCTCTCGCCCATCCGGATCACCCACCACCAGGCCAACGCTCCCGGCTTTCTTGGGCTCGATTTAAAGCGCTGCGCGCGCTGGCGAATTCGAGTACTCAATTGCCTGTCTTTTGCCGACCGCTGCGCCAGGGAAGGCCCGTTGACCGCATGCCGTCACAGCCCTGCGAAGACGTAGCCGCGTCTCCCAGGAACCGCCTCGATCATCGTCATCAGGGGGGGGGGGGAAACGGTGTTGGCCGTCCACGCGCGAGTCTCTTCTCTGCTCCCCAGGGTGATCTACCTCATCTACATGTCCCTCCCGTGCATCTGAGGTCTCACCAGCGAGCGCGACGAGACCTCTTCCCGTGCTGCACATGGCCCGTCGCGGCGGGCAGCCTCGTGGGCTGTGACGTCGGCGGGTCCCTTGATATTCAGGGGTTCGCAACGAAGAAAGACGTTGAACCAGAGACAGCAGTGCAAAGAGCGCGCATAGCTCTGGGTCGGTGGTCATCTCGGGGGCCGGAAAGGGGAATGTAAAAGCGTTGTCCCGTTTCCGGCATTTCTGTGCCCTCTCCGCAACGCTCTACTCTTCCCCCCCCCCTTCTGGCCCGGCCGCTGCCACTTCAACCGGCTCGCCCATCACCGACCCAGCTAGAAGGTCGCCCCCCCGCCCCGCTTCGGGCTTAGCGCTCCCGCAAGGCTGCTCACGTGATGCGCTAAAGGCAACTTCACCTCCCTGCCACCCTGTGTTTTCCGGCCCGCCTTTGCCCATCCGTGAAGTCCTGCTCCGTGGCTGTTGCTTCGTGCTTTCCTCCAACGCGCTCTCCATCTAGGGTCGAGGTAATGGTAGGCTAATCTTACAATGCGGCTAATCCGGCGAATTATTCAGGGGAAATCCTCCTGAGTGACTAAGCTTAAGCTCCTGGAAACCACTGCAGGTGTTCCTCGCGAAGAGTTGGCAAGTGACGAGAATTTTCCACGAGGCTCTATCTATAAAATTCAACAGATTTGGTCTCATAGTACCTGCGATCTATAAGCAGTTTCTCGTCCAATCTCTGTTAGACAAGAGATCCAGTATTACGATTGATTCCTCTCAACCAGAATAGAAACAAACGCAGCCTCCTACCCATCTTCTATGCCACGGCAAATATTGTACCTACCTAGATAATCACATCGTGCCACTTGTTTCATTCATTCATTCATTCATTTCATTCCATTTCACAAAACTACGACAATTCCTCCGACAGGATGGAAGCATTCTGGAAAGGGGTCACGAGCGAGGGATGCATAAGGCTATTTTATAATAAGGTAATGAATCACTAGCCTTCAGAGTATAACCTGCTATATTGCTACGCCCCCGTATACGAACGAGCGATAGGAAACGTTATTTTTGAGTGCTTTCATGCATGATTTTCTTGTTATTTTTGTCGGCTTTTTTGAGATGGAAACGAAAGAGGGGGGGGGGGGGGGGGGGGGGGGAAGGGGAAGAAAAAAGAGGGGGGTTCACGTGATACAGATCCAAATAAGAAGTCTTCGAGGCTTTAAAGCTGCACTGGATCTCGATACACAGAATACTAACTTTCAACTTAGGCAACAATCTAATCTAATCTCGGGGTATCAATTGACCATCTAACTCGTAAAATACACCACCAAGAAGCCGACCCAGCTGCCCACGACCCCGACCGCCGAGTAGGAGCTCATAAACATCAGGGGCAGGAACTCGAGCTTGTCGCCAAACACCACGCCATGCACCAACGAGCAATACAGGATGAGCGGGATGCTCACGGCGATATACAGGAGGCTGAACCTATCGAGTAAGAAGATCCGGGGACGCTTGCTGGCCGGCGCGAGCCGGTCGAAGGCCATGAGGAAGAACACGAGCCAGAATATCGTGTAGACGGTCTTGATGGGGAATTCGGCCGCCGTGAAGAGGAGGGGGAAGAGGGAAACATGGCCTGCGACGGCGAGGGGCCGGAAAGCGCCTAGGTAGCGGCGGTCTTTGAGCGCGAGGAGAGAGAAGGGGATGATCACCAGGAGAATGGCCTTTTCGTGGACGTGCCAGCCGAACAGGAAGGAGGCGTAGCCGCAGAGTGTTACAGCTCCAACGAAGGTGTCCCAGGTGGGGTCGAAGAAGAGCTTTATCAGGGGGAGGATCTGGAAGAAGAGAGTTAGGATGAACGTCGTCCTTGGTGTAATCTCGGGCAAGACAGCAAAGGACGTGTCTCCGACGAGTCCTCGAGTCACGCTGTTGATGGCGTTTTGATTGACTGCTAGACCAAGCCGCGGGGCAACTGAACTCGTTAGTTTGACACTCCCTAACCTGGGGGTTACGAACCATAGATCAAAATACGATCAGTGAAAGAGTACATTGCCCAAATATTGGGAGCCCAATAAGCGTGGCATAAACCCCGTGAAAAGGGGAACAATCTACTCAGCAACTGAGGTATCTGTTCCCAATACACGAATGGCCCAAACGCAGCTCCGAATACAGCAATAATCCCTGTGCCTAGCTTCAAACAATTGCCGAATTTGATATGGAAGATTGACTTTGGACCAAGGCAATACGCTCGAAGCAGGTATACGAAGTACGCTGGCGCTAGATAGAGGTATATATGCTTGCAGCAGAGGAGAGCCGCGAAAAGGAGGCCGCTTGCTAGAGTCGTTGACTTCTTCCTCGCCAACACCAGCGACAAAATCAAGATGCCATACAGGAAGCCATTATACTGAAAATGGATATGGTCAATGATCAAAAGACCCGGCGAGAGAAGGATTGAGAGAGCCGCGGCATGGGACGGACGTTTGAGTGCAGGTGGGGCGCTTTGAACGAAGCTTCAAAATGTCAGCCTCTTCCTCAACCTCCGCGTAAGTAACTCACAGGTGAAGCGCGTATAACAGTACAAGCTCCGTGATAATAACCGTCGCACGCTGAAAGTACACCGTCTGCCAACTATCATATTGTAGGTTGTACACCCTCAACATCTCCGGATCCACCAGCTTGGCGAATTGGGAGAGGATCCATTCGAAGTATGCGAAGAACGGAGGATAATCGAGAGTCCATTCCGAAGTCTTCTCGTAGTACCAATCTCGCACTGGCAAGCTGTTCGTGATCGCCAACCAATTCCTATGGACCTCGAAATCCGTCGACTTGCTGCGCGATGGTGAGCTTCGACGCATGCGCGTGAGTGGAAAAACTTACTATGCAGGGAAGAGTAGCACTTTGAAGGCGGTAGCTACCACCGCACATTGGGCTAACGAAGGATGCAGGTCGTCTGCCATCTCCCCATTGCCAACAGGGCTGAGTGGTTGCGAAGAGATTCCTCAGGAATTGTGGAGGAGGCAATTGGCCGTTGGAGGTTGCCGTTGTGAACGAAGGTTAAGGTAAATAACCGGCGCGGACGCCACAGTACCGTGTAGAATGTACAATGTAAAAGGAAATAAGAAATCAAAAGAACCGGAGTAAAAATTAACCAAACTCACTTCAGCCCAGTTCAATCGTAGATATGTACCTGGAAATAAGTTATACTTTACTACATCTACACAATTAAATGAAAATCCGAAGAAATCAAGATCTAAAGGATACTTCGTATAGAAGAAAAGGCAACAGAAAAGTCACGACTATAAATAAATGCAGGGGTAAATCTCCCGCAGCACCGACGTCGAACCTTCATATATCTCAGATATAAAGGAATGGACGCAGCATTCATGCCCACCGAGCTTGCAGTGGCCCATACCCATAAGATCACACTTGAACTCGGCCCCTCGATTACAGCCCTCGGAAAGCCAATTCGAAACTTGCTGATCGGTGCTGCGGTGATATACTGCATGACAGGTCTGGTTCGCAGCACCTTGCAAACTGTCCTCAAGAGCCGCGACACACAATAGGTACTCCGTTCTTACTTAAATCCTCTCAACTTTCTTGCCCACCCCTGGGTTAGCGGTCCGAGACGGAACGGCAGCGGGAAGAGGTACAAGAGCTGGATAAAGCTATTTGAAGCTTGCAAGAGTGACAATGGTCTCCCTCAGAGCACCTCTGTCCGCCTTTGCCTCGGCAGCCCTATGGGCGTATGCGCAAGCTGCCTATCTCAACGGTGAATTGAGCTTTGGCTTGAATGATAAGTAAGGAGCCTCTGCTCTGTCATGCAAGTTCAATTTACTGACCTGCAAAGGATTTCACCAAACCTGCGAGACGTACCAAACTTCCATCTTATTGGAAACCCAGATCCACCAGAGATTTTATCGAACAAAATTGTCCTTACTACACCAGTTTTTGGGAACCAGAGAGGGGCGGTATGGGCCGACAAGCCATTACTACATTCTTGGTGGACAGCAGATATCGATTTTCGGGCAACCGGTCCTGAGAGGGGAGGGGGAAATCTGCAAATATGGTACGCGGCACGAGGGAGAGAAGAGGTTGGGTCATCAAGCATATACACAGTAGGAAAGTTCGACGGACTGGCACTGGTGATTGATCAACATTCAGGATCCGTATGTCCCTCCCTTTCTAGTTCCGTGTCTTATAGCTGATTGTCCATGAAGGCCGGATTCATAAGAGGCTTTCTCAACGATGGATCCACCGACTACAAGTCCCACCACAATATCGACAGCCTGGCATTTGGCCACTGCGAATATGCATACCGCAACCTAGGCCGGCCCTCTCGAATCTCTATTCAACAATCAAATGAGAAGTTCCGCGTGGAAGTCGACGGCCAGCTCTGCTTCGAGAGCCCCAAGATCCGCCTCCCCACGGGATACAATTTCGGTATCACGGCTGCCTCCGCAGAGAACCCGGACTCGTTCGAAGTCTTCAAGTTCATCGTCACCACCGAATCCCCCACTCCCGACGCGGAGGATCCAAACCCGAGCAACCAGCAGGAATCTGCTGCAGCGAGGGCCCAGAGACAAGCACCCATATCTCCCAACGCCAACCAAGGCTTCTCTTCTGACCCAGCGTCCTCGTCCGAAGCCCAGTTTGCCCATCTGCACAACAGGCTACAAGCGATGATGCAGCAAGTGTCGGCGCTGAACCGCGACATAACCCAATCGCAGAGCACTGCGGCCGCGCGCGCCAGCACTCTCGAAGCGCAGATGAGCCGCCTCGAGAGGTCCGCCGAGAAACTCGATTCTCTTGCCGCCATCGATAGGAAGCTGAATGAGATCCAGGCGGATGTGCGGCAGACGAAGGCGGAGCTGCACAGGGCCTTCGAGCAGCAGGTGTCGGGCCTGAAGACCGTGGTCAGGGATACGCATCATTCCATGGTTGGCAGTCTGGCCGAGAGCGCACCGGGAATCATGGGGTATTTCTTGGTGGCGATTGGGAGTCAGGCGTTGACGGTCGTTGCGTTTTTGCTATACAAGAGGAGAAAGGCGAATGGGCCGAAGAAATACCTGTGAAAAAGGGGCTGGAAATTGTATTATAGAGTGCTACAGGATTTGCGCTTCACGAGTTCGGACTGATGAATACGTAAATGAAATGAGTATTTCCATGTCATTGTCACATGCCCTCCTCTTTTTGAGTAATGACTTTCAGGTCAAAATGATGCCTCCCTGGGCAGACCCGATAATTATATATACAGTATCACAATGCTAGATGTAACTAACCTTGACGCCCATGCCCGCCGTTTGAAGAACCTTTGTCCAACCCTGATTCGCAGCCCTTCTGATACGTTCTCTCACATCTCTCCTCCCAAACAGCACCAGGAACGCCACCATAAAACAAAGCGTCCGTAGCAACAGCATCGGGTTTGTGCTGAGCGCCCCTGCCATACTCTCCAGCACCTTCTTTAGATTCGCAAGAATGTTTGCAGCCCTTGTTCCTAACGTCGGTTCGACTTTCCCTTTCCGGACCGGCTTTTGCGGTTTCGATGATCTTGTGGTAGGTGGTGGCGATTGCGGTCTATTTCTTGAGCCCTTTGCAGACCCCCCTTTAACACTCCTAGCTTTGGCAGACCCGGAACTAGGATACGAATCCTCAACGCCGTAATCAACCTCTGAGCCCTTCCTACTATCCCTTTTCTCTTCCTGTAACTTTCTTTCCCTCTCTTCTTGCTCTCGTTTCCTTCTCTGCTCTTCGATCTCGCGCTTCAGCATCTCTTCCTGATACCTTCGTTCTTCCCTTTGCCTTCTCTCAGCATCAAGCTGCTCATCCTGCAGACTCTGGAGTGCCTGTAAGAATGCCTCCCTGCGCTCTTCATCTAGAACCTCGCTCATAGTGATAAACTCCCGCGAGTAGTCCCATTCGTTGTTTCGGAGAAGAACATGCAGTGTGTAGAGTTCTAAGATCTTGACCCGTGCGTTGAGGTCCCGGGGTGTGTCGGTCCCAGATTTCATGGGGCTACGGCGGCCTTTTGGAACAGCTTGAAGGCGTTCAGCAATATTAAGATTCGGGGAGGTCGAGGCTGCTAGGTAGTTTTCCAGTCGCGTTTGGTTCGTCTTTTGCGTGTTCGCGTGAGCTAATAACAATGTTGCTCTGCGTTACTCAACGGTCAGTAGCTGATACGATGGTAAGACGAATAGGAACGGAAGGGCATACAAGTTTATCACAACGTCAGCGTCAACATCCCCTTCTACACCGCCATATCCATTCCTCACAACATCTTCCCATACCTCGCCCTCCCGCACCTTGTTAACCAGTGCCCTGAATTCGGAGGTCCCAAACGCGGCCTTGCCCTCGTCGGGAGCGAGTTCTAATACTGCATTTAAAATCGTAAGGTATAAACTCCAGACCTTGATCCGCGTTGTGCGTGACGCTTTCGCTATAGGTGCTCCTTCCCCGCTCCCCTCGGCATTATCTTCTGCGGGGGGTGGGGTGATGACTGGTAGGATTGTTGAAAGAGATTCGGGTAATCGACGCGTTAAAAAGAGAGTAGAGGCCTGTCGGTATATCTTGGAGATCTGCGACGAGGCTTGTCGGGAGCTGGTTGAACTTGAAAGAGAGGACATGGATGAGGACAGCAATTGAGACGAAGAAAGAGTTTCTGGAGTTGGAGAGAGCGTCATGGCGACAGAGCCTTCTAGAGGCATGGATAGTCTTCAACTTCTTGTCGCACAATAGAGTTGGGGGAGTCGAGGAGTTGAGGGTTCAACAGTTAAGAAAGGGGGCGAAGGAGGAGGAGGAGGAGGAGCGTGTCTGGTATACAGCTACGTGACGTTCGGTCATTGCATCTGAAAATTGATGGGGCCGGCCGAAGCCTCGGTCCAGCACAGAAGACGCTGATTGGTGGGCATGACTAGTGTAAGCACTTTTGTGCAGGGGACATTACTTTTATGCAGATGTCACAAATAACTCCATGCGGGGAAACACGAGGCTGAGCCGGAGCGTTTGTTTACATGAGCTTTGATTGAGGGGCTTTGTTAATCGTGTGCTTGCTTACCTATGATTGTGAGTTGAAAACACACCAAAGAAAGCAGATACCGACAGATGCCATCTCTGCTTGGACAATTATAAAAGCCTCTACAGTATTTTATTCTCTCATCCCCAACCCCCTACTAAGTAAGTGCCCAAAACCTGAACGTTATATATAAAATCCACTTGTTATGAATTGCAAAAACGATACTTTACTTGCTCACTCTCACGGAACTGAATAGTACTTTACATATCTATTGTTCCTACCTACGAATCAATGAATTACCAAAACCTACCTACGCAGTAATTAGGTAATTTGGCCTTTTTGTACGCCTCCACAAACTCCCCCCCTTTGGCATTCAAAATCCCACTCGCTAATTCTCGCTACCCCCTAAGGCAAGACCGAGGTTTACTTCCCTACTACACATGATTGACGAAAAAGACAACACCGTAAAGGACACAACGACCACAAATGCGAAAGCCCTCGACACAACTTCAATTCCAATCTACCACCAGACATCGAAGCATCATCCATCGTCCGCAGCATTCTCGCCATCCAGCCCTCCTTCGAGGCTCCACTCAGTGGCACTCACCCTCCTCTCCCACCACTTCGAAGCCTGCAAATATAAGGCTGAGGCCGATCTGCCTCTTACACCTAGAGCCACTGCTCATTTTCGTCGTCCTACCTAGTTAACGAATAACCATCCGACCTTCACAAACCTTGACCCCACAACGCAACCAAGCGCAAGCCACATCCAGCCAAAGACACAAGCTACCGCGATTCATGATATCTGCCCGGGTTCTAAAGAGGAAATTTGTGGCAAACACCTCGTCCCAGGACGCTGATCTCCGTATGTCTCCAGAAATTGTTTCAAGTTTCTCAAGAGTCTTGGATTTCTTTAACTAATATGTCTCCAGATACCGGTGCTTGTAGCATCGAATATTAGTGGTAGGATATGCTGTTTTAACATACCCTGCACTGGCATCTGATAGTTTAACGTACCCTACGCACCGCTGTTGTAATTCAACTAATAAGAGCGTCAGGATTTAGGGGCTTTAGCCAGTGCCTATAGGTACTGTCTATAGCGCACACTCTCACTATTAATGTCGCTGTCGCTGTCCAGGAGCGATCCAGGGTCTTGGAAGTTATTGTCCGCCTTCTGGTCCCCTCAGCAAATTCAACTTTGGCAGTCGAAAATTTTCTGCGATCCCCATGATCCCTCTAAACCAACAGATGCCTGTTTCAATCTTTTATGCCTCTCCGTGCTGGGCCAACTACAAGTAAGGTGCATTGGACTCCAGAAAGCTGTAACGAAGTTATTAATCTGTTGTACTTTTATAGTTGGCCCAGGTTGCCCCCAGCCCCCGACGCAGACTCTGCATCTTCATCTTCGTCCCTCGCTATTGCACACGGTTTAGCCAAGCATCCTGTCGGTACTCATCTCCCAAGATTTGAGCTTTACCATGTTAACCATGGCTGATGCCTCTTTCATCTTGATCTGAGCGAAATGGGTCAAGGAAACCATGAAGGAGTACAACGAAGTCAAGGCTACTCTAATGGCGAGCGACGACAAAGTTATCAGAGCGTATGGCTGGCACTTACACCAGCAGACGCAGGATCCAGACCTTACGGAAGCAATAGGCGCGTTCATAAAACGGTCCCCGAGCCGTTTTCGCGTCTCAGATCACATTCCGGCTCGCCCTCAGCAGTCCAGTTTCAACGTTCCCCAACAGTCCGACTTCAGCGTCCCTCAGCAGTCCGGCTTCAACGTTCCTCAGCAGTCCGGTTTCAGCGTCCCTCAGCAGTTCGGAGGACTCGGCGGCCCCCCCGGCGGTCTAGATGAACAGTATCAAGAGCCTACTGTGCAACAATCGATGTACAGCATTGCGAACCTTGTCCGTGAATAGCTCCAAATCACGCAAGCAATCGGATGAAATGATTTGGATCAGAGAACAACAACCCTGCCCTCCAGCAATTGTATGAGGGACAAAAAACCGCAGCCAATAAGTACCAAATCCTCCAGTTTGGTAGGCCAGCAATGCAGCTGGCTTAACTGGGGCCATTGCGGCCTGTATGTTTACAGTATCATTTATCGTCCCACATCTGGACGATAAGTTTGAAACAGTCCCAGAGACCGTGAGAGCCCTCCTTGGGCTCTCCGTCACCCTCTCTGCTCTCTCCGTTATCCTTCCAGCTAGCCGCAAGAGCTCTTAAATCATAAACATTCGAAGGTATGTCGGCTTCCCTCAGCATCCCTCAGCATCCCTCGCTCAGACAGACAACACGATGCTGAATCTCGCAGTTCCCATCACACCACCCAAACCAGGCTCTCAAGCCGCGCAGATGTCGCCCGCACAGTTTCTTGTCTCTTCCCCTACTCGAGCCTCGGTAAAGAGGAAGGCGTCGCTCCCAAAGGTCACAGAGATGCAGGCGAAGCGATTCTGTCTCGAACCACCACCAAACTCCGACGATACTACAATGCCAGTTCTTGAAGAAGGTCCGGAAGGTAAGTCATTCCTTGTGCTGTCTCCTGTCTGAAAGACTGCTTTCAGATATATCTGACCTTGACTTCATTTAAAGGCTCACATGAAAATCAGGGTGCTGGACTCATTCCTGATCTACTTTAGGTACCTATGCTTTAGTTAATGATTTTAGCAATGTTTAATCACTAATTTGTATCGTGTATAACAGAGAGGTAGCTGGAACTACCCTGAGGTTCTCGGGGATGGTGAAATAGGACCTGAAAACTCGGACCTGTTTCTTTTACGATACAAGGAGCTCGGGTTTTATGGCGGTTTATACCGGCCAAGGAACCACAGGGGAGAATGAGGTGAAGTTGATCAAATTGGTTGAATCTTGCAGTAAGAAATATACCTTGTCTTGCCCGGCACTACAACTGCAACATCGATCCCTTACCTCAGCGAGTAGGGAATACCGTTGAGCATCCACAGAGTACAGTATCGGACCAGCAGCTTGAAAATAATTTTAAGACCGAACTTTCTTTAATCTACGGGACCATACAGTGCTCGTTACTAGATTTCCGCCCCAGATATTCGAGATAGAGTCCATAGACTCCGACAACCCGGTTATTCCAGGTAGAAAGGCGTTATATTTCCCAGAATCCCAGGTCCTCATCTTCACAATGCCAGGACCTCCTCACGAAATTGTCAGTCGAGAAATAGAATTTCTCTTGGGTTCCGATTTTTATATTTGTACAAAGGGCAAGGAAACAAGGAAGCAATAAAGAAACTTTTGGTCCTTTGGATTCTGGCCACCTCACAACCATCATCTTTTAGCATTCAGGTATTATTTGTTGCCTTAACGCAGCCTGATCCAAATTTCGACCAGGCTGACATCAATTGGTGACTACAGTGCTTCCTCCTCTGCCATGGAATTCACCGCGGAGTTTGACGAAAGGAAGTTCGGCGATGTTGTTAGTGGAAGCTGGGATGAAGACACTGCTGCCTTTGTCGACGGCTTAAGGCAAAGATCCCAAGACATGTACAGAGAGCTGCTTAGTGCTATTAGCATGGTCCCTTTTATTTTGTCCACAAAGAACAACTTTGCAATCCCATCGTCTATGCCAGCTGAGGTGCTTGCTACTATCCAAGAAGTCGATCACTAGGGCACCTAGCACCGCGACGACATCATAGAAATCCTTAAGGCACATGCACCACTCTTTCGTAAAGGGCTAGGGTCTTTCAACGATGGAATCCAGATGCCTATTCCGTTTAAAGTCAATGCGGACCTAAGCACCCTGAAGCAGCAACCATACTCCCTCTCTGAACGGGACCTTGCCACCATTGACGATATACTGAACCCTCTTCGCGTAGCGGGAGTCGTCGAGGAGGTCCCCCTAGGCCAGCCGTCCATCGTAGCGTCGCCCGCCTTCGTAGTGTGAAAGGACAACAAGCCGCGACTGGTAGTGGATCTGCGGCGGGTCAACTCGAAAATGAATCCAGACGCATACCCCCTACCTAAGCAGGACGACATACTCGGTGCTATGGGAGGAGCTCAGGTCTTCTCGATCCTAGACATGGCCAAGTCCTTTTATCAGCAGAAAATTGTGCCGGAGGACCGTAATTGGATTGTCTACAGTAATTCTGATTTTGTGGGTAATACATCAAGGTTAGCCATCCCATGCTAATTAAACAAAAGCGTGATCAAAACCGTCGAACTCCAAATTCTCCAAATTTACCCCAATCATGCTAAATCCCACAATTAAAACATGGCCAATAACCCGAGGATCACCGCTCCGGCACTGAACAAGTTCCCAGACAGGTCAGTTGCAACACCAGCACTAGATTGTGTTGCAGAGCTGCTGGAGGCGGTACTCGAACCGCTGCTAGATCCACCAGTAGGGGCAGCTACAACAGAGCTCTCAGTGGTGAATATGGTGGTGGATGCGACAGTCGTAGTAAAGGTGGAGCTGGCGCTAGTGTATGTAGAAACAGAATAGGAGGTGGACTCTGCAGAGGTAGTGACAAATGTAGATATAGAAGTTATAGTCGAGTTGCTGTTTGTCTTGAGAATGCCGCCTACCGGGCCAGTGGGTGGGGAGGTACTAGTGCTCGCGTTCTTGGCAAGAAGAACGAAGGCATCGAAGGTATTACCCGTGGTGGGAGCATTGATGGCACCGACCATACCTGCTTGGCAATGGTTCCCGACCGTTTGCCCGCAGTAGAACCAGATGGGCTTTGTGTCGTTGACAGTGATAGTGAAGGTAGTATCGGAAGGAGAGTCTTTAGTTGGAACGAAGCTGGAGAAGAACCCGCCAGAAGAGAGAGGATGGCACGGGTTGCCAAAACTTGACTGAGTGACGGTATGATTCTGCACGTATAGTCAGTCATCATGCACTTCTAATTATTCGTCGAATGGCATGCCTTTGGGAAGAAGCTAAACTCTATCTGAGTACCGACAGGAGCGACAATGTTATTTGGGCTGTATGCAAGCTTTCCATCGGCACCGACGGTGACTTGAATAGTCTGTCCGGTCTGAGCGTTGACAGTAGCAGCGGAAATCGCAAGGAGGCCGAGAAAGGCGTTTGAGCAATGCATTATGACTTGGATTGGCAATTAGAACCAACAATCTTGGGGTAATGGTTTTGGGTACTAGGATGAAATGGATTGAAATGGCTGATTAGAAGGCTAGAGCGATGCGGAAAGAGAGAATTTGAGAGTTCCTCGACTTCCTTTATACTACTTCATATGCGGTTACCAACGAGGAACACAATGCGAAAGTACAAAGTATCTGCTAAGCCCTACAAAACAAAATGGGTGCTGCATGTTTGCACTGGCGGGGAAAGCCACTGCCTTCCAACTAGGCTGAGAGCCTCTGCGGAGTAATAAATATCACACGGCATGGGCAGTAAGCTGACTCCATAGGCCAACACCTCTCTGCAGTCTGTACGGCCGCGTGGCATCTTCAAACCACGAAGTATCTGAACTGTAGCAAAATCTAAAAATATGGGGTTTGTCAGCTACGAGGCGCACTTTGGCGACTCCACTAAGCCTCCGGACGGACAGACAATTCGGGCCAAGCAGATGGAAACAAATAAAATAAACCATCCATAAAGGCTGTGAGGTCATAAATAGAATTAAACCATTTTTCTGTTTTGAAACGGGGACGTGTCGCGCGCTTACGGGACAGAAGTTTGCAAAGGTCGTACAAACGATCAGCTGATATATTGAGTTGATTTGGGATGAAAGTACCAAGGGTTTGCGTAGCGATTAAACACTTCCTTGAATTATAATTGACGACATCCAAATCAAATGGAAATCTGTACTGTAGCGAAGACTGCCTTGAATAACGGCTTTATATCAGCAAGACCAACATCCCTAGCAGCACGTAGATCAAAGCTGCCCCTATTCTCTTCTATTCCCGGCAAAGAACAGCCACCCTCACTGTCTCTTGCCCCGAGGCATCGTCGTCAAACCCCCTTCCGCTAAGACTGAGTGTCAGGCGTAGTGAAACAACTCAGTTGGACAAAATTTCAGCTTCGACTCGTGGAAGAACTCGTAAGCCTAGACCAGGATGGCCTTTCAGCCCCGGATCGGAATTTTCCAATAATGCAGGACGTCCAGGATGGATTCCGATACCACGTAAGCCCAGACTCAATGCTGACGGTAAGAAATTCGAGATGTTATACAAGGATGCTCGGAACGCCGAGAAAACAAGCTTTGGATTTGCCCGCCCTTGGCATGGCATGCAAGCCCCAGGAGACTTCAGGAAGTGACATGCAACAAAGTATCTCAAGTAACTCTGCTATGGTTGGATCACGGCGTGAACCGATTTCCTGGAGAGTATGGAATGTCCAAACCCACACATACCCAAATCACCTATTCAAGAGTTCAACAACCGTGACAAGTACTCCGACTTCCGAATGACCGTGAATTCAGGACTCTAAACTTAGAGCCATCATTCGCTCTTTGCAGAATCGGGATTGTTGTCGACGACTTGCCCAGGGGGGTCCAAGCCGGTCCTCGACGGCGGTCTGCCCAAGGGTCTGAACCGTCTGATACTTGGCGGAATATCCACATCAATCCTTTCCAGCCAGACTTCTTGCTTAAATCCAGATCAAGGGATGCAGATATAGGTAAATACCTAGGGAAAGATCCTTCGACGAGAGGGCAGATCGTCGTGTTTTTAGGCTTTTTCTGATCGGCGAACAATGCTGCAATCTGGGACAAGCGAGCCGACGATTAGTGGGGAAAATCAGGGGCAGACACCGTTTACACACATCTTTCTCGAGGAAATCTTGAGTAATTTTCCTCAGGGAGTCAAGCACCAGCGACATATGGAAATGTAGAATTATGTTTCGTGAATTGAAACTGTATACAAAGAGATGCTTAGACTGAAAATCTTCTAAGACTCAAATACACACACAGCATTACCAACGACTGTATGGATCTGGATAACTAATTATTTGGTCCACCACCTCATATCCTACTCAGAATCCGACACTTGACAACCAGATATGAGTCTGATTGAATCCATCCTGCGCAGCATAGTGGAGCTGCCAGCAATGACCCGAGTCCGGAATACCAGACCAGCCATAAACACTAGCAGCTGGATATATGGTCTTGGTTTTTGCCAAAATGCTGCTCGATCCGTAGCCGCAATCAGCAGAGGTGAGGGGGGGAAGGACATTGCAGAAAATCTCGTCGTACTGTCCATTAATTACGTAGACTGGATGGTTGTATTCCGAAGCCGTGCCAATAGAAATGACACCCGTAACAGCCTCTCCGCATGACAAAGTCCCTCTCACCGTCCAGTCGTAGTCTGTAAGTGCGATATCGTAGCCTCCTGGGTAAAAGAAGACTTTGGTGACATCTGCCTTTATAACGGTTTGCAAATAGCATGGATTGAGGTCCCCATATTTTGCTGGGTTTGCAATCGAGGCAGGCAGTATACCGACGCCTGCGAAGGTGGAAGCGAATGATGTGATGAGGTTTTCACTAAACCCGGTGAGAACGGTTGCATCGACATCATTTGGATACTTGACATTCAGACCATTACCGATCATGGATCCAAAGCTGTGGCCGACATAAATCACCTTGCTGAAGGCACGAGGGAACGGTGCGGTGCCAGTTCTAGCCAATTGTACGATCGCATGGGAGACCTCGACTTGCGCCGGCACCTGTGCGACAAGAAGTGGATCCGGATGATCAGAAAGACCATTCCCAAGACGGTCAATAGCGAGTGTCGGGTAGCCTTGTTTGGAGGCATAAGCAACCCAGCTGTATTTGTCCCCATCGTAGCCAAATCCAGGAGCACCATCACCGGACCACTGGATAATAATCAGCTCAAGCTTCTAAGTATGCCACTTTGGAACTTCTGAATAGCAATGGCAGATATAGAAAGGGAACACTTACATAGTTGCGTGTATAAGTCGCCCCATGCACAAGAAGTTGCAATGTGTCGACCCGGGATGGAATATGCACTTCGGGCTCACAGTAAGAAGCCGAGATGTGGAAGGTACCCTGGACTGGAATATCAAACACCAAAGTAGAAACCAAGCTGAGGAGACTCTCGATGGTCTCGGCGTTGAGAGTAAAGTCTGAGGGCAAAGAGACGACGTCGGCCGCGATGGTAACAGGTATAGTCATATTCTGGCAGCTTGGTCCCCGCGAGACCAAGGGAGAGCTGGCAACCAAATTAACAATGGAGAATACGTTCAAGACCAGAGCCCCTGGAAGATTGGTTGGAGTCCGCATTTCGGGACACTAGGGCTTGCCTCTTGAGGGGCTGCTCCTAGGCGTGTCAAAGGTGCTTTGTGAAAGGCAAGAATTGAGGCCAGAGGTAGCATGGAAGATTTAACATCGGTAGAGCTGTTTCCGCACTGCCTTATACTGGAGTGCAGACCCGTCTCTACGAAGGGTTATCCATTGCCCGAAGGTCATTCACCACCTCTTTTGGGAGACATTTGAAAACCTGCGTTTCCTGTTGGCAATAATAGGAAGGAATGTGGGAATCGGAAAAGGACGCTGGGGAATATTCATAGGAGGAGGATTATGATACTAGGATGACTAGTTGCTGTTTTCCTTTTGAGAAAATCAGTATAGTGGTTGGAATACAACAATCCCTGGCGGCTATTGCGATACTCGTATAATTCGATATCCACAAACACACCAAGTACCCCTCTGGGGCCATATGACAATATTATGCGCGAGAAGCTAAGAAGTTGCCGGGGGACACACCGCAAGACGTACGTGCTGCACAAGGACGATATGCAAAACCCCTTACATCGTGGTTTGCTAGACTGCAATTCGGTCCTAACCTCCCGTAGCGAGGCTGAATGCACATCGCGACCCAGGAATCCGGTTCAGTCGCCCGTATTCGAGATTTTCCATACTTCGCCGTGCATTATCGACAAATTCACACCGCCCTTGACACAGATCCTGCACGCTGCGGCCCATCCCCGCCGTTCAACCGTCTGCTTGGGAGATTTTCGTCCTAATAAGGACCTTTACTCAGGTCATTCTCAGCTGATCTACCCACATGTTACAACATAAGAAAACGAAATCTGATGCATGCGCAACACGCTTACTACATCTAGACTTGTCCTAGGAAGATCAAGGTTGATTTCGAGCGCGTAGAGGGGTTGCACACAAACGGCCATACTTAGCACAACATATTCCTCAACTCTGTGAAAGGGAACTAAGTCACTCTCCAAGCCGCAAAAGAAATAATGACGGGAATATTTAGTATTTGGCAGAGAAAGAAAGACTATAAAATGTTCCCCTACCACGGGAAGATAAAATATCTTATACTTAAATATGGGATGTCTATTTGGCGATTTCAAGAACAGGAAGAAGAAGCTTGGAGATATTCTGCTGTCTCTAGATCACCCCAAAATCTATTGTGTATATTTTGATATAGCAGAGTACTACTGAGAAGGACATGCAAGGTGCATAGTCAGCATGCTTCACATACGCAGGACTTGACTCTTGGGTCACCTCACTACTTCCGAGTCATTGACTATGATCAGAGTGGCGACTCCTGGTCAATACACAATTAAATTTTAAATAAGGAAGACGTGGAGAAAGAGGAGACGGAAGGATATTGTAATCCTCATATTTGATAGGAGATAACCCAGAATTTCATAGTAAATAGGATAATTATGATCAAGCATGTGGCCCATAACTTCTTGGGAAACTTTGGTCAATTAAAGGTGACGAGAGATTGAGAGAGGAGTAGGTATACAATGAGAGAGGATATCCGCAAAGGCTGGGAAAATCCAATGAGTCTCAAATAATGTTAAAATACTGTTGCGAAGACGTAGACAATCCAAACTCCTATGAAGCCAAACTATAGAAACAAAATAAAATCTGCAGCTTGCAGCAACGGAGGAAGATGGTAAATGAGACCATTTGGGATAGAATTTCAAGATATACGTGGTTGCAACGAATGTGCGCCACAGATTCTTCAATGCTAAACCTGGTCCTTAATCAGACATTCTTATAAGCACCGGGTACATCGGCGCTAATCTTCATAAAATTTCCTCTCGAGCTTGAAACCAGCCGTCTCAAGGCGATCAATGAACTTCTGCCCGAGACACGCAGGTGTGTAGATGCCACCAGAGAGCTTATGATCATCGCGAAGAACCGTCATCGCGGCCGCGGCCACGGAGATTCCGCTGACTGCTTTCCATTAGCTTCGTCTGTGGTCATGATCGAGATGACTTACAAGCATACAAAGATCCATCAAAAAAGGCACGACAAAATGCTCTACCAGGATTTGGTGTCTGAACATCAGGTCTCGCGATGCCTCGATATTCAAGCCTATCATTTTTCACCTGGTCTTTGGTTGGTCCCTCGCCTGGCTGATAGACGTATTTCCGCGCAATCGTTCGGACTAGGGGAATAGCGAGAAGTAACGATCCTATCAAGAGACCCCAGTGCACGGCTATACCTATGAGGTAGTTTCTGACTTTCATGTATTCTGCAAAGTGAAAGTTGGGACCATACCCCAGTATTCCCCAGCTTCGTTGCACAATGGGTGTGTCCACGATGCCTCCCAAGGAAGTTGAGAGGATCCCAAGGTCTGGGACTGAGCGGATTCCAAAAAGCTTGGTAACTAAAGACGTGCCACTGCTAGTCTTCGGACCTGGGATAGGAGAAATTGCATATGGTAAGTTGGCCGCTGCAATTTCCTTGAGACTGTAGACATCCATGATTGTGAAAACTGAGGCCAAGGTTCCACCGGAGGGCATAGCGCTAGAAATTCATGAGGATGGTTCTAAAAGTAATTCCAAGGGACAAAGGGAGTTAGCCTCACCTTATGTCATGGAGTGATACTACAACTTCAGCAGTAGGTGCTGAGAACCTCTCTCGAATCATGTCGACCAGAGACCACGTGACCAAGTCTGCTGGTGCTGAGTCGACGGCAATCTGAGGGATCATGATGCTGCCACTAGCTTTGGCTACTTTCTCATACTTCTTGATCATGTCGGCTACGAAGGCAACCTCTCCCGTAATATCAAGATAGTGGGTGCCATTCTCAGCGCAAGCTTTGAAGGCAGGTTCTCCGTACAGTGCATAAGGACCGATTGTGGCGATGAGAACAGTGGTCTTTTTGGCTAGAGCAGTTAAATCCTCATCGCTCAGACTGCAGACTTCAATAGCTGTACCATGTCAGCTCAGAGGTTCTTTGCTGCTGCGAAAACGAGCCGATGGAGTGCTATCAGACGGATCGCTTGATCTTAGATGATGAATCTTGAACGTCTTTGAGAAAGTTCCATGTGCACGTGTCACCCCATCGATTAAAGCAAGCTCAATGATAGATCGCATAGGCTCAGGGATAAATCCTCATTCGCGGACCAAGGTTCACGTGACTCAAGGACTGAAGAAGAAGGTAAGGTAGCTGCTTTCTTACCCGGTTGGATTCTATCGGGATTCAAGGATTTGCATTCTGCTGCAACTCTCTCCAGCTTTTGTCGCGAGCGTCCGGCCAGAGCCCATCGAAGATCAGTTGGAAGGCTTGTGGCTATATGCTCGGCCGTGAACTTTCCCGTGTAGCCCGTAGCACCGAGGACTACAACATCGTATTGGCGTGCCGACATTTATCGTATCTTAAAGATTCAAGCTCTGGATAAATTGGGTTTGAATGGACAAGTAATGAAGTTTACCCTTTGAATGATGCGATATCAATTCCTCATGAGAAGAACAAGGTACCCAGGTACCTAGGTAGGCTCTTCGCGCCCATCACATGCCGTCACGACTCGTGGAGACGGCCCGGGGAATTTCAGGTCCTGCGCATTCGGCAATAAAATCACGTGAAGTAAAGTGCCTCAGGCATTAATACCTCGCACGTTCTCTTAGGGCACAGTCTTAGCGAGCCACAAAAGAATTTGGACATGTAAAATCAACCTCGACAAGCCTCTCCAACTTTCAACACCGTTCATCACAGCAACATCCGCCAAGATGACGAAGAGAACCAAGAAGGTCGGCGTGACCGGTAAATACGGTACCAGGTACGTGAGAAAACCATTTATGGAATACAACTGCTTTGGCGAAAGCCTTCCGAATTCCCAAACCAGAAATCATTATCCTTAACCGCACAACAATTTCACAACGATGAGCTCTCAATTCCTGGTTCTACTCCCAGCCCGAGATCAGAGTGCTGATTTATAAATGATTCTAGATACGGTGCCTCCCTCCGAAAGCAGGTCAAGAAGATGGAAATCACCCAACACGCCAGATACGTCTGCACCTTCTGCGGAAAGACCACCGTCAAGAGACACTCTGTTGGTATCTGGGACTGCAAGTCGTGCCACAAGACCGTCGCTGGAGGAGCCTACACCGTGTCGTACGTTTATACCAAGTCTCCCGAGGTCATCATGACGGAGGGCAATGAAACAATTGACAGAGTGGAGACTGACATTGCCTGGATAGAACACCCGCAGCTGCTGCCATGCGATCAACGCTTCGACGATTGAGGGAAATTGCTGAGGTTTAAATGGGACACGGATGGTGATGAGGTTTCTACTGGCTGGAGCATAGGGTCGGTCGCTCTCATAGAGCACGAGCTTCGACGTCGCTTCGATACGGCTCAATAAAGCACTTCAAACCCACGTCGCGTCCCCTTCCTTTCGTGTCTAATTTGCGATCGCTCGATACCTGGAAACAATTCGTGAAACATGCTATATGGTATTGGTGAATGGACATTGAGAATCCTGATTGAAACTTGTAGGCAACGGCGGTTATCATTCTACGAGTGATGTGCTTCGAATTCCTCCCCCCCTTTGTGCGCTTGAAAAACGATAATGCTTGGTAAGGTAGGAAGATGGGTGTGAGACAGCAGCCGGTTTCAATCGGAAAATGAGTTTATGTGCTTGCATGATGAACCGCTGGGACAAAGGGCGACAACAAAATCGTGAAGCTATCGAAAGCGATACCGAGACTGGGAATCATTAACCAAGTCCGTTCTTTGCTCGCCGTTACATGGGACGGGTATATCTATGGCTGCCTTGCTTCATGGGACGGCTTAAGGGAGTTTGATTCTCTGTTTCATCCTTAGTTTCTCTTTTCTCGTGACGCACTGTTGTCTTGGTCAGGTACCTACCTACCTCCTACGTTATCTGATTGCTCCAAGCTGGGATGCTCGAGAAAATCACATGATCGAGTCATCACCCGTTAGCTGCGCATACAAAGCAGTGAATGCCTGAATGCCCCTGATGTATGAAATTTTTGCAATTTCCGCAATGCAGTTTGTGTCCGCTACAGAATGGAGTAAGCTCCCATGACTCCGTCATTCATCTGACCTATTGGATGCAGGCAACTCGGCCTATTGTTCTTTTTCATCACATCATCAGCCGAAGGCCACGGCGCACAGATCACGGGCACACATCATTCGACCTCGAGCGAATCCGGGTCACGGGACTACCACATTATTCCACGGGCTTTGGCGACAGACGTTCCGGGAGGGGGCTACAATAAGACAAAGCTCATTACCAACGATACAGACGCCAGCTCCGCAGCGATAGGAGGAGACCAGATTGTATCATACTTCGTCCTGACCGCTTTCTCGTTGATATCCGGCACAATAGGTAGCAAATCCACCGGCGGCCTATCGATTGGCTCGCTTAGCTGATGCGCTACAATCATTAGCGTGCCGACGTCCCTTTCTCGAGCCAGCCTGCTCTCCATCTTCGCTTTCTATCAACCTCGCCGCTTATTTCACGATTCTACGACTCCTCAGCTTTCCAACTTGCACCCTGTTGCAATACAAAACATAAAACAAAACCCCCCTCAAGAATCACGGACCGTCTTTCATGACTTCTTTCCCCCCTACTCACAAACAAATTCACCAATCATTCTGTCGGCATGGCTGACCAGTGCATCATCTGTCTTGAGGAGTTGGAGGAGACGGTTCCTGCCGCTAGTATTCACGATGATCTTCAACATGCGAGAGAAGTGACGGAGCCGCTTTCAGACCTTACCCTCGCAACACCACATCCCGAACCCCCCAGTGTTCAACAACATATCGCCGTTATCAAGCCATGCAATCATATCTTACATGATGCATGTTTGAGGGAATGGTCTCAGAAGGCTAATAGCTGCCCGATTTGTCGCCATGCCTTTAACTCTGTGTACGTACTGGACAAAGTCGGAGGTGAGTTCCCGCTCTTTTTCTTATGTCTTGTTCTATTCCTACTGGGAGATCTGGCATCCGAGTCAGTGGAGTTCCTCTGCGACTAAACAGGCCCATTTCTTCAACTGAAACTTTTGGTTACCTCGCAACTCATAGTTGTTCAATTGCTGATTATTGTTTTTCGCCAGGCAACCAAATTTCAGAATACGAAGTCAAGGATAAGAAGCAAGTCGCCGAGTTCGACCCCAGTGTGTGGGCTGCGGAGAACTCTGAGGATATTCTAGAGGATACTTCAGAGGAAGATAGTACTCCATGTCCGCTGTGCGGACAGTCTGACCAAGAAGATGTCTTACTCCTCTGCGACATATGCGATGCTCCATACCACACATACTGCATCGGCCTTGATCGGGTCCCAAGCGGCAACTGGTACTGTATGGAATGCGCGGATCACGCACCAGTCGCGGAACCGTGGCAGGCGCCCGCACGAGGAGGCTCATTGTCTCAACGACCTTTCCCGAGAACCCAAGCCAGTGTTCGCCGTCATCGTCGCCGCGTGAGAGCCGGTCAGTGGTTTGGAGCTTGGAGTAGTATCAGCAACACTGTCCATGCCGCTGTGGGTCTGGATCTCGACTTCTCAGATGACGACCAGTCCATGGCCAGCTATAGACAACATCAGCGTCGTACCTCCAACGAAAGAAGAGAATTTGAACGATGGCAACGGCGCCTGGATATTGCAGGTCGTCAAGGCGCTCGAGAAGTATTTCGAAATGCAGCTCCTGTGCTTCGCGCTCGAACGCCCCAGGCATCCCCTGAGGAGGCCAGAGCTTGGGGTGATCTCGAAAGGGCGAAGGAGATGGACACTACTAGCCCTAGGAGTAGAAAAAGAAAATCGAAGTCAGCGAGCGCCTCGCCTGAGCCATCTGAGCCCCCCAAGGAACCGGAACGGAAGTTGAAGCGACCACGGACCCGAAGAGTTCTAGATAGTGCGAGCTCATCGTCCGCATTGCCGTCGCACTCAGGCCGAGAAGCCAGCAATCATGGAAGTCCCTCCCGCCCACTCATCGACACAAATAGCGAACCTTCATTCTTGACATCACTCCTGAGAGAAGTTGAAAACGCTACGTCGGACGACGGATCCGCTTGGAGCTCGTCGACAGCTTTTCCAGCCCGAGTTACCAGCCCACCCATTGATTACTCCTCGCCTGCCGCATCGCCCTCACCATCCTCATCGACATATCACACCCCACGGGCCATGTCTATCACCCCACCACCACACATTTCGAAACAATCTGGCTCTCCCCTTCCTCTTACCTCCCGGATCGAGCCAATATTTCCTCCTGCGGACTATTCCCCGAATCGCTCTGCTCCTTCTGACACCACGCAAAGACACAATCATGAGTCGGCTTCTTCTACAACCGAAATCAGACACCCAAGACCTAGAAGACAGGAACCCGTCAGACTCCCTCGTTCCAATGGAACATCACCTGCAAGAGCAGCTATGTCGATGGAAGCCAAAGAGAGCATCAACAAGATTGTCAAATCGGCACTTGCACCACACTGGAAATCCGCTGGGATCACCAAAGAACAATACGCCGATATCAATCGCGACGTATCGAGAAAGCTGTATGAGATCGTTGCAGAGAACTACTCTAATGATGAGAAGGACCGCTGTGCGTGGCAGGAGATAGCTACTCATGAAGTGGCGAGTGCTGTAAGATCATTAACGGCGTGATGACATACTGAAACGATAACGCACTTACGACATTGGGCGGGGAACTGGTCTGGAGAACATAGGCGCAATACTTTGAGATACCCGGTACGGATTGGCACATTGGGCGGTCACATGGTATTTTGCATTTAAAAGGTCCTTGTACTTGGGGTATCATCAGTCTTTAGACCGGGCGTCTAACGATGGACCCCGTGGCGTTTCATAACACTGCTTGCTTTGAATGACTTGCGGAGTACGTTGCAGATACTGCAATGTTCTGTACATAAATAAATTCAGAAGAGCCTACTACCTACATTCTGACTATGCCTAAAGACTAATACATCGTGAGACATTCAAGTTTCTGAATTGAGTATGTAAGGAACCAGAACGAGACACAGATCGCATAACACAAATGCGAGGCCGAAGCCATTTGGGAAATGGGTTACTCGGCGCAGAGCTGTCCATTGTAGAGCTGTCTTGCCTAGAATCCAGCTCCGCCTGGACAACAGCGGTGCAACGAGGTGGAGAGCCTTCTATCTCAAGTCTTTTTTCTTGTTATGCCACACTTCCTCTCTGCAGCCGGATAACCCTCTGGCCTCTATTGATCCTCGATTTGAAATGTCAACAGTCGCTATCTAACAGTTCCCGTGGGTAAGACGTAGGTACCGCTAGCGAAAAAAGCCTGTGATAACTTCACTCTCGACACCAGTAAATGATCAGGACGTTCTAGGAGGAAACAGGTCTTGATGATAAGGATTCGGTGTCTTGTTTTGTGGAAGGCCAAAACTTTGCGTGCGGGTTTTTAAGGTCGTTTTCCGAGGGCGCGCTAAGGAGCGGATTATGTAAGCGAGAAAAGTTAGGAGCTGGAAAGTTGAACGAGACTGGAAACAGAGGACTATTCAGGGAGCAGGGAAGGGAATTGATTGCGAGCAAACATGACCGCGAGCAGTAGAGGAAGCCAGGCTGCGGCCTCTTTGATACGTATGTCTCGCATTTCCCTTCCAGGAATTGAGCTGATCAAACGGATGTAGGATCCTCGAGACACCCCCGGGTCTGCTCCGACTGCATCAACCACATCTCTCGACCAACCCAAAGATCCTATGCTACTGAGGCGGCGTCCCTCAAACCTCTTGATGGACCTCAAGTTACCCGCCCAAGCAACCTCCCGCCCGTAACTTCGCACCCCGGACCCGCCGAATACATAACCAAGTCCGGAATTCTCCTTTCGCGCCCTCCCCTCCTTACCAGGCCCCCTACCTCTTTCGAGAAGGCCTTCTTCTTCTACCAGAAGCGTCTCAATGAGCGACTTGTCATGCCTTTCTCCCGTTATTTTTACTTCAAGAAAGACACGCCTGCGGACACAGACTGGAAGATCAAGGCCCGGGAACGCAACTGGCAACCTGCACGCGAGCTTGGGGGGTATAGTCCTTACGGCCCCGAGGCTTGGAATGATGAGTTGCTGGTCGGGGATAAACTCAGTGAGACGAGCACCATCATGGAAGCTCTGGTGAAGGATGGGCAGGTACGGGCAGTCGAAGGAAAAGATGGGAAAGCGCAGGAGGCTAGGGAGGAGGAGAAGGGGAAGGTAGAGAAGCCGTTGGGTAGAATCACAGAGGCGGATAAGACGAACGACCAAAAGAGACTGGATCGGAAGTTGAACAGGACATTGTACTTGTGTGTCAAAAGAGAGAATGGGGGTTGGGGTCTCCCATCTGGTGCGCTTGAGGGGAGGGAGAACTTGCATCAGGTTTGTCCTTACTCCCATAAAATTCCTTTCTTCCTATGTCTTGGGACGCCAAGAATGCTAATGGCTAGAAAATAGGCAGCAGAGCGTGTCCTCGTTCAAACAGCTGGCGTCAACATGAACACCTGGATCGTCGGACACGTACCTGTGGGACACCATATTCTACAACCCTACTATGTGGATGGTAAGCTGGAGAGGCCAGGCGAGAGGACATTCTTCATGAAAGGGAGGATTATGGCTGGTCAAGCGAATCTGAAGGGGAACCTGTTCGGTTTGAGCGATTTCAAGTGGTTGACGAAACAGGAGCTTGAAGACCATGTCAGGCCTAAATACTTTAGCGCCATCAGGAATATGTTGGCTGAGCGATGAGAGGAATATGATACCTTGAAAGGTAGGAGGGAGTCGTGTAGCATAGACTGCAAGCCTGTATGATAGAATTGTATTCTTAATATCGGAACGGTTACAATAGCCGGCTGGGATCCACGGCCGATGTCGCGTATCTATATCTGTCGACGGCGGGTTGATATAATCACGCCCTTGGGATCTGGAACGCCGACGACTTTTTGACAAGCAGGTATCTGGCAAATAGGTATATCTCCATCTTGTGATGGCTTGCCAGGATCCCAGAACAATAGGTCACCCGCTTCCGAACCTCTCAGCTCTCTCAGCTCTCTACGCACCTTGGCTGTGCAACCATCCCGGCACAGCCTTGTATATAAAGTTTCCACTCCTCACTCCTCCAGCTCTCATCGCTCCTTCAACTCTCATATCACTCACTCAGCACTCATCAAACCTCCTAAGATACCATTGAGACTCAACATGGAAGCCAAACCCAAGCAAATCATCATCCTTGGAGCCGGCGTCACTGGCCTCCAAACCGCCCTCTCACTCCTCACCTCCCCCCACCAGACCTCAGCCTCGCCCTACAAAATAACTCTTATCGCCAGCCATGTGCCCGGCGACGTCTCAATTCAATACACTTCTCCCTGGGCTGGCGGGCACTGGCGTTCTCACGCCACTCTGTCCGCTTCTGACTCCGAGTCTCGAGAGTGGGATGGTAGGACCTATTCGTACTGGATGCAGTTGCTGAAAAATGGAGACGGGAAAGAAGGGGAAAGCTATGAGGAGAGAGTGCAGAGAATTGGATTGGCCATCAAGGAGAGTAGGAATTACTGGGGTAAGGCAAGTGAGGAGACGGCCGCTGGGGGGGTCGGGCTGTGGTGGCGCGATGTTGTAGAGGGATTTGAGGTGCTTGATCTACAAGGTGGGCATTGGGAGCAAAAAGGAGAAAAACCTCCCAATGGCTCGGTGTTCGCCATTAACTACCAGTCCATAGCCATCAACGTCCCGCAATACCTCTCCTACTTAGAAGAAAGGGCTACGCAGCTCGGAGCTCGCATCATCAAGTCCTCTGTCGACGTCTCAAATGGACTTGAGGGTGTAGTGCGGGACGCCAAACGTATCCTCCTCTCCTCGGATCCATCCCTCAGTGAAAACTCCATCTTCGCATTGGTCAACGCCACGGGATTGTCAGCCCGCCACTTCGTCGGTCCTGAAGAAGCGGCAAAGCTCTATCCGGCTCGAGGACAAACCATCCTCGTCAAGGGAGAAGCCCAGATGTGTCGCACATACGTCGATGATCCCTCGGCCAAAGACGATGAGATCACGTATGTGATCCCACGCCCCGGCTCCGGGACTACGATCCTCGGGGGCTGTAAACAGGCTGGCTCTTGGGAGGAAAATGTAGATGAGGACCTCCATGCGAGGATCTTAGAGAGGGTGGAAAAGCATGGCATGGCGGAGGAGCTTAGGACTGGGCAAGGGCGCAGCTTCGAGGTTCTGGCACGTCAGGTGGGGTTCAGACCGGGGCGGAAGGGAGGGCCGAGAGTCGAGCTTGAGGAACGAGGAGGAGGGAATATAGATGGGATTTGGGTCGTGCATTCGTATGGCCATGCGGGTGCGGGGTATCAGAACAGTATTGGTAGCGCGGAGAAGGTCGTTGGCCTGATTGAGGCATTGTGATCCCGCTTTGGCAGTTTCTACACTCTGGGGAGAAACCAACGCCTTGGGGCGTTTAATGATTCTCGTTGATTGGATTTTGATTTGAGAGCCCCAGTAGTCTGAGAGCCTGATTATCTGTTTATAAGCTTTGTCACAGAACTCCATTTGATGATTATAGAGATCACAAATTGTGTGAAAAAGCCATCCGTCCAAAGCCATTGCAAACCCGTACGCGCGAAAAGCAATTCAGCACATATATCAGCTGACCAAACCAGACCTCCCCACCATTCGTCACGAAATAGCCAGACAATTCTAGGATGTCGTTAGAAAAGGAATTAAATATTCGTGAAAGATCACTCACTTACTACTGTAAGACCAAAGGCGAAGATTCCTCATATTGAGATTCGATGGCAGCCTCACGTGTCTTGACAGGGGAGGGACCGGTCGATGTCGTGCTGAAAGAAATGTCATGCTCGCTTCCGGACCCATCTGTAGGAGACGATGGGGCAGAAGGTGAGCCTGGAGGAGGCGCGGAAGCTGGGTGGGGTGCGAAACTCGGCTGAGGAACGGAGGACTCAATCCATCTTTTGAGATCACCGTCATCATCATCCTCGCTAAATTCTTCCTCGTCGTCTTTTTCTCCGGCAGCCGCCATGGCCACAATTCGATTCAAATTCCACTGGAGATCTAGCAATTCCTTGCTGGGTAGAGGAAGGCGTTCGGGATCCTCTGTCCTCAAGACAAACTTCTGGCCCGATTTATAACTGGCGCCGTCTCGGGGGGTGTGTTCGTAACGGATGCCATCGGCGACAACGAAGTCGAGATCACGTGAAGACAGAGGAATTTTGGTGAGGGGCACGAGGTCGGCGGGCTTATGATCCTGGTGGGGCTGCCAATAGAATTCCACTTCAAGTTCGGTCATGTCTGCGTTATAATCCAGGGGACGAAGAGCAAATAATCCTTTTCCCCACATTTTATGCAATGTCGACAAGAGGGTTATGAGATTGAAACAGGCATCTAGTGGTTTGGAGGGATCAACGGGATCGCGGAAAATCTTCGACTGCCAAGCTTCAATTTTCTCAGGGGGCCAGAATGCGGACAACAACCTCCAAAACCCTGGATCGCTCCTGGACGTCACGGAGGGATGTATCAAACAGTTCGGGTAAATGTGCGCGACCTCGCTCGGCCCAAGTCCGGTAAGAACACACGACCCATGATCGCGTTCACGAGCGAGGTTCTTCGGAGCGCTTTCACGAACACGGCGTCGCTTGGAAGGAGTTCCTTGGTCGTCGGAGGCTCTGGAGGGAGATGACGTAGTAGTAGAAGCAGCCTCCCGCCGGTCCCACTCAGGGCGCTGCACCCATGCCCGTATCATCGAATGGCAAGTGTAGCTGAAGCAAGAAACGAACAAAGGTGAATCTTTGGCATTGCGAACGATGTATTCGAGCCTCTCGATGTCACATACTTGCAGACAGGCCCAGAAAGAGAGCGGGACCTCGTTCGTGCCCAGAGCTCGCCCGAGTTCAACCAGAAGGTCTCGGCGCCTCTGGGAAGGGATGTTCAGGTGTTCCTCGTCTGGCGCGACGGGGGGTTCTGCCAGGGGGATCAGAGTTCCAGTACGGCCTCGGCGACTACCACTAGAAGCTTCATGGTCTGCCATGATCTGTATCGCGACGGGACACGAGGGCCAATGATAAGAGAGCAGACGCGTCCTTGTGGTAGCGTTAGAGATGTCGCTGTTGATGCTGTAGCCTGTGGCGGTAGTGGAGTGGATGGTGCGTGTAGCGGGTAGAGTAGCGGAGAGGTGGTTGATCAGATCGGGATGGGATGGGCTGGATGCGCCGTGTGGGGGTGGGTTGGTGTGGGCGGGTAGAAACAAAGTTGAAAAGTAATTGGGTAAGAAGAGTCGTGTGGAGAGGTTTAAAGTGAAATCGCGGTCGGTGCGACGCTAGCTCGTTAGTCTAAAATGGTAAGCGAGTATTACTATCCAAGACAGGATTAGTACCCTAGTAGCCCCGAGGGCCTGAGCCCTTCATTCAATAGAATCAATAGGTACATGTGAAGGCTAAGGTATGAACTGGAATATCTTTGCTTTATCTGTATTAAAAAGGGTCCTTATACGTTGTATTCTGCCTTCTGTAGGCGCTTTTATTCTAAAATGAGTGAAAACAGTGTACGTACGACCACAGACTGAGGAGAATTGGGCATCCCGTCCGCCAAGCCTTAGATCGGCAGATTAGTAGTTGGCTGGGTGACCACCAGCGAATACCTGCTGTTGTATGTTTTTTTTTTCCTTTTTTTGTTTCCATATTTTTTCTTTGGAGTTTCGCTCGGCGCAGTCTGATAGATTCACCTGCACTATCCGAGTCACGTGGTTTATTTCCTTAGCGTAGCCCGTCATCGTCGGCCTCGCTTAAGTGCTCCGAAGGTGGACTAACGAAAACCTGGGCTGACATTATCAAGAAAAAAAAGAGATCGAGAACCTCAGAAAACGAGCCCCCCCATCCTTTTACTTCTCTATCATCAATAAATCAATTTGTGCGAGCGTCTGATATTAATATTTCAAAATGCATTCCCCCCCCATAGTTGGCCTCCTCGGGGGTGGGCAGCTGGGTAGGATGCTCATGGAATCTGCAAACCGACTCAATATCCGAATGAACGTGCTCGATACCGAGAATGCCCCGGCGAAGCAAATCAGCGCACATGATGGTCACGTTACTGGATCTTTCAAGGACCGGGCATCTTTACGAAAACTTGCAGAGACGTGTGATATTCTCACAGCTGAAATTGAGCATGTCGATACCTATGGCCTCGAGGAGGTCTCGTCGAAGGTCAAGGTCGAGCCGAGCTGGAAGGCCATCCGGATCATCCAAGACAAGTTCCACCAGAAGGAGTACTTGTCAAAATTCAATATCCCAATGGCTGAGTATCGTGAGCTCCATAAGAACAGTGCGGAAGAACTCAAGGCGATCGGAGAGGAGCTTGGTTTCCCCCTGATGCTCAAATCCAAGACCCAGGCATATGACGGTCGAGGTAAGTGAGAAATCTTACTCCCATATATATCCTCCTGCCAGTGAGTTCATGGCTAAGATCTACTATAGGAAATTACAGTGTCAAGTCCCAGGCAGACATACCAGCAGCGCTGGAAGCCCTGAATGGGAGACCACTGTATGCAGAAAAATGGGCACATTTCAAGATGGTAAGTTGAGAATTGCTTCAGGAAGTCAGGAAACTTCTTCTCACGCCAGTGTCTAGGAACTGGCTGTTATGGTTGTGAAAACCAAGGATGGGGTTCTGTCCTATCCCACTGTTGAGACCGTCCAAGAAAATTCCATATGCAAACTGGTCTACGCGCCAGCACGGAATATCTCGGATACAATCAACAGGAAGGCCCAGGAGCTTGCAAGAAATGCGGTAGCGGCCTTTGAAGGAAAGGGTGTCTTTGGGGTCGAGATGTTTCTTTTGGAAGATGACAGCCTCCTCTTATGTGAGCTGGCAAGCCGAATTCACAATTCGGGACATTACACCATCGAAGCCTGCGCTCTCTCCCAATTCGATACTCACTTGCGAGCAATTCTCGACCTCCCCATCCCTCCCCAGAGCCTTGAAATCCGGGAACCAGCAATCATGCTCAACATCTTAGGCGGCTCCGCACCCGATTCCCATCTCAAAATAGCAGAACGTGCTCTCTCGATACCAAACGCTAGTATCCACCTCTACAGCAAAGGCGACGCGCGACCCGGCCGGAAAATGGGACACGTCACCGTTACCGCGTCCACAATCCAGGAAGCCGAAGCCATCATCCAGCCGCTCATCGACTTCGTAGACGGGACGCAACGTGCTAACACCCAGACATCCAAACCTCGGCCTAATATCGGGGTTGTGATGGGCTCCGACAGTGACCTCAAGACCCTGGTTCCCGGACTCAAGCTTCTCAAAGATTACTTCGGCATCGACCCTGAGGTTGAGATCACCTCCGCCCACCGCACACCTACCTACATGGCTGAGTATGCGTCCAGCGCTGCGTCCCGCGGCATCAAAGTCATCATCGCCGCGGCTGGCGGCGCCGCACATCTGCCCGGAATGGCGGCCGCTCACACCTCACTTCCCGTCATCGGGGTCCCAGTTAAGGGGAGCTCGCTGGATGGCGTCGATAGTTTATACAGCATTGTTCAGATGCCACGAGGTTTGCACCCAAACCCGATATCTCTGAATGAACGACTCGCTGACACTCAAACAGGCGTACCAGTCGCAACAGTAGGCATCAACAACAGTATCAACGCGGCATTACTCGCAGCGAGGATCCTGGGTGCTTTTGACGCACGCGTGCAACGAAAGGTAGAGGAATACGCGCAGAGCGCTAAAGAAGAGAACCTAGACATCAAGGGCGTCAAGCTGAGAGAGATTGGGTGGGAAGCGTACCATGAGGAGATGCAGAAGCGGTGATTTGATGGGAATTCCTAAAAGCGTATCCGGCTGATGTATTCGGGTCTAGATAGAGCGTGGGTTCTAGGGGACGCAGCGCGTGCCCTTTGCTTTGTCTATTTATTTACTCACGCAGGATAGTGGAAAATGGGATATTGCAAGAGAGGCATTTCTCACCATCACATACTACTGCTTGGCTGAATGTTCTTCTTTCTATCCGTGCTCCTCCTCTTTTCTTCTTTTTCTCCAAGTAAAGCTAGCGCAGGCAGGTCATATCCCAACGTAGTTCCTGCCCCGCATGTCTTGCTGAATTATGAAATACCGATTCCTCCCATTCTGACAAGCCTCAAGGTACAGACAGGGTCGTAGTAATAGTTGGAGATGTTGAAATATTCATGATCCATAGAATTTGACTGCCAGGTGCAATGTGTATATCTATCTAGACGGGGAGCGGAATAAAAAAGGGAAATGGGGTTTGACGTAAAGAATCAGGGGAATACAATAAGTTTCGTCCATGACTTAGAAATCCAGCAACTGTGCCGTGGGATTTCTTTATATAGGGAGGAAAGTATATATAGATATTTCAGTTAATTTCAATCTTTGCTTTCTAAAATGGGATTCTCTATAGAGCGATTGACGAAAGAATGCATACATCCCGTTGTTCAAAGAATCGTAAACACCATTTTACTTCGTTAATCATGGCCGAGCCTCTCATCAACACTTGTAACTGCTCAATAACTCAAAGCCTCGTCATCATCATCGTCATCATCATCATCACACTCACAGCTCATCCTTCACCCCCTTCCCATCCCTCCCCGGCACCTCTGCGACCTTGCCCATATCCACTAACCCCCTCTTGACCATACTCGTCAAGATCTCATACACGACCTGCGCGCCCGCCAACGCCGTCTGCTCACCAACCCCATCATACGCCGGCGCGACCTCGACAATATCCGCACCCACGACATTCAGACCCTCGATCCCCCTCAGGATGCGGATCAGCTCGCGGGAGGTCCAGCCACCGGGTTCCGGGGTGCCGGTGCCGGGCGCCAAGCCCGGGTCCAGCACGTCGATGTCGATGGAGAGGTAGACGGGAGTCTCGGTGCCGATGCGGTCGAGGATCTTGTTGATGACGCCCTTGGGCCCGCCGATGTCATCGATGTCGTCGGCGCTGATGCGGAGGAAGCCTTGGCGCTCGTCGTCCTCGTAGTCTTCCCATGCGTCGCCGCTGAGGCGGGTGCGCAGGCCTGCGTGCACGGAGGAGCCGTTCAGGATCAGGCCCTCGTTGCTGGCGATCCAGAACATGCTGCCGTGGTTGAAGTGCGATTGCTCGCTGGCCCATGGGTCGGGGTACTTGGAAGGGTGCCAGGTGTCGAGGTGGGCGTCGAAATGGAGGACAGCGACGGGGCCGTGGACCTTGTGCAGGCCGCGGAGGGCGGCGAGGGCGATGGAGTGATCGCCGCCGAGAGAGATGATCTTGGGATGCTTAAGAGTGGAGGAGGACGGTGAGCGATGTCCTAGTTCGAGATAGGCGCCGGTCATTTGCGTCAATGCCATGGCGTTGTCCATAGGGGTGACAGGGATGTCGCCGCAGTCAATTATGGTGGCCCAGGAGGTGTAGGGGTTTATGCCGGCGCGGGGGTTGAAGCCACGGAAGGAGGTTTGACGCGCAGAGGCAGCGCGGATGGCGCGTGGGCCAAAACGAGCGCCTGCAGTTTGTTAGAGCTGTAGTCAAGAAGAAGCAGAGATCTGGTTGATAGATTTGCTGGGGAGTTCGTATTTTGAGGAAATGACATGTTGTACTCGGGGAGACGACTCACCGGGTCTATAACTGACAGCCGTATCGAACGGAACACCAAGGATTCCAATATCAAACAAGGCATCAGGTGTTGTCAAGCACTTGACATGCTTTTGGTGCCCGTATGTTGAGACGCCTGAGAATCCCCACTATGAAATGAAGCAAGTCAGCCTTGTGCGAAAAAGGAAGCAAATTCAAAGCCTCCACAGCTCTATCCCCCATCAATTGATACATAGACCCTCATGGAGACTTCAAAAATTGCACTGATATGTAACAGAAAGTACAAAGACCATAGGTAGATGATAGACCAACAGAACCATGCATCTTCAGGGGATAAATCACGTGATATCATCCACTTCGAGGCCGTGCTCCCTTCCTGGAGGAGGACTTTTATAGAACGAACAACTGACCTCAAACCCCCATTTCTTCTCCAATTCCTCAGGAGTATCCTGCACAAATTCCTGTTCATGCAAAGGGACTTCCCCTACAGGCTCTTGTCCATGACTTCCATGGCCAACCACCGCCCCGCAAAACAGCGCCAGCAACGACAGCTGCGAAACTCGCATATCTTGATTCTTGCTCCTGAGCGCTTTTTTAGAATATGGCAAGAAAGAGAGTCTATTATTGCATGCTTGGAGATGAGGCTTATATCTTGGGGGAAGATAAAAGAGCTCGACCGTCCTACAACTATGTGGAGCGGCGATAACGTAATAAAGGCCGTGAAGCTTATCGAGATCTAACCCATTTCGACCATTTGGAACGTATTCAGCCCGGAGCAGGCGAAATCAAAGTAATAACGACATCAGATAATTATCAAGCCCGAATCCTAATCTGAATGAAATCTGCTTATGTTCAGAAAGAGCAGAGCTGGTTTCCAACCTTTTTGGACCCCTTAGTTGCAGTACAAATGCTATCAGACTAAATTTAGAAAACGTTCAAAGTTTATCCCCAGAGCCCATTCTGACAGCGGAAAGTCTGATTGATATACCCTGCAGTACGACGTAGTATCATATACCTCAGGTAGTTTAACGTACCTCCGAATCCACGCGCTCCTATTGGCCGAATTACACAGCGTACGTAAAACTATATAGATACCACAGCATGTGTCGAGAGATTGGAGAGAGATAGAAAAGATAGAAAAGATAACATAATATCTTCCAAGGCGGGAGATAATAGAGTGTTGAGGTATATTGAAACAAAGGCACGATAACCTGGATCTTTTGCTCTTGTAAGGGAAGCTCAGAGAAGGCACGACACGACAGGACTTCGGACGATTTGTACTTTGGTACGCAACGCTCTTTGTGAAGTCTAATGCAAGCTCGGTTTGGGACACCAGAATATCGAGGTTTTTGAACCGCGTCACTACCATAAATCCCTGATGCTCCGTGTTGATATCCATCTTAAGAACAAGCCAATCCAGCTATCTTGGCCTTGATTCCTTCACTCTTTACCTTTGAAATATCTCTCTGCCGCTTGTTCGTCCATACCAAAGGCAATTCGATCCTGCTTCGTTAGTAGCTATTTACCTCACGGGTTCTCTAGCTCACGGGAACTACCATTAAGTTATGTAGACATAGATCCTGATCCACAAGTGTCCAGGCTAACTGGCACGTATCCAGAGTATCACGGGTCTAAATGCGAGAACAGAGATGTGTGAATTATAGAGGTAGGCGTAGTGAGTGTCCAATGAATGATCTATTTTCTCAACCCAAGCACCCCTAAAAAAGAACATCCTAAATCTGTGATCATAGTCGAGAGACAAACTATTTCCATCAATGAGTTAACCTTTAGCATGTATCGAGACACTTGCGAATCGCGAGCTTTCATGCAGGCCGGGTTCGAGCTGATATCCACCTATATCTCTATGGCGCAGGAATACTTGCCTACACCATATACTAGGTCAACCTCTATACCTTCCGTAGCAATCAAATGATTCTGATATAGTTGGGAGAGAAGCTATTTAGATTATTCAGGACCTCTTGATCCTTCTTGTCAGAGCTGGATGCTTTTGATAATGACAGCGATAGCCCAATATCCTAGTATTATAAGGATGAGAGAGGTGGTGGTAGAGGTGAGTACCTAAGGGGCGAAGAATCACGTGCGTTGTGACTTGATGCACACAGCAAAGGTGGTGAGAATTCGGGGCTCATAACAGGTAAAGAAGAGTGTGATCTGAGGTAGGACTCATAGCGGGTAGCTATGAAATGATAATAAGAATAGTGAAATATCGATGCTAAAGAGAGGTCCTAAGATCTTAATGCTGTCAGTATTATTACCACAGTAACGTAATTCTGGATGGTGGTTTACAGGTATAGGTACTCTGTAAACAAGACAGGTAGTAAGACAGGTAATAAGACATGAATGACATCTCGGCATCGAAAATCTCCGAGTCTTCTTCTAGAAGCCCTGCTCAGTGTGCATGCATATGTAGGAAGAAAATGTATAGTTAGTGGAAGAGGGCAGAAGTTAAATGTCTTTGTATTGCATTTACACCCCAATCGCCGTGAAAAGTAACCAATCGCCGGGAGTTAAAGTCAATCCCGTCCGCATTAAAGGAAGAAGTAACTTCAGAAGTATGATGATGAACCCGCTTAGCGCCAGAACTTGATTGAGAGAACTCGATGATCGAATATGAGAAGGCCCTTGTGATTCTCACGGTGGATCAATTCCTTCCCTTCCCTCCCTCTGCGCACCGCTCACCACTCACTGCGTTCACACGCTGTGGAACCAGTCCTTCTTTCCTTCCTGCCTGTCTCCTTTGCTGTCTCCCGAGTAGTAGGGGCGGTGCGGATGTGTAAGACGAGGTCGGCGCTCTAAATAAGGAAAGGGGAGCGATGTGTACGCTAAAGAATTAAACAGTGTCGTTTTGGCTTTTTGGTCGCCGGGGGTTCGAGAGCTGCTACGATTGCCTGTTCCCGCTATCAGTTCCTGCTGCTACTATTTCGTATTGTCTTGAATAGAACTCACCTCATCAAAGACATCCTTCAACTTGTATTGCGTCAACGCACTACACTCAACGTACTTGACGGCGCCCAACTCCCTCGCCATCTTCTCGCCGTCCTCCTTCCTGACCGGACTCATCTTCTGCTTTCCCAGCTTTTCCCTTACACTCGGGTCATCTCTTAAATCGGTCTGGGTGCCGACGATCAGGCAGGGCACGCCAGGGCAGTGGTGGTGTACTTCAGGAAACCACTTCTCCCGGACGTTCTCAAAGGAGGCGGGTGACGTGACGGAGAAGCAAACGAGGAAGACGTCAGTTTGTGGGTAGGAGAGTGGGCGGAGTCGGTCATAATCTTCTTGTCCAGCGGTATCGAAGAGACCGAGTGTATACGGCTCATCACCGATCCTGTTGAGTCTGGCATTAATATTGTCGGGCCTTGGGTCGTAATAAGGAGATTATGAATAGGGTCCATGAACTGTAACGTGTCATAGACTTATGCCTCATTTCCCATTGTCCGCCTGGGAACACGATAGTAGTTATGCTAGGAAGTAGAGAGGACTCACATGACAGTAACGGCATAATTATCGAAGACAGTGGGAACATATTCGGAAGGGAACTTGTTTGTGGTGTAGCTGATGAGCAGACATGTCTTGCCGACAGCACCGTCACCGACGACCACACATCTATTGATTGAGTCTGGTCAGCCATTGTCACCGCAGACCGTATATCGAGCCTCCTCTATCTAAAGCCGCGGAGAGATCGGGGGAGAGGCACTGACTTGATTGTTGCGACGACCATCTTGACCGATCTTCACCCTCTGACGACCGAGCTGCGGCAACCTGCACGCGACCAAGGAATCAACCGGAGATCTCTCTCTCGGCTACCTTCAATGTCGGAGTCGGCGCGGACTCTCGACACAGGACTCGAAGTCGTGATGACGGGATGGAGTTGCGAATTGGGTGTTCTGGCGGTGTCGACTCGCGCTTCGTGTTCTTGATACGACGCTTGATCGATAAAGCTGGGGGGGGGGACCGGGATCTTTTTTCTCGCTTCGAGGGGCGACAACCAACAATCTTAACCGCAGATTCCTGGGAACGTATAATGGGAGATGTCGATTCTGATGAGGCAGGATAGGAGTATGGGGGGATGGGGGGATGGTGTTGTTGAGGAGAGGGAGAGGGAGAGGGAGGAAGAGGGAGAGAAGAGTGGAAGAGCGCGGGAGACAGACGAAGGGTCGTGATGTCGCAAGGGTAAGGTAGGTTTGGTCTGGGGGAATTGTCCGAATAATTGCCAATTGCTGGCTGTCTGAGCCGTTCGCTTGCTGATCAGACACTGGACGGGCCGTTGATGAAACAACTCCTCCAGGAGCGCGTTCTGTTCTTCCTGTCAAAGGGCCTTGATATGGTCTGACGCTGTGCCCTGTCGTCGATCTGAATATGCGCAGGACTCGGCAGCTGCACGTGAAGCGGACGGTGGCCTGCACAGTTGGGCAATTTGGTAGCAAAGCCAGCGGGAGAAAAGAAGAAGAAACTCATTACAGGACACAACAAGACTCTACTATATGACCATTACTCCTCCATCATGATGCTCTGTCCCTAGTGGAGAATTGAAAATCGGGCACTACGCTGTGCGCCCACTATTCACCAGACAAGGATGTCTGAAGACCCACGCATTCCAGCCCAAGTTCTACGAGTCCAACCAGCATTAGAGAACGACGCGTCGCGTGGAATTGATATTGACATCGCAAGGAGATAGGCCACAGGTTCACAATAGCCTTTGGTGGCTGCTTCTGCTCCTTTCTGCTTCCCTTGCCCTGCTTGTCTTGGCCGCAATTCTGGACTTGGCAAAGCAGCTAGCTATCACGATCAATACTCAATCTCGACCCTCAACCATCAACCATCAACCACTCTACCAGAATCTGCCTATCTTTCTTTCCACCATACAACATGGCCACCCAGAAACTCTCCTCAGACATCGACCGGATGTTAGAGCAGTATCTACAGCTCCTGGATACCTACACCTCCCTCCGATCCCAGCTCTCCGTTCTGCAATCCTCAGTACGTCTTCCCTTCCCTCCAACCTCCCAATCCCCCACTGCCCAGAAAAAGTTCACCTGCTAATTCTTCCTCCAAACAGATTCACCAGAACATAGCACGCGCCAACTTCTCCGCCGACCGCGGCATCCGCTACGGCGAACAGCTGTACGATGCGCGAATGCAAGCCTTGCGCATATGCCGTATCGCCGTTGACACTGCAGGCGTCCCTGAAGATGCAGAGCCTGCGCCTACAGCTGGAGGTGAAAGGATGAGCATCACGATCCTTCCTCGATCCGACTCATCCCCGGACTCCTCTCCCACCACTTCCCCAACCCAAACCACAAACGAGAACACCACCGACACTCAAAAAAGCCCCAGCAAAGAAAAACAAGCCTCGCCTACCTCAGAAACAGAATCAGAAAAACCCAGGCCCAGAGACCCGCTCCGCATGTTCGGGATCCTGGTCCCGCAGGCGCTGCGCACAGCGCAGACGGAAGCTGTCAAGATGGTGGGGGATGTGGTGCCGAAGCTGGTGCAGCTGGATCTACAGATGCGGGAGCTGGAGATAGAGATTAGGAGGGGGAGGAAGAGGAAGGCTAAGGCTGAGGCGCTGGAGGTGAGGATGAGGGATGAGGGATCGGTGAGGGGTGGGGCGGCGGGAGAGGAGCCGGGTGGGATGGTGGAGGGTTTGAAGGTTTAGGGGGTTGGGGATGCTTGACCGAAGGAACGGATGCGAGGTATGTCTGGAGATACTGGATGATAAGCTAGTGCCGGTGGCTTTCAGAAGACGATGAGCTGGATGTTTACCTATCTAGGAATTAACTCGTATATGCGCATGGCTGCTACGATCCATATCATCAAGTATCAAGTTGTGTTTTATGTCGTAACCTGATAAGTTCAAGCACAATCTTACATTTTTACATCCCGGCAAGAGTACAACTACCCGCAGACCATATGCACCGTCCCACAAAGCCTCAGAACGCCTTCCTTGCTAAACCCTAAGCAGTATCCCTATAGGTAGGTACCCCCTAATGCTTTATGGAACCCCAATTCAGTACTCGAAATCATCATCCACCGCGGGGCCTTTACTCTTTGCCACGCTCTCCTGCTTCCTATACATCTCCGCCACCTGCCTTGAGCTCGTCGCCATATCGGGTTTCTTGTCATCCCTCACCTTGATAAATCTTGGAAACCGCAGACTTATCCCCTTCTCGCCACTCGGATCAACTCCCTCGTGGCAGCCAGCCTTGTATCTGGGACTCAGGGTCAGGTCCGCCGTCTTCACTTCCCAGACGTATTTCGGCTCGAACCACACATCGGGCTGATGTTGGTTACCGGAGGAGTGGGAATAGAAGGGTTTGGGGCGGTCGATGACAATTTCTTTGAGCTGGGAATGGAGTTCCTCGAGTACAGCTTCGGAGAACCCGGTCCCGATGTTGCAGACGGTTTCGTAGGTGTCGGTGTTGCTGTTGTAGCAGGCCAACAGGAACGCACCGTATACCGATGTACGCTTGCCTCTGCCATAGTATGCACCTAGGACCACAAGATCGAGAGAATCGCCAATGCCGGAGAGGTAGTCTTTCTTGATCTTTGGAAGATTGTCAGCAATGCATGTTGAGGAATCTGGCGATAGAACGTACCTTGAGCCAATTTCGACTTCGTTTACTGGGCTCATAACCGCTCTCCTGCCCATCCAACATCTTGACCATGAGACCTTCGCAAGAGGCCTTGACACTCTCATCGAGGAATTGTTGGATTTCGTCGATTTCTTGGCCGTTCATACTCGTAGCAAACTGGAACTCACCCTCAACGGGGGTAAATGCACTATGGAGGAGCTCGCGACGTTCCCGGAGAGACTTCTCTACCACTGCTTCGCCATTCAGGAATAGAAGGTCAAATGCGAAGACGCAAACTTTGATCTTTACATCTTCAATCTTGACATCCTTCTTCTTTCGAGTCATAAGTTGTTGGAAAGGTAAAACTTTCTTCTCCACCAGATCCCAAGCTACAGTCTCGCAATCAAGGACGAAGCTTTTAGTGTCGGTGTTGACCCAAGTATTCAGTTTAGACAAGATATCAGGGTATTTCTTTGACAGATCTTCCGAGTTGCGGGAGAATATTGCCGCAATTCCGCCGGTAGGAGTCTTCGCAGCGGCTGGTTCAGCACCACGATACTGTTGAGGAGAGTCCTTGGCCACGTAGTGGATCTGTGCCCTCTCTCCATCATATTTATATTCGCAGGTAAATGTCTGACCCTCAAATCGATCGAGTACTTCCGTAATGGCCTTCGTCGGCTTGGCTAACATGGGCTTGAGTGGAACGCCAGGCTGGAGTTTACATTTATCGCGTAGATTGAAGATGCCATGTTCTAACATTGCCGGAATGATGACTTCGTAGCTGGGAAGTGAACTATAGAATGTGAGCACTGGATCAGCTTCAATACTGTGCCATCTTACCTGTATACTGCCTTGAGGATTGATTCGCCTTCGGCCAATTTCTCAGTGCTCGGTACCTTTCCAGATCCCTTTGACTCAATCTCGTGGCAGACCATTGCTTGTGCGAGTGATACCAACACAGTCTTCTCAGCTAATCCAAGACGAAGCTTGCCCTCAAGAAATCGTACAATGTACTTCGCCTCACTAGGACCGCCCTTGTCCTTCGTAATATCGACCTTTCCAGAGCTGTGCCCATCAGCTGCTGAGAGTAGCTTTTTGATACCATCGACCTTGCGTTGCTGGGCCCCGTTGCCTGTGATAGTAGCAATATCTATCAGACCCTTATGAACGCCCCTGATAGTCAATGGTTTCGGCTTGAACATTGTAGGTTGGTTTGCCCTGCTCTTAACAGCTACAAGGCCAAGATCACCAATTTCTTTCTGATCTTGCTTGATGACTCCCAAGCTTCGACCAGTTGTCTCACCAATTGCTTTCATGATTAAAGATTCACCAATACCAAGCTCAATGCCAGCGTAGTCCGCAGCAAGCTTGTTTATCATGAGGAGGACGGTGGGAAGAAGATCATTAGGTGTTAAGCGAAGAACCTGCCGGAGAAATAGGGAGCAATGAGACGTCATAATGAGTCTCTTCGAGGTCATCTCGATCAAGGAGAATGTTGTGCAGAGAGCTGCGTACGGGACGGGCTCTCCGGGTTTCCAATCCGGGTATGGATCTTTGTCCTTCGACTTCAGTGTTGTCTGCATCTTCTCACGAGCCTTGGCAGCAACTTCTGGTTTTTCCTCCTCGTCTTCCTCTTCATCAATGTCTTCTTCTGCTTCTGACACAGAGGAGGACGCATTGGAGTCCCTTCTCTTTAGAGGCGCTTTTGACGAACTGATCTCTTCAATTTCCTGTTCATTATCCTTCGCAGGTTTCGTGGGTGAAGGCATGCGCCTGGATTCCTTAGATTCCGGTCGAGCTTTAATATTGGGCTCGGTCTTTAAAAGCTTGGTGTCTTCTTTATCTGCTTTGCCATTACGGCGAACTCGCTTGACCACAGGTTCATCATCATCGTCCTCCTCTTCCGACTTGACTTTCTGGTCCGCATTTGGCATCTCTGATTTTAGAAGAGCTTTTGGTGAAGGAGATCTTGTTCGCTTCCTCGTCTCTATTCAAGAAGTATCAGTATCAGTATTAAGCGCAACAATGTATACCCACTGTGGGAATTTAACATACCCTTCCCAGGCTTCACATTCTCCTTCATATCGACGTCCTCCTCCTTCTCAGCTTTGGGTTTGATCTCTGTATCGGAGCCGCCTTCATCGTGCATCTCTATATCTTCGTTCTGTTTGGTTGAACTTGAGCTAGGGGGCTCATCCTTTGCGCTGGGTTTGGACGAGAACGAAAGTTTTGACTGTTTAGTCGGGGCTTTTGTGCTACTAGGTCGACCAAAGAATTTCCTGCCGGACAATATGCATATTAGCCTCTTATTTTACAATCCGCACTTGAGGCCAAGGGACCGCACCCTAAGGTGGTTTGAGGATCTTTAACATACCCCAGCGTTGCCTGTTTCGGAGGCATCTTGCAGAACGATGTAACAGGTGAGGCCTTGTAGGAGAATACCAGGAGCGAGGTCCGTGTTAAACCAGCTACGGCGCTGATAAGTCTGCGAGAAGCCACGGTTGAGGTCAAGGAGCAGTGATAGGCGCGGTCGAGTGAGCTGTGGAAGAGGCGGGGAGGGAATCGTCACCCTTCCTAGCTGGAAAGGAAGGATGGGCAAATATCAAAACCAAGCAAATCCAATTGTACACCCAGAGAAAAAGGTTAGACCGCGCAGGAAGGAAAAAGTCGAATCCTGCAGTATCAGATCCAAATCTTCGAGAAAGTCGCGTCTTCTAGATGATGTCGCGTTGCGCGTATATGGATAGCTAAAGGCACTCCCATAACTCGATATTCGGCACCCAAAGACTCACCGCTTTGAGTCAGAGAAAACCCCCACCAAGGAGCGATATTTCGAAAAACGTACGAATCTCAATTGAGTCGAATATCACGCGAACACATGGCGGCAGTACAGGACCTCGCAGAACGAGTCAAGATGGCAACGATTTACATCGACACAGATACTGGCATCGACGACGAGTCCGCCACGGGCTCTGAAAGCAAGCCCTACAAGTCTCTAGCATATGCCTACATTCAACACGGTGGGGCTGAGGGCAAAACATATCTCTCGCGTTCTTCAACAACTGGACCTGTCAGCGCAGATGGAGACCCATCAGAGAGACTCATCTGGAAAGAGCCTGCGAAGAGTGCAATCAAGAAGGCACAAGGTGCATTGGACGCCCACAAGAAGAAGCTCCTGAAGCAGCAACAAGTGGCCGCACAGGAAGAGGAGAAGGAGAAGGCTCGTCTGAAGCACCTTGAGGAAGCAAAGAAGATCGTTCTCAAGGAAGATCCCTCCCTTCCAAAGGCTGTCAAGATTAGAATCTGCGACAAGGACTTGGAATTGGGAGAGGGTGATGTTAAGGGCACAAGAGTCAAGATTTCGGGACGCATCCACCGACTACGACAACAGAAGCAAGCTACCTTTATTACGTTGATCGATGGATACGGGCATTTGCAATGTGTTCTCACTGGCGACCTTACGAAAACCTATGATGCTCTGACCTTTGCGCAGGGTACCTCTCTCACTCTTTATGGTGAGATGCGCAAGGTCCCTGCAGGTCAATCCGCACCAGACAACCGTGAACTACACGTCGATTATTACAAAGTCATCGGTCGATCCCCCGCTGATGCGGATGCAATTACCAACAGGGTCTCCGCTCAGCAGGACCAGTGGGAGGCTTCGATGTTGGACAACCGTCACCTTGTTTTGCGAGGAGATACTGCATCTTCAGTCATGAAGGTCCGCTCTGCAGTTGAATGGGCATTTGCAAAGGCATATAAGGACATGAAGTTCACCAAGATCAGCCCTCCTGCTTTTGTTCAGACTCAAGTTGAAGGTGGTTCTACACTGTTTGAACTTGATTACTATGGCGAGAAGACCTACCTGACCCAGTCTTCCCAACTCTACCTCGAAACCGGCATTCCCAGCCTTGGCAATGTCTATTGTATCGAAAAGTCCTTCCGTGCTGAGAAGTCTCTGACACGTCGCCACCTCTCTGAATATACCCATGTTGAGGCCGAATTGGATTTCATTGATTTCGATGACCTGTTGGACCACCTGGAAGAGATCATCAGCAGGGTCATTAACACAATTATGGAGGACAAGGAGATTGCTGGGTACATCAAGGAGCTCAACCCCGACTTCAAGCCACCCACAAGACCCTTCAAGCGCATGCGATACTCGGATGCGATTGATTGGCTCAACGCCCAGGATCCCCCAATTCTCAACGAAGAGGGCAAGCCTCACGTGTTCGGTGACGATATTGCTGAGGCTGCCGAGCGAAGAATGACCGATATTATCAACTTGCCAATCCTGCTGACTCACTTCCCAGTTGAGATCAAGGCTTTCTACATGAAGAAGGATGAATCGGATCGCCGTGTTACGGAGAGTGTCGATGTCCTGATGCCTGGCGTTGGTGAGATTGTCGGGGGTTCGATGAGAATGGATGATTATGACGAGTTAATGGAGGCATATAAGCGTGAGGGCATATCACCAAAGGAGTACTACTGGTACACCGAGCAGCGGAAGTAAGTTCGCCCCTTTTCTCCTCTCAAACCAAATACTAACCCACCACCAGGTATGGCACATCACCCCATGGCGGATATGGATTGGGACTTGAGCGATTCATCGCATGGATCTGCAAGCAACACTCTGTTCGCACATGTTGCCTGTACCCCCGATTCATGGGACGCTGCAAGCCTTGATCGGGCTTTTACTTTCTCTGATTTGGTGGAAATTACTTGCGCGCGATACACCAGAGTTGTGTGAAGCGTTATGATATCACGTTGCGAACCCCCCCTGGGATGACGAAACGTTATAGAAGCTAGACCTGCTGCTTCATGAAGACTTTTGCTAGGATGATGACAAGAATTGATGGGATTTCGATCGTAGGTAGAAGACTCGGTCAATTCAATTTTAGAACAGCTCTTGTGACAAGTACCGAAAACGTTGAAGCTGGTTGATCAGTGGCACATGATATCAATTGAATAATACGGACACGTTATTCCCTCCTTCGCCTCTCTCCTCCTCTGGACCTCCTTTTATTTTGCCTCCTTTTATTTTGTGGGTTACCCCCTGGCTGCTTAATAATATGATTATGATTTCCGGGGTATAGAAGTAGAAGGGATCCTCCTTCAAAGCGGGTCGAGACAGTTCTCTATATACATGTATGTAGAAGACAGATGGAGATTGGAATCCTAAGAGTATGTGATCTGAGTGGATCTGGCCTGGTCTGATCTTACACTGCATAATGGTGGTGATGGGATTTGTTTTATGAGAAAGCAAGGGGCTGACGTGACCGCGACACTGTCTCAAATCACTACGGATGCTGCCGAGAAGAGCGGACAAGCTAAGGCGACAGAGATGTTATTTACCCAGGGGGACCAGAAGTCTGTACATGTCAACCAAGACCTTTTACTTTCCCTGAGTAATCCCTCTGGGTCTGGAGTCTGGACACTGGACAGTAAGATATGAGCCTCTTCATTGGTGTTGTCCTATTTTAACCCGCGCAAGTCCCTGGGGCCCTCCCTAGGCCACATCGCGTTAGGCCGCTGCAGTGAAATTACGGCCACCGTTTTGGGACTCTCCTGCCCGCGACTAATCCGTCCTGTCCTCTCCTCCTCCTCGACCTCCATCCATCTTTTCTATTTTATCATCTCTTCATATCTTCATCCCTCTTTCTTGGTTCTTCCCTCCTCTCTCCCCCCCCCGAAAACCATCCTGCCGCTCATTATTCATACCCTTGCTTTCTTTCTCTCTTTCTTCTCCTTTATTCTGGACACCCACGCTCGTTCACCCAATCTTGTCCACCACTTTTTTCCCCCCCTACCTATTCTTTGTTCCAGCTATCGTTTCCACCTCCCTTGACAACCAAGCCAAAAATACCATTGTGCACCGAGCAGACCCTTCGAAACAATCGGGACATACATTCATTGCTCTCAAATCCATCCGAATCTGTCGGTCCCTCGCAGATAATATTGCCCGGCTTCGATTTTGCCTCGGATACTTGTTTGCATACGCTTAGCTTAATTTATACGAGAACTTTGTCCATATCAAACATTTATTCTCACTTTCGAAACACTCGAGGTCTACTCGCTGCGAGCTAGTATTCACTACGTCGCTCAATTGCTTGCCTTCGACCCGACTGTCGCGCGCCCTGCCTTTCGATCTCTCCCTGCAACTTTTGTGCCTCCTTTGGCACTTTTAATCCTTCACCACGGCTGTATTATCATCTCTTGTGCGGGACAGCTTTGTCCTGCCACCTCATCTTCTCGGGATGCAGGAGAATCAAGCAAATACTCAGAATGGGCCGGGTGCGGCGACAGCGAGCAGATTCCCTGGTCACGCGTCAAAGCCTTCCAACAGCGAAACTGGCTTCTCTCACGGCGCCTACAGCTCAAACCACCACCCCATGGGCGGATATGGAGATAGACACCCGCGTCGAGCGAACGTTCCTTCAATAAACACACAGGGGATGTCTCAGCCACAGCAAGGCCAGAATGAGCTGCAGACTCCCGGCACTGGCTTTGACATGCAATTCACTCCACTGCTGCCATCCCAGTTGCTTCTGGGCAGTCCTTTTCAGCCTGGAACGCCCGCCAACTTTGCTAATACGCAATATCAGAACTACGGATACCAACAGCCACAACAGCAGCAGCATGGTAATCAGCAGCAACAACAAAACGTAGGCAGTCCCGTTCAGCCATTGTCCCCGCAGCTCTACCAGACACTCGTTTCTCCTTCAGCTTACGGCGCTCCTCAATTTTTCAACCCACAATCGCCCACGGGCCAGTTTGCCGGCCTAGCAAACCAAATGCAGCAGCTGCAGATCCAACCGTCGTCTCCTGTCCACATGTCTCCAGGCTTAGTATCAGGTACGAGCAGGACAGTGTATCTAGGGAACATCCCCCCGGAGACGTCCGCTGAGGAAATCTTGGGCCACGTGCGCAGTGGTCAGATCGAATCCGTCAGACTTTTGCCAGACAAGAACTGTGCCTTCATTTCTTTCTTGGATGGCAGCTCTGCTACACACTTTCATTCTGATGCCATCTTGAAGAAACTATCGATCCGCGGTCAGGACATCAAGGTCGGCTGGGGAAAACCATCTCAAGTACCAACGTCTGTTGCTCTGGCCGTCCAACAGTCAGGTGCTTCTAGGAACGTATACTTGGGAAATCTTCCCGAGGATGTTACAGAGGACGAGCTTCGCGAGGATCTCAGCAAGTTCGGCCCGATTGACACCGTGAAGATTGTCCGCGAAAAAGCAATTGGTTTCGTTCATTTCTTGTCAATTGGCAACGCGATCAAGGCGGTTTCCCAACTCCCCCAAGAACCAAAGTGGCAGTCTCCCCGACGGGTCTACTATGGGAAAGATCGATGTGCATACGTCTCGAAGACGCAGCAACAGAATGCGGCGCAGTACCTTGGTATTGCACCTGGCTATTCACACGTGCTCAACGGAGCGGATCGCGACCTTATCTCGAATGCCCTTGCGCAACAGTCTGTGGCCGCTGCTGCCGTGGCTACAACGGCTGGAGGGATTAACAACCTTGGCAACCGAACTGTTTACTTGGGAAACATTCATCCAGAAACTACTATTGAAGAAATTTGTAATGTTGTCAGAGGTGGACTTTTACACCACATTCGATATATACCCGACAAGCATATCTGCTTTGTCACCTTTATTGATCCTACTTCGGCAGCTTCTTTCTACGCTTTGAGCAATATTCAAGGCCTAATGATTCACAACCGGAGATTGAAGATTGGGTGGGGCAAGCATTCCGGTGCACTGCCAGCTGCGATTGCCCTAGCTGTTAGCGGTGGAGCTTCCCGAAACGTCTACATTGGAAACTTGGACGAGTCCTGGAGCGAGGAGAGGCTGAGACAGGACTTCTCCGAATATGGTGAGATTGAGCTTGTCAATACTCTCCGAGAGAAGAGCTGCGCATTCGTCAATTTCACCAACATCGCAAACGCTATCAAGGCCATCGAAGCTGTTCGGGGTAAGGAGGATTACCGCCGATTCAAGGTCAACTTTGGCAAGGATCGTTGCGGCAACCCTCCTCGTCAAGTCGCGCAATCCCAACAATCCCCCAGGAACGATGGTGTTAATTCCCCTCCTCCAAACAGCGGCGGTCTCCAATCGAGCCAGAACGGTTCCTCCCCAACTGGATCCGTAGCTCATGGGCCGACCAGCGGCAATAACCAGAACTTCCAACCTGCTCCTACGCCATCGACCATCTTGAATGCCGGCAGCAACAACCCCCTAACCATGTACCTGAACCAAGTTTCCCAGCAGGCTCAGGCTGCTCAGCAACAGCTAGACCCTTACTCTGTCGCTCAACTGCAGCAGCAGCAACAGCAGGTTCTCGCCGCGCAACAAGCCGCTCTCTACGGAAACGGTTCCGGCGATGGTCTCGACATTCCTCGACAGTCCCCTGGACTGGGCCACCAGCAGTCAGCTTCTACCTCTGGTATGAACGGCTTCCAGAACGGCACCTCCGGTGCACAGACCATTGGGGGTCTCCTTGCTCCTTCGAGAAGCCATAACCGTGCAGCTTCGCTCCCAGCATTCGGACCGCAGGTGAACGTATTCCCAGACCAGAATGGGGGCAGTGCAAATGGTAATGAGCAACGGGGAAGGGGCCATCGGTACCAGGCGAGCTTCTCAGGAGGCCTGAACATGGGGAATGGCAACCAGTACGTGAATGGTGGAGCGAATGGGTACGGACTGGGACAGGATGGAGGGATGTTGAATGGTTGGACAGAGGAAGAGGTCAGAAACTGATCTCGCAGGGAAGAAGTGGAAGGAGAGTAGAGGAAGGAAATTTGGTGCTCGGATAGCTAGCATGGATAATGTGTTGTAATACTCTCGCCCTCTCCCAAGGGAGGGTTCCTTTTTAATTTTCCGCTTTCGGGGGGCCTTTCCTTTGCGTAATCTAATGAAGATCGTTGAACAAGTCACGCACTGCATTGATCGAGTCTGGCGCGAAACGAAAATTGAAAATAGCCTGCCTCCATACATATCCACCCTACGCCAGATATCATTATGTCATACTCTTATCCCATATCCATACTCCGATCCAGTTCCCATCCTCCTACCATGAAACCGCCTTCCCAGCATCTTTGTCTAATCTAGCCCAGCTCAGCTCACCACCCCTCCACAGGCCTAATCCTCAACCTCATGCCATTCCCCGGCTTACTCGTAACGGCGCCCGCGGGCAGCGGCACCTCGGACTTATCGGCCATCTCGAACTCGAACCTCGCGACCCAGAGGGCAATCAGGCACTTCAGCTCGGCGCGAGCGAACTTCTCGCCGATGCAGCTCCTAGGGCCGTGGAGGAAGGTCATGGACGCGTAATTGCTGTCGACGCCGCCGCTGGTGGGTTTCTGGGTGACGGGATCGAGAAAGCGGTCCGGGAGGAAGAGGTGGGCGGTGGGGCCCCAGAAGGCCGGGGAGCGGTTGATGGCCCAGGGGGAGATGTAGAGCGGGGTTTGGGCGGGGATGGGGGTGTTGAGGATGGTGGTGGGGCGGATGGAGACGCGGACGGTGACGGGGACCGTGGGGTAGAGGCGGAGGATCTCGGAGACGGTGGCGTGGAGGTAGGGGAGGCTGTCGAGGGTTGTGGCGAGGTCGGGGGGAGGGGCGGAGGGGGAGGGGATGGCGGCGCGGATTTCGGCGCGGAGACGGGATTGCGCGGCGGGGTGGAGGGAGAGGAGGTACGTACCCCAGGTGAAGGCTGAGGAGGTGGTTTCGTGTCTGAGGATGAGGGTTAGTATGGGGAGTTAGGGAGTGATTGGGGAGAGGGCGGAAAGGGGGAAAGGATGTACCCTGCGGCGAGGAAGGTCAGGAGTTGTTCAGCAATCATGTCGTCTGCGAAATTGTTGGATTTGATCAAGACGGACATGATATCGACGTGCTCGTCGCCTTGCACTTTGATGAGCTCTTTCTTTTCTCGCACCAACTGCTGCGACATGGACTTCAAGGCGCTGGTCATGTCCTTCAGCTTCTGGTTGAGTTTCCACGGCAGCTTGGCGATCACCCAACGCGTGAGGAACATATGCGCGGCGAAGAACATGGCCTTCTCGGTCGTCGGCTCGAGGATCTCCTCATAGGTCTTGATCAGCTGGTCGTCTGAATTGTGCAGCGTGTTGAAGTTACGCCCCAGGCCCGCCAGGCCGATGATGTCCATGGTGACCTTGTTGGCCCAGTGATTTACCTCGACGACACTGTCGTGCTGCAGCTCCGCGGCCACGCAGTCTATCAGTTCGATGGCCTTGGACCAGAAGATTGGGTAAAGGTCGCGGATGTGGCGGAAGCTGAAGGCGGGCGAGACGTGCTTGCGCTGGAACTTGTGCTCGTCGCCCTCGACGACGACGAGGCCGTCACCGAGAACGGCGCGGAGGATCTGACGGACTCCCGCCACCTTCTCGAAGTCATAACACTTGTGCACCAGCACGTCTGCGAGCGCTTTGGGATCGGTCAAGAGAAGCCAGTCCGAGTTAAAGAAAGAGGGAACGCGGATGATGCCTTCATTGGGGACCTCATTCATGAATTTGAGAAACGTAGCACCGGCCGGTCTCTGGAAGGCCACAAGGCCGTGGTTGATGAGAGGGAAGCCACTCTAATTACTTCAGATGCTAATATGACCAGCTTTACATGGCGTATCTTACCTTGGGTTTCGGGAGATGTCTAAATGGGCTAAACCAGGCGGGGTATATGAAGACTTTCCAAACTGCCCAGAGGCCAGAAGTGATGCTCATATAAATAAGGAAGAGTCTCGTGAACGGGATCTCTGGGAAGGCCTGTGGAAATAGCGGCCGTTGAAGCATACAAAAAGCTGTAGAGACCAGGACCAACAAAATCGGGGTCGGAATTTCAAAAGCCATGTTGAAGAGCAAGGGGTTTTGAATGAATGCAATGGGCTCATGAAACAGCGATTATGTGTTTGAAAAGGAAAGTTCAAAGCCAGAGGCAGCAAGCCTGTCTTGAAGATATATAGGATTATACCTCGGTCTCACGTTCACGACACCTGGTCCTTGAAGAACATGGATCGTAGAGGTAGGCAACCCCGCATGCACGGGATAGACTGACGAATATAGAAATGATCGTAGAATAGCGGCAGAACATGAGCAAAGCATTACGAAAACAAGAAGGAGTGATCAGAACTAGACAAATGCCTTGGAGAAACAGCAGCAAGATTCAAAAGGTACACGAAAGACAGACTTGATGGGGAAAATTCAAGGTTTCATCATTAGAACACGGCACTAACCGACAGGGGGCTGTATGGGCTAAGCGAGATCTATGGCAGTTCGACGTACGTCTTGCCCAAGGTAGTCGAGTTCAACAACAGACAACCATTCAAAATGTAACATTCATCGCCTCTGCGCTCTCACACTCTCACACCCAGGTTCCAATCTCCCTCACTATGGGCACATACGCAGATTCCAATATCCCTCACTATGGGCAAGTCAATCTCACCAACCTCCGCCGCCTCCTCAACCCCATATATAGCCTGGACCAACGGCTACAACGACACCCACCTTAATCGCTGGAAAACCCTTTTTCAAATCGCCATTTCTAGACATATGCCTTCCCGCAGACACCCCAACTCCTAATCATATATCTCTCCACAACTACGCTTGTGAAATACGGCCGCACAGCGCACCTCTCCGAAGCCTCAGCTCTGCTCTTCCTAGCTTCCTTCGCGCCCAACATTCCCGTCCCGAAAGTGCATTGCGCGTTCCGAGATGACAAAAATGGGTTGACTTATATCATTATGGAAAGGATTGACGGGCAACCTTTGAGTGATTCCTGGAGCGAGAGATCGGGAAAAGAGAAGGATGCGTTGTTGACACAGTTGAAGGGCATTTTTGGGGAGTTGAGGGCGCTCAAGAAACCTCCTGGAAAGGGGATCGCGGATGGGGCTGTGTGTGCCGCTGATGGGGGGAAATTGCATGATCATCGGATATGGAACGCCGCTGGGGAGAAAGGACTGGGTCCTTTCTCGAATGAGGCGGAATTCGACCTTTTCCTTCGTAACGGGATCTCGAATACGGACTCTATCACAGACCTGGAGAAGAAGACAGAGATCCAATGAGATCCAAAAATTGATAGAGATCCACAGAGAATCTGAGGGAAGGAACTCGCATACCGTATTTACGCATGGGGATGTTAGCCCGAGTAATATTCTGGTGACGGCGGGGAGGGTAGTGGGAATTGTGGATTGGGAGATGGCTGGCTGGTATTAACAGTATTGGGAGTACACGACAGCGATCAATACGCATTATATCAAAGGGTGGAGGGAGGAGATTGGGAAGTTTCTGGATGAGTGGCCGCGAGAGAAGGAGATGGATGATTTGTGGAGAAGGCTTTATTGTAATGGGCCTTGAGGATGTGTAACTGGGTGCAAGCAGAGAGATTCAGAGTACGGTAAAGGTGCCTTCAAGACTGAATTGATCATGAGGAAATGGTATAGCTGAGCTAGTGCCTCAGAAGGTTCTCCAAAACAAGCACCCGCGCTTCTGTCGTCTCTTATTATACACTCTGTCTCCTCGCAATACCCTACACATCTTTCTCTCCAACACTTCACCGCTCTCTGTCCCAGGCCTATACTCCTGACTAGTCCCCTTCTACGCAGGTATAAGATTCTGTATCGGTTCTAGGTAGATTTTACTTAGAATTTAATACAGAGATTTTACCTTACTACTTTGCTACCTTACTTGATTAACCCTCTTATTGCCGTAGGTAGATAATAAGTAGGGATCTATTACTGTAGATCTGTCACACTAATTTGCTACTTTGCCTGTATATAATAAGCCTCCTTTTTACTCTATTTTAAGGAGTTAGTTCAAGTTGATCTAATTCACTTTGACCTACTTGAATTCGCCCCTATATTCGTCCTAACTCGCTCTATTAAGGGGCCTCGGTCGCCAAAAGCTTAGGATTCGGAGAATGTGTACGGGCTCAGGATTCGGCATATTGCGAACATCCGCCATTCGGCTTATTAGTAGTAGCCTGGCCCGCATGCGCCGGTACCGGGGCTATGGAAGTACCTAAGTGCGTGGCTAAGGTAGGTAAATGGAGGAACCGCTGTGGGCTTTTACACGCTGCTGGAAACGTGTCGGAGAAGCACTTTTTCATCATGTCATCAAGTATGCAGGCGAGCCTTGTCTTTGAATGTGCTTATCGATTGATAAAGCCAACGTGAGGTACTAACTTGATGAATTGACTATAGAACCCAAGTTATCGTACCGCGTGCAAGAGTTAATAGGTAAGGTAAGGTACCTTAGTAGGTCCTTGCAACAGTCAGTCATATATAAGTTGAGATCGAAATCTCTCCAAGTGAAGAGGGATCAAAGGTGGTCTGTTTGCAGATGAGAATAAGAGAAGTGGTCGCTTTCCGTTTCAAGTCTTGATTGTCACGTGGTTGGAGAGAAACATTGCATTCCATTTTGTTTCTCTCAAGAGGGGGGAGCGCTGGTATATACGACGGGGACTTTGGGCGACTTGACGGCGGGGCGAATTAAAAGGTTTCATCAGTAGAACACGGCACTAGGTACCCGTCACCAGGGGCTGCATGGGGCTAAGCGAGATCTACTGCAGTTCAACGAACGTCTTACTCTTACCTATGGAGACCGACTCAAAAACCTCGTGTATAGGCGGATGTGACTGTGAATACAACGAGATGTCGCTTTCAACAACAGCGAGGTGCGAAGCTTATCTCCGAGACCGATTCGATATGGAAGTATATAATGATGATGATTGCCCCAAGGCAAATACATCTTCAACTCTCATATCAGATTTCATTTCCCGAAGGAAACTGCATCTTCAACTTCCTATCAAAATCTCGTTTTACCCATAAATCGGGAAGTCAACAAAAGCTATACTCGCCATGCCCGCAATGGAGAATCAACTTTACGACGTTATCATTGTCGGTCGAGGACCCGTTGGGCTATTCTTGGCTTGCGAACTCCTCCTTCAAGATGTCTCTGTTCTAGTAGTTGAGCGCCGTTTGGCGATGGGACTAGGAGACCTTCCGGAGACTCGAGCTTGTATCGTTCACGCTCGCACGCAGGAGATACTGGCCGCTCGTGGACTTCTTCCGACTTTCAACAAAGTCAGCAGCAAGACAAACTGGTGGCATTACGGAATTCTGGAGACTCGTCTTCAGTTTGGAGCACTTGACGACGAAACATTGGAAAACCATGTAATGTTCACCCCACAGTCGCAAACGGAGGAGATCTTGCTTCGCCGCGCTCTTGAACTCGGAGTTGTTGTTCAGTTGGGGGCAAAAGTAAAGTCTTTGGACCAGTCGGCTGATGAGGTTACTCTTCGTGGAAGTTTGATCAAGGACACGAATGGTGACTCCATTGAAGAGGACTTCACCGTAAGAGGAAAATATGTCGTTGGATGTGACGGATGGCGAAGTTCTGTAAGAGAATTGGCAAAGTTCAACTGGGAACAGAGAGATGCAACTCATGTTATGTGGTCGGCGGAAGCTACGCCAGGTGTCGATATGGGGCCTTTCAACATCACCAAAAATGATGCAGGAATTCTGATTATGTGCAAGATGGATGTCCCTAGTGGTCGGTCCCGTATTGCTTGTTGGACTCCTTCTAGAAACGATCTGGATGCGACCGAACCATTCACGCTTGAAGAGTTTAATCAAGCACTCACGGAGATCACTGGCAGAGACAACAGACTCGGTAACCCTAAAGGCCTCGCCCGTTTCACTAACATGTCTGGCTATGTTACTGAATATCGCAAGGGCCGAGTTTTCCTTGGAGGCGATGCAGCACATAGACATTTACCAGCTGGCGGGCAAGGAATGAATCTCGGCATTCAAGAAGTCAACAATCTTGCGTGGAAGCTTGGGGCGGTGATCCGTGGCGAAGCCCCAGACACACTATTGGACACTTACGGATCCGAAAGGCTCAGCATCGCTCAAGGGGTCGTTACCAATACCACTGCACAGTCCCTTCTCTTCTTCGCGCATACCCGACCCGAGACAGCTATTCGAGAGTCGCTGAACAAGATCCTGGAAGTTCCGGAAGCGAATCGCAAGCTTGCTCTAGAGATTTCCGGTCTTTCGCATGCATATCCAGCGCCACTTGAGATGATCCGTCCAGAAGGATGGGATGCACTCCCGAAGGAACTGTCTGGTAAGCGAGCTCCCGATGTCAAGGTGCGGACTACGGACGGTGATGAGAAATATTTGCATGATTTCTTGAAGGGAGGAAAGTGGGTGCAGTTTGTCTTTAGCGATAGACACTCGACAGGAAATGTTGGTGTACCAGCATTCGTGGGACGCACGGAGGTTGTGTCTGTTGCAGAGATTTTGGGCAACTGGGGGGGCATGTACAAGGGACCTCACAGCCAGATTCTTATTCGGCCGGATGGCCATTTTGGCTTTGGAAAACTTTGATCTGGTTCAGAAACTGGGTTGGGCTCACGGTGGAACTAAATCCCCCCCCCTCCCCCCGGTTTTTGCTTTCAGTATACGGGGCTGCTGCCACCTACACACAGAACATCTTGTTAGAATCTGAACCAGTTACTATATCTTATAGTATTTGTAGTTTAGGTTATCTACTCCTTAGTTTAAACAAGTTAGAATTTTTAACATATGTTCCCTAAACAACTCCAAGATCTCTACCACGTAATCACGTAAGGTATTCCTCGCCGAGTAGTCACGTATTTACCTAGGTATATACCTATTGAAGTTGAGATCCTGACAGTATATCTTTGCTAGAGGCTCTGTAAGCCAAAGGCTCTTCTTATTTCCTCTTCGCTTTTTCTCCTGTATAATACCTTTTTCAACTTAGTCTCAACCCGAATACAATCTGTTGGCGTGGTTATCTGAGTTCGAGTCGTGGCGTTAGAAAAAGCTAACCTCAGTCATGATCTAGAGAAAGGAAAGGAAAGAAAAGGAAAGTCAAGGATCACCTGCTTATACTTAAACCTCTGCTCTGGTCGTACTCTAGAGGAAATTAAGCAGTCAAGAAACATCATCTATCCATGGAATTCTCGTTACAGATCCTTCAGAAGATCTTTCGGTTTTTATTAAAATTCTATAACGGATAACAATAATATCTAAGATGCCAACGCCTTGAATATGATAATGCTTTGTGAGACGAAAAACTCCTTTCTCTTGACCCTAGGTACATATTCTAAGTACCATCTATTCCCTTTCTCAAAACAGACCCTCATGCACTAACTCAGCTGCTCCCTTACTCCACGCTTGCTTGCTTGCTTGTTTGCTATACACCAATGAGACACAGACCAGACCAAAACCCACACCCACACCCAATTTCTAGATAAGTATATAAGCCACGAAAAGAGAGATCGATCTAGAACGCCAGTTTTGTGCCCTTTTTTGTGCCCTTTTTATCGTGCGAAACGAGGTCTTGATCCTTACCACGTAGGCGTTCAGAAATCAACTCTGAAGCGGAGACGTGATGCCTGTAACAAAATCGAGATCTATGTTCTTTTTCTGTCCTTTTTCTGTCCTTTTCCTTTTTGTTTTTCGTCGATTCTCATGATGAGTCGAGAGGGGGGATCACGTCTAGGGTGTCCCAGTTGCCGCCGCCGTCCTCGCCCCACTTGCCTTCCTTGAGAACGAGGAGGCGCCGGATACCGCAGAAGCCGCCGCGCCCAGCCGTCCGCGAGTAGTTTACATAGTGGCCTTTGCTCGCCCAGTATTCGGGTCCCTTGAGCATCCCGATTGTTGCTCGTCTGCCTAGCAGGCCTCTGTTCTCCAAGAGGCTTGAACCCGCTTGCTCGGTGTCGTTCTCTCCCGGCTTCTTGATACTCGACGGGACCCATAGCCGGTCCTGGACTATCTGGCCCGCAACCTCAGTCCTCCGTGGGTCAAACCACGGCATGTGTACGAAGTGGTTGATGAGGCCTTGAGGGAGGACGAGGAGGCGCTCGACACGTTTCATCATCCAGAGCAGCGAGTAGGTGTTGGCGTCGTAGGCGACGCGGACGTAGGGGTTCATGTAGATTCCGGCACCCCATTGCTCCTTGTTGGCTGGGGCGTGTTGCATGAAACCGGAGTGAGGAGGAAGGGTGGCTGGGGTAGTGGGAGAGGGAGCAGCCATGAGATCTGCGTGGATAAGACAGCATTCGCTGGCGTCCCAGAACGGCTCGGGACTTGCCCTGAACCGTAAGGGGAGCGTTGGCTGGAGGACGTTCTCATCTGCCCTCTTCTCTTGGCCAGCGTCAACATGCCGTGGAGGATCCAAATTCGTGTGCTCTTCTGGCGGCGTGGTGCCAATCTTTCCGACCTCTGGATCACGCTGGAAGTACCGCGCGTCAAAAGCCACTATTCCGCCCCAACAGCTCTTCACCCTAACCGCACTCTTCCCATGCAGAACATCCCTCCTACTCTCTGCCTCTCCCGCGTTGGCAAACCAGGGAAATATGGGTACGCCCATACTATACCCCTCATTATCTCTAGTGGCGAAGGTATCGTAGAACTTCCAGAACTTGATGAAATCCGCCCCACACGCCGCTTTGTACTCCGTCTTCCCCGTCTCCTCATTTACATTGGTTCCCCACAGTAGCCTCGTGGCGTCCTGGGGCTTGAAGATAACATCATTGATGAAGAGCAGCTTGTCGTATCTCTGCGACAGTGTATCGAGTGGTTTCAACGCCCGGTTCCGCACCTCAGCCAGGTATGCAATGCGCTTGATCCTACTCTCACCCGTCGGCAACTTGGTGCGTGTGAAGCCATCCAAATCAATCGGGTCCTCTTCCTCTGACACGATGCTCTTCCCGCACTCCAACTTCGCCTCCAACTCCTTCAGGGCAACGGTTGGCCCGCCGTATATCGACACGTATACTCGATCCTTCCCAATCAGGTCCACCAAATCCAATATTGACTTGCCCCATACACCATTTATGAGAGGACCGTCGATGATGTTGGCCGCTATGAACACGGTTTCATTGGGCTGGATATCAAACGCTGGCGGGGAGGCGTAGGAGGCGTTGAATGCGATCTGGAGGAGGAAGAGGAGGACGATGAAGATGGAGATGTGGAGAGGTCTGCAGTAACGGCGCCCTGTGCGGACGACAGTGGTGAAGGAATTGAGAGAGTTGAAGGTGGTAAAGGAGTTGAAGGAGGCGAGATAGGGGAAGGATCGCACATGAGGGCGCCGGTCCTTGAGCTCATCGTCAAGGTCTAACGATGAACGAGGAATAGCGCGATAGTCGGCAGCCATGATCGTGAAGAACAAGCTGTGCTATCGAGGTGAAGTGATTGAGAGGAAAAGCACAAGTTCGCAGAATTGGGCGGCCATCTTGTTCTGATGTTGTCCATTGCCGCGCCCCTGGGCGAGCAGGGAGGGATGTAAGCAGCCGTGCGCAGAAGGCTGTGTCCTCGGTTGTCGCCCGTTTAGCCCTGCAAGGTACGTAAAGGGACTCGTACGTCTCTCTGCACGTATTGGATTGGATTGGACTGGACTGGACGACTGGACTGGACCCCTTTCCCATGGACTCATTCTCCGTAATATTCCCCACGCGGGGCGACCGTTGGCTCGACAGCTGCCACGTTAGCTACATTTTAGATCAGCGCTATCCTGCGCCGTCAACAGTTAGAGTCCTTGGGGGTCCTTGAGAAGTTGAGAAAGCGTTTAGTCTAAGACCAGTCAGCGAGCGGCCCCATAGCGATCCATATATATATAAGGTATGGCTTAGAGAACGGCTCCATCCAAAGCACTTCCGGGGAGGCGAGGCTTGCGTACTCCGTATAAATATAATAAACCAATCAAATTATTCAAATTACCCCCCCACTGCGCATCACGTTTCAACCACTCTCAGTACGCAATTGGATTTACTAGACGGGCTACATAAGAGCTCATATCATACATTGTCTGCTATTCCACCTGATGTTCCTCCGGAGGGTATGTATTCCCATTCTGTGCTATCTTGTTTTCGCCGCATGGGGAATGTGGTATTGGGGAGCCAGGTTTGAGTTGATCAGGTAGTAGAGATACACAGCAGGGGGAACAGTGACGAGGACGAGTGCTGTCATGGCCAGCAGCCTGTACGTGAAGACGCTTATCAGCAGTGCTCAAGTGGGGGTTGGGCTCTTGAAAGTCCCCAGATCGAAAGGGAGAGGGGAAGAAGAGGGAGAAAGCAAAGGGGTCGCAGTAAGTAGCTGCGTTGCCTTACGCATGACGGTCACCACCACATATTCTTGTGATCAGGCCTCCAATCCAGTCTATAAAGATGAGGCTCAGGAAGCTCCTCAGAAAGCCCTTGGGTTTCGCATCCTGGCCGGTCGGGCGCATCGATGATGGAGTCGCTGGTCGTTCCGCCGCGGGCGACGGTGCTTTGCGCTTCGTAAGCTGCGTCTGGTCGCCCCCCTCTTCGCTTCTGCTTGCTGCCGCTGTATTCTCGACCGACTGTTCAAAAGGCTTATCACTGGATTGAGCCTTCAAGCTCGCGCCCGGGGTGGCTGATTCGACGGTATCAGTGGGACCCTCCATGGGAGATACGATCTCCCTGGGGCTAACCTCATGGCCATCAATACTTGGACCCGGCCCTTCATTGTCCAACTCATCACTAGTAGCAGCTTCTTCTCGATTGCTGTCTTCCGGAATAGAGTCAAGAGAGCCTCCGCTAGTTTCCAGGTGCGGCGATGGAGAAGGGGCTCCAAGACGCTCAACATAGGGTTCAGGCCCAATAACCGGGGATGAAGAGGTTTCGATTGCTGTCTCATCCTCGTTCAGACGGCTAGCTGATGTTCTGACGCTCTCCAGGATCAAACGACGCTCACTTGGAAAGGCTTCAATCGTGGGGTCATTGGGATCGATGTTAGTTTCTACCTGTCCAAGGGCCGCTCCTGGTGTCTCAGGTGCACCTGGCTCTTTATCCTCGGTTTCTGGACGCTGGACACACTCATGTGCAAAGAGAGGAGCTCGGTCTTCCCATGGAGTCACTGTACCTGATTCGGTCATCTCGTCGCCAGGAACCATGGCATATATCGGAGGCATTTGAAGCTCCCAGGTGTCAGCAAAACAGGAAGAAGCTAGAATTTTGCGACTGAGAAACTTACTCTTTGCTCATCCTCATCTGGCTCATCTTCATCATCTATAATCGCCGCACTCTCGGCGACCTCTGCTGCTGTGGCCGCGACATCGGGAATAGGAGTCAGAGACATACGTCTAAAGCCAATCCGACCAGCTTCTTCGTCGGGAATAGGGGGCGTGGGTGGTTCTTTATCGAGAATCGTAGCTGCATCCGCAACCTCTGCTGCAACATTCGCCAGCTCGGGGGTACTTGTTTGGTCTCTTGTCAGGGCATTGTCTGGCTCGACGTGATTTTGCCTAGCTACAACGCTTGCGTAAGTGGGTTTCTTGTCGTCTTTCATTGACGCCTTTGCTCCAGTGTCGCCCTTGGTTTCAAGTTCAGGATCCATCTTGTCGAGTGTCGCTGATGGAGCAGAAACCTTTGATGATTGCTGCGACTGCCCGGTTTCGGTAGATTCCTGGTGGATGGAGACGGCAAGTATGTTGTTTCGATTACCTGCATCATCCGTTGCTGTAGAAGAAATGCATCAGCTATCAAGATGCTCCTACCAAGTGATAGAGGCAGGTGAACTGCTTGTCGATCTGCAAAGACGTGATCAGCAATGGAACTTACCAGTCGGCGAATCCTCATCCAACATCCACCAGTCCCCATTCCCAATGCGAAACTTGTACTGATACTCCTTTCCTTCCTCTACTTCAACCTCTTTGTGATACCGGTGCTGGTTCTGGTCGTCGACCGTAAAGCGCATTTCTTGGGGCTGCCAGGCTGGATCCGAGAAAGAACCCGCGAGATAGACAGGCGGCTGAACCCCAGGCTTAGAGAATTCAATCGGAACGACTGTTCTTCGGGATGTCATGATGGGCTGGATTGTCTGAGAGCTGTGGCATCCGTCGCCGAGGGCTTGATTGTGGTTGCTGGTTGGATTCTCAAGATAGAGGGAGGGAGAGTTGGGGAGATTGACTCGTGGTGTTACGTATACCCGGTGAGGCAGGAGCAAATCTTTAATCGAAGTCAGCCAACGCGCAGAGACTTCCTCGACACATAGTGAATGGTGAATTGACGACTAAGTGAGCCTTGCGAAGGCCTCGCAGTGCAAAGAGACGATGAAGTGAAATCATACGATATTGTTGGGCTTCGTGCAAACTTTCGTGCAGAAAGCCGGAAACCCTACCTGCTATCTTCTCAAGACGGCCAGTTTCAATACGGGGAAAGTATCTTCACCACCGACAAGTCTGAACGTGTATCTAGGTCATCATATGACGACGGCATTGAGATACTGTTGTGGGACAGCGACAGCGACGTCAAAGAAGCCGCGCAGGCGTCTGTTCTTGGTCATATGCTGAATTGGTAGAACACGGCTGATGACAAGGCTGCCAGTGCTGAGGTCATTAAAACAAGACAGCAGCAGGAAACGTGCGTCAACGCCAACACATTTGCCCCTCGCGATTCACAAAGACGGAGACAGCTGTGTGATGAATTCCGACAGTCTTTGATAATGATACAAAATTCATGAACAAGAGCAGAGGAAGAGGGGTAGAGAGGGGAAGAAGCAGCTGGATTAACGGATGTTCAATTCAGCCTCTGTGTTCATCGTACCATGCCATCCATACCTCTACTGCCCAGCTTCCCCGCCACAAGTTCCCCGCCTCGGATTCCGGATGGCGTCAGAACATTGTTCAGTACACCGCACATGTTGCCGACTTCCACTCCAATCATCGCTTTGCAAGAACCTGTGCCACAACAGGCCCGTCGAGCCTTTGAGCCGTTGTTGTGTCCAGAGTAACCCGCCACAGTTGCCACGGTAGGGTCCTTGGTTGTGGCTTTGAAGGGTATAGGCGGAGATAATAGCTAGTTTAACTTTAAATAGATAGTTGCATCACAGTGACGGGTATATGTCGATGACCTAAGGACGAGAGACCCTGAAGAAAGTTCTCCTTGAAGCAAAGGATGCTTGAAGAACAGATGCCTTGGCTCTTATAGTTTCAACTTTACATGTTTCCGGGTTAAGGCTTTTGACAAGTATTTTGTTGTTTCAAGCCTTGAGTTTTTTATTGCCGATCCTCCCCTCCCTACAATGTAGATCTCAAAGGGCCCATGCAAAGATTGCAACAACGGGATGGGGCTATCAAGATTCCGATTTCAAATACGACAAAGAGAAGAGAGGAGCCAAATTGTCAAGAAGCATAGGTAGGTAGGTATCTACCTGATTATTCAAGATAAATAATCGATACTGGAGTGAGGTACCTGGTACCTGAGGTTTGAACTCGCTACCTAGTCCCAAGTGCATGTGAATTTTAACCTCAGGCCAACATCTGTCCAAGACAACATGTAGACTCCACCACATGTGTCGCCTTCTCAGTCTTTGGACACCTTAGCATCTACAGAATCATAGCATAGTGGACAATAGAGCTTGATGCTCGTCTCACCAAGCCACACTCTATCTTGAGCTCCATCTTCTCGCACGGCCCACGCTCTCTTCTCAAAATGTCTCTCCCGCCATCGACTATCCACATCAAGAGGAAGGCCACGGACGACCCAGTTGAATTTCTCCGTAAGGACGAATCTTCCCGCGGTAGAGATCCCAGCTGATCACATACAGGTGTGCATGAACTTAGTGGGAAACGACAGCGCCGCGCTACAGAATTCGTATTTACACGACAGCAGCCTACCGGTGATGACTCGGCACCTACCTACGATGCGTCTAACACAACACAAAAAGCTCTTCAAGGCCGGCAGATCAAGCCATTACCCGGTGCTTCCAGCTCTGCATCTCTGAGTGCTCAGCAGAAATCACAAGCAAGCCAACTGGGGAGCGGACTAGAACATGGAGCTGGCGAGGTTGGGCCAGATGCTCCTCCCTCTACAAACAGCCAGAGCGCTCAGCAACCCCCCAACGACGATGGCACCCCCACGGCTCTTGAAATCGCCCGGCACCGCCGCTTCCACATATCACGAAGCTCGATCAGTTCCAGGACCCAGAGCCCAGTCCTAGGCGGGAAGATCCAGAAGCGTACCCCCACCGTCTTCGTCGAACGACGAGCCCGCCGACGACCCTCTCGAGATGGAACAACAACACCTCCCACGCAGCAACCCACGACGCCCACAACCCCCTTGCCCGAGCCCGCCCGACCGCAAAAGAAACCTGGCCTCGCCGCACGCGTACCAGCCAAGAAGAACTCTCAGAGCAGTCTAGCTCCGGCAGCCACTCCCAGCACGCCCGCTCGAAACGTCAGCTTGCCTTCGGGTCTCGTGATGCCATGGGACGTAACCTCGGAGCAACTGGCCAAGGAGATGCAAGCCTACACGCTGCAAGAGATTGGGCGCAGCATCGCGGCCTCCGAAGCACCAACGCACCCTCCACCACCCCCATCTCGGGCCACCCCGCGAAAGAGCACACCCTCTCGATTCAAGCCCCGCAAGCCCGCCCTCCGCTATCAAGAACGGCACCCTGATGAAGTCGTCCCTACGACCCATTCCGGTATGGATATGGACACCGACGTCTCAGAAGCAGAAGAAGAGGAAGATGAAGAAGAAGAAGAAGAAGAAGGCGAGTACGTAATCGACACGTACATCCGGATCCCCACGACCTCCCTCCCACCCTCCATCACAGCCAACGACCCAGAATCATCATTCGGGCTTCTCGTTCTCGACTCCCAGCCCGACATCGACGCCTTCTACCACTCCTCCTCGGACACCAACTCAGACCTCGACGACGAGGAGGAGGAGGACGAGAATGCCGAGAATCACTACTCGGCCGACTATCCCGACGACGAGGTCGATTCCGATGATGAGTTTGATAGGAATGTGTATCGCTACCATCATATGCAGGAGCCGGAGGACGAGGAGGGCTTTGATGATGCTACGTTTAGTGATGATGAGGATCTGCATAAGGGGGATGATGCGACGAGGTTTCCGTGGGGGAGGGGGAGGGGCTGGATGGTAGGACGTGCGGATCGAGATGTGGAGGAGTTTTGAGATTTGAGGGGTTTGAGCGGGAGCGGGAGCGGGAGCGGGAGTGGAGAGTAGGTGTGGGGTGCGATATGGAGATGATGTGGGGGTGGCATTCCGAGGTCAGTGCACGCACGATGATCAGCTGGAGATCTACCTAATACCTCACCTCACCTCCTGTACGATACGCACCACGATGTAGAGTCAAATATATGCCCGACGTTTCGTACATACATACATGCATACATACATGCCTTTTGTGCATGGATGAATGCACACACACCTATCTCTCCCCATCTCATCTCATCCCACTCCCTCATTTAACGTATTCCATTCCCAATTTCCAATTTCCTCTCCCTCCCTCCCTTCTTGATTGACTTATTGACATGAACAGAACAGAAACAGAAACAGAAACAGTGCAGAACAGACCAGATTACCACCCCCCCGCCTCGACGCCCAACAAAACAAAAAAAACAAAAAAAAAACACGACTGCCTGCCACCACCGGATTCCGGATACATTACATAATACGCGATTGGGATGGGATATTTATTAACCTTCCAGATAGATAGAGCCTGAAGATGGAAAAGAAAGAGGGAAAAAAAGGGGGGGAAGAGGATTTAGGGATAGGTCCCTAGGTAGGTAGGTAGCAGAGGGAGGTAAGGTAGGTAGGTTTATGGCTCGCGGTGTTCTTCGACCATGCGGAGGACTTTGCGCCACATTGCTTTTGCTATCGCCCATGATGGTTAGCGGGAGGGTGAAGAAAAGGGGGGGGATTGGGAGTACTCACTTCCTGCTGGGTCCGTCGGGTCATTACCCTGCAAGATCCTCCGCGCGAGCTCCTTATGCTCCTCACTAACCCAGGGATACTCCACGGCCCGCCACGGATACTTGTCGACGAGGGTAAACGGGACGCCCTTGACACGGCCCTCGATGGTCGCCCGGCCCCTCACCTTGGCGTCGTCCAGCAGCAGCTTCCCATTCTCGTCGAACATTGGCCGCCGCTGTGCGTCGAGCCGCGGGATCTTATTGTCACGATACAGCCGCGCCGAGAAGCACTGCGCCGTCTTCCGCTCCGCCGGCCACAGCTTGTCGAATTCCGCACACATGGCGTTGTAGCAGACGTGGCAGTCTTCTTTCATGTACCGGATCCAGTCGACCTGTTCGCGGAGGTACGCTTTGTTGCAGTAGGGCCCTTTGGGTGCGCCCGGCGAGGATGGGGAGGCAGAGTAGAGGGTGAGTGCTGTAGGGGAGCGCGAGTCGGCAGCAGACTTGTGATTCGGACTGCGGCGCATCGACGAGTGTGGTGCGGAGCCGCGCCGCTGCTGTTTATTCCTGCGCTGGTGCCGGATGTCGCACAGCTGGATGCTCCCCCGGCGCAGGTCGCGATCCGGCTCGGAGGTCGAATACGCCTCGGGCGGATCGAGATCCATCTCTTCGGCAGTCTCTTGAGTAGGCCGCCGTCTCGCGCCCCAGTACTCGACGTCTGCGCCAGCGCAGTGCTCGCGAGGACCACCCACCCGAGGGAGGTTGTGGGGGGTGCGGTTTGCCGCCTCGCCGCCCGTGCCCTCCCTTCGAGGCGACGGCGCGTATCCCCATCTCTCGACGGGACTCAGGGGGGCGCCATACCTATGCTGTTGCTGTGAGCGCGCCTCGGGATCCCGCATCATCTCGATGCTGCCCACGCCCTGGCAGATGTCGTAGTACGACAGCGGCGGCGTGAGCGGTCCGGCGCGCATGGGCGGCAGTTTGTGAGGGGGCGCGGGCTGCCACGACGCCGTCAGCGTCGTCGGCTCCATGATCATGAGTGCATCCCCAGCGTCTGGGGCGGGAGACGGGTTCAGGATCATGGAGAGGTTCATCTTGCCCGCGGGGTTCATGGACTGGGCGGGCAAAGAGCTGGGATGCATGGATGGCGAGTGGCCGGGCGTGGGCAGGAGCATTCTCTCTCCTGCCGGAGAGGAGAGGAAGGGATCAGGTAGGATGGGGGTGTCAGCTCGCGTCTGATGATATATATGCAGCTATGGCGGTGATATCATCAACGGTCTGCTCGTCGGTGCTTGGTTCGCGGTGATCGATATGCGATGGTCCCGGAAGAAGAAGGTGTATCGATAAGAAGGGATATAGATATATGAATCTCGAAGGGGTCACGAAGGGATCAATGAAGAGATCTAGATGCGAGGTAAGAGAGAAAGGGAGGAATGAAGAATATGCAGCAGCATCGTTTATCCAACGGGCGAACGGCCTCCCTATATATAAATGCAGAAACGGGCAGTTCAGCCACCACCCCCTTCGCTCCTCCAACAACGGCTCCGTGTCACCAGCACCGGCATCGCGTTGGAGAAAAAAAGACGGACGGAGAGGGAAAAAAAGGGAAAGAAAGAGCGGAGCGAGGGGAACGCGGCCCAGACCTTGGGGTCGGTCCTGCATAGCCGTTCATCAACCACGAAATATACAACACAGACAGACAGACAAGACAAGACACTTAGCTACCTGCCTACCTGGCCTTACCATCGACCAACGCCGAATGCAAAGAAATAAAAATAAATAATCAGAAATAAAAGAGATAACTAGACCAAAAAAAAGAAACTAAGGTACCTTACCCATATCATCCATCGGGCAATCAATCAATCCTCCCCATGTTCACAAACCACCTCCCTCCCCCCTCTCACCCTCACCCTCACCCTCACCCACCCACAAACCCATACCATACCATACCATACCATACCATACCATACCATACCATACCTAACCTTACCTTTCCCACTTGCAAGGGGCCAGCCAGCACTGCACAACGCCCTCGAATCTTCAGCAGCGGGCGCATCTCTCTGTCGTCGAATCCGCGCGAGTGCCGAGTTGGAGGCGCCATCGCTGGTCGCGGATTGGGTACCGAGGGAGAGGGAAACCGGGGGGGGAGGGGGGGGGCTTGTTGCATCTGATATTATAAATTGGATCTGCTTTTATGATATTATGTTATTATAGAAAAGCTGGTATATTAGATTGATTATCTTATACAGAGGTACGTACCTTAGGTACCTAAAGTGGAGGGGATTGGGGGGGAACAAGGGGGGAGAGAGAAGGGGATCTGTACTTCTTGGGTATCTCGCAGGTGGGTTTTGCCTATCTTGATTTCCTTTCCCTTTCCTTTTTCCTGTTTTTTTGACTCCTCTCTCTGCTTCTTTGGGTCTTGTTGTTGGTTCTTTTTTCTTTTCCCATGCTAATACTTTGACTTGGATCATGTTTCTGGGTCTGTCATGGGAAGAGAGCCCTTTGTACGTACCTAGCCCGACCTCCTCTTGCTGCTATTTCTTGAGTCTTGCCACGACCCGGCACTTGGAGTGGGGATGGAGAAAAGAAAGTGCCCCCCTTACCTGCTCTTAGGAGTTAGACCCTTCCTTATTGTTGCACAGATGATGCGTCGAGATGAATGTGGGGAGCCGTTGGGCCGTTGGCTATAGTTACTCTCTGAGGGTGCTATTCCGGGGGTTCGTCGACGTTGTATAATCCTACATCCCGTCTGGTGATAGGTAATACGGTAATGCCTGACCTTCCAAGTTTGACGTTCCCTTTACCTTGGTCATACCTTGGTCTACCGCAGCAGATACCGTAGCAAACATTCCTCCGCGCTTACCTGACCCTCCCTCCTTCACCAAAGCCGCCGTGCACCTCTTACCTACCTCGCACCTCACCAACCCCATCCCCCATCCCCCCATCCCTCTCTTCTCCAGCCTGGGCGGCTACAGTCGCCCGGCCCCTTGCCGCAAACATGCTAGCCCCCTCGTTCATCGAGCCACACACAGCTCCCGGCCCCGGTCCCCCAACCCGGCATCACCTCCACTGCCCTAGCCACAGATCCCCGATCCACGATGGGCACACAGATCAGTGATCAATCAATGGTCACACAGATCACGCCGGCCGCCCCCGTTTGTCAGCACGCGATCGGCCGCGTCGCTTGCCGCATCCGGCTGGTCTTGCGTCCGCCGTGCAGACGCCGCGCCATCCTTGCGGGGGATCGCCGAGGTTCCAGAATCACCCCGTCCGAAGAGGTTTAGCGCGTGGTCTGCCCTCCCGGCATCAGACATGATGACCTACCTAGATAGGCAATTCTGGGCCATTCCCTGATGAAATGGGCGCACTGGCCTGCTGCCCTCGCATATTTCGCATTCGCTACCACGTCCCCGGGTCCGCGATGTGCTCAACCCGCATGAGACGCGGGTCCCGTGACTTGCGGCGGGCAAAGCACGGGGCGTGATGTTGTGTGATGGGCGGCAAAGAATCAAGAGGAGTTGCAGAATGATGCGTGCCCCTTTACACACGTGCATTTCTCTCCAAGAGCCGGTGCACGGTGATTTGCGGAGGGAGGCTTCTGACATGAACCACGGACCACGACATGTATCACGATGTTACGATCTCGCGATCAATGCCGTTATGCCAGGCAGGGTCCAGTCGGGAATCAAGATTCAGGCCAGTTCTCTCTCCTCTCCCTCCTCTCCCCTCTCTTCCCTCCTAATCTCCCGCTGGCCGCGGCCTGGGAATTGGCAGCCCCTGCAAGTCAAGTCAAGCGCAATAAACAGGCGCAGCACGCCGGAACCGTGAAGCCATCCAGAGGCCATGAATCATGATTCCCATCACAAATGCGCAGGGTCACTGGGGGGGCGGGCGGCAAACCCAGATGCCAGGGATGGGTGATGGGAGGAGCGATGAGTCGTGCCACGCATCTGCGCTCTGCGCTCTGCGCTCTGCAGCTCTGCGTCTCTGTGCCCTCTCTCTTCTCTCCCTTCGAGACGCGCCAACAGATCTCCTGGCCCCTCTGATCCATCCGCATCCGTCACAGTAATGCAGACCCGACAGTTCGGAGCGCATCATTCAATAGTACTGCGAGTGTGTGACTGTGTGTCAAGAGCAAAACGGTCACTTGAGATATGCCCCTGCTGGCCGAGAGGCGCGCCACGCGCCAAAATGATTATCGAGCTGTGACTGGATTACCGGATTACCGCCGTGTTACCGTATTCTCGGCGGTGATTACAGGCCGGGGATGGCCCGGGACAACTCGATGTTGTCGGGCAGGGAACGGGTCTGAATATCAAGATGAAGGTCCCGTCACGACCAAAGCACTAATACCACAGCCGGAGTTAAGAAAGAGTGGCACTGGCATGTGCCAGCGGCTAGACCGTGGCAGCCAGCCAGATCCACAGCCTCGAAGATTCATCGCAAATTGCTGTTCTGTGTATGGCGGGGATACGAGATTTCCCGCCGCTGAGCCCAGGGATGGATCTCTCCCCGTGAGCCAAAACTTGCTAGAGAAGAGAAGTGCCAGACGGGAGCGTCGTTCCGTCTCCTCGCCCTCCTCTCCACTGCCGACGCGCCCCCCATCCGCCGTTGCCGCCAGTTCTCCTTCTCGGCATTCCGATGCGATGCTATTGCTCCTAGGAGATAAGGCTGAGTTGTCTCTTCCTTCTTTAGGCGCGGCCCATGTGTGGACTAGATCCCTTCGAGTTGAAGAAATCTCTCTCGCCCCGTCTAGCCCTTTTCCCCGCCTTTGCTTGTTTCTTCCTTTTTTCCTTTCCTAGCACGTCCCGAATCAGGTAGGGCGTTGTAGTTCATGCGCGGTCCTTTCTCTCCCACCTCCCCCTTCCCACTTTCCCTGCGCCCATCAATCTCAATCTCAATCGCCATCTCCATCTCTATCTCGGTCTCTCCATCTCCATCGCATCGCATCGGATCGCATCACAAGCATCCAGATAAGAGCGCAGCAAGGGATAAACATAACATGCACACGTCCCCCCGTCGGAATCTCCGCCGGCCCCGGCTCTCTTTGATACTGTATTGTACAGCGCACGCGCCCTCTCTGACGCCGACCCGGACCCGGCCCACCCTCCTCCCGTCCTCTCGGGTCGGCTTAGAAAGAAAGAAAGCTGCTGAATAATAATAATCCTGATTGATGAAATGCAGACTCGACTCTCGCGGGGGGCAGCGGCTTCGGTTCCGCTGCAGGGGTGGCCACGGCATTATTATGTTGCCTTAGTAAGGCTTACTGAGAGATGAGATGAGCAACGTTGTACTGTGTGCGTGTCAGGTGGTCGCAGCTCCTCATCTCTTTTCATCTTCTCTTCATCTCAGCTGTTTGTTCAGCGCTGGGAATGAAAGCCTTATCGTGTCATATTCTCGATTTCACGGGTTCAAAATATAAAGAAATAAATGATCTAAACAGACATGAAAAGATATATCATAACCAACATTCGTAGGTACCTAGGTAGATAGACACTCGAGAATCCACCTACCTACCTACCTTCTCTAAACGTATCGTAACAGTAACACTCCTTAGCTAATCAATCAATCAAAATCCCCCGTTCTCGCCCAGTAGTGCACACCGGCACACACCGGCACACCATCGGCCCGCATCGGCACGTCCCTACCTACCTATCGATCATCAGCACCGGTCGGCTCAGCTCTCCATCCATCCCTCAATTTCAATACCGAGCACGACGCCGATCGATAAGATAGATAGATAGATAGGTAGATAGATAGATATTCTGGGGATATACCCATCCATCCCCTTGTCTTTGTCGATCCCTCCGTGTTAAAAGAGACCGAGCCCACTCATCCCTTCTTCTTGCCTATTATAGGGTACATCGTTCTAAATGGAGTAATATATCAGCCCGAAGAAGTAACTCGCAGAGATGCAAGGTTTAAAGAAAGGGGAATGATCATCATCCCTGGTATTCAGGCTCTGAGCATTCGATACCACGCGCCCAACGGTCCACAAGCGCTCACGCGCGAACCACTCAATGGCCCCGCCTCGAAAACATGGGCTTTTACACCTCGCAACGGGGGCTTCTTTGGGGAAGGGAGGGAGGGGCCTGCCATGCATCCCAGATTTCCGGATGTGTCTCTTTCCCTTTTTGTTTTCTTTTTGAATCCGTGGGTATTTTGGATTGTATTGTGATAGGGATGTGGATGTGGATGGGGATGGGAATGATATGATGATATAGAGATATCTAGATAGATAAAGTACCTTACCTTAGGGAAGTAGGTTCTAGCATCTATTATGCTCTAGGGAATTTTTATATTTTTGGTTATTTTCTTTTCTTTAAAAAAGAAAATCTCTGACAAGTACCGGGTTTGGAAAATTGAACGGATGAGTGAGTGACCTCTCGTCACACAAACTCCAAACCACAAACTCCAAAATGACAACTTACAAGTTGAAGTCGGCGTCTTCTTCGGCTTTACTCATCCTTCTTATCCCCGATTCTTCCCATCCCATCCCATCCTATATCATCTCCTATTCTCCTTCTTCTTCTTCTTCTTCTTCTTGATTATAGATTTATAGTCGAGGATCGAGATCTTCTTTTCATCTAAGGTTATCTAGGAAGGGAATCATAAGAGATGAATAGTGACTGTTGGGTGCTGGGTGCTGAATATAATGTAATGTAATGTAGGTACCTTAGGTAATTCTGGATCTTGATAACCTTACTACTAGGTACCTCCCGATCCGATCTCTTTCCTTCTATCGCTTCTTGATTCTTTCTAGTCTCTTATTCCTTCCTCTCCTGAGTCCTTCTTCCCTCTATATACCGGGTCTGATATAAGGTACCTAGGTAGGCCTTAAAGCTGGTGTTAAGTAGGTACTTACCTATTAACTGTACAGTCCGTGCTTCTATGGGTAAAGATGGTGGAGAAGGGGAGAAGGGGTATGGACGTTGTGATTATACCGTGAAGATTTAACATTGATCATCTCGTCACTAAAAGACCCCCTACTTCACCACCCTCTATCACACAATGCTCATTTTACCTTGTATATATCACAGTCCAAGAAATCAAGCTTGATATCACACCTTCTTTCTTTCTCCCTCCTCGAATACTCATCTATCTAATCTAATATCATCAAAGAAGGTAAAAAGGCCGCGAGCCGACGACTACGCCTTGGCACTATGAGCGGCCCATTCCACTTCCCTGAGTCACGGACCTTCTGATACTTTTTTGGTACAAAAGGACAGTTAGTGCCCAATGTCAAGTTTAAGGATGTCCGCTTCGTATTCATTACGGCTACAGGACTTATTAGTAAACCTAATCCCTTTAAGCAGCAAGACGATAATATCCTAGAAGGACAAGTGGTCACCAGATCAACTATGAGCTATACCAGCTATTGGAAAAGAGCCTTGAGCAGAAGGTAGAACCAACCGTTCCACCAACAACGCCCCAACCCCCCCCCACTACTACAGTATTGAATGATGGATTGTCGTTGTGAATATAAATGAATAAGAGTCGAGATTCACAATAAAAAAAGGTATAAATCGGTGGATTATCGTTGTGAGTGAGTTTTGTAATCCATCCTCTCCTATCACCTCCCTTACTGCTGGTCCTCAGGGGCGCTGTAGTACTGAAGTGGGTGGTGCGAGTTCTTCATGGACTGCTGATGATCTGGTGGTGTCTTGATCGGTGTTGATAATGGTGAAGTTGTCGTGATGCCGATTGAAAGCTTTGAATGTTTCCTTGATCAGTAGATCAATCTCTTGCTCTCTTGCTCTGCCCTGCTATCCTCGGATGCGTCCATAATGCTGGTTAATATTCTAGTTCCCTTTAGTAGTAGAGATCTAGAAAAAAGTCGTACTCGGTTTGAAGGGGTCTGACATAGGTAAAAACAGAGAAAAAGTGATGGAAAATGGAAAGATGATGGGAGACTATTGATGACCGGTGATCTGATATTACCGTGATGACAGGAACCTCTAGCGGCTCAGCTGGTCGTATTGCGCGAAGCTCGACCTCTTCTTGTGTTACAATACATCGATTGTCTCGCAAACGTACAGCATTACAACCTGCCCTGCTGAACAGGAAAAGCTGGTGCGAAGAAGGTCGGTTGCTGGGCTGGCAAGAATGGCTGTTGGAACTTGGGATGCCGATGCCGGTTATGATATTGCGACAGAACGGTGTCTATCTGTACTGCTTTCATCTCTCAAAGAGGTCGAAGTCATTATCTAGGTAGTAATGAATAACAAATTAAGCTTCAGGGAAAGGAGTCGTCGCTGCTCGACATGGTCTTTAGTGGGGTAGTCTCAGGTGGCGGGGTAAGGTAGGAAAGATGTTTTTTTGGGGGGCACATTTCTCAGAGAAAGATCTAAATAGACCAAGAACTCAGGACACAGTCTCCCCGATCACCACGCCCGAGAGCAACGCTCTCATCGCCAGGCATCACGTCGACTTTAGAAAATAGGTGGGTAGGTAGATAGGGAGAAATGAAATTGAATTGGATTGTCGTTGTGAAGATAAGTGAATAAATATGAATAGAGATTCATAATGGAAGGAGTAATAATCGATGGATTGTCGTCGTGAGCGAGGTTGATATTAGCGGTAGAGAGTTACCTAGAAGCTGTACACAGGTAGTAATAAATCGCAAAAAATCCCCACGTATCAAGGTAGATTGAAACTCCAAGTGCTGCACGAAGATATCCAGCGTCGCATAGGCTAACTGTGAGATGGTTTGGAGCTTTATATACCTTACTTGGGATTACCTCGTCCAGTTTCGCTTGTTGAACAGAGTGGATTTAGTAGGTATATATGAACGACGAACAGAATCAAAGATTAGCTTTCGTCGGCCCAACCTTCTGCGTCAAAAACTCCTTAATACATTGATTGACCTCCGCCGGTTTCTCCCACAGTGCCCAATGACTCGTATCCACCTCCGCCCTCGTCAGATCCCCAAACCACATATCCATCCCCTCACTAACCGACGGCGGCAGCGCCGCATCCCTCGAGCCCGCGATAAACAAGACCGGGATCTCGAACTTCCAATCCTCATTCTTCTCCAGCTCCGCCGCGAGCTCTTTCTCCTCCTCGAAATTCAGCGGGCCTGTGCGGTACCAGTTCAGCGGGCCGCGCATGCCATGGATCGCGTAACGGTTGGCGTAGAAGTCCAGCTCTGCGGCGGATACCAGTCTGCTAGGGAGGCATTTGGGCAGCTTCTCGAAATAGCAGCCGTGGTCGACGGAGAAGGCGAGTTCGCCATTGGGACACTGACCACCGAACAAAGCGTTCAGAAACTGGCGGATCTTTGCCTCCCCCACGATCTGGGCTTCGACGTCAGGCCCGCGGAGCTGCAGCTGGTATTGGAAGTTCGGGAGGGTGGTCAGGTCAAAGTACTCGGTGGTGGGGGGACCGAAGGGCGTGCAGATGCTGATGAGCGCGCTGATAAGGTGGGGGTGGTGCATGGCGAGGCGGTAGACTACGGCTCCTCCCCAGTCGTGACCGGCGACGATGATGGATGAGAGGCCGAGCTGGTGCGCGAGGGCGGCCATGTCATCGGCGGCGCGTTTGAAGGTGTAGAAAGAGAGGGAAGAGGGGGCGTCAGTCCCGCCGTAGCCCATCATGTCTGGGGCGATAACACGGAGACCAAGAGAGGTCAGGAAGGGGATTTGGTAGCGCCATCCTAGAGAGAGGTCGGGCCAGCCGTGGATGAGGAAGATGGTATTTGTAGGCTTGCCGCTTGGCTCGGCGAGGATGTAGGAATAGTTTATGCCATTGAGATCGGCGGTTTTGTACTGGACTCGTGGGTCGTGGGGAGAGATCTTGTCGACCATCGTGGTTTATATTGAGAGAACAACGATGGTGATAGTTGGAGGTTGACGAGGCTGAGGTTGGCTTGGGAGGTGAGCTTATTTATTTATACGAGGCTGACAGACCCCACTTCAGAATTAGCCTCGGCTGACCATGCGTACTGTGAGGTCTGTGACAGACATGCACGGGAAAGTAGGTTGAACCTTCCCCACCTCCCTCATGAACCTTATTGAATTGAAGTCGCCTCGAGCTTGAATCTAAGCGCGGAAATTCGGATGACAATCAATACCCCTCGTCGCTTGTGGAGAGAATTTAGTTCGATGTATCAAGAGTGCATGTGAAGTTGTCCAAGATTATACCTCCGAGGAGAGGCGTCGAATTGACCCAAACAAGACTGAGATGTGTCTACGTATTTCGTACAAGAACGCGGGGTATCAATAGCCTGCCACCCGACGAACCCCATAGAGAAACTTGTTCATACAAATAGGAAAACAAATGCTAGTCCTGTCGGATCAGTAGATGACTGTATCTTCCTCCGCCTCCACAATAACTTCACCATTGTGCTCCTCCAAAGAGTGTTTCTCAGTCGTGATCTGATCCGACTGAGGTGCTTGAACAGGAGGATTAGTAGTATCAACATTAGAAATAGAGGGAGACTCGGTATGAGGCTCACCCAGCGTCTCCTTGGACATGTTATTAGTTTTATCTCCATCCTCTGACGTTTCTTGGCCTCGTTCTTCTTGATACAATCTGTCGAATTCTTCGCGTTCGCGTTCTATGAGGGCTTCGACCTCTGCGATTTGTGTCTTGATGCAGTCCTCCTCTTCCGGCCGTAATTCCCATGGCTTATAGTACTATAAATCGTCAGCACATGCCTTGCCCGTCGAAGAATCGGCGCATACCAGCTTCGGTTCTGTTTTTGTACACAGGAAATTTGCCATGGCCAGCATGTTCGAATGTCGTATTCGCATCTGATCCCAAGTATCAGTATCAATCCGGACTTGCTGCTTGTGAATAGAATACTGACTGATTCCCCATTGAACTTTATCTGCTCTACTTTCCGAATGGCCTTCAATTTCGCAAGTTTCTCTGCCCTTTGCGCCTCATCATCAACCTGTTGCTGTCTAACCTTTTCCGCCTGCCGCTTCTCAATCTCTAGCCGTCTCTTATGCTGACCATTTGGCGTGCTCTGGCTCAATGTGCTGAGGAGTCCACCAAATAATCGCCGACCTCGTTTCTTTTCCTCTTGAGCGCTGCTGCTATTCCTTCTCTTTGAAACCTCATCCTTCTCTTTCTCAACTTGGGGTATTATCGGTGGTTCGGGAGTAGGTTCGGTAGCTTGCGGAGATGCGCGAAGAGTAGATGGAGAGTCGCCGTGTTCATCATGCGATAGTCTGGGACGTTTGGAGACCGTGTCGGATGTGGAAGATTGTCTTCGTTTCGAAGTCGGGGATTTCTGTACTTCGGCCTCTGGGACTACGACTGCTGAAGAGATCGGTCTGTAACAAGACTTAGAGAGGGGCTTTATGATGGCCCAGAGAACTTACCCAATACTTTCCGACATCTTGCCCGCGCACAAGCATCATACCATGATGTTCTTGCAGTCGCTGTAGAGTTGTGAGTGCTCGACTCGGCTCGAGGATGGTTACCCGATACGGTATTAGCGCCTGGTCCGTGCATTTGTAATCAACTTTCTAGACGGTGGCGGACGCTTCTCTGATATCGAAAGCTTCACCTTTGCGACAACTCCATTCCCTGTCAACTCCCGGAAATCTACATCAACAGATTGATATTAACTGAATCATTGGTTTTACAAAGAATCAGAGCTTCTTGGGATCTTATAAACCTTCGCTATGTCTCGCCATCATCCGTAAGTAGCTTCTCCTACCCCTCCAAGCTCACATTCTAACATCTCCTAGCGATCTCGTAATGTGCCGCAAGCAGGCCGGAATTGCAATCGGTCGACTTTGTGATAAATGCGATGGCAAATGCCCCGTCTGCGATTCCTACGTTCGACCTACAACCCTCGTTCGAATCTGCGACGAATGCAGCTTCGGCAACTATCAAAACAAATGTGTAGTATGTGGCGGAGAGGTATGTCTTCCTCCTGTTTTATTGAGCAAGGATAGAGACTGACAGTTTGGTAGGGAATATCGGATGCCTTCTATTGCTTTGAGTGCACGAGGTTAGAGAAAGACAGAGATGGCTGCCCGAAGATTATAAATTTGGGTTCCTCGCGCACGGATCTATTTTACCGTATGTCTTCCCCAATCTTCAGCATCGTCCCAGTGCTAACAGCCTTGCAGAAATGAAGAATTTTCGAAATCATTAGCAGCATTCAGGTCGTGGCAAGGGCGTTGTTTGGTTGCATGGCACCGGAGTTTAGATGATTACCCCAGGGTTAGTTTTGGCGTTGGTCAGGGAAAATAGGGAAGAGAGCACTGCATAGCTCATGAATTGGAGAAATCGAATTAGAGAAATTGGTATTCATCATTCGTGTATCAAAGGTTTGATGTATTGTTTGTTCGCTGCTCAATACTAAGCCAATGCTTACGCCAATACTTCAATCGAACGAAGGCAGCAAAGTTACACATCGAAAAAGGCACAAGGATCCCTTTTTTATGTTCTTAATCCTTCAAATCCATTCCTTCACCGAATCCATTTTCAAGTCATCCACCCGAGTACCGTCTCACTCACCGCCTATACCCTGACCTGAAAACATCACCGCATAATTACGCACAGCTCTTTGCGGTGTCATGCATGCGACCTGCAAAGCGATCTATTAGTGTTGAAAGGAGAGACCGTGCTTTGAACAGGCCTTAAGAGTAACCAGCTAAGTGCCCACGAGTGCTTGTCTGAGGCTAAGCGGATGGTTACGAGATTGAAAACCAATTCGAAAGAAACGAGGATAATGAGAGAATGGAGGTCATAGTTTGGGTGACGTTGGAGAGAGAAGAGCACCAGAAGAGGGCCAGGCATGCCTCTGTAGTGGGGCAATTGATATGTTTAAAAAGATAAGGGAAGATGATGGACTTGGATGTTGAGATAGGGGACTGTGACGAAGGAGTGGTACAACTTATCTTTGTTACAATATTCAATTTTGATAACGTCTCAACAATTGCACTTTGTTATTTGTATGTGTACCTACCTAGGTAGGTACCTAGGCATCGTAAAGGTATATACATGTCGCTCGCACGTGATCTGGGGCTTACTAATAACTAATAACCTTTATCGGGGAGCATTTCTGGAAATTTCACAACCCCAACCGATTTCAGTCGTTATCTAGCACGGACTTGATCAATACGTTACAGTAGCCTAATTGAATAGTATGTGATCCAGGTTTCTGACCTCCCTTGGATTGCTTTTTCTAACCTACATGCCTTCATAGCTGTCGTTCTGAAGGAACGCCAAATACAGCTGGCTCGTCACAATGGCGACGCCTTTGCCTCAAGAAACGGTCTCAGAGACCCAGCATGTCGGTAATGACATGCTCTCATTGCTTCCTTTGGAACTGAAGCACCAAATCCTCGACAGTTTAAGTGCCAGAGATGTGATTAACCTCAGACTGGTGTCCCGCGTCTGGGCAGTCCTGGGAGAAGAGCTTTTTTTCAAGGATGGATTTACCGTCCGGCCTCACCTTAATGATATGGCCCGACTCGAGATGGCCTCAAAACATCCTGGAATTGCTAAGAGTATTACCAGTCTCACTTTCTATATGGGCGACATGAGTTTCGAGCAATTCGCTGACGCCGTTAAGCGAAAGTCGTGGAAAGGAGATCTAAAGAAAGTATGGGAAATTATCGATCGTATGTACAGTGCACCGATGTTTAATCGGCACTGCAACGAGAGAATATTATCTGAGGTTCTCCCACGGTTGCCAAACCTTACATCACTGACGGCCACTTCAATAAAATATCCCTTTATGGGATGCGGTGTTGACCTTTTGCGCGCTTGGAAGTCCATGATGGATTACTCGCAGGACTTTGAAGAGTACGATGAAGTCTCGTTTCATGATACTTCTTTATCGACAAGAAGATATACCAGCGTCCTGTCTGCTGCTCAACACCTCAAATCACCAATTACGAAATTGGTCTTGGACCCATTGCCTGCTGATTTCTTCGTCACATACGACGAAATGTCAGTTGATGAAGACGATGGGCAACACGAAATCGATAAATTCCTGGACCCTTCTAAACAAACTATCTTCGAGAAGCTGGTGTCGCATGTTCAAGATCTCCAGATGGGAATGATGGGATTTTCTTTTCGATATAATGATAGTGCCTTGGCTGCGGCATTAGGCGATGTATTTGGTACCATGAAACAATTGCGCTATTTGGATCTTACGTGGGATTTAGCAGATGCACAGGTACTTCGTTTTGCTAAAGTCTGGCAATCACGGTTTTTGCGTGCTACTTGGCCTCATCTCGAGAGACTACGGCTGCGAAAGACTGAATTCGATGACGTTGCGATACTACCATTCCTTCGAAAGCATTCATCCACCCTTAAATACCTGGAGCTTACCGAGGACGCGGTCCAGGTCGATATAGAGCAAACACGAACCTTTAGAGACCTACTTACTGGCTTCAGAGAACACCTAAAGTTAGAGAAATTCCAGTTTTTGGTTACGGAGGGAGATCAACCGATATATGATCGGAACTGGGATCGTGTTGACAGTATAGAGAATTTGACCTGGCGTGAGATGGCAGAGATGCATTATCGCCATAATCGCGTCAAAGATGCACAGCTGCTGGAATGGTTCGTGCTTGGGAAGATCTCCTGGCCGATGAAGAACGACCATCCTGACTTTGACGCGGTGTATCATCCTTGGAAGCGGTTGTCTGCCGAACAGATACGCCAGGGAATGGAGGATTCACTCATCGACATCGATAGCTTGATAGAGGACGAATGGGAGTCAGACGTGTCAGAAGAATACGTGGATGAGGATGAGGATGAAGTTGAAGTTGAGTTTGAGGATGAGGATGAGAATGGGGATGAGGAAGATGACGATGATGAGGGATATTCAGATCTAGATGCCGAGGAACAGGACACCCAGTTCGGCCAGTTGGGTCACTTTGGCCAGTTGAGCCACTTGCTCACCCTTGGATACCTTTAATAATTCCGAAGGCCGGAAAGAAAAGGGAATAACAAAATGATAGGCCAACGTTACACAGGCCGGTCACGTTTAGGAGGCTGGCATGGCTCTTATCTTGCAGACCCAGCAATATACTGGAACATGTCTCATACGTGATTTGTTGTTTCATGCCATTCGCTTGGAACGACTGATGGAGTTATCAGCATTTGGAAATGTACATCATAGGGTCGAAGATTATAGTGGTAGAACCCCAAGATTTTCTGAACTGTCCTCCTCAGCTTTTACTTACGAGACAGAGGCTTACCAACCGAAATCTCTAGACTCATATGTTACGGAGACTCGAAAAGAGAGAGCGGCCATGTCTGGTCACGTGACCCTTTGATTACCTAAGATACCTACCTAGTATAAAGAAGCCTGATGACGGAGGCATCAACCCAGGATCTCCTCCGATGTACTAACGTAACAGTTGTCTCGTTTCTCGTAACATTTCCCGCGGTAAGATTGGTCGACGCGTCTGACGGGTGCTTGCAGACCGCAGAGCAAGGACCTGAATTGAATCTTTTCCTTGCCTCGTTCTACATCAATGGCATCACCTTGCCTCGGTCCAGATTCTGATGGCGGGGTTGGGGCGATTCCTGGGTTTTAGGCTTCGGAATACCTTCAAAAAGAAACCAATTCCGGAGTGGCAGGCGCGCTGACACGTTCCTCACGCGGTTGTTTATTCCGTACCTTAGACAAGTGTCAGATCCACTACCGGATCATGCCGGACGATTGGCGCCCCCAGTAGGGTGGTTCTTAAGTTTACTTCGATTCCTCCTAAGGATTAGAGCCAGGAGGTTAACATTTTGGCGGGGTCTGGACTCTGCAGCTTAGTAGCGGCAGCTCCCCCCTTTTAGAATATGTTGGTTGATCCTCCAACCACCACCCTATAGGGCCAAGATCCGCGAGTCAAGAGCATCAAGTTATACTACCAAGTATCGCTGTACTGTAGCTGTTGCTCAGGATACTCTGCAGACGTACGTTGAGGTTAGCTCACAACGTCGTAGTGATTTTCCGGAATGGTCTCCCCATCCTCTCTACGGTAAAGTTTTGGCTTTACCGCTGAATTTCGGCGCGTTTCTTGTCAGTCTCGCGTCTTGACTCTTACCTCTCTACGTCCAACAGTCTATAAGGCACAAGTAGCGCGGAACAGGAATTCTCCTGTCTCCGCAGTCCATTCGTAGAATACCTTTCATGTCCACTCCGCCTTCTGCTCGTCGAACATCTTCGGCGTATTTCCACCAGATCAAACAGATCCGTCGGGCCATAGGGCAACCGTCCTATCTTCTTTCCTTGGCCCTTTTCTCGAATGCACAGCCATGAAGTCCCAAATCCTTGCTATTTGCATTGCAGCCCTCGCGAGCCATGTTTCCGGCTCTACGTTCAGCCCCGCCAGACCACCAGCGATCCCTCTCGCAGGTAAATTCTCCTCCCCCGTTGTTAGGTGGACGCGGTTAACATTCACCAGTCAAGTCTCCATATATGAATACATGGCTCGAAGTTGGAGGTGATGGGGGAAGCGGAGGGGTTCTGCCCGGGCATTGGCCGTCAGTGTAACCATATTCCCCATTGTTGATACAACTGCTAACATATGCGTAGGAGATTCTGGGCGTGAGTAATACCAGTTTTGGGGGACATTTCGCTATGACAAAACCTAGAACAATAAGCTAATAACTGAATAGAGGTCCCCAGCCGGGGTCTGTTGCTGGAACAAGTGGTTCAGTCACAGGTTGGACAGGCTTAATCAAGGTTGATGGTACTTCCTATACTTGGATGGGCGAGCCAAACGTAAATGGTGTCTCTCCTCAGAGTGTTACCCAGGAAAGTTTTGAATACACCTCCTCCAGGTCTACATTTATTATGAATGTCAACGGGAAGGTGTCAATGAATGTCACGTTTGTGTCACCAGTCACTCCAGATGACCTGCGGCGTCAGTCAGTCATTGGTACCTACCTTTCCGTGTCTGTAGCCGCAACTGATGGTAGAACACATTCTGTACAGCTTTATGCTGATACATCGGCTGGTAAGTGATTTTTCATCAACCAATTGCTTTTACAAACCTATGTCCATTCTCCCGGTTCTATGAGACAGAGCGACGGAATTTGAAGAAATTTTGTCAAGATGGATGACTGTTTCTGAATCAATGCCTGATATCTTCTCCAGAATGGACTTCAATACATAACTCAGATGTCGCACAGTGGAGGTAAGAATCTACACCAATCATCAACAAAACCTCAGCCCTAATAAGCGTCTAGTTATAAGGTCAATAATGGAGTTGCCTCCCATCAGAGCTGGAGGCAAAACCAGAGCGAATTCAATGCAGACTACCCTGACGATGCCGCACATTGGGGTCATTGGTACTGGTCAACTGCTGCGACATCTTCCATGACATACCAGTCAGGCCAAGATACGACTGTTCGACAAAACTTTCTCAGTAATGGAGCTCTGCCAAACTCTCAGGATTCTAATTATAGAGCGATCAGTGAAGACTGGCCAGTGTTTGCATTCGGTGAGTGGCTAGTAACGCGGCCGTTGATAACCAGCTGACGTCTGCAGCAAATTCTCTGGGCAATGTTGGACAGACACCAGTAACCACACTTTACACTATTGTTCATGCCCAACAAAATACAGTTTACTTCAACGGGGCTTCTGGAAATGTTCCAGTTCCATCTCTCTGGACGAGCTACTGGAGTAGCGAGCTTGCGATGGTATGTAAATATGGACTGCGAATCTTGCCATTTCTGACCTTTCACTAGGTTAATTTCTTTTACAACGACTGGCATAACACCCTGGGGAACTGGGATTATAAGTATGCCACTGAATCGCTCGCCGCTGGTGGGCAGGATTATCTGACAATCACCACTCTCTCGGCACGCCAAGCTTTTGGGGCTGTTCAACTTTGTGGGACGGCTGAGAAGCCGTACCTTTTCCTCAAGGAAATCAGCTCTGATGGCAACGTCCAAACAGTTGATGTTATGTTCCCCGCAATGCCAATTTTCCTATACTCTAACCCGATCCTTGTCAAGTATCTACTTGATCCTCTTTTCGAGAACCAAGAAGCGGGTCAATTTCCACAAAAATATGCAATGCATGATCTAGGATCAAGTTACCCGCGTGCAATTGGGCATCCCACAGGTGATGGAGGTACGTCTCTTGACACTCCCTTCCCGGTCACGTGCTGACATTTTCACAGAATACATGCCCCTTGAGGAATGCGGAAACATGATCATAATGACGTTGGCCTACGCTCAGCGTGCTAATGATAATAACTACCTAAGCCAACACTATGACATTTTGAGCCAGTGGACTGGCTATTTGGTGGATGAAGCACTCATTCCCGCGAATCAACTATCAACGGATGATTTCCAAGGCCAGCTTGCGAATCAGACGAATTTGGCCCTGAAGGGTATCATAGCTATTGAGGCAATGGCCGTTATTGCGGAACTTACTGGCAACTCCGCCGATGCCTCAAACTACCACAATATCGCCACTAGCTACATCTCCAAATGGCAAGGGCTTGCTGTGGTTTCTAGTGCTTCACCCCCGCATACTAGCTTGGCTTATAACGATGATTCTTCCCATGGGCTCCTGTATAATCTCTATGCTGACAAGCTTCTGGGCCTGAATCTCGTTCCTCAGTCTATCTACGATATGCAGAGCAAGTTCTACGCCACCGTGTCCCAAACCTACGGCGTCCCTCTGGATACGCGTGACATGTGTACCAAATGTACGTGTCATCTATACTACCAGCCTCTCATTTCTCATTTCATCTCTCAACTAACTTATTCCAGCCGACTGGGAGATGTGGTGCGCATCCATTGCCTCCTCATCAACGCAACAAATGTTTATCTCCAAGCTCGCAACCTGGATCAACGAGACTTCGACAAATCGCGCATTCACCGATCTATATGACACACAAACTGGAGGGTATGATTATCCCTTTATTTTCCCCAAACAAAATGAGAGTTAGAATTGGAATTGATGGTTTTGGTGTAGTTTTGTGGATGGACCGTTTATTTCGAGACCGGTTGTCGGAGGTCACTTTGCACTGCTTGCTTTAAATGACGCGCCCGCGAATGCGGTTGGGAAGAGGACAAACGTTGTGGAGAAGAATTTCGAAGCATGAGTTCATGGTTGCTGAATTCGGGAGGTAATGATATGATGTGAAGTTAATGTATAGAATGACTCAATGAGCCAAGTGGCTACACAATGTCTGTGGGCCTTCCTTTGTTCTTTTAGAATAATACCCATAGCTCGAATTGGATGCTTGATGCTTATCTTTTATATCTTATTTTGTTGTTCCAATTTCATACCATTTTGGATACTCGAAAGTCGGTATCCTGTTAAGGTATGCATAATGTCTTGAAAAAGTTTAGGTAGTCAGGAAAATGGAGGCATGAATTCATTGAAACCCTTTTATATCACACCTATGCTGAAGTTGATGACAGAACCAAAGGGGCTTGATCGTTCAAGTGGCTCAAGGATGCATTAGTATCAGCGATGGCTTGTATTGAGAAGGGAATAGGACAAATGACTGCAGAATTAGCAAGCTGATACGTCCAACTCCAGAACTCCCCACAGACGTTAGCTGTGAAAACCGAGTCTTTCCTATTTCGCAAGGCTGCCATCATATCCTTCCCAACAGCTTAGGCAAGTGACTGCCCAGGACAGCCAGAGGGCCCCTGCGGTATTCCGAGGAAATCACTTCCATATCGCCTTTACCACAAATCACCGAACAATCATCCATTAACGCCTTTCCTTCCTAGCTCGCCCTGTTGATCCCGAATGTCGTCCATCAGCACCGTTCAATCCACAACTCCGTCCACAGCTTCTCGCCAAAATTCCTCTGCCACCATATCCTCCCGGGCAACTTCACACTCCTCCAAAGAACCCTCGTCTGCTCGCCATCACTCGTGCGCCAATAGAAGCCGACCTTGCGCTTCCACCGCGGCACCTCCACGATCTGCATGCGGCCATCGACGAGCAGGGGCGGCATGTCATATGGTAGCTCGACTAGCGGTGAAGATGAGACATCCTGTTTGACCAGGCTGGAGCGCGGCGCTTGTCGGAAGGTGTCGTGCCGGATGTTGTAGATCAGGGCGAGGGGCTCGGGGGGCGCGGGGGGCGCATCTGCGTCTGCGTCTGCGTCTGTAGAGAGGGAGGAGCTGAGTGAGGGGAGAGAGGAGGTGGATCCGTGAATGGCTATGGAGAGCTGGTGCCGGCGGCGTTGCTCGACTTCTTGTTTGATTCTGGAGATGGGAATCCGTGGCATTGTCGCGTGTGGTTGGAGGATAGATCTCCTGTGGTGAAGATCGTGACGCACGAGGTGATTGGAGTGGTGCAAGTATGTACATGCGAGTCTTTGAGGAGACGGATGGGGTAGATCGTGTTGATTATCGCGTCTTAACGGCAACACTAAGGTGAAAGCAAGGGTCTTAAAGTCAGATAGCATGACCAAAGAGATTGAATGGAAATAAAGGACACAAGGGAGAAAGAGATCTTGACGGATGAATGCACGTGATGATTGTATGAACCTACATTCTTTGTACATACTCGGGAAATCGACTACTTCCTTCTCGCAGGTCCCCAACTCCAGATATTCAACCCAACTTTCGTCCCCGATAGCACCGGCAGTCCAGCATGCCAAGTCTCCTCATACCCATTCCCATCCGGTCCTAGATTTTCCCAGAAGATCGCATTCCCTGTAATCGGCCTGAATGTGACACCCATTTTCTCCTCTCCTTCCTCTCCTTCCTCATCATCCTTACACTCCAGGAACTCGCACCATCTCCCCCTCCCCGTCTCCGGCATGCTAATCCTGGGGAACTGCGTCCCACCACCCTCGCAGTCCCCAAGCACATAGACATTAAACGTACTGACGCGGTTCTGAGTGCGCCCGGAGCCTCCACTCCAATCGTAATGATGCGTATAGTAGCCTCCGGTACCATATCTCTGCGTTCTCAACCGCTCAATATGCAGATTAGGACGCCAGCCCTGAAAGTCTCGGGCCCGGTGCTCGATACACCGCACCACATCGTCGCGGTCGAGCATTGCTACTTCAGAGAGCCGGATATCCTTCCTGATAGAGACATCCTCTTCCGTGCCAGAGGTCACGGTCGAGGGCTCGAATTTATCTTCGCTGGGAGAAGTGTTAGTCACGTGTTTATCTTTTCACATGGCCGGATTCGTCGGGAGGGGAGAAGAAGGGCGGATACCTGATTTCAAGAAGATGCTTGGATTCGGCGGCACTGAGAAAGCCTTCAATGTAAATGATTAGGGGTTCGTGGGAGAGTATGAAGGTGTTGTAGCTGTGGGCGGGACAAGATAGGGGTTCGTCGCTCGCGATCAGAGAGCTGTTATACGTAACGACATTTTGGTTCGAGAGGTCTTCGGGAGACCCAAAGAACATGTGCCGGAGAGGGAGATATACAAGTATATACAAGGGAAGCAGAGCAAAGAAGTAGCCGATCATCGTGGGTGAGGGCCCTCTTGGGCGTTGGTGATGAGTGGACGTCGCCCTAGGATTTTCCAACCGAGTTTGTTTTGCTCAGTCACGTGATTACATAGATACCTTACCTTACCTATCACCTCCCCGGTTTCTAAGTCTCCAAAATCCGAATAAATATGACTGTAGAGACCTCTTGGCTACAAATGATGGCAAAAAGGCGTCCGAGGTGAGCGGGATACCCAATGCTCCGTGACAGTATCGGGAAAAGGGGGGCTTGCCGAGTTCTAGCTCAGGGGTATTTACTTCCCGTCCCTACCGATACTTCGTACTTTGAAACATACGATTCATCGCTCCTACGGTACGTCGGCGTACGATATAAAAAGAAACCGCTATGCAAAGCAATACATAGGGCTGGACCGTTTTCTTCCTCCGTAGGACCGTAGGGCAATTCCACGCGCATCTCCTCTCGTGATACTCAGACTCCGATAATTGCCGTGCGGGTACAGTAATTCGGTGGCAAAATAGCAGTGCTGCGCCTGGGAAAGAAGCGTCGAGAAATCCGGAGCTGTGCGAGCACATCCGCGTGAATCATCAACAATATCTACTTTTTCTGAACAAAAGAGTATTCTTCCGGCCATTCATCATTCATTCACTCGCTCGATAAGGAATTTCCCACCCACGGAAAAAAACGCCTACTAAAATTCTCCGAACCGCCAAACACCGCACCTCATTCTCTAAGCAACAAAACATGGACCAACTCAACAAGGGAGACTACGCGAACGGCGATCCTATCGAGGTAGTCTACAACACCAGCAGCCGGACCTTCAGGTACGAAGCGCGCTCTGCGCTTGTCAATGAGGATCTTAGTGAAACCAGTATGTCCCCAGTGATTCCATCTCCCAGTCATTTTTCAAGACGAACATGTAAAGCAAAAGTCAAAAATGAAAACAATTGAGTCACGCAAATAAAACACAGTATTAATGATTTTATAGTTGGTGGGCGAAAGGTGCTCCCAATCCCGAAACTGAAACGGAAGATGATGGTCAAAGTCAGGGCTGACGAATGGCCTTGGGGAGATGTGGAGCACGAGATAGAGCTCCCGAAAAGGGTTTGGGCGGGACGGAACTCGGGGGTGATGTTCAGAGTTATTTTCCTAGAAGGCGGAGAGGTCAGCTCTGGTGGGTTTCCTGAACATGGATTCCAATGAAATGCCAGTGGTGGCAACTGATGTGGGGAAGGAGAGGATGGAAAGGGACTTGGGAGATGTTGCACGAATTGTCCCACATGGATTTGAGGTCTTGAATAAAATACCCATAGGTTACAGCGTCCTTTCTGCTCAGACGGAGAGAGAGAATGTTACTTTTTACAGCCTTCAGTAAGATTCGCCAGTATAATACTCACTCTCAGAAACGTTAGCATTTGCCTAAAGTACAGGCCACGATCTCCTCTATTAACCTAATTTTGTTTTCCAAAGCCGGTTCCCTAGTTCACCCAATATTTGCTATTTGTTGGAACCCGTTAATGAAGAAGTTGCGCCCCGGAAGGAAGGACATGGTAATGCTCTTGATCCTGGATCTCAAACGCAGGATCAAGAGAGTTACTCACGGGAGCGATATGAGGGAGAGGCGAAGAAAGCCTGCCAGGACAAAATGCAGAAATGACTGGCATGACTGTGAAATATTCATGTTGACTTGCAGATAACTCGGCCCATTCCAGAAACCCCAAAACCATTCATCCAGTGCCTTGAAATTGAACAAACAATTAGAGGCTTCCCTGACTACGTCGAATTCAATCTTCCTGCAAATCGCAACCGTGATGGTATGGCTAAGCGCCATGGCATAGAAAAAGACAACCGACACGATAATCGTACATAAAGACTCCAAGACCAGAATGCACGAGCCGCAGAATCAAGAGTGTTGAAGAAGCTATGGGGGGGATTGCGGAAACTGGGGGAACCCATCTACTTGTTAGGGGAGCTTGGGTCTCCCAAAACGCTTATTTCGAGGAGATACATTTGCAAAATAAACGGGGGAAAAATCCATAAGCTCCACTGTATATATACCTTCATGGAACGCTTCTCTAGAGACTCACGAAGATCTGGTATATATCCTTAGACAAGTGATGGCGACAGAGTTCTTGATTTGAAGGAGGATACTGTAATCAAGGAAGTATTTGATGCACTCATGATGGCAAGATAAGGCAATGAATAATCCTGTCTTGGAGAGCAGATTGTATTTATTTATCGCAAGATTTTTGATAGATATAGCAATCGATGAACTTACTTTCCTTATCTACCAAGATCTGTTTCCCTTCACATCCTTTGTCCTTGATACCGTAGATAGACAAAACAGTTTGCCCTAGCTAATCACAGAGGGTGATTGGTCGATGATGCGTGCAGAAAATGAGAATATAATTGCCTATATTTAACTGTTCCTCAGCAGTTTATCCACAAAACTATTGAATGGAATCTGCAAGCCACCCAAACGCCCAAGATTTATCATGTCTCATTATAGAGCGCCTATCCGCCCATCATGTACCCTGAACGCCAAACCTTATGCACCCCACACTATGATATCCGTTTTCGAATCTTTACTTTAACGTGAACTTCTGACCGGTAACCACTGGCGCAGCTGCGGTTGATTTCGTATTCGCCTTACCGCACATCGCACAAGCTAGAATACTGTCAGTTATCATGCTCAAACACATCAGAATGTAATCATACCATTTGCTTTGTATGCACACTTCTGGCAGTACGTGCGCCCCTGGTCAATCTTGGTCTTGCATGTAGTACAGGAGCTGGAATATGCTGCGTATGGATTTTTGGCGGCCTTGGATAGTAATTTACTCTATTTGAAGAAAGTTAGCATACCATCCTAGCTTGCACGCAGAACACTCGTGACAACTAACCTTCCCTATCCCGTTCTGTCCAAGGGTTGCTGAGGTCTTTGTCTTGTCGCCACTCTTGGATATAGACCCAGCTGGTGACCCGTAATACATCTCAGTTTTCTTCTTGACCCCTGGTGTAGCCAAGGCTGTCGACTTGGACAGTTTCTGACACTTTGCACATACCATTTTGTCGTCGATAGTGGTTGTGGATTAAGTTGCAACAATCAGAAAGGCTGCAACCGCGGGATGATGAGGCTGAGGTCACAGCCGGCGTGTAAATACGTATTTAGCCGTTCGGGGACTAGCGCCAAACTCCATGCGAACAGGGATCACCAGCTGGACGTTTGATTGACTCCGTACAGACATGAGAATGGATTGCTCCGGAGTCAAGAATAGAGCCTGCAACAATTCAGGGTCTCTTCAATGGCCCTGATCCAAGCTCTGAACAGACCTAAAACCTCTTCAAATACGCCAACTTCACAGTCTATGACAAGATACGCGGCTGCCTTTGAAGCCTCGTAAACACCACCATCTTAAGGAGGCTGTGCTAGGATTGCTGATTCTTCAAACACCACATCACCATTTTGAACTTTACGACCAACCTTACAACCGTCTCCAGGAGAAGCAATCAACAAAACGGAATTGGATGACTACAAGTGTGTCGAGACCGTCCAAAGTGCGACGACCAGAAGCTGTCTTCCAGCATGGCTGGACAGCCCTCGAGCAGTCGAAACGACCTCCTTCTCGACCTAGACGATGATCAGCCCATATACCATACGGGGCAACGGCCTCCGATGAATGACGATGACCTTCTGCGCATATACTCACAGGACCACGATGAATCGAGTCACCGCCCCTCAGTCTCCTACGACGATTTCGTCGGGGCTGGCGGCGCATCGCACCCCTCAACAAGACAGTTGCCGGGCGGGCCTGGGACTGTCCCAGCAGATCGAGGGGGTCCATATGTGCCAGGGGCTGCTGGCAGAAGGTTCAGTCAAACCTCTGGCTTGAATAACTACCAGCCCTACGCTGATGAATTGGACGATTTCCCGGACGATGGCCAATCGATGTATTATAATTCTGGGGGTGCGATACCTGGCGGCCGAAGCATGGGAGGGACAGGACGGACTCGAAACAGTATACTAAGTTTGGGAGGTGGGCTAATGGGCAAGGCGAAGAATATGTTGGGCATGGCTCCAGAATATTCGGAAATGGACTTACCTTTGACGGAGGCTGGTGCAAGAGCGCAAGCAGAGACTGCGGAGCCAAGCACACAAGCAAAGCCAGAGAGCAGGTTTGATATGGGAAACTTCAAATTTGGCTTTGGAAGAGGAAAGGTGGACCCTTCGACACTGGGCCCTAGGATTATCCATCTTAACAACCCTCCTGCGAACCGCGCCAACAAATACATCGACAACCAAATATCTACGGCAAAATACAATATTGCAACTTTTCTGCCCAAATTCCTTTTCGAGCAGTTCTCAAAATTTGCCAACCTGTTCTTCTTATTTACTGCAGCGTTGCAACAAATCCCAGGCCTTTCTCCGACGAACCAATATACTACTATTGGGCCATTGGTCGTCGTTCTGATTATTTCGGCAGGCAAAGAGTTAATCGAGGACCATAGGAGAAAAACTTCGGACAGAACACTGAACAGTTCCAAGGCGCGTGTTTTAAGGGGATCTTCATTCGTGGATACAAAATGGGTGAATGTTGCGGTTGGTGATATTGTGAGAGTGGAGTCAGAAGAGCCCTTGCCAGCAGATGTCATCCTACTTGCAAGTTCGGAGCCAGAAGGTCTCTGCTATATTGAAACTGCCAATCTAGATGGGGAAACCAACCTCAAGATCAAGCAGGCTATCCCTGAAACCTGTGTCCTAGTCAGCCCGAGCGAATTGAGCCGCCTAGGAGGAAAGGTTCGTTCAGAGCAGCCGAACAGTAGCTTGTATACGTTCGAAGCTACATTGACTGTCTCAGCTGGCGGAGGTGAGAAGGAGTTGCCCCTTTCACCTGATCAACTTCTACTCAGAGGAGCTACTTTGAGGAACACTCCCTGGGTCCATGGCGTGGTCGTATTCACGGGCCACGAGACCAAGCTCATGAGGAACGCAACGGCAACACCAATCAAGAGGACTGCAGTGGAAAAGCAACTGAATATGTTGGTTCTCATGTTAATTGGTATTCTGCTCGCCCTGAGTGTCGTAAGTTCCATTGGAGACCTCGTCATTCGCACATGGCATGCAGACGAGTTATCATATGTTGGTTACTCAGACTCATCAACAGTTGGTCAGAAGGTGAAACAATTCTGGTCTGATATGGCAACATATTGGGTCCTCTTCTCGGCTCTGGTTCCCATATCTCTGTTCGTCACCGTCGAGGTCGTGAAGTACTGGCACGCGATCCTTATCAACGACGACCTTGACATGTACTATGATAAGACTGATACACCGGCGGTGTGTCGTACATCAAGTTTAGTCGAGGAACTTGGAATGGTGGAGTATATCTTCTCGGACAAGACTGGCACTTTGACATGCAACCAAATGGAGTTCAAACAGTGCTCTATTGCGGGCATTCAGTACGCTGACGAGATCCCCGAAGACCGTCGAGCAATGGTTCAAGATGGGATGGAGCTTGGAATTCATGACTTCAATCGCTTAAAGGAAAATCTTAAGACGCACGAGACAAGGGATGCCATACATCACTTCTTGGCTCTTCTAGCAACCTGCCACACAGTCATTCCGGAAAGGAGCGAAGAGAAAGGCGGGGCCATCAAATATCAAGCAGCATCACCAGATGAAGGCGCGCTGGTCGAGGGTGCAGTAATGATGGGTTACCAGTTCACGGCTCGCAAACCTCGTTCCGTGATAATTACTGTTGAGGGACAAGAACTCCAGTATGAACTATTAGCAGTTTGCGAATTCAACTCAACCAGAAAACGAATGTCTGCCATATTCCGATGTCCAGATGGGAAGATAAGATGCTATTGCAAGGGCGCCGATACCGTTATCCTCGAGCGTCTAAGTCCCGACAACCATCATGTTGAGATAACCCTACAGCATTTGGAGGAGTACGCATCCGAGGGCCTCCGGACACTTTGTCTCGCAATGCGTGAGATCCCAGAACAGGAGTTCCAGCAGTGGTACCAAATCTTTGACAAGGCGCAAACCACGGTCAGCGGGAACCGTGCGGAAGAGCTTGATAAAGCAGCCGAGCTCTTAGAAAAGGATTTTTACCTCCTTGGTGCGACTGCTATCGAGGATCGACTTCAAGATGGTGTTCCGGAGACGATCCACACCCTTCAGGACGCGGGTATCAAAATCTGGGTCCTGACTGGGGATCGTCAAGAGACTGCCATTAATATCGGGATGAGTTGCAAGTTGATTAGCGAAGATATGACACTGTTGATTGTCAATGAGGAATCAGCAGAGATGACAAGAGATAACATCCAGAAGAAGTTGCATGCGATACGGACACAGGGTGATGGAACTATTGCCATGGATACCCTTGCGTTGATTATCGATGGACAGTCCCTGACTTATGCCCTTGAAAGGGATCTGGAAAAGGACTTCTTGGATCTTGCTGTTATGTGCAAGGCGGTCATCTGCTGTCGAGTGTCACCTCTGCAGAAAGCTCTGGTTGTAAAGCTTGTCAAACGTCATCTCAAGGCCATCCTTCTGGCGATCGGTGATGGCGCTAACGATGTCTCGATGATCCAAGCTGCTCATATTGGTGTTGGCATTAGCGGTATGGAGGGGCTTCAGGCAGCGCGGAGTGCGGATGTTGCTATTGGTCAATTCCGATACCTTCGAAAATTGCTGCTCGTGCATGGTGCCTGGAGTTACCATCGAGTCAGCAAGGTTATTCTCTATTCTTTCTACAAGAACATTACTTTGTACATGACGCAATTCTGGGTAGGTTGAAAATTCCGATGGGCGAGTAGTGCTGACGAGTCCAGTATGTGTTCCAAAATGCCTTCTCTGGGGAAGTCATCTATGAATCTTGGACCCTTTCATTCTACAACATCTTCTTCACGGTCCTGCCTCCCCTGGTGATGGGCATCTTCGACCAATTCATCTCCGCACGCCTTTTAGACAGATACCCACAGCTATACCAACTGGGACAGAAGAATACGTTCTTCAAGATGCATTCGTTCTTTTCCTGGGTCGCTAATGCCTTCTACCATTCCTTGATCCTCTACTTCTTTTCCGAGGCTATCTTCTGGCTTGATCTTCCTCAGGGAGATGGCAAGATCGCAGGTCATTGGGTCTGGGGTACAGCTCTATATACCGCCGTCCTAGCTACTGTCCTAGGGAAGGCGGGATTGGTGACAAACATATGGACTAAATATCATGTGATTGCCATCCCTGGAAGTATGCTGTTCTGGATAGGTTTTATTGCTGTATATGCAACGGTCGCCCCGAAGATTGGTTTCTCAACGGAATACGACGGTGTCATCCCGAGACTATACGGGAGTCCTGTGTTCTGGCTTATGGCCCTTGTCTTACCGTTTCTCTGTCTATCGAGGGATTTCGCATGGAAATAGTATGTCCTTTCCCCCGTGAAATGTAGAATTTGTTAAATTGGTACTGACAACGAGAATTAGCGCGAAACGAATGTATCGGCCACAAACCTACCACCACATCCAAGAAATCCAAAAATACAACATCCAGGATTACAGACCTCGGTACGTTCCCCTCTCTATTCCTCATTTTGGCGTCTACCCCATACCCACCCCGTTCCACAAAACCGCTCGCTAACAGACAGTCAACCAGCATGGAACAATTCCAAAAAGCAATTCGCAAGGTCCGCCAGGTGCAGCGCATGCGCAAACAGCGTGGCTATGCCTTCTCTCAAGCCGACGAGTCGCAGACCCGCGTTCTCCAGGCTTACGACACAACGCGGGAGCGTGGCCGCTACGGTGAGATGGCGAGTTCGAGACCGAGCGGTCGGTAGTCAAGTGTGCTATTTAAGGGTTCTGGCGTGTGTGCTCGGTGGGAAACTCACAGATGGGAATTGAACCCACTGGACGGACATAAATGAGGCGTGGCGGGAGGAAGTGCTAAAGATCTTGAAATGGAGAAAGGAGGGCAAGGTGTCCAAAAGACATGTATTGTACTGTATTATGCGTAAATGGGCGAGCGATGACATGAAATTTTTTAGCCGCATGTATGCCTGTGTTGGTTCACTACTGTATACTTGTATTCTCTTGTGATGTGGTTTGTGACATTTCCTTATTCCCTCTCCTTTCCAACCCTTCCTCTTCTGTGATTATGCCTATTATCTCCTCTAACAACCGACCATCTCTACTTCAACTCCAGTTTTCACTTCCACTTTCCAATTCAAAACTCCAAATCCAGATTCAGATTTTACAGATCCGCCAGCTTCCCTGCCTAAAGTAGCATCCTCCAAAAGGATGCTTGCTAGTTTTTCATATTCTCGAAATTGTATAAATAAACTCTAGTTCCTCTATATCTCTCCTATCTAATATCAAGTATTAAAGTTAACCACTCCGCAGAATCTACCGACCTACCTATGTATAAGAAAGCGAATTCTAAGATGTTATTTATTCATCTATCTTGCCTATAAAAATACAACGACAGAGCAACAGCGGATTTCATGTTTGCTGTTGATAATATATAGGAGTAATCAAGATTAAGAGGCTTGTTGTTGTGGTCTGTGTGAGATGCGATAATGCGAGGGCTTTTTGAAATAGTTAGGCTGTTGTAGCTAGGACTGACGGGATGGATGGGGACGGGCCCTGCAACTTTAACTTTGACATCAGTTGTTCATTACATGGGTTCGTATCATGCATTGCTCTAAGGTAACGTACGTACGTGTCTAGTGATATATAGGTATATACCGAATTCACTTACTGTATTCATCCATCCCTATCAATACACATTTAACTAATCCATAAAAAGAATGAATAATTCACTACTGAATTTTAAAAGAAAAGAGAGAGAGATTATATATTCAGCTTCCTTTCTGGTTCCGGAACACGGAAGTTAATTGACACTGTTATCAAAGAGGGAAAATTTGGAATTCTTCAAGTACTTTATATGGGATATAGCTTAGGTATGTGTAAGGTAGGTAGATATCTAGATTATTTCGACTTATTTGAAGGTCACATAAGGATAGTAGGTAGGTAGGTAGGTATATTCATTTATATCAAACTAACTACACTTGAGAGTTATATGCGCTACCCTTACTAACAAATCTTCATGAAAAATAAGGTAACTACTTACCTCTCCCTGATATTGTGCAGTTTCGGAGTAGTGGTAAGTGAACTTACGGCCCCAGGGCTGGTAGGATGGTTAGGAGTATATTTTCTTGTGGGTTCGGTTTCTAGATGGTCTTGGTTGGTTTAGTTATTTCTGTCTGCTTTTTACCTACTTAAATGGGGCATCATGGGGAAGGCAATTGTGAGGCTGTTTATTAAATAGCGGATTAGAAAGGATTATTGGAAATGCAAGCGCGGATTACAAGGAGAGGTTATAGACACACTGTTTAACTGGCGAACATACATGGGGATTTCCGACTATCCAGATATATCATATTCTACGCGGCACCACAGCTCACAGAAGCAAAGGGAATTGCAAAACATCACGAGGAATTTCTTTATTATTATATATGTATATAAATAATTCCACCGATCTCTCGTAACTTACTATAAAGTATATTGATTAACTCCTAGCCATTCCCATCACCGGAGAAGAGAAGTCCTGGAACTCCGCCTGTCCTAACCTATCCGATCCGATCCCAACCTGCCGTGTCCTGTCCGTCCATGTCATTTATCGCACAAGAAACAAAGCCTTCTAATATGCCCGCGGGGAAATTCCATCTAGATATGCAGTAGTCGTCCAATATCGAACCTGAGCGGGTGATTGTTTCGGATGTTGAGAGGTGGGGAAAAGAGGTGGTGTGTGGCAATATCCGGTTTTTTTTTTTTTTTTTCTTCTTTTAGAAGAAAGATTTATCGCCGGAGATAAGGGTTGGGTTATTAAGTACGTAGTAGAAGTACGTAGTAGTTCGTAAATATGGCGGAGAGGTAGGAGATTCGTTAGGACTTTCGATCGCTCGATAAAGGATGCGTATATGTGGAGAGCGTTCGTGGAACCGCATCAATGTCCCACCGCAAACGGTGTCACCAAGTCAATGCTCTTCGGCCTATGTCCATAACCTCCAGGCCCGCTTCTCGGTGGTAGCGGTCGGTCCATGCCCATGCCCCCTGTAGTCCCATATCCTCCTATCGTCCCGCCATATGCCACACTGTGACTCCTCCCTGCGCCAGCGTAATGACTGTCCTCCTTCTCTTTGCTGTATCCGCTCAACGCCGCATGTCCTCCAAAAGAATGCGAAGCCGTGTAGGTATGAGAGCCAGAGTAAGAGTTCCCCGGTGTGGCGCTCGGGGTCGGCGTCGCGGTCTTGGAATGTGAGGATGCGGACGTAAAGGGGATGTAGTTCCAAACGCCGGAGCCGGTCCGGGTGATGCTGCTAGAGGATTTCGGCGGGGAGTCGGGATCGCGGGAGGGGACCTTGGGGAGGACGGTTGCCAGCTCACGAAGGGAGGCGAGGGCGGTGGAGGAACGGGAGTGCATGGAGGCTTTGGGTGGGGAGGAGGAGATGTGGGATGCTTGATAGGTCGCTGGGTAGGGCTCAGAGTTGAAGTAGGAGCGTGGTCGCGATTGGGTCGGTGAGAAGCGGGGGATTATGTCGGGGCCATCATCGAGAGAGTTTCGCGTGAAAGGTGAAGCTGGTGGGGAGTATGAAGGTAGTGCTGAGTATGATTGCGAGCGGGTGTAGGTTGGGGCCTGGTCGTGGAGTCGACAGCTAGAACCAAGGATCAGTCATTATTCAACGTAAGATTTGATATCCCGGTGTGAAGATCTGCCAGCTGGTTTCCCCTCTCCTGCGCGACTGGGAAAGAAGACATGGGGGCTCACCTCTCAGAACAGTAGAGGATGGTGTTATTTGCAGGCACGAATTGCTTCTCGCAGCTCATACTGTGGTATCATTTGTCAGTCAGGACCTCAAAATCCGGTATTTGCAACCCCCACTCGCCCTCTCCCGTTCGCAATGTTGGTTGGGTCGGGGAAGCGATGTTCCTGAAGCACCCCACGATGCTTGTACGTACACCCCCCACGATATCAACAAGAAGCGGGGAGAAAGCGAGCGGCAGACACAAGACGGAGATCTACATACCAGAACTGGGGGAAGCTCTCGCCGCTATCTCTCACCCCGGCGTCGTCCTCACGCTCCCTCTCGCGGTCGCGCGCTGCTCGAGCTCCGGTGCCCAAGGTCTTGACATACTGCGGGGTCGTCCTCCGACTCAGCGTTGCGGGCCTCTTCTTCTCGTCTCTAGAATTCCCGCTCTTGCGGCGGACGTGATGGGATCTCTTCTCGTGCTGGGGTTTCTCGCAGAGCGTGCGCGGAGAGAGGGGCGGCGACGCCGCGGCGTGGGAGCGCGTGGGTGGGGGGCGTGATTGAGCCAGCTTGGCGGTGTTTCGTCTCAACGGAGACGTTCGGATGGAAGAGGATGCGAAGAGAGGGCGGGAGTGGTGAAGTAGAAAGGAAGGTTGAGGGTTGAGGGTTGAGGATTGGAGATTGGAGATTGAAGATTGGAGATTGGAATTGGGACGGTGATTATAGTTTTCAGCTGTGTGCGAGGGCTGCGAGCGAGATCGGGGGTCTTGTGACGGTGCGGGCTGGTGACGATGATGATTCCGGCTGTCGTCGCTGGCGATAGCACACAATCGAAGGGCTGTGGAGCGCCACGGGGATTGATGCGATAACGGAAGTGGCTACACAGCACCTGGGGAAGTGATACGTCCACGCCGGATCCCCTCCTTCACGATCGGGGTCTGTGTGGTGATGTCTGGAGTCGCTTGGGTGATGTGGATAGATGTAGACCTAGGATCTCTACGGATAGATGCGAGGATGTATCCACCATATACCTTAGGTAAGGACAACGACAACGACAGGTGCCCTGTGTTGAGGACGGGCGGCTTTGTGGTAAAATAGAAGAGAGAGAGAGAGAGAGAGAGAAATCAAGTGAGGCAAAGGCGGGTGCGGCGGAGCCCGTTATCTAGTCTCGGAGAGACTCGTCGGTCGATAGCACAATTCTCCAGTTACTGTCCCATTGTGCAATTTTTTTCTTCCTTGTCTTTCTGACTTTGACTAGCAGCTCCTCCTAGCAGGACTTGCCGCGGTGTCCTGCGCAGGAATGAGTGAGATGGCCTGTGTACTGTGGCCTGTGTGCAGCGCAGCGTGTGCGGTGGATCGGTCTGATTGACTGATGGGATGGATGATGGACTTCGGCGAGCTCAACCTCAGCGATTTCAGCCGGCGGTCGAAGAGTCTCGAAGGGTCGGAAGGGGGAGAGGGGAGAACAGACAATGAAGAAGAGATTCCCGTGCAGGCGCGATTGGAAGGGAGCAGCAAGAGCCAAGGGGAGGGCGCCAGAGGGGCAGCCGGGTCTTTATGATCTACGGGGTCCTCAGGTTCAGGTCTGCGGATGATGATTCTTCCCCAATTATTGGCCTCCCGTGCGGCCAGTTAGCCGCCTCCAGCAGCGGTGATTGATTGATTGATGCCTCTTGCGTGCGCCCTAGGCCCAGCACGTTCTCAGTCCTGTCGTCTTGCGTGCCTCTTGCGAGCTCCTCTGCCTGGGCCGACTCGCCGCGCGGGGCCCTGACGAGTCGCCCTGATCCACTGCGGCGCCGTCGTGGCCGCAAATGTACGCATCGTGTCCTGGCTCAGAGCGCTGTTTGCTGGAACTGCCCACTGGGCCGAGACCAGGACCCCCACTTCGTGTGGTGTGTGGTGTAGTGTGTGGTGTGTGGTGTTTGGCGTCTGGTGTGCGGTCTCTGGCTGGCTCCACCCCACCCGGTCGCCCCCAGAGAGCGCTGAGCGGCCATGACTGCCGGCTGTACCTCTCTTGTGCTGACCGGACTCTGGACTCTGGACTCTGGACTCAGGACGTCTGGTCTGGCCGGATGACTATTGCATCGATGGACCGTTGTCCAGAGCAAAGGGCGAAGGCCTACGACGTGTATCCTGCGGCCCCGTCTTTTGTCAGAGGGATACCTCTCAGGGTGCAATAAGGGTATGTGTTCTCTCTGTAACGGCCATCAGGGTAGACATGTCTGATAATCATAGGTCATGCCCGAAAAATAGAGAGAAACCGAATCAATAAATCCAACCAACCTATCAAATAATACAACGAATAATACCACAACAATATTCAGAACAGAAAAGCGCTCAGCAAAAGCCCCATTCTCTGCAAAGAATAATGCAACAGAAAATACCAGAATAATACACAAATACCAAAATAACCACAATCGTCACCACTCCCGCTCCGCCCCTCCTCCAGTCATGACAAAACCGGATCCCCACGGGTCCCGCTCCAGCTCCGCCCGGTTCTCCCTCTTTGCCGTTGCCGAGTCGAGATTGGCCATCGCCGTCCCGTCCAGACCGATGCGATCATCCATGATGCCATATTACCAGAGCCATTTCTATAAATACAAATAACCGACTATACCGCGTCTCCATCATGGTATCATCATTCATTCATCACCATTCACTCAAAAAACTCCTCCAAAATCTCAACACTCTCTCCGGCCCCTCCCTTGCCCTGCCCTGCCCTGCCCTGCTCATCCCCCCACGAATTCAGGGCTTCCGGGAATCCATCAGATATCAATCCAGGCACACGCAGGATGCCGAAGGTGGGAAGCTTTTTTTGACCCGAGAAACGGACGCTTTCTGGCGGCATTATTGGGCAACGCTTTGCGCAGGGTGTGTGCTGTGTGCTCAGTGCTCAGTGCGCGAGATCTCCATCGTTACATCGTATCTACATACTACGGAGCTTCTTCCTGATTCAAGGATCACGGAAATTTCTCTCTTTTTTTTTTCTCTTTAACGGTTAACCCTATGAATTTTTTTTCCTTGATTTTTTTCATCGCTTTTGTCCATCGATTTTTCGCAGGAGAAAAAAAGACAGGGAAGGAGAATCAATAGCGCGCGCTGATCAAGGAGGAGAACATTCCTTCGCATCGCATCTCCTCCATTGTTTTCCTCGCCAGACTCCAGAGAGACCGATGTATCTCCGTGCTCCTCCTGCTCCTCCATGTGTCAACTCTCGCGATAGACTTAACCTCCACCTGTTTGCCCAACCCGAGAAGACCGCATCTGCATTCATGCCCAGTCTCTCCCTGCTTCCCTCCCTTACAGCGGCCTGGGCCGTCGCGATAAGCAATCCTCGCTTATCGCTCCCCTCCTTCTTTCTCCCACGCCCGGCACAACCCCTCGGGATGTCCTGTAGGTACCCGTGGGGTGACCCTCATGATGCTTATCTCGAAACAGGCCCGGCCAGATTGAGACGGGGGTTCTTGTGGTTGTATTCAGCCGGCTGCATGAAAGGCTGCTGATGAGTTTATGCGGTTGATAAGTAGATGGTCACGATACCGAGGGGACAAGACATCACGCGCGAAAGTGTGTACCCGAGGTGGGGTGAGTTTTTATATTATATACAGATAGATATAGAGTATGCACAACGGGATAAGAGAATCGGAAGGTCATGAAGATAGGTGCTTTGATAGGGTTGGTGATATCGACAAGTGTATGTTTCTCTTACCCTATCTCTCTTATCCTACTCATCGCGGTCCAGCGGATGTCTCTGTTCAATTCTCCTCTAGGCTGCTACATCACCATTCGTCAAGATTCACGGTTTTTCGCGAGAGTCCCGAGTCTCGACTCTGAACCATTTATCTCGAGGCGAAAAGCGTGCATGTATAGTCAGTCCTGCACGTACCATTATGTCCTCTAATTTTAGAAGCGAGCGGCGGAGCGGATTTTCACATATGCAGGTATCGCGAGACCTTCCTGTTCAGTTCGGGTCGGGTGCTGTGAGTTGTTTTGATGCGAACTGAACTGTGTGAGTATGAGCTGTTTGGTAGGTAGTAATGCGAACTATTGGTTTTTGATATTTGATATATTCTCCTGGTTGTACGGTTCGTTGGTAGGTGGTTTACCCCACTTCACTTCTGTCTTATATTACTGTCGCGGGTCAGACCGTACCTTAGACACAATCAATCGTCCCCTCTTTCTGTTTCACCCCCTGAAACCTAGGGCTTCAAAGTTCATAACCCCGCTGTAAGAAGATTACTCTCACATTCTTCTTCTTCTTTGTCGTCTGCTCATCCGTTCTGGTAGGAGAAGCGCGCACGTTAGAAAATCAACCGCTTCTATCGCTAGGAAATAAATACATGTTTCCCCCCTCCCTTCCTTGCTTGCTATCAGCGCGCCAAGTTCAAAATAAACTCTTTACTTACTGCTCTACCCTACGCGTAAAATCAAGATGATTTAATCCCCGGCGAACAAGCTAGTTAGCTGTGATACTACAAGCAAATAAATATTGATATCAGAGATATATGATGATGGCATTTCTGTAAAGTAATTCTTTGATTACATACAAGTATAACCCAGTCTCCCTCAAAAGAGAGGATATTCTTACTATATAACTATCTATGAACATCCTCTGTATATATGGGTATCAGACATCCAACGATATACCGATCTTGTTATTCATCTTCCAATCCATCTTCTACTATTAATTCAACCTGGTACGTCAGATAGCAGCGTAAACCTCGCGCACCCCTTACTTAGTAATAATCTACCTAGGTATCTACAGTGTACACCTTCTGTCCTTGACCGTTTTCGATGGTCGGAATTTTTTTCTTCATCTAGCTTTCTAGACGCATCTAACATATCAAGTTCGTATCGACTACTTCGATGATTGAGTCTAGAGAAGGAGAAGGAGAAGTATGTATGTAATGAATCTTGTGCTGCTGGCTGGCTTGGTTAGCACGTACTAAATTCAAGGCTTGGTACTTGTTGCAAGGCTGTATATAACTCGTGGAGTGGGTATGTATGTAAAGAGGCTATATATATTATTGTTGAAAATACTATTCGTGAAGTGGTACAATTGTCGGGATAGCAGTATGACTTTTTTTTTTTAGAGAAGAATTGACGGACGAGAGGTTGTAAACTTGTTGTCAAACGACGAGTCTTGTCTGGTCCTGGAGGTTGAGAAAAGCGGATCATTAAGTACAGCCTTACGCCTCCAGAAATATTTATTTCACTTGACTATATCGTCAGGATTCCGGCTATTCACATCATCACATCATCATCTTTTCTCGGCAGCCACATCGTTTCGTAAGAACCGGAAGGTGCAATGGTTTTTAGTTCGAAAAAAAAATACTACCTCCTCTTAATTATAAATATTCAACAGGACTCAACATAAAAAAAATAAAAATAAAAGAATCAGAGAAATCAAAAGGAAAAAAGAGAAGAAATGCAACCGCCGTGAATCGAACACGAACCTCCACCTTGGAAGGGTGGAATCCTAACCATTGGACCACGGAAGCAGATTTTTTATTGGTTAACTTGCGTAGAGCGTAGAAAAAGTTACCTCGGCACCTCGCGAGTAGATAAGATAAATAACTTTTCCTTACTGCCTGCCTCTATCCACCACCACACCACCTCACAACCCGATAAAAGCGCAAGGAGATGACATTTGCGACTGAGAAAGAGACCAGGAAGCTGTCTTATTCCCGTTGTGCTCATCCCCGTTTTTTAAACGATGATCTTCACCATCTGATATTTTCTTCGCGCGCCTCACGTCGCAGCCTTGCGCTCTTTCTATGACTAGGTACACATCTGATGATCAGATCTACTGGTTGAATTTCCCAGGTGAGGTGTTATGGGCGGTTTATGTGGTGATTGATAGACAGATTGAGTCTGTACCCTTGTACCATCATACTACCTAATACCAGGATCCCCGCGACTCCACGAGATAACCCCCGGCAGAACAGTTCTCGTGCACATGGCCTTGTAGCCTCCAAATGTCAATTTTGAGCCTCCTAGATTCTTTCCGGGACGTGTGGTGTGGATTTCTGCTTGCTCGAATGATTCGGGATGAATATAGTAAGCTCATGCGACGACGAAAGACCTTTTCATCACAGGTTTTCCTTGATACATGAAGGAAGGGAGTTGACGTTGATTTTGAATTGTTGGGAGGGATGGATTGAAACTACTTGATAAGTCAACGATTCTTGCGAGTATAGAGAAGCTTGATCAAGAGACTGAGATGTATGTATAGCAATAGGAGATAGTTCTTCCTGATGGCTTGCTATGTTTAAATTCATGTAGTATGGTTGTCTAGGCTGTGGAAAAATATTACTTTTGTACAGCCTTGTCGTATTAGGATTTGCTGGATTTGACCTCTAGCTAGGTGCGTTGGTAGGTCAGGATGCGGCTTTTACTGTGACCCTGTTCTAGGGGCGGCAACACAGCACGTTTTGCCCCTCTCACACTTTCGTGGGTCATCATACCTTAAACATGTCTTCGGGACTTGCTTGTTTCCCCGAGTCATTTATTTCCTAGGCAAATACACCTCCGCGCTCTTGTTTTGAATGAGGCAATCGTCGTTGTTGGAAACCCTTTGAGGGTGTCTAGGGTTTTGAAAAGATTCTTGAACTAGTATCAGCCACTCCTGTTACTTCTCAGTATGTAAGAGGAATCAACATGCCGGATGAAAAAGAGAGGAGAGCGAGAGCCCTCGATGATCTTTCATTTCTTCCACCAACGGAAAGTTCCTGGCGTACGGGCTACAGCGAGCGCTGCACAATCTTTGGATGCCAGCTGTATTACCTGCCGGGTGAGACATCTCGTAGGTAAGGCCTGGACCATGTACCTCTTTCCTTTTGGCCGTACTTCACACTCTGAAGAGGCTCCAGAAGTATTCGGTGAGCCTACCAGACTCCGCCCCCACCCACGGTCCATGGACATATCGCAGTCTTGACCAGGGGCACAGTCAGCAGTCATACATCGGCATTTCATCTCATGTTCGCCAAGAGAAGGTAGGGCAGGAGGCTCAAAATTAATATTACAAGAACAGAGGGGGCGTAGCTAGTCCCTTTGACCCTTTGATGAGCCGACGAGGTGTGGGTATTTCCAGAGGTAAAAGGGCTCACTATCCCCTCAAAAGGGCTCGCTATCCTCTCAAAATGGCTTGAATCAATTCATCCTATAATTGGACTTCACTGTCTCTCTAATAATAATTCTCCCAGGAACGGTAATTACCGATAACTATCATGAGACTATCCACGATGTATTGGCTCAGCCACTGGCAGATCCCAACCAGCCCAAGCAAATGTCGGAATATCAATCAGACAGTCACCTGCAACTTTGCGCTCTATGGCAACGCAACCAATCTCAGTCCGGACCAGAAGATTTTGCCAAATAATGATATTACAGATAAGACGGTACCATATACGGTATATCAATTTCACTTGTTGATTTATGACAGTTGAGTGTTGACAATATCTATAGATCATGAGAGCTTTCATCACGAATGCTATCATTGCGTTGATTCTCTCATTCGCGCTCTTGATGGATACACCAAAAGTCCACATCCATGACAGAAAACGACATAACAAAGAATCAAAGATAAAGAAATCAACGAAGAAGAAGCAGCACAGGAAAAAGAAGAGACGAAAAGAAGGAAGTTCTACTACAAACTAGTACATACCATCGAAACCCTTCTCCATACAACAAGCGATCATCAACTTGTCGCTGGCATTGTCCTCCTTCTCAGCCTGAACCGTCAAGCTTGCGAGATCTTGGCTTTTCACTATAACCTTGTCTGCGTCATGCTTGTCATGTCAACTCGTTGGTTAGCATCTCCGATATGCTATATAAAGTGATGCTCGAGGGCTATTACAGGATCGTAGGCATCCTCGCCCAAATAGCCTTATCAGGAATCGTCTTCTCATCGAGAGTCTCCCAGAACTTCCCAGCTAAGGCTAGCTCATTAGCCATCCTGCCAGCCGCTTGCTTTGAGAACATGGCCGCTGCTAGTAATCTGGGTCTCAGCAATATCATCAATTCCATAGAGAGGCAATCACAAACAATGGAACCGCCAACTTGACGCAATTCAGCCACGATCTGGCTGATGCCTCTTCGCTTACCGGTGGAATCTGGGAGTATGGTGTTCTCCTAGTGTTCCTGGCCTTGGTGATCCTGGTGCTCGGCTGAGTCTACATCGAGATGATATATCGGCCGCGAAGGGGAAAGCGATGGACAGTACTCAATTCACCGTACGCTGGGCATGCATTGCTTTTTCTGGAGTGAGTATAATAATTAGCGTCGTGGTGGATGTTGCTGTGTCGCGCTATCAATGCTGAGAGATGGGTGGAGATCCCGGGATGGTACGATAGCAGTAAGGAGGATGCCAGGACACTCTCGCAGCTGCTGGTTATTCTGTTGGCTGGTAGCGAATCAATAACTGTGTCGAGGCATTGACTGGTAAGGAATTTGCGCGCCCTTATTGATACGCTGGTCTGTTCATATACTGACTGTAGGTGTAGATTTTCTGGGTCTTGAAGGCCCTCGTCATGTTGCGTCGATTTCACTGCTTCGGTAGGAATGATTAATCAGGTAAGCAAGAGGAGTGATGGGTTGGAGTTGCCTTGGCTACCCTCCTCTGCTGGAGCTTTAAGTACAGGGCTTCTGTCCACCGTGCAAGAGACTTTCCAGAAGGTGGGGATGGAACACTGGTTCAATGTTAACGATGATCAACCATGAAGGTCATGGCGGTCGCTCAACCAACGCAGCAGCTCTCAGATCTGTTCAAGGAAATCGAGCAGGAGGGCTATGAAGCTGCCATCTCTTCGGCCAAACAGTCTTCCGACGCAGCCGGAATTCCTGGCGCAAAGATCATGATCCATCTCGATGGCAGCTCCGACAAGGCCGGCAACGCCGCTATCCCGGTCCCACGCAACGACAAAGCCTCGCAGGTCGCCCCACACATTGCCGCCCCACGTGGCAAACTCCTTGATCAGATTCTAAAGCCGCTGTGTAAATATGGGGTCTGTGTTACAGACGTGAATGCCTTCCGGTGTCGTAATCTCCGCCACGTCCGTAGGCCTTGAGATGCCGATCGTCGGCAGGTAGTCCTTGAACTCCAGGTCCTGTGTCTCCGCGGCTCCGCCTGTCCCCACGTGCTCGGCGTCTTCTTGAGACTCTTTGTGTATGCAGACACCATCTCCTCGTGGGGTGTTTTAAGCTCGTCTGCCATAAAAGCTGCCATAAACGCTGCCATATCCGCGAGACCCTGCGAGAAGTAGCAGCCTTCCTCCTCGAACTCGTTCAAGGTACCGAGGCGAAACTTCCTTGGAAGCATCATTTCCTTTGCCGCAATGACCGATTGGCGTTAGGGGACTACGCGATCCGGCTCATGTTGCAGCCATATTCGGCAGCAGACAAGAAGAAGGTCAGGGAGGCAGGCATCGACATAGACCAACCGCTAACACAACTCCCTACTATGCAGACGGCTCCATGGCTGGTTCCACCGCCCCCTGTCGTATCATGGAACACGGCTATTTGCTCTGCTCTCACCGATAACTTCACCTTCAGAGATTTACGCGTGTACAACCTTCGGCCATGCGTCTTGATACTCTCATAGCCCGACCTAGGCGCGAGAGATTACCAGGAGGAAGCAGAGGTCTCAGGTCTATATCTTGTACATACAGAGACAGTGGCTTGACCAACCCTGATGATAAAGGGTTTTAGTGATCCGATAGAGCAGCAATGTGGACAACATATGATGGCTAGGGCTTGTAGACTTGTAGACCTGTACACAGGCTTATTCCTGTACTTCTGTAATCATGGGCCCTCCCTTTTCTCGTGGAAGAGACGCTTGGGATTGAATAGATTGCATTAGTCCTCTGCGAGACACAGACTACTCGTAGAAAGGAGGAATGAATCGGAAAGTAAATTAGATATCAAGTCCTGCACCATCTTCTTGATCGATTATGTGAGGAATCGGCCATTTGAAGATCATACAACCTACGTATCTAAATGCGACGTGGGGATTCAGGTTCAGGAAACCTGCCACTAGGATATGAAATACTTTGATATCAAAAATCAGATGGATGCCCATCTTTCCAAATAAACCAATACCAATTAGACTTCGACAGACTAGAAAACACCGAGAGGTTCGAAAGACGCCGAGGAACAGAGGTGAGAGTCTGGGTAGCCAAAAGAACAACGTTGCATCTATTTTATTCCGTGAAGAAGGGTCGTGGAAGAAGAGCCTTAACAACGGCAAAAATCCGAAGTCCTTGACTACAGACATATGTAGGAGCAGTCATGCGACTACGCAGAGCTGCTATGAAGGAAGATGTGTGGCGTTGTTCCTATCTCACCGAGTCTCCCGGCGCAGCCCATTTACGTACATGGTGCAACCATTGCTCTGGTTCGGGAAGAAAAAGTGCCATTCCCGCGCATTACGCAACCATCAAGGATGTAACAAGCCGAGAAGGGACGAGGCGTTTGCGTGGATTGTGAGAAGGCGTACGCCCTTGCAGCTCTTGATGTGCTTGGGAAGTTGGGATGCAGAAATCTTGCTGCATGGATTAGATACCGTGGAAAAAGATTGTTTGAAGAATACTTGGATCGGAGTACTGATGATGGGGAATAAAATGCAGAGGAATGGTAATAAAAGACTTGGTCAAGGTGGTTGAAATGGAAGCTGGATAATTGTAGTAGTTTGTGAGAGAAGAGATGCGCTCTTTGTAGAGAAAACCTTGTTTACTGATCGGCCGGTACTAGATTGAAGAAATTTAGCGAGCGAGTATCACTGTAGGTAGCTCTCCTTCCAATACTCCGCAAACAGATCACACTCGTGGCGACTCGCAGTCCCGCATAACCTGTCAACAGGAAACTTGCGAACAGACCTTTCTCTGATCCAGGAGACCAATAGAATTATCGGGAGGTATCGCCGTGCCCCGCACCAGCATCCTCGGATCACAGTCCGTTATGGGTGCGAGATCCGAATCGTCGACAGAGTTGTCTGCGATGCCCTCAAAACCACAAGTACTATTGAAAACTCTCAGAGCCCGGAACAGGCTCTTCGGTTAGATGCCACCTTCTGCTTGAAGACTAGTGTCTTTGTTAAACTTTGACGCCTCATCGGCTTTGACGACATATTGACAGGACTGTGCCGCCCCATGGGCCGTGGTTCGAGGCGTCGAGGAAGTCTTCGAGATAGGGTCAAGGGACACTGGATGCCCGGCCCAGCTTTTCTCCTTATAATACCCCCGCTACCCCGCGACCAGGGAGATCATACTACCATGCATAAGCTCAGCGTTTGTTCTTTCAGTGTGATATCGGGGATTACTCGGCGCTATGTGAGATCTTAAACACTGTGCTGGTGTCTGTGACCCTTGGGAATCTAGATCAGGCGGTCGAGAGAGCGGATGAACTATCCGAAGTCTGTGGTCCGTGGCCCACGAGTCTGTACGTACCCAAGGACAAGTGCCTACATGGGATCGCCTGACTAATGCCAGTTTCTTCTCAAGCCGACATCTGATTTTATCTAATCAGTTTTGACATAATGCATTAGTCAAAGATGATCTTCTTCTTGGCCATGCGAAAGAACTACGATGTCCTGTTGGGGAGATTGAGGCTCAAACAAGTCCAATGAGGGGAAGTACCATGCTATGGTTTGCATACCACACGAGTCGCGATAGGTCACGGACCGACCCAGACCGAACCCTGACATTCCTGGGGTTTCGAAAGGATGACCAAGCTCCGAATGTTCACATTTGACTGGCCGAACGTCTTATTAATGAGATTTTAACCGGCCGGCATTAATTGCCATATAGGCGAGGCTTTCCGCAGCCTTTCGGTGCCCCTTGCAAGCCACGTTCCTGCATAATGGCGCATATGCAGGACATGCTTTGTCCACTTTGGAATCTTGGGTCCTTAATCGTCCTGTCTGATCTCATGTTCTGGTCATCGAGGAGAAGTTCTATGCCGAGTCTAGAACGCCCCGCAGACAAGGTCTCTCGGTTCCAGACTCACACAGCTCAGAGCTGAGCAGGAGTTCATGTGATTGACTGAAACAATACTACTGTAACTCTTGTATTGGCTGTCAGCTTGCTTTACCTTCGACCCTGAGATGTAACAAAGGTACCGTACCACGTTACTATTGGCATGAGCACTCAGTGGTTCTCCCTTGTAAGGCCGAGAGAAACGGATCCAGCGGTCTGTTGCCAACGGAAGAGCAGGGTATTACAACGTTATCTCCGCATGGGACTTGCCCATGTGTGCTTCACTGATCACGGATGTGCTCTCCTCGGTGTATATCCTCTTATGTCTATGCTTTGGGAGAGAGTTTGTGGTACCAAGGTGGTTATCTATATATACAAGTTTTCCTCCTCCCTCCTTGAAGAGTAACCTTCTCCTGGCCACCCAACACTCCTTTCAAATTCGATTCCTGTATATATTGCGAGCACCTGTACAGACATTAGTAAATTGTCTACGCTCATATATCGACGTTCCTTTCATCTATCCTCCAGAAGACTACCACAGCATGTCTCTGAAATCTTTGGTGCTGGCTGCTGCCAGTGCCCTCATATACCTGCCTACTAGCACTGGTCTAGCAACTGGAATGCAGGCTGCTACGTATCTTGAATACGCCGACGCAGCCTACTCTCTTGTCGATTCCTACACCGCCTCCAACTTCTTCTCCGAATTTAGCCTCTTTTCAGGTGGTGATCCCACCAACGGCTTCGTGAACTACCAGGGCTCCCTATCTGCAGCTCAGTCTGCTGGTCTCGTCAACACCAACAACAACCAGATTTATATGGGCGTAGATCACACCACCGTCAATCCCTCATCACCTGGCCGTGCCTCCGTCCGGTTGACCTCTAATAAAGCCTACACACATGGCCTATTTATCGCTGATATTGCGCACATGCCTGGCTCAATCTGCGGGTATTTTCTTGCCCCTTCAATGTTTCAAAGGTCATACTGAAGAAAACAACAGCGTTTGGCCAGCATTTTGGCTCTTCGGCCCCAACTGGCCCAACTCCGGCGAAATTGACATTATCGAAGGCGTCAACCAAGCCAGCACCGACCAGATAACGCTGCACACGGCCGCAGGGTGCACCATCAACACCGCGGGGTCGCAGTCCGGGATCACGCTCACAAACTCCAACTGCAACGCGGGCAACGCTGGCGATGGATGCGGCGTCACGACGTCGATGCCCAATGCTTACGGCGACTCGTTTAACAACAATGGCGGCGGGACGTACGCCATGCAATGGGAGAGCTCGGGTATCTACGTCTGGTTCTGGCCTGCTGGCTCGGTGCCCTCGGATGTGACGTCGGGCCAACCAGTTACAGGGAACTGGGGCCTGCCGGTGGTGGCGTTCAATGGAGGCAGTGGATGCACAATTGATAACTTCTTCTCGGATCAGTCAATCGTGTTCGACACGACCTTCTGCGGAAGCTGGGCTGGAGCTGTCTGGTCTTCGGGGTCTTGTTCGAGCTATGCGGATACTTGCGCTGATTATGTTAGTGGGAACCCAGGAGCTTTTACGAACGCATACTGGCTCGTTAACTCAGTCAAGGTCTATCAACAGTGAGGAGAGCACAGTGGTGATGGAAGGAAAGCGTTTGGCGTTTCTTGATTGCGAGAGTCTATTGGGAATTTGGGAATGTGGGGGATTAGGTCAAGCTATCTGCTATGAGGCGTTAGGCGGGTAGTCACCAGGACACTCATTCATCCTTATCATATACTTCCAACGAAACAAGTAACGAGTTATTCATACTGCGGCTGATTATTGTGACCTCTGATGCCGGTTGACCCTGTCTTGAAAACTAGTACATCCCCCCTTTTCAACGCCATACCTACCTACCTGATATGGCCCGTGCCCGTCATGAACATCGCTTACCATATCCATGAATAAGGGGGTGTTTTACAATGGACGCCCTGCTTCAAGAATAGGACACTGATTAGCCAGATGAACGGCAGCGTTAAATTGGAGATTTCCCAAAGGACGTATAAAGCTTCCCAACCTCTGATATATCTTTTGATTTCTTCCCGGTTTTACCTTGTGATAGGTTAGGTGGTACGGGATAATGCCTTTTTAAGTAGTGTGTCATATAAGACGAATCACCTTAAGTAAAGAAGAGGGAGCAATTTCTTAGTTGATTAAGATATAAATAATTGCTATTTATAGGTAGAACGGATCGAGTGTCCTCGAAGAGTCTTGTAATTAGAGGGTTGGATTCAATGCACTGCAGTTTTAACCGAAGACCCCCCCCCAAAAGAAAAGGGGTACAAATGTTCAGGGACCTGTTACAATTATATACCTATCAACGATGGATGTGCTATTCTTACTGGTTTGCTAAACACCGAAAGGATTCCATTAACATAAAATATCATCATGTACATATTGGTAGCTATAAGATTATCTTTTGGCTCATGTACTCGCTTATAAGACTATGAGCATCGCTATATCAAGGAGTAGAAATCTTTGGTTAAGATTAAAACAAGGTATACTCTAGGAATTAAACTTGCCTTATATAATCTGCTAGAGCTTGGAAAAGCGGAGAAGTGCAGTAATTAAATAGAATACTCCGGGGCATGTCATTTCCCTACCCTCAAGCCCCTCCATCCATCCCAGCGCAGCCCAACCCTCCCCCGCCTTTTACACAAGGCCAACCAAGACATCCATCCATGCACCCCAGCAAGCTCCAACTCTCAGCAGTTCTCAAACAAAACTTTTGTTGCACATCGCACTTTGGAGCTGCGCCAATGAAAGAAAGGCGCAAGTGTTTAATTCCTCGATCTGGGAATTCTCCATGGTGGTTGACTGAGACACGGAGGAGATGCGATGTGGTGTGCTGACGAGGTCAGCTGCTGCTGCGGCGTGGAGGGATGACGACCAATGGCGGGCAGGAGGTCAGGGATAAGATGACGGGAAGCGGTTTTGTTGCACATCGCACTTTGATGCGCGTAATTGATTTAGGTAGGGTATGTGCATAGGTAGTAGGTACAATATGTGGTGGTCAGGGGGGGATATTGGAGGGTTATTGCAGTAGGGCGTTAGTGCCCCCTTTCCCCCCTATCGCTTACGGAGTATGAAAAGGGGCGAAGGAACGGCATTTGCATTTGCATATTTTTGTTGCACGTCGCAATTCGACGGAGCGGCTCGCGGCCGTCGTCGCCGACGTTTCAAAAGCGGTTGGGGCCGAATCGGTGGCTCTCGACTCCTCCTTCAACCTTCCTAAAGAAAAGATCTACATCAAGATTTTGTTGCACATCGCAATTCGCCCCCAGCGCCTCACAATCGTTTTCGCGGGCATCTAGAAATGAATAGGCGACTCCTTTTCTCATCGCCCTCAAGACATATATGGAGAAGAATATATTTGTTAAAATTTTGTCGCACGTCGTACTCGCCGGGCGCAATCTTGGAACGAATTATTTTTGTTTTACAATTGTTTACCTACGATACAGATCATAAGGTAGGTGTGGAAAGATTATCCAAGGCGTGCTGATGGGTAACAGGCTACCTAGGTAGCCAGGCAGCCTCCTACAGAGTAGAGCAGAAGCATAGCTTATACATACCGCCTGCCTCTTGACATATAAAAAGGAAACGCAGATCAAAGTTTTGTTGCACATCGATGGAGTGATCTAGAACAGACCTATTTAATTAGAATCCGAATTGGAATCATCTAGTCCTTCCAAGTATGCCAAGTCGCACAAAAACACCCCTTTCCGCCCTGTGCCGCGGTAAAACAAATGATCGGAAGAGTCTAGAAGCCCTTCGATTATCTGGTTGGGCACCGATGTGACATCTGCATGGTCCAACCACTCAAAGAGCTCCCATCTGGCCTCGGAATGGGACGTCCAAGAGGTTTTCTAGAGCGACTCAGTCATGAATGAAGTACGAACAGGCGCAGCGGGGCACTGGGCGATAGGAAGGTCAGCCAGCTAACAATTCTCTAATGTAGGTAGGTAGTACTGTGCATTTTGGAGGCATCGGATAAGAGATATAATAGCTAATTAGATGTACTGAGGTTTCTGTAGAACTTTATTATGCGCTGTAGACCAGAATGTGTTTTTGGGGGAGGGGGGTAAAAGGGGCGTGGGGGTTTCAGTCGCGCATCATGATTTGAGAAGCCAATACCACATCTCTCTTCAATCAGTATATTTCAATATATTATGGAATTTAAATTTGCAAATTCTAACTTCTAGGTAGGTATGGCTAAAGCATTTAGCTTTGCGTCGTGAGAAATAATTATATTCACAGCCGGCGATTCAGGATGTGGGGAGAACAGGGAATTGATTGTAGGTGCCTTTAAAGATGACCTTATGGACCTACCCCGCAAAACCTCGCTCCCATCCCCGAATCTCACTTAACTCGACTCCATGCTCCAACATGTCCACAACAATAGCCTCACATGTTATAATAATCAACATCAAGTGAAGCAGCCCCTTTCACGATGTCAATTACCCCTTTTCTCATTTTCGCTTAGCTTATCGTTATCGTGCTTAGTCATGCAGAGAAGTCTCTGTCTGAGCAGATTGCTATGGTGCGAACAAGTGCGATAAAGCTTCACAGTGATGCTTTCTCTTACCTCCACCCTCAAACGCACACAACCTCTGAGGAACATCATCACCATTGCGATGTCAGATTCCAAGAGGAATCCCGCCAGAAGGCACCCATATCGTGGCAAGAAGCAGATGACCACCAATGCTGCTCCTCGCCGCGATCCAGCACCACCACCGCGTGTAGCAACGCCTCCCCTTACGGCTCCTATTCCTCTCGATACCCCACGATTCGCAGATCTTGCAAAGGAGAACATCATCCACCCCATCATGCTCCAGACCATCACGGAAGATCTTAAATTCGACCATATGATGCCCGTTCAGGCCGCAACTCTGCACGACCTCCTAGCTCTCCGCATTGACTGCCTGGCTCAAGCAAAGACCGGAACCGGCAAGACGATTGCCTTCCTGCTCCCCGCGATCCAGACTCTCATCAACAAGAACCGCAGGCCAGGCTCTGGCATTTCGCTCCTAGTCATCTCGCCCACGCGCGAGTTGGCGATGCAGATTGCGAAGGAAGCTACGGCCCTGTTGCAGCGACTTCCTCAATATAAGATCTGCTTTGCGATTGGAGGCACGAACAAGAGTAGCGAGGAGAAGAATATCCTTAACGGATGTGAGATCTTGATTGCAACTCCTGGCCGATTGTTGGATCACCTTGGCAATGAGCAAATCAGGGATTCCTTCAGCACCCTCGACACCTTGGTTCTGGATGAGGCTGATAGATTACTTGATATGGGATTTATGAACGCATTGAAAGAGATCATTGGGTGCCTGCCTGACAAGAAAGCTACCAATCGACAAGGGATGCTCTTCTCCGCGACCATCGCGCCGCATGTCGAGAAAGTCGCTCACTTGGTCCTCTCCCCGAACTACAAGTTTATCTCCACGATCCCAGAAGGGGAATTGAATACCCACGAACGAGTACCTCAGCAACTCATCGTCGCCCCCACGTTCTCTGACATCCCCGCCGCAATGGTAGGAGCCGTTCACTCCGAGCTCTCCCTCGTCTCCGCTCCCCTTTTCAAAGCCATCATCTTCGCTCCCACAGCCGCGCTAGCCGACTTCTACGGTGAAATCCTCGCCTCTCTCCCTGGCCTACCCCAGGTCTCCATTCTGCATTCACGCGTCAGCCAGACGAAGCGTACGAAGGTGACAAATGCCTTCCGCGACGCCGCGAACGGAATCCTAGTCGCTACCGACGTTGTCGCCCGCGGTCTGGACTTCCCGCTCGTGACCAACGTCTTCCAAGTCGGCGTTCCGGCCGACAAGGAATCGTACGTCCACCGACTCGGGCGAACGGCGCGCGCTGGCGCGGAAGGCCGAGGCACCTTCATCATCACGCAGAACGAGACTTTCTTCTCCAAGTGGACGCTCAAAGAGATCACCTTCCAGCCCGCGGATGCGGACCTCAGCGCCAAAGAGCAGATCCGCAGCATCGCCTCGCGCATGGACGAGTCGATGCACGCGAAGACCTACCAGGCGTGGTTAGGCTACTATAAGAACCACTTGCGCGGCATGGGATGGGATAACGAGCGTCTCGTCAGCGAGGGCAACCGTTTTGCTTTCGAGGGCTTGGGAGCCCCGGAGGTACCGCCGCTGCAGAAGAGCACGGTGGGCAAGATGGGCCTCAGGGGAGTCAAAGGCCTGGTCGTGGTTCCAGATGCGCCGCGAGTACATCGCGGCGGTGGTGGGGGTGGAGAGGGCAGGAATGCGGGGGCTGGTGGAAGAGGGGGGCGCGGGGGTGCACGTGGTGGCCGGGGCGGGAGGTAGATGCTTGTATGAATGAAACTTGGCAGGGTCTTGGTCTTTCTTCTATAGAGAGAGAGGATAAAGACATGACATGGCATGGCATGGCAAAATTCCCGGCGTCTGCGAATTCAGGAGAAAGAAAAAAGAACAAGAAAATTCCCTTTTGGCTTGCTTGGATAGAGATACCCATAGCGTAGGCGCTCATAGAGGTTGGGTCGTTCTGGTCAATAAAATAGAGATAGATAGATAGATAAGCTGTAACAATAAATACATTCCATCATCACATAAGGCTTCGTTTCTTTTTCCATATTTCATTTTCTCTTTCCATCTATGTCTTGTCTTGTCTAATTTATCGACTTTATCTATAGTATGTACCTTATTCATCTATGTACATATATATGTATATATGTCTGATTGCGTGTATCCGTCCATCCTCCGCCCTGCTCCACTCATCTCATCTCTCACATTTATTCGTCACTTCTCTTCTCTTCACTTCATTTCTCTGCTGAATGAATGATTGTGGAGAGCCGAGGTACACGACGCGTGGTTTAGAGAGAATAACGAAATGTGATGTGGTGTGATAGGGACATGATTGATAGATAAGATAGGTAACACATGCACTTCATATGTACATACGCATATCTAATCGTTTTCCCAATCACACCCGTAGAGAAAGAATATCGGTAGATATTCAATATTGCCAAGTCTCCTCAAATTCTCTTATCAATACAACACATACACGCGCGCGCGTGTGCAAAGGACCGAGGCTGAATTTCGCAACAGCCGTGTTTAGCCGCTTAGCCGCTTAACCAATGAACTTTTTCGCGCTCGGCTCCGAGCTTAATAGTCTTTTTTCCTAAGAGCCGATGGAAGGAATAGGCGCGCTGTGGTGGTTGTTGAGGAGAAGAAGAGAAAAAATCTTGCAGCTTGCGATGAATAATCTGTGGATAGTTTGGTGGGCACGGCAGTTGGCCTGTGATGGGACTCTGCGTCACGGTGTCGTCTTCGGCGCTCGGGGGTTCAGTAGGAGCCGAGCGCGAGAGGGGCGCGATGTTGCCACTTCGGGCGCGAGGTTCAGTCGGATACGGGACTTGGCCCAAAGGGTTCCCACTATAACTCGTTTCGTGCACGGGTAATTCCGGTGACTAGACCTCGGAAGTTGGTGGTTGGACGGAAGTGTGCTTTGGACCTTGATGGTCATTGTGTATGGATGCACTCCGTATGGATATGGATGTACTCCGTGTGTACTCCGTATTGTACAGTTGTACTCCGTATGTAATCCGTGTATGCTTTCTCGGAGAGAGCACAGCATGGCGAACCGCTGCTGAGGCATTAATAAGTTATCAAGCATAAAGTCCTGGCACAAGTCCTGGCACCTGAAGCATAAGTCGTGCGGAGCTTCGGAGGTCAGGTTGTGCCAGCTCGATGCAGGATGCTGTTTTCCCTAGAAGGGACGCGCTCTCTCAAGTGTCGGGATAAAGGTCCATTCAGAGCTGGGATCCACGGGGGTTGAGTCAATAGTCTCCTGTGGAAACATAACGAAATCACTGGGTCCGTGGCCTTGCCGATAAGGAAACTGCATTGGCCGCGGATTGGAGGGCTTGGTCGAAGGCGTGCTGGCCGAGTTGAAGGAATTTTGGTGTATATCGACATAGGAGGACATGTTATTAACCTCATCCGCTGACATATCCAGAGGGTTTGGCGAAGCGTAGTTGTCGTACGTGGTTGGCGAAGCGTAGTTCTCGTAAGTAGTTGACGAAGGGTTACGTGGGGTTCGGGTGTGTTCATGGGCTCTTGTCTGGGACGGGAATCCTGCGCCGAAGTTCGACATAGCAGCAGCACATGGGCTGTCGTGAGGGCTAGCTGTTCGACTTCCAGCCGGTAGAATTCCAGGAAGTAGTGGAGTTAGTGGCTCCTGCATATCGAACTCGGGCTTGTCTTTGTTCGGCATATATGCATAGAAACCATGGTGAATGCCCATCGGTACATTATCTCGTTCAATCGGAATACCATTGATCGGTGTGTTTGGCATATCCTTGTGACTCGAAGACCCGGTGTTACGTATTCCGCTATTTTCGATATCGAGTTCAACCTGAGTCGTGAAGTGAATGGTGATGGAATGTCGGTTACCAATGGCTTTCATTGCCGCAAGTAGAAACTCTAGATTGGACATGCTGGTTGAGCTCCTGGATTCACTTCTTTGATCCTGGATGAAAACACCGGCGGCTATATAGAGGCAAAAGCCCATCCATGAGTTCATCTAAAATGTGGTTAGCTTCATATGCATACCAAACAACCAAGACTCACATCTGCAACGTCAAGATGGCTCACGAGCCTCATTATGTTGACAATTTCCTCCGCTGACATGAGACTTCGAGCTCGACTCTGTCTTATAAAAGCAGGATCCAGCTTGTTTCGTTCGGCTGTAAAAATCGCAGCTTGATGGAGACAAATAGTCGAGGCATGTATATTCATGTGAAGGAAAACGATATTCATATCCCGAAGGCCAGCGGGCATCCGTAAATGTTCAGGTAGAAACATGAATGTGTTAGATAAAATGTTGTCCATCGTGCGGTGTCTTTTCCAGAACTCTCCATTGGCCAGATCCTCTGGGTGATCATCCGGCCCGCCTTGGTGAAGGTGGATGAAATTGTGACCGAAAAGACAAGCGGATAGTACAACTCCGCCGAATGGAGAGATCTTGGATGCTCCCTCGGGCGTCAATGCTTCCTGCAGAGTGATGCCCTGTTCCGCAATACCCTGCTCGAAAGCTTCTTCGGAAGAAGGTAGATTCGTCATGATCTAGAGCTGTCAGCATAGAGTCTCCATCGAGGAAAACTATACAGACCTCTTTTTCCTGGATGATCATTGCCCAGCCAGTGCCAGAGCTGGCCCAGCGATCACCATAGAAAGCAGCCCAGAAAGTTCGGCGACGTTCTTCCAGCTCGGTGACATCTCTCGCCGGAGGTAAGATTTGTTTGACCTCTGATGCTACACCATCGAGGCGATGCAAGCCTAGCATTTGCACGAGGCGAACCATTCTCCCAGTACTCATCCACGCGCGTGTGAAGTAGGTCTTTTTAGCTTCGTAAGTTGCAATCAATACCCATGTTTGGGCATGTTGAATCGTGACAAAACTCTCGCCATGGCCCTATGCACCTCAGCATGCGTACGTAGACCTAGCTGGATATGTGGACGAACCTTCATCTCAGCGGCCTCTGCGTATCGGCGCGCTCGTTCATATAAAAGATCTTCATATTGGGAATATTTGTCGGAAAAGGTCGCAGCAAGTGCCCACATTGCATATCGTAGGCAGACAGGAGGTCGCATATGTGCTGGGAGTTTCAGAGCCGCCAGATATCGCTGTTTGTGCATCATCGGCATGGTAAAGTGATACTTCTCGAAGTACAATCGGTGCCTGCCCCCGTTAGCACCACGATATTAGTTTGAGGAATGGCCAGCCTACAAGTCGTTCACCATCTCGTCGGGCGGTAATGGCTCCTGCAGGCCGAGGCTGATAACTTCTTGCGTAGAGAAATCCGAGCTTGGCATTCCAGACTCTAAGCTATATACACTGTTCGGTATACCAAATGACTGATCCATGAAGGTCTCGTCCTGAAAATCGACATGCATATCCAGAGGGAAGCTGTTCCAGCCAGTTTCCGCATCTTGTGCCAACGGAGTACGGTTCGAGGCTCTCGATTTCGCAGTTTCGGAGACGAGCTGTGTCTCTACCTGGGCTTCAGAGCTTATAAGCTGGGTATACTCCAATGGAGAGTGCCAAAAGGGTAAATACGTACCCAGTCTTGCCTCCAACTCCTTCATGTTCCGCCGCTTTGAACCGGGATTCCGTCGTCGTTCGGGATATTCACAGTCATGCCGCAACCTCGTGCATGTCCCGCATTTTGGCTTGACACGATCGCATTTCAATTTTCGTTTTCGACACGATACGCAGGATATGGTTTTCTCTGTTGTTGTCGCGGGGGGTTTCTCGTCAGCGGCGGGTGGTGGTGGCGGATTCTGCTGGGCTGCTGCTCCATGATTGCTGGGCCCAGAGGGGGAAGCAATGGCTCGACCTGCCAAGCAAGCCTCTGGTGAGCCGGACATCAGCGTGAGGGAGGACGCGAGGGTGTTGTGTTGACAGTCGGGTGTGAGTAAGGTACAAGATACAAGGGAACGGAGCCTGGTGGAAGGAGATAAACCTCGATGCGCAAACAGGGGATGGGCTCGGGTTTGGTGAACCTTGCTGCAGTTATTTGCAGGCGGAGCGTTCCCACGGTTTCCTCAGGATCCCATCAAAATTCATGATCCGAGAAGCTCTTGCAAGGTGAGAGGTGCCAGAGGATATTCCGGGGCAGAAATATTTGGGATTATTTTTGATTCGTTTTTTCCCAGATATTATTATTAATTGGGACAGTTTAAGACCGGTGTAGCCGCGGGGGAAAGTGTCAGCCTTACAGCCTCGGGCCCCAGTCAGAAACGCGTGTATTTGCCGTCGAGCAGAAGCGCTGTATATAATATATAATATATAATACTGATAAAATAAAACAATAAGCTGTATACCTTACCTATTTTACTGTATTATTAATTATTACCATTCTCTGTTCGCTTGATGAGTCTATCCATTGTCAGCGACGCAAGAGAGAAGCGTTTATAGGGCCTCTCCCTCGTCGCCTTGATTTGTAGTGGATTACTCGCCACGTGCATTGGCCAATGACTACCGTACCCCCTTGCCTTGCACCGATCGCCAACGACGGGGACTATCGAGCTTCGAGAGGGTCTACTCCGTCGAGTCCAGACTCCCGCCTTGAGACAAGGCCTGCCGCAACGCTGGGTGCGGATAAAGAGGCACCAGCTGCTCATCTCCAAGTCGGGGCTCGTGGAAGTTTGACGACTCTAATATCGAGCGAGGTCATAAGAAATCCGGAGTCTCCGGATTCAGCATTTTACCATCCGACTTCGAAAGACCGCAATGCGGGGCCGAATTTATCTCGTCTCTACAGAGTACGGAGTAAGCATATTTGAGCCGTAACACGCTCTGGTCATGGCATGTCTTCACTATCCTGAGCTCTGCATGCGAGGGCATCTGTTGCGGCAATGACTATGCAAACGAACCTACGCAACCACATATACCTCATCGCGAGGAGCGTCAGGGTCATCAAAGTAGTTCTGCGATGGTTATTTCAAAGAGATGATAAATTCAAAGCTTAAACTGACATATCGATTAGTAACTAGTCTGGTGGAGGCCGCCCTCTTTGAATCTAAGAACCGAAGTCCTGGTCGAGATCAGCCTCGATGGCACCGACGACGTGAGTAAGTCATCCATCGCTTCTGTGCAGCATCAAGAGTAGTACGGAAGTGTTTCGAACAACTCGGCCCCATGCAGATTATTTCACGGTGGGAAGAGACAGATTTAGTTCCCTATTGGGCAACCTCGGATGCTTGTGCAGCAGTGTTTCGCTGTCGTTAAACCTCGACTTGGTGGGATGTGATACACCAGCAAAGTCATGAGCTTCACGAGTGTGTGGCTATCATGGGTATTATCCCGACTTGTACAAGCCGGCGGCTGCTAATGTCAGTCCCAATGGGCCTGTTGTAGCACTGGGGAAATACCCTAAATGCTTGTCAAGTCCCTTCCCGAAATCCTGACACCCGTTGACTCCTGATGAAAAGCGTCCCCGACTATTACTTATCGAGCTGTGAGCGACTATTTCTCGACCATTTCCACGGAGCTTCAACATACAATAGGTTATGCTGGGAAATCCAAAGCGAAAGCGAAATTACAACGGATTCGAACCAAACTATCAGATATGGGTTGTTCCAAAAAGGGCTGTTGCGATAATACGTCTACTGGGATTGAAAAGGAATTTCATGGAAAGTACATTCCAGAAATCGATTCTTGTTCGGAGGGGTGTTGTAGTGCTAGTTCCGAACGGAAGAGGCTCCCCGGGAACGCTGGGCAACATGGGCCAGCAATTTACATCGAAACCAATCCGAATCGCCACGAGGAAAAGAAATGCGGCACTGGTGTACGAGTTCTACCTACAGCCCACCATAATACTAGAAATCAAACAAGGGAAGACTACTGCCACCCAAAAGACATCTTGAACTACTCTGTCACAGAGGGGAAGTCAGTCACAGTCACATCAGACAGTATTCAGGTCATTAATATAGAGTCAACCAACCCGAAAATCGACAAGGTCGATGCCGAGAAGGCTTTGTATGGGGTGAAGCATATATGGGTTCACGTCCAAGGGATGGATTGCACCAGCTGTGAGAAAAAGCTGTACAGATCGCTTACTTCTCTTGTCGAATTATCTAATGTTAAGACGAGTCTCCTCCTCGCTCAGGCCGAGTTTGACCTTCGTTCATCAAACCGCATTGATGATAGCAACATTGCCAGCACCATAGAGAAGATGACTGGATTTACCTGCACGAAGATTTCGCATGCAGGGGCAGAGCTGATATTATTTTTCAGCAAAAATACACAAGACCTCACCGATAGTTGGCCCTCTGGGGTTCTGGACTTAACAATCATCAGCAAGAACAGTGTTCGGGTCACATATCATCCCAAGCTTATCGGCGCGAGAGAGCTACTGTTGGATCCTTTCTTCCGATACGCACAACTAGCTCCGCCTTCGGCTTCTCCTCTAATCGCGTCAGGGAGAGCACACCTCCTCAACACTTGTTGGATGACACTGCTTTCTTCTCTACTGACTATACCAGTTCTTGTTTTCACGTGGGCTAATCTACCGAGGCGCAAAGTACTATATGGGGCAATCTCTCTAGTTTTGGCGACCGTCATCCAAACAGTCGTCGCGGGTCCGTTTTATATTCGAGCCCTTAACGCCCTCATATTCTCCCGAATGATAGATATGGATCTACTTATTGTCTTAAGTTCCAGCACGGCATATATCTATTCAGTTGTCGCATACGCTTTCGTGGCTGTAGGGAAGCCGCTGCAAACGGATGAAATATTTCAAACGTCTACTCTACTCGTTACACTGATCATGGTTGGGCGGATGGTGACTGCTTTTGCACGTCAAAGAGCGGTCGAGTCGATCGCAATCGAGTCATTGCAAACCCCAACGGCAATTCTGGTCGATCCACAATCTCTGGAAGAAACCGAGATCGATGCACGGCTTCTTCAATATAATGATACCTTCAAGGTTCTACCCGAAACGTCTGTAGTTACTGATGGTGTGGTACTTGCTGGGGAAAGTGAAGTTGATGAGTCCATGATCACTGGAGAGGCTACACTGATAGCCAAGGAACCCGGAATGTCCGTTGTGGCTGGGTCCATAAACCATTCAGGGGGACTCGTAGTTCGAGTCAGTCGCCTTCCGTATGAGAATACTATCAAGACGATTGGGTGCATGGTTGAACATGCCAAATCGTCTAAACCAAAAGTCCAGGAATTGGCAGACAGAGTTGCAAGTTGCTTCGTTCCTGCCATACTTGCGATATCACTGGCCGTGTTTGTGATCTGGGTGGGCGTTGGCATGGCTGTACGGCACCGACGAGCCACTGTTGCCTGCATCAATGCCATGACGTTTTCCATCTCGGTCCTTATTGTCTCTTGTCCATGTGCAATTGGTTTGGCAGTACCAATGGTTTTTCTCATCGCGGGAGGTGTGGGCGCAAGGAATGGTTTAGTTTTCAAAACCGCAGAGACTATTGACGTTGCTCGAAAAGTTTCCCATGTCGTCTTCGACAAGACCGGCACCCTGACGCAAGGCAACCTCTACGTCGTCGCTGAAGAGTATCAAGATGGCAATCGCAATTCATTGTGTTCTATGATATTAGGATTGACTGCAAGTAGCAAGCATCCAGTATCAAAAGCTATTGCAGCGCATTTGAGCTCTTCAGGCACACAAGCTTCAACTGTGGACCATGTTGTATCTGTTCCTGGCAATGGCATTAAAGCATCGTGGAACGGCTTCACAGTATGTGCTGGCAGTCCTCACTGGTTGGACGTACAAGATGCCCCTGAAGTTCGCAAGGTCCTTCCTCTTGGCCTGACCATGTTCTGCGTCACCCTAAACAACGAACTAGTCGCCATTCTCGGGCTCAAAGATTCCCTCCGTCCAGATGCTTTCGAAACAATCACCGAGCTCAAGAAACGCCGCATCGATATTTCAATCATAAGCGGTGATCACGAAGCAGCTGTCCATAGCATTGCCGCCCAACTCAGCATCCCCGAATCCAGTGTCCGCGCCCGCTGCTCCCCCGAACAAAAACAAGCTTACATCAAGTCTCTCCTCGGACCTACACCCAACCATGAATATACGCACTCCACGAGTGCCCATACTCATCAGCAGCCCCGCCACAAGACACCAATAATCCTCTTCTGCGGCGACGGGACCAACGACGCCCCCGCTCTCGCCCAAGCCTCCATCGGCCTACACCTCAACACCAGCAGCAGCGACGTAGCCTCTTCAGCCGCCGACGCCATCCTCATGCGACCCTCGCTCCACGGCGTCCTGACTCTCATCGACCTCTCAAAGGCATTCCATCGGAGAGTCATGTTCAACTTTGCGTGGAGCGCAGTGTATAACCTAGTTGCTGTCCTGCTGGCGGCAGGTGCGCTGCCCGGAGCAAGGATCCCGCCGGCGTATGCGGGTTTAGGGGAGGTGGTGTCGGTCGTTCCGGTTGTGTGTGTAGCGGTGGGATTGAGGTTTTGGAGGGAGTAGTTGGGAGGGAAGTAATGAAGTGGAAGGGGGGATTGGATGAGTAGGGGTTTAATTTGGTAGGTCTGAGGTATGGAATGAAAATGCCCATGTCTTGTATCAGTCTCTGTCATCTAGCCACTGCTATTTCAATTGTCTTGAAACTGATGACCGCGCCGAGTGGAATTACTGGAAAGAAATAAAACACTTGCTCTTGCATATCGAGAAACCTAAACCCTTCCACGACTACACTTCACTCTATGCTACCTAGGTAGGTACTTTAACCACCCAAAGCTACCTAAGGTAGGTAGGTATCTGACTATACTCTATACTATATCCCACTATCTCACTCGCTCCCTATTCGCCCTCTATTCACCTACTAACCAACCCCCTCCCTCACCCTAACCGGTTCTAAAAAAGAGCCGAAACCTTCCGGCCAACTGCGACGTACAACAAAAGCTTCCACTCTTGAATCCGCAACCCATCCGCAACCCATCCGCAAACCACCCGTAACTCACCCGTAATAGCATACCCGTAAGGATGTGTGCGATGTGCAACAAAACTTTCTTAGCTCTAGTAGTTGCCCACATACCTTAACCCATCTATCCGCAACACCCCCGTAACTCATCCGGACGTTGAAACATACGGACGGCCCGTAAGAATACGATGTGCAACAAATCTCTTTTATCTATAACAAAAAGAAAAAAATACTCTTCCCTAAAGGTACCTTAGGTACCATCTATATCCGTAACCTCGTCCGTACCCCCCCTCCGGAGTAACATACGGACGTAGCATACGGACGTAAGAATGCGATATGCAACAAAACTTACACCTGTCAGTCTTCCTGGTCTCTTATATTCGTAGGTAGTCTACCTATCCGCGACAGATCCGTAAAGCCTCCGTAACACCTCCGTAACAACCCTAGGTACTTACGGGCGGCCTGCGATGTGCAACAAAACTTCCTTGTATCTGTAACCCATCCTCTCTCTCACACCTATAACCAATCTCCTTTCCTACTTTCCCCCTCCCACGAGAACCCCTCCGCAGTCCCCTGTAGCATTTATCTTAATCGAACTGTGCGATGTGCAACAAAAGCCATCTCTCCTTCCGGTTTAAGTAGAATATCACAATATTCAATAAAGTTAAACAAAAGAAGTCTTTTGTATTGACTGTTCTACAACAGTTGACAAAACGCCCACTAACTCCTTACACCCTAACAAATGACCTCCTAGCAAATGACCTTCTAACAAATGACTTCCAAACAAATGACCTGTAACCTCAAAACATGTCCAACATTTCCCATAAAGATCATCTTAGCCGTTTCTGATAATTGCGCACCAGCCAAGGCACACATTGCAGCCTCCAGGGTAAAACGCGCAGTCATCATCATCGTCGCACTGAGCATTCTCACACATTGCCCTCTGCTCCAGAACATTACGCGTGACTCTGCTCTGGCGAATGTCTCTGCTGCCCTTCTTTGGCTTCGGCATCTGTGCCTTAGCTTTATCAGCCAGGACTTTGAACTCCCCGGTCATACATTTCGGTGCTTTGCATGAGCTCCCCTTTCCTTTCTTGTCCTTCGTCAAGACACATGCGAAGCCGAGTTTGTCTTTTCCAGTAGGCTTCTCTCCAGGACACAGCCGGCCTGGTTTGCCGAACTTGCTTATGTCTGTAGCGCTGCCAGCGGGATTGCGAGCCTGAAGGTCCTGATGCTGGAAATCTTGTTAGTATTGCTTTATCACAAATAACGATTATATACTGTAGGACTTGAAGAGGCTTACATCGGATTCGGATATGACTGCGCCGTCTGCGCGTTCGTTGAGACCGTTCTGATAGGCATGGATAACAGAGACCGAGAATAGAAGAACGAGGAGACGGATAAAGGAGAAATGCATAGCGAGAAGTATGCTTTCAGATAGATGTAAAAAAAGTAAGAAAGTCTTGGAATTCTCTTTTGCTTTGGAGAGGGGATGAATGAAGTGATGAAATGATGAAGTGATGAAGTGATGATTTGGATAGATGGAAGGAGACTTTCCCACCTTTTTATCTTTGAAATGCTCTAAGCAGTAGCTAGGAATAATCTGCCATAATGTATTTTTAAAAAGATATTGAAAGGTATTGCTTCCTTCCTCAGGACTTGCCGCTTCCTACTACAACGTTGTAGAGAGGCTTATGCGGCGGTTAAGCGAAGGCCCCGACTTCCGCGACTACTGCGATCCGATCCGGGGAAAAGGGGCTGAAACAGATTCTGTGCCGCACGCGCTAGTACTAAATTATGCGCATACGCCGCAACCTTAATTTTATGTCAATGTTCATCGCCATAACATTTGACGTACAGTTGAGGATGCTCTCCCATTTTTATGCTTCATTACTAAAATTAAATCTAGGGAAAAAGGGATTTGTACGTATGGAGACACAGCCGCGTTTAGCTCCCGAAACTGACACTCCAGGTCCCCAGCGAGCACCGACGAAGTCTATAGAAAGCAACAGCGTCAATGATCTACCCTGAGAACTAATATTAGCATTTTTTCTTCTCTACACAGGATTAACTTGCTTGCTAGATAGGCCGTCCTGGAAATCCTGACAACCGTCGTGTTGGCTGTACCCGGGCGTAGAGGTTCTATCTTGAGAAATTGAGAGAGGAAGGAAATGTTCAACTGTGATCCTTATCGTAAAGGTAGGTAGATGAGAAAAAGAGAAAGAAAGTCTATATAAAGAGATGATAGAACTGCTCTTGGTTTCTTCTTCATCATCATTCAATCAGACACCATCTTCACGAAGCCTTTTCCTTGTTAACCTCCCAATCAAATTTCATACATCTATCAACATGCGTTTCTCTACATCAATTCTCCTTGCCATCTTCTCTATCGCCAGCCTCGCGGCTGCAGACCCCCAGAACCTCAACAATGGCCTCGCCGAGCGCGATTCCGGCTTCGCTGATGCCATCGAAGCACGGGAGCCCATGGAAGAGGTAAGCAGCCCCCGTCCTACCTATCCAGAATCTATCTCTACACCCGCTAACACGCGTATCATCACAGGTCTCCGATCTCATGACTCGAAACTTGGGCAAACCCGGCCGTCTCTGCCCTGGAGAGAAAGCCACGGGAACGGATGAACACGGCTTCGCGTGCGTTCTCGGACCACACAAGACATGCAAATCAGCCAGCCAGAAATGTGCAAGCGGCGCGTTCAAAGCCATGGCTGAAAAAGCCTTAGCTGCGGTGAAGAAAGGGGCGCCAGCGCCAAAGAAGGCACCAAATCATAGCAGAGATTTTTCAAACCCTCTGTTGAAGAGGGACATGTGTACGCTCTATGCGTGCGAAGAACAATGGGAATGCCCCCGGGGATGTACCGACTGCTTCGGAGATCGATGCCTTAACATCAATGCACCTTAATATAGATGCATCGATGTTATCTGAGATGGCGTGTAAAGGTAGCTAAAGGTGTTTGTATGGAAGATATTGTACAGGTTTTGTTTTTGTAAAGGGTGCAAGGCGTTGGTGGAGCTATTGGCGTTGGGAACAGGTCGTCTGTTATTGATCTTCGAGTTCATCTCTGTCCAATCCAGTCACATGAAACCTCTGCTCCTGTTTGCTGTTGTGAACTTGTGCCTTGAGATACATAGAATCTCCTGCTCTTGAATCTTGCCTCTCCCGTACTAGATCCTGTCTCTCATCCTCTCCTGTAATCTTACCTGGCAATCTCTTTCCGTGACACTTTTGACCTTCCGCTCAAGGGAATTGATGAGAGTCTTCCCGCAGAGAGCCTACCTACCTCGGTAGGGGGCAAGCAGATAGAGTCACACAATTCAAAATCTTTTGTTGCATCTCGTAATTTACAGGAATGAACTTTGCAGATGTATCCGTTTCGGAAGTGGTTACGGATCGGAAGGGGGATGAGTTGGGGGATGGGGATGGGTATAGACCTACTTATCTATATCTCGATCAATAATCACTAGATGAGTTGCGAAATTTAGAAAGCCATCGAGTATTCTGCTAATAAAGTCACGCTTCTGATCACATATCCATGCCTACCTAAGGTAACCATATGTCCACCTCACCTACTAGGTACCTATCTATCCTCAAAAGCCCAACATCAAAACTCACCACTCATTCAACTAACGTGGACCCAACACTCGACGTCGAAATGCAGTGGGACCCCCCGTGTCCCCTTGAGAATGAAGCTGTCCGAATATCCGATCCGAGGGATTATCCGGGGGTGCTCTGGACATATACGGCGGCGGCGGGCGTCTCGAGAGCGGACCTCCGCGTTGAACTCGGCTTTGAAGCCCGCCTAGAAGCGCGCCTCCAAGCACGCCAGGACCGCCACCCGCCTGGGCCAGAGCATTTTGCACATTGTATACCCAATCACCGATGGACTCTGGAGCGCCCTGCGGGAGCGGCATTGTGCCTCCGTATCTAAAGACTTTAGGCATGTTGGGGTCTGGATAATAGGGCCCAAAACACCCCGTGAGGGACAATCTGTTCGGTAATAAGAAGAGGCCGCCTTGGCCTTCTGCTAGTAGCTCGTCAGAGATGTGATGATGGCCGCCTGCGCACACGTAGCCGCCGTCGACACGCATCCATGCAAACTCCTGTGGGCAGCTGGATGTGCGCGTGATCATAGTCTGTGCCCATTGTTCCTGGCGCTGTCGCTCGGCCGGTGCCATAGTCTCGATGTGTGTTTGTCGGCTAGCCATCTTGATGTCCGCGGGGGAAGTAAAGATCGAGTGTGTGGGCACCGTGCGGTTGGGTCCGGATGCGGCGGGGGTGGCTTGAGAAGAGCTGGATTCGGCTTGTGAGGATAGGGGTGACATTCCTTCGAGGTAGGTGCGTGTGTTGTCGCCAAGTGGATATCTCGAGGTTCGGACGCGGCCCCTGATTTCAGGTGGGTGGCTGGAGGAGGGATATGGGTCTTTGGATGGTGGCATTGGACGTCCAGGGTCGTGCAAGGAAGACGTAGCAGCAACCTTATTTTCAGTCTTACGCAAAATGCCTTTCTTTTTGATTGCTGGGGAAGTGGTTGCCATACCGCTTTTGAGTTCTAATGGTGACCAGATTTCACTGACATCGTGAGGAGCAGTGTGTCTTCGGGACAGCGAGGAGATCAATGGCTGTTCTGAAGGGTTTTGTGCCTGAGAGGACGAAGATAATGGATAGTATGATATTTCTTGCTCACGAGGGGAAAAGGTAGATGGGCCAGACTGTTCAGGAGCTTTAGACGAAGAAGGTTGACTGGCGGACTCGCGATGTCGGGACGATGATGGCATCACCGTCTTAGCAGGAGGACGTATTGTCATATCACCAAATTCCTTCTCCAGCTGGGCACTGGTTGTAACTGCCGGAGGTGGCACAGTGTTGGACTGGAACGGCGACTTGATGTTTCGAGACATGATAGTGGTGGACGAACTTACTTACTCTGGTTACTTCGTAAGGGGTGGGACAGAAGTATCTTAAAAAAATTGCGTGTGATGTAGAAAGTACGAGGAAGAAGAAATAGGTAAGATATAAATAAGGTTTGAGGTTTGGATTGTTTGCAGGATACTTTGAATGTTTGATCAAACGAGGACTGTGAATAACAAACTTCATGATATGGAATGAGAAATAGTATTCACCAAGGAGACTGAATCAAGAGGGAATGATAGGCATCCGACCTCCGTGAATCCCACTAGAGACTCAAAATTACGGAGCACATCTCGACCCCACGACGAACTGTGGCAATGGAAGGTTCAGAACTCAGGGTCATTTAACAGGTGATTTCACGCAGGTACCTTAGGTATTTTCGATTAATTTTCTCCTTTTTTTCTGCTTTCCATACAGTTAGTAAGCTTGCCGCTCTTGCTCAGGCGCAAATCACCCTCGGCTCTGTCAACTCACCTGAGCTACAACACTGTCGGCAGAGGACAATGGGTTAGACAAGGAATTAGAAAGGGAAAGCGGCTCGGACGAAGAAGATGTTATAATTGAAGAATGTGGACACCGCCTCAAGAAAATCAAATTCGGCCAATCACGACAAAAGATAGCGACGACGAACTACCTAACAACGAGAATCAATAAACATAGTACCCCGAAGCAAAGCTCGGGAGAGAATTCGAGGACGAGTCGCCCATAGTACTAGACAACCTTATGATCAACAAGTACAAAAGAGACAGAAGCAGAAAAAAAGAGGATCACTAGAAGCTGGACAATAGTAGAAGCCAAACGCTCTTATTCTTACAGGATATCTACAGCTTTACCGTCGACCAATCGCTCGTCATATGGAGACTCAGATAAGCAATTCAACAGCAAATCAGCGAAACAACTATTGGGAGGATTGGGGGATATAAGAAGCCAACAATTCCAGGACAAACTAGTAGTTAAAATATGCTATCTGCCACATCTGGAGAAGCAATTGGGGCAAACAAGGAAGTAATATGTCCGTTAAAGGAGAGCATAGCACTAGCGAGGAAATGGTTGAGGCATCTACCGTCATTGTCGACACACGGCTTCCCGATGCGTACAGAGCTCCGGCATTTTTGGCTCCACGTCGAGCTGTTCTTGGGATTTAACAGCAAGAAATCTACAAGTGAGCAAGAAAAGGTCATGTGGGTTATCACCTTGTTCGAAGGACGGTGGACCTGCGCTTAGTTGGATCGAGGGATTTCTACAAGACTATCTCACCCTTATACACATAGAGGACGGGGAGAGGCGTATAAGAAGAGAAATGAAGGAAGAGGGAATTAAATATTCTTCTATTCATTTACAAATTCAGGGAGACAGATTGCAAAAGTGAGAAAAGGTTTTGAGAGATTTGAAAGTCACAATATTTCGGTTCCCTTTAATGACTTACATTTTAGTTCCCCTTTAGGCTGCGCAATAGGTCCCTAAGGGTTGGCTTATTATGTATAAGAGACAACCCATAAGGATCCATCCAACCCATGGGTTAAGTCCTATCCACCCTAACCCACCCCATGGGGCGGGGACCCATGGGTTTCTGCGCAGTCTACCAATGAGGGAGGATCCCCTTAATGGTTGATGACGTCTATGTTCCCGAGAAGGATATATAAGAGAAAACACTTTCTCTCCTACTCCAAAATCATTTGAAATTTTTCTCTCTTAATAAAAACGTTCCGCAGAACCAACCGAATAATGGCAGACTTAGACTCTCTGTGTTTGGGTTGTACCCAGGTGAGGAGGAATCCGAGGAAGAGGCTCCCAAGTTCCAAGTATAAAGCATACACTTACGAGTTATTTCATAGGAAACCAAGGAAATCACAGAATCAACTACATTGATTCCTCGACGACAGCCACAATCACTGTTATGGTGGCGGCGGCAGTCCCGCTGGTGGAAGGAGCAGCTTCAACCTGCCCTAATCGCACGGTGGCAGTAAGCAAACACCTTCGCTCCTACCTTTCTTCTATGACTTCCCCTGCTCCTTCCCTCTATGGCAACTTCCCTTACTCTCTCCTTCTTTGTCTTTCACTCAACCGAGAGGGTATAACTACCTGCCCTCCCCTCTCGTTTCTATTTTCTTTTCTCTTTTCCCTTTGAAACCACCTCTACCACCACCATCACCTCCACCTCCACCATCGCCATCACCATCACCAACACCAACATCACCATCAACACCGATCATGAATTCGACGGTGACAAGGACAAAGGGTCTTTCAGACCATTGCCTGACCCTGTCGGGGTGGGCAATGACGATTGCCGCCCTCGGGATTGCCACCCTAGGGCCTTTATGGTCCTGGTGCATTCTCGGGGTGGTCCGATGCGTGAAGAGAGTCTGCGGGTCATTGCTTGTTAATCCGTTTGTTTACTGTTACTAATCCTTTACTTTTATAGTCTCGCGACCCAGACAGAAATAGAGAGGGAGAGGGGGGAGTGGAAGAAGGAGAGGGAGAGGGAGAGGGGGGAGTGGGGGCAGGAGAGGGAGAGGTGGGAGAGGGAGAGGGGGGAGTGGAGGGAGGAGAGGGAGAGGTGGGAGACGGAGAGGAAGGAGTGGAAGACGGAGAGGGAGAAGTGGGAGAAGGAGAGGGAGGGGTGGAAGACAGAGAGAGAGAAGGAGAGGGAGGGGTGGAAGACAGAGAGAGAGAAGTTGGAGAAGGAGAGGAGGAAGGAGAGGAGGGAGGAGAGGGAGGAGAGGGAGAAGGTGAGGGAGGAGAGGGAGAAGGTGAGGGAGGAGAGGGAGAAGGAGAGGGAGGAGAGAGAGAAGGAGAGGAGGGAGGAGAGGGAGGAGAGGACGATGATGATAATGTTGATGACGATAGTAATGGGCGACCGAGAGAGCTCTTGAGGGGCATAAGGTAGAGGAGCACACTTGGTCACAAATCTCTAACCTGCAAATGCCACAATTTTTCCAGTGTTCTTCGGAGTCAAAATTGATTATGTGAAGGCCTACTCCTTATTCCAAAATCCTGTGCCGATGCTGTGCCGATACTGTGCCGATGCCTCGCCCCCTTTTTAGAAATTTGAGATCGTGAATCTGAGCAGGGCCCTCGTCTGGCTAGGAATCATGTGAAACCTTGCGTGTTGTGCCAGAAATAAGCGGGAGTACCTCATGCATATATGTTTGTGTGAGAGTGTGTATGTACGCAAGACCTTAATAATAGAAGAGATAAAGAAGGGAAAATCAAATAGAGGTCTCTCTAATAGACTATGCTCGCCTATGTCAAAAGTATTCTCACCATAGGAGACTTCATCTGTTGGGATTCATTCCTCTGGGTGAAATTGTAAAGCTGAGCGAGCTACGAGTCACCGGAGGGGGGGGGGGGGGGGGGGGAGGGATCATTCCGGCAGAAACTCTGCGAGGGTGCAAAAAGGGATTCCCGGGCAGAATTCGGTAAGCAAACTGAAGCTGGGGCACAGAGGAGGCTCAAATGGGTTCCGCATTACGCAGCGCAGGCTGAACTCAGGCTCTGCTCAGGCTCTGGTCCGGATGCGCACCCTCGGCTCATGTATGCTCAGTCTCAGCTCAGATTAAAGTAGCAGTTGCTCAAGTTGGCAGACCGAAACGGAGAATCAATCCCGAGTCTAAGGGTATCTGGTTCTCTATTTCATCATTTATATGATCCTATAAAGGTCACTAAACCAAAACCAACACAGGCTGCAACTCAGGACCACTTCTTGGGAAAGGCTGCTCAAAACTAGACATCATCAGTCAATCGCCACATGGAGATAGAACTTTTATATGCATACAGAAACTCTTTGACGCAGATCATACAGCCCACCCACGGATAACTGGGGGATCTGCTGGTAATGCTGGGCCAGGAGCTGTCGTGTGTTTTGGAGGACCTAGCAAACTGTTAGCAGAGAGGCCATGCGAAGAATATTCAAAGCTTACCTCGACGTAGCTTTGGTTTGGATTTTCTCTCATTGTCTTGATAAATCCATACGACATGGCGCCTGCTGAGTTTAGTATTGTCAGCGTAATATTTGAGCATTGAACGAACCTGTTGCAGCTCCAGCAATACTCGTGTCGGCCGACGTCTGGTTATCAGCACAGCCGCTGAACATCCAAACATCTTTTCCCTCATTCTTCCAATCCTCAACAAAGGTTTCCTCCCCTAGTCCATTCTCATTGGTAGGCCCGTCGGGTCGGTGATGCAGGGAGGCAAAGAAGCTTTGCGCTCCTCCAATCAGCGCCCTAGCCTCTTGAATCTTGGAAGCCGAAAATCCTCCGTGGAGAAGGTTCATAGCTGAGCTGGCAAGCTTGATGCCTTGCTTCACATTGTCGATAAGGTTAACCTGTCCTGCTGAATTTGGGCGGTAAACATATGGAAGCTCGATTGCGGAACCGCTGTGACAGCAGTCAAAGAGAACCGTCAACCGAGCGGAGGGTATCATTGGTGATACAAGGACTTTATGCAGCTGACTCGTGTTAACTTCGCTCAGTATCGCATCTCACCTCTGGAACGTACCGTGTCACTATCTATCTGCCCATGGCTTTCAAAGTCCAGAGGGCAGATGGTGTCATCAAATCTGTGGTGTGGTCAGTATAAGGTAGTTACCTGTACATATCTTCTAGATTACTTACCCAGATTCTCGATCACCATCTGGATCCTTGACTTGAGCTATCAAGTTGTCAGAATAACGGATTCTCGCCCAGGTCGTTCAAAGATTTTGTTCACCTCCATGGCCAGAGTAGGACAGAAAGACGGAATCTCCAGGATTATTGCCAGAGACAAGCCATCGGAAAGCCTACGGAGAAGATTCAATCAGCCTTCAGATGGGGATCACAGACAAGGCAGCCCACCGCCATCATATTGGCACCGGTAGGCTCGAATGGCGTGCCCCTGTTCTCGGGAGCATCGGTCATAACAACCATATCATGACGCCCTGGCGAAAATCCACGGTCCCGGACCAGGTATTCACGTATGTTCATGGCATCGTTGATACACCCGTTGAGTTGGTATTTGGTACCGTAGTAGTTGATACCGATCAACAAGGCCTTCCTACGAGGCATGGTGATGCAGTAAGGTTAGAGAGCGCGCGAATAATCTTAGAAGATAGAAAAGATAGGTGCAAAAGACGAGGTGGAGGCTGGCAACGGTGGGAAAGGAATGTGGGTTAAGTCAATGCCGGAGTAGTGAATGGATATTTGGTGGTATCTCCATCCAGGAGCCCGAAAGAGTGAGGCTGAAGCCATCCCCATCGTCGTCGTCGTCGTCGTCGTGTTTTGTCGCTGCCGCTGCCGCCGTCGGTCCGCTTTCAATCAGGAAGCGCCGGTGACATGCCAGCACGTGATCGGGATATGCTCAAATATCTCGTTACCTGGCATCTCAGGCACGAGGAAATTGTATATTCGGAGGAGGCTCTCTTGTGGGGAACAATAGATATGCTTCCCTTCCCCGCATTGTCATAAATAGTAGCAACATATTTTCTGGAGATATCCCGTGAGGGGATGCTATATACCACGTGACTCTTCTGCTTACCTAAACAGGTCTGTAGTGCTCCTGTCCAGGGAGATCTCTTCCGTCTCTTCGGATGCCACCACCAATAAGCTAGAGATCCATATGCAATAATCTGCCACCTTATACACAAAGCCAGGGTCTGATCCGGCACGTACGGTCGAGAATGGGTAGCGGTACTGTATGTAACAGTAGCCAATATACCTAGATACACCAGAAACCGCGTTTCCTAGCGTTGCCCTTCCCAGTGAGCAATGTCGACGCCTGACAGTCTGGCCGCCGTGAGCGAAAGGAAAGGAGAGGAGCGCAGAGGCTCGGGAGGCGCTTGGTTAGGTCTTATAAATGCATGCTTTCGGACGTAGACTTCCTGAACAAGTGTCTTTGCCGAGGGCTTCGTGGAAGCCACAGAGCCAACAGCTTAAGAGATAGAGAATTTCCTGGGTTCCCCTCAATTTGGTCGTGCGGGGCCGCAATGTGTTCTGCAGAAGGATTCTGCTGCAGCCTGTGTTGGTATAAGGTCGCCAGCTCTGTGTCCCACTGCCCCTTGACCTCCCTTTCATCCATGATATCTGTTGTATCATTGTCCGGTCTCTGTAATAACGCGGTCCTGGCCCATCGACCTGCCATCAGTCCTCGCCCCCGGGGACGATGGTTGGAGAGGAGCGAACGTCTCGAAGACGGGAGCTTCCGGCTTCTCCACCTCACGTGACGTCCGAGGGATCCCGACTTAGTCAGCGAGAGGCGGGATGCCGATCTTAAAAACCGTCCAAGAAACTTCGGAGAGTTACCGACTCTTCCCCGAAACAACGCCTCACTCCCCTTCGAGTAGTTCGACTGGTATCCTCTCCACCATGAGCGACGGCCAGCGAGAACCAATTGAGTCGTCTCTTACCCCAGAAGAGGCCAGTCGCATCATCCACGCGCATCGCAAGGTGCGCTACGGTATGTCGCCCCTCCCCTCTGCGTGCCCTCTTCCCCGGAATCGTCTGGCCTCTCATGCGTATCTATCTGCTTGCTGCGAATCCCGTCGGGGCTCAGGGGCTGAGTATCATATCTAGGCACTGCGTGCTGGCCATGTAGACAGCGCAAGGTGAAGTGCGACAACAAACAGCCATGTGAGAACTGCGTAAAGAGAGACCACGCCACTCTCTGCTCCTACAACCCCAAGCAGCACGCGTCCAAGGAAGCTCCCGCGCCCGTCAGCGGCGTCAAGAGGCCTCGGTCGCCCGGAAGTGAGGCCTCCTCGAAACGGGAGGATGAGCGGTGGCCGCGGACAGCAGGTATGCATACATCCCCCGCATTTATGAGACCGATTCAACGGGCCAAGGTCATGATACTTGATGGCTGCAACGCCTTATCACCAGTTGCATCCACACGTGATATGCCCCGTTCTCAGACTTGCCGAGTGTCCCCGAAAGTGGCAACGCTGACCAGTAGGTAGAAGATGAGGACTCTACCAGCGAATCCCGCTACCTGGGTCAAAACAGCATCGCCGCCTTCTTGACCGAGGAGGCCAGAGCTGGTGAACCCTCATCGGTGGCCGGTGACCAGGATGTTATTCGAAAAGACATCATGCCTATCCTAGGGCTACAAATATCAACCGCGCCGTATCCTTTCCTGTCTCAGGATCATATGGACAGGATGCAGCATGAAATTGCTGGGGCTCTACCGTCAAATAGAGAAGTTCTCAAGTAAGTAGCTCATCTCTACGCGGGATTTGTTTCCTTTCCAATGGACACTGTTCTAATGGATATTGAACTCAGGACCTTTCAAATATATAAACAGATAGTGCAGCCTTTTTGGGGTCTCCTCGTCGACATAGAAGACTTTGAGTCCAAATTATGCACATATCTCGAGGATCGGGTCTCGACGGCCAACCAAGCAGGGCCAAGTAAGGGCGTATCCTCAGCCTGGTTGGGCATGCTGTTCGCTGTGCTTGCCGTTTCGACCAATTACTCTGAATTATCATACCACAAACGAGTTGCGACATCACAAGCATTTGGTAAGCAGTATAACGTCTATTACGGGTCTAGCTAATACCTCAATTCAGTGCAAACATCGTTCCATTGTCTGAGGTTATCAAACTTCTTCCTTCGACCATCCCTCGATTCTCTTCAGGCCCTCCTCATTCTTGGTTTTGTATTAGCCAATGACATGAAGGCAGAGGCTTCTTGGGCCTTACTAGGTCTCACGTGTAGACTGGCACAGGCTTTAGGGTTACATAGAGGCCCCAATGAAAGTGCTCGTTTCCCTACGACTCCATCGAATGACTTCCCCAGGAGAAAGCTTTGGTATGATTTCCCCTATCAGACAGCTCTCCGGTATCTAACACCCTCCAGGTGGAGCATCCTCTGGCAAGACAGCTTGCTGTCCCTGTCATTCGATCGAGCTCCAATAGCTGTCACAACTCGATGTGATATACCACTCGGGCCTCATGCTTTAACAGAAGGTCTCTCCTACACCGAAGCGATGTATCATCTCTGTCAAAAGATCCTTGAATCAGTCAACAATGACAGTACTTCTCAACCAGATTACAATCAAATTATTTCTCACTCTATCGAGGTCGAAAACCTTCGACATCGAGTCTTACCTTGTTTCCGAACAAAAGAGGCATGTAAAACGGTGTCTGACCGGTTGCATTATTACGCTGTTCGGCTTCACACGGCGTTCGTCGTTTCAGTGTTATGTCGACCGTCACTCCGACAAGGGAACAGTAGTGGCATGGATCGTACGCAAAAGGCAGCTCTCTTTGAGAAATGCAAAGAGAGTCTAACGGAAACCGTACGCATGTATCTTAAAATGCATTCTCTGAGTGTTATTCCCACCCGTTCCTGGGCTTTCACATACCACGGTCTCTCATCCGCCGTATTGCTCGGAATTTTGGGGGAGACGAAAACAGACCCTGAAGTTAGGCAACTGCAGGGCGATTTGATCACGGCTCTCTCTGCTACTGCTGCCAAAGAACAGACTTCAGACATTACAAAATCAGATAAGGATATCGAATTGAGTGGACCGCTGTCGAGAGCGTTGGTAGCCTTGAAGAACATCTATGATCATGGTTGGGTAGTGGAACAGAAGCCCTCCAATGGGAATGTGCCCGAGTCGCAGTTCGTGCAGGATCAAGACCAGAGTCAGTTTGAACAGCAGCAAAATGCTGCAATTGCCATGGCGTCAATGCAGAACGGGATGATACCTCCGTAAGTATTTCGGATCTCGGGATAGAACTACGCTAATGCCTGATGTAGATTGGATTATCAACCAACAGCACAAGCACAGATGCCGGTTGACCTATTCGGTATGCAATCGGTTGAACAAACGATGAATATGTCGCCCATGGATTTGTTCGATTCGATATTCTGGGGTAGGTTCTGTCTCCCTTCTCATCATATTAATACTGACAACACCAGATCCGTATCCCGGAAACGGATTAGATCCCAATGGTTTTGATTACACACAGCTGTACCCCAGTTTTTAGCAGGCTAAAACCGTTACTCATGCTGGCATAATTATAATGAACACTCTTTTGATCAGAGAAATCTCGAGTCTCAAGTGCCTATCTATATGCAAGAGCTTTCATTTATTCTCTTATTTCGCAGCGCATACCATCTTCATCTCATCCACTTGTGGCCCTTTTTCTGCGGCACCTTGTTTGCGGGGATCAAGGCTTCCCGCTTAAGAACCGGCATTTGAAAAAGCCCCCACCCACCACTTACTACGAAAGCCGGGGATGCAATCTCCGCAATTTTTTTCCTTCTAGCATTTCCGGGGATGTATAGGGTCACGAGTGTGAAGTGACGACTCGGAGGTTCGGAGTTCTACCTATGCCAATTTTTCAGTCATCCCGGATGCTCGGATATCCGATTTTCAATATCTGGCAAGCTATGCAACCTCACAAACCTCCCAAAATTCGTTTTCAAATGACAGGTGTCGGCGGAGTTCCCAGGAAACCCCATTTCAAAAGTCTCGCAAGAAACTTTAAGGTAGGTCTTTTTCAGACTCATCGTTCTTAAGAATGCTTGTTGGAGCAATCACATTATGTTTTCGTCCTCAAATTCATACTTTGTCTCGGCAACTTTTATGCTTGAAATGAAGCAGGGGAAATTCAGTCGCTGGAGAAGCTCGGACGATCTGGAAGCTCCCTCTTCTCAACATGAGGTTCTCAGGGAATCAGACAATGACAGCAAAGGCCCAGACGACAGAAGAGGTACATACATCCAGCAGAAAGATCCTTACCCAACGAGAACGTCGATTTCATTAAGGTCGAGACACGGTTTCTCACCTAGAAAGGTGTCCTTTCCCTCCAAATCTCTTCGTCCCGTATGGTTGAAAAATCTTCAGTCTGCAATTGAGAGAGCCGCTCTCGCTGCAATCCTCCGCGGAGAAAGCTTAACCCGGCACCCAGATATCAGTCGTTCTACCAGCAAGATCCTTGACAAGCCTCAAACTTATATCAATTCGTATAATTTTGACATCCACTAGCCATGACGTCGTCTTGCGGCTCTCGCCTTCGGGGCGCGGCTCTCGCCGCCAGGGCCAAGCTCCTACGGCGCGCGACAGGAACTCAGATAGCAACGCGCGGGGCAGAAACCCCCACCTTGGCAATCACCACGACTTTATATAACATTTCACGACGCCCTCTCTCCCTCTCTCCCGCTGAGGCGTGAAGCTCTCCAGCTTCCGCCATGCGCTCCCTCTCCTTCCCTCCGCCTCAATGGGTTGACAAGGTCTCGTCCCGTCTTCCGCCCCAACTGCGTCTCCTCCCTTTCCCCGCGATCCGCATCATCGTCGTCCTAATCCTCGTCAACGTCGCCGTCTGGGTCGCTGTAGCCATCGTCCTGCGCTCCCATCCCCTCCTCTCGTCCCCGGCCCTCTTATCCTACACGTTCGGTCTCCGCCATGCCCTGGATGCTGACCACATCTCCGCCATCGATCTAATGACACGGCGGCTCGTCGCGACAGGATCCAAACCAGTGACTGTGGGGACATGGTTCAGCTTGGGCCACTCGACCATCGTCGTTATAACGTGTATTGTGGTGGCAGCGACCAGCGGCGCGCTGGAGAAGCGATTCAACGGCTTTCAGAATATCGGCGGCGTTATAGGGACGTCTGTCAGCGCCGGGGTTCTGATCCTACTGGGAATTGGGAATGCGTGGATCCTGTGGAAGCTCGTCCAGCGGATGAAGGTCGTGCTTCGGGAAGAGGATGCTAGTGATCGCGCGAGGGCCGAGGAGGGCGCGGTTGCGGGGCTAGATTTAGAGGGCGGAGGCATATTGGTTCGTGTCTTCAAGAAGGTGTTCAAGTTTATTGATAGACCGTGGAAGATGTACCCGCTTGGCGTTCTGTTTGGGTTGGGCTTCGATACAAGTAGTGAGGTTGCGCTGCTGGGTATTGCGAGTGTGCAGGGTGCACAAGGGATGAGTATGTGGCTGATTCTGATCTTCCCTCTGTTGTTCACTTGTGAGTGCTTCTTGTCCTTCTACCCTTGTGTTTCGGTGGTTAGCTGATTGAAGCTTTTCCCTCTAGCCGGAATGTGTCTCTTGGATACAACAGATGGTGCCCTGATGATGACGCTCTACACATCCACCTCCCTAGCCCGCGACACCATCTCGATTCTCTACTACTCTATCGTACTCTCTGCCATCACAGTCCTAGTCGCGCTCGTCATCGGTATTATCCAACTCCTCTCGATCGCCGCAAATTTCTCTACGGGAAAGTTTTGGGACGGTGTTAATGTTGTGGGAGACCACTTTGATATCATTGGAGGCTGTATCTGTGCATCTTTCGTGGTGTTTGGGGTCCTGAGTGTCCTGGTCCACGGCCGTTGGAGGAGATGGGCTACAAAGGATCGAAGAGGAAGGGTGGAGATGACGGATGGAATGGAGTTAGACAGTGTAGAGAAGGGAGAAAAGGAAAAGATAGCTGAAGGGGGGGAACCAAGTATCGTCGGCGAGAGTGAGACTCAAGAATTGAAATGATTCTATTGTCAGCAAGTAGAAAATATCTAGAGCCCCGTCTGGGATTACATACCTACTCTACGGAATATATATATTCTACTGTTCCCAGGCCCAGAGACCGGAATTTCCACTCTAATCCCGGACTCGTCATTTGACAGAAATAAGAAAAATACAGCAATGCCATTCAATCTCAGTAAAGGAGCATTCATCATGATTTCTGCAAAGCCATGATATCTGTAAATCGGTCGCATATAGAAGGTCTTACAAACGCGGCTCCACGAGGAAACCTTCAAACCCCCCATCCCCTCCTTTCCCCTCTTACCTATGCAACATATATCGCAGTCTAATGCATTCAATGAGATAGGCTGACTACGATCCCTAGATTCTCGTCTACCTATACTATTCGACATTTGACTAATGAGTCATGACGACAGAAAGGACAAACCCTTCATCAACTCATCAGGGACAAGACTCGGAGACTTCTTTATCCTCTGGGACGGCGTATGCAGGAACTGCAAGTGAAGTGGCGAGACTGTGGCCCGAGTAGCTCGTTACGAGAAAGTGAGTGGGAAGAATTAACTCCTCCAACTAACTTCCTTGCAAGAAATCAGATGAATCTCGGGGATGATAAAATGGTGAGGATATAAATGACAACGATCGATAGAATGACAATGAATAATACATAAATGACAGTGAGTATATAAGCCACGACTACGCAAATGATTAACTTACAGCACGCCATAAGCGTCCAGCAAACCTTCAGCCCTCTTTGCGAACTCTTCGAGAGAGTTCTGAATATCCGCATTCGAGAATAAGGGTTGATGGTTATAGATTATGTTGTAGAGCGTATAAATAGTCCCTACCAACCATCGGTATGAGTGGCTTCTGATGGTTATTCACCTTGTAGAGAAAGGAAGTTTGTACGTCTTTGCTCTTGGATATCAACTCCACCAACTCCCCTTGCATCTACGTGCAAAAAATCCAGAAATGAGAATAATATTTTAGGGATAATGAATAAGTGATGGTGAGTACATAAATGACAGTGAGGACTTTTCTTTACCTACCATTCCTTTCTTATTTCCATTTACAGTGGCTGATAATGAATAGACACATGTCAGACAGGTCGGAGAACTAGATACGGAAGGACCAGAGTCTCTTGCGAGCTTTGTCGATAAAGGAGATGACAGCTATATCACGAATTACTGCGCGGCACAATTATTGGCTGATGATTCCCTGGCTATCTTCTATTTTGTGGCAGACATTCTCGACTTTGATGAATTTACTAAAACAGGAAAATAGTTTATAAAGGAATTCTACTTAAACTTGTGCGTGAGAGTGCACCTGTGGCAGGATTGGGAAATAGAGAAAGTCCGCCACTACCTAGAAAACTCTCGTGATGAACTGACTCCTCGATTTTGTTAGTGTCATTGGGGACGCCTAGGCTCCTGTCTGTAGCATCCTTAATCTTTAAGAATAAGAAACCTATTAACTCGGATGCCCACCTGAACTCAACGCAACCCCTAAGAGTCTCATTCTTCTATCACTCGCGTTCGGCCGGGTATCCGGATACCCTCAAATTCATTTTACATCGTCTAACCAGGTAGAATGACAGCAATTATATAAAAATGGCGGCGATAACTAGAAGAACAGTGAATATGCAGAATGACAGTAAGGGTACAATGACAACGACTATACAAATGACAACAGAGGATTCTGGTAGCCCCATCTCAAAAACAAAACTCGGGGCTGTAGATCATGTCGTAGAGCTTGACGGTTCCAACCAACCTCCAACTTTGCAGGTATATTGTGCCGAATTGACACAGGAGACCAATCATGTTACTGGGAAAGAAGTTTGTATCTCGGTTCTTACCTGTGTTTATATACCTCGAACTTTGTATGCCTTTAACTTAGATTCGAGGTTGAGAGAAAAAATGCAAGAGTTTTCATTTGCCTTCAAATTGAATAATGCGGGAGTTGAGAGTAAATCACAGCTCGCTTGAGTTGTTGATATGCTTTCTTTCTTTGTTATGTTGCGATTGATGCAGGAGGAATCATCTCGCATACTCCAAATATTTTCATCCTTTGCTCCGAAGAATAATATTACCACAATGAAATCTACCTATTTTTTGAATCTCGCGTTTGGATTTCTTGTTGTCAACATTTTGTCGTGTTGTTTACTTTCCTCACGGTCATGATAACCTCGCGCGTCGAAACCCCCTCGGGCTCCTTACCAAGCCTGCCTTGCTTTACTCAACCACCATCCCAGGAGATATTTGAAAATCTTATGGAAGAGTCTGAGCAGCAGCTTCTCCACGAGTTTAGACACGCAACGGCACATTCTCTAATCGAAATGCCATCCGAGTCCTTGGACGCTACCAACCTCCGCTCCAAGTCTCCTTCATCAATCTCATCTAGTCAGTTCACGTCTTCGATCCAGCACAACCACCAGCCTCAAAACCCAATGGAAGCTCTTCAATTGTGAGTACCTCCTTTCTTGATGCCTTCTTATCAGCAAGCATTTCTTGAAACAAGATGCTAATATTTCATAGCTCTCTTGCCTCTGGCAAATTCTCCGACCTTACCATTATCCATGGAGATACGCGGTGGAAGGCACACAAGGTTGTCGTCTGTTCTCAATCCTCTGTTCTTGAGAGCATGATCAAAGATACGAATGTCAGCTCTTTTTTGATTTCTCCCAAATAGCTCGCAACTTCGCAAGTTCCTTCCCCGCGTCCCGTTCTCATCCTCGGACCTCGATCCACATCGGACCGCAGCACCCAGCTCTTTCCCATCCTCTGAACAGAAGCTGACCTGAAAACCAGGATGGTTCAATTCTGGATCTCACATCCTACGATAACCAAACCATCACCCTAATGATGGAATACCTCTACACCTCAACCTACACACACCATCCCCACCCCCCCACATTCAGTCTCCCCCTCCACACCCAACTCTACATCCTATCCAGCAAGTTCCAAATCCACGGTCTCCAAACCCTATCCTGCACCCTCTTCACCCACCATCTCAACAACCACGTCTCCAATCTCGAAGTGTATTTCACCAGCGTCCGCTCCATCTACGCCCACACGAGCCCCGAGAACCCCGGCCTCCGCATCGCCGTCGTCGAAGCCGCCGTGTCAGAGATGCGCAAACTGCTCGGAGATGACGATGTCCGTAACCGCTTCTTTGAAGTCATGACTGATACGCCGGATTTCATGACCGATGTGATGACCCTGTTGGTTGAGCATCCCGAGAGGCCGGTGCTGATGCAGGAGCTTTGCGAGGAGTGTGGACCGAGAGGTGAGGGGGAGGGGTATGAAGTCACGGTTTCTTGTAAGACGTGTGGTAAGGATAGGACGGTGGAATTTTGTTGATCTTCTTGCTTGTTGTTTTTTTTTTTTTTTTTTTTTTTTTTTTTTTTTTTTTTTTTTTTTTTTTTGGGGGGGGTT